TTAGAATTCATTTGTATGCCTTTTTCAGCTTCAATGATGAATTCTAGATAGATTGTAGACTTGATTTTGAAGTCACATTTATCAATGTCCACTTGTAGTTCTGCTTCTCATAAATGGTCAAGTATCTGTTGTATGTGCTTGTGGTGTTCAGCAAGCAATCCATTGGTGAAGATCAGAATATTGTTCATGTACACTGATGTGATCTCATTGAGCAGATCTTGTAGAGCTCAGTTGATATATTTCTGAAACATGCTGAAGGTGTTTGCTAGTCCAAAGAGGGTCACTGTTCATTTATATAGTCTGTAGTGTGTATGAAAGATGGTTAGCTATTCATCATCTTCATTAATCCTTATCTTGTAGAAGGCTGTGGAGATGTCAAGCTTTGTAAACTATTTTACTTTTTCTATCTGCTTGAGTGTCTCATTGATGAGTGGGAGAGAATATTGATTCTTTTGTGTAATCTTATTAAGTTCTTGATAGTTGACACAGAATTGTAAGCCTTCTTCTGATTTCTTTGTGAATAGTATGAAGACTGCAGTGGATGAATTGCTAATGTGAATGAAGCTCTTGTTCAGTAATTCATTGAGTGTTTTTTGTAAGATGAGAAGCTCATTGTATGACATGCTGTAGAGAGAATCTCAGAGTGATTGCAGATTTCTGCCATCTTTTTTGATGAGCTCAATCATATGATCTATACTGTGTTCTTGATGAGAGGGGAGCTCTTCAGCTGTCTTTTCATTGAACATGTCTGTGAAGTTCTTATATAATTCAGAAAGTTCCTTGTGGGGCTTCTTGAGATTCTTAGATTCTAGCTTTTCTAACACTTTCTTAATATCTGCCATACTAGCAGTGAACACTTGAATGTTCTTCTTCTTACATACTTGATGAATTAATAGCTTGAATGCTTCTGCTGATATCTGAGTGAGATCAGCAGTTCTATTGACATTCTTCTTATAGATATAGTTGCTTTCTGAGAAAATAAGACAATGATTGTGTATGTCTAACAAGATTTCAAATTCTGTAAGCCATGACAGACTGAGCATTAAGTTGTACTCAAGATTCTGCACTTTGTATGTGTAAATATTCTTTTTCTCATGCTTTTCTACATTGATATTAAATCTTATCATATTGTAGAAGATGAATTCTCTGAGATCATTGAATCCACTGAGCTTATGCAGTTCAGAGAAAGGGATACACTGAAGCTTATGCTTTTCTACTAGCTGAATATTTATAAGAGTGTAGTGAAGAAAACCACTGTCTATCATTGCATGTACATTGACTAGACTATTTACAATAGCAGAGATCATGATTGTATTCACTTGCATCTTCTGCTCAAACCTTCAGCTAGCTTCTTGCTTCTTAAGCTCTTATCTGTGTTTTAGAGTGAGAGCTCTTCTTTTCTCTGTTCTTGTTCATTTGTGAATGTAGTTGTGTTCACTCACAGTATAGAGGCAGAAACTACTGCATTGATGCACTGACTTGTGAAATGCTCTGACTTATTGCAATGAATGCAGATGTCTCAGATGATTTGATCAGTAACTTCTCATTCAGAGAGATCAGATATCTTTGATCATTCTGTGCTTACATGAGAGATTCAATTCATGGCATTCACAGAGGCAGCTGATGCAGTTGGCATATTAATAGATGTATAGTTCTGTCTATAATTGTTACATCTTTCTTGAACAGCATGGAAGTGTACAAGGTTGTTGTCAAGTTGATGTAAGTGAGTGCAGTAGTTATGATAATATGTGGGCATGAGATGTAAGATGCAGAGCTTGAGCAGTTCAAAGCTAATATACTGACTCAGAAGATTGATCTTGACAGTATTATCTCAGTTCTGATCTTCTACTTTATATATCTTGCTGTTGAAGTTGGGTAGATAGTTCATCAGTAATGTATTCCTCTGACAGTTTCTGTTCAACCATTGCATTGCATGTGCTTGAAGTATAGAATTCAAGAACAGAATATCTAGTTAATGAAAGACTTCTTCAGAGATGCACATCTTGTGTGTGCATGACTCAATTCAAGATTGAAACTTGGTTAGAGTATTTTCTTCTAGCTGACTATAAATATAGTGAGCTTGTGAGAGCAGAGAGTCTATCACAGACTCATCTTCTTCAAGCTTGGCTTTTGTCTTTCATTTCCAGGCTAAGTAGATTGAGAGTTCTCCCATGAATTTGTCAAGAAGAGAGAGGTGTTCTCTTCTTTCATATATAAGAGATGTTGATGCTTGTATGATTCTTGATATATTTGTATTCAGATTATTCAGTTGTCACTGAAGCTTCATCATCTGCAGAGATTACTGCTGAAGAAAGCTATGAAGTTCAGTATTGTCTTCTGTGAGGTTTCAGTTTTTGCCTGCAGAAGAGTGTTCATAGAGATGTTTATAATTCATCTCATTTTCATATAAGACTATAGTTCTTGATTCTGATAACTTGGAGACCAGAAGATTCAGTTCTTATTCTTTTTGAAGGAAATACTTTATAGACACTCTGGCCTCTTCACAGACACACAGTTGTGGACTTCTAAGCACTCAGACTTCTTCACAGCACTATCACAGTGATGCAGCTTCATAGAACTTAGGTAACTTATTCTTAAACTTTAACTTGAGCATCTAGATGTGATTGTAAATATGAGGCACTCAGACTGACACAGATGAATTGATTTGTAATGTAATGAATGTGCCACTGATTAAGCAGATGTTACTGATGTTGCAGATTAAACTGTTTGTACTGTCTATGCAGTTTGTATGATCTGTTTCAATGGCAATATCAATGGACTTGACACTATTCTGATAACAGTTTATGAATTGATTAAGGAAAGAAAGAGAAAGAAGATCAGAAGAAGGGGTTGTATGAGGGAGTTCTTATAGAAGAAGGATTGAAATGGAAGAATATTGGGGGTTGCACTGCAGTGGAGCATGAAGTGGAAGAATGTTAGAGGTTATGTGGAGGAATTGTTAGAGACTACACAAGCGCGGAGCAGGATCGCGAGGAGAGGGGTGTTTTGTAGGTACACAAGAGCATGTGAGAGGGCGAATGGGCGATAGGGGGTTGGTTGCATAAGTTAACTACTAACGGGTGCTAACCCGTCACACTGACACATTCAACAAAGCTGTCTGACAGATGAATTGTAGACAGTAGTAATACTATATTATTATCTTTCCATCCAAGATAGAGAACTTCATTTTGAGAGATAATACACAGAGTATTGAAGAGAATGTGAGCAGATAATCCAGAGCTTTTCAATTCTTGTAGAAGAGGTGGTAGATTGACAGGATGGGTAGTTCCACAGGCTCCAATTCCTTGCTTTCAAAGATAATGAAATAGAGCAATAGAGGTGAAGTAGTTGTCCATATAAATTGAGTAGCCAGCAACCTCTTTACTGTTGTTCAACTCTAGATGTTGCTCGGAGCTCTGCTGCTCAGAGCTCTGCTGCTGATCGGGGTGCTGCTGATTGAGGTGCTGCTGCTCGGAGCTCTGCTGCTTGGAGCTCTGCTGCTCGGAGCTCTGCTGCTCGGAGCTCTGCTGCTGATCGGGGTGCTGCTGATCGGGGTGCTGCTGATCGGGGTGCTGCTGCTCGGAGCTCTGCTGCTTGGAGCTCTGCTGCTCGGAGCTCTGCTGCTCGGAGCTCTGCTGCTGATCGGGGTGCTGCTGATCGGGGTGCTGCTGATCGGGGTGCTGCTGATCGGGGTGCTGCTGATCGGAGCTCTGCTGCTCGGAGCTCTGCTGCTCAGAGCTCTGCTGCTCAGAGCTCTGCTGCTGATTGAGGTGCTGCAAGAATACAGGCAGCCGTTCAATCAATTCCACCACAAGAGATCCAGTCTTGGTTAATCCTGGAGTCCGAAACATTGTACTTATGCAGAGATTATCATGAGACATGAAAAAGGTCCAAAGATAGCCCTGTTCTCCTAGTCCAAAGACCTTATATCCCTGCTTGATTGATTTCTGAGGCATTTTAACTGTGTATTTGAATCATCCAAAAAATCAAATCATCATCTCATCAATGAAGAGATTTGAACCTGGATTGTAGTATTTCTGACATGCTGTATGAAAGTTGGAGTATAAAGACTCTAGCTTCTATATGAAGGAAGAATAGAATGATTCTGATCTGCAAGAATTGAATATATGAATATATCTCTTAATCTGCTCAAATTGCTTTTGTCCAATGTGAAATCTTGATGAATGAAGTGATCCCTGAGCATCATTCTTATTCCAATAATCTCCAATTGCTGGAGATCTATGTACCCCCATATAGATAATCTGTCTAAGAAATACCTTGATTTCTGCAGAAGTAGTTGGCTGCCAATTTCAAGAATTGATAACTGAATTCTTTGAAATCTGAATCTCTGCATAGGCATTGGTGGAACAGACAATATTCTGAATATCAATCTCTGAGATATAGAGAGAGAATAGAGCATATGAATTTGTTGGATTGATATTGGATAGATTGGTTGTTGGAGGCCGCTGTAGAGATTGCATAGAATTGAATTTAATACTCTCTAGAGGTGGAATGGATGCCAAAAGTGAACTGAGAGATCATTTTCACTTTGCACCTGTTTTTATACTATCTAATAAAAAATATCAGTTAATCTGATTAAAAGAAGCATTGAAGAATTGAAAATCACCTGTAGAATTCATATTGCTATCCCAGAGTGGACAGAGTGGATAAATTATGATGAGAAGGTTCCAAGATTGCAGAATGTGTCAAGCAGAAAATATGAGAGTGTGGATCTTGTATCAACAAATCAGATTACATAGAATTTAGTATGAGAAATTATTGGTTGGTACTTCTGAACTAACAGCTTAGTTATTACACTAATTGTATTGCACTAATTGTGCCTAGTGGCCAGACAAAGGGATAGTAAGTAACTTAGTTAAGTTAGCTCCAGCAGCCCGGTTAAGCTGCAAACTTACGTCACTGCATCAGTGGACCGCTAGTTAACTAACCACGTACGGCTGATAATTTTTATTTATTTACATAGTTATTTATTTAACTAGTTATTTATCTTTGATATCCGTCCCAGCGGTTACAGACTTGGAGGCCACAGAATCCAGAGAATACGCTGTAATACCCAAGAATGGGCTGGACTGGTCCCGCTTGTAACCCCCCGTCATCGAGATGTTTCCGGTTCTGCGAGGAAGCTTTTCTGCGGCGCTTGTTGGTCAACGGCAGCCGTGGATAGCCGGCGAGGCTAGTCTCCCTCGGCATTTGGCATTTGGCATTGGGACAGATGGAGCTGGAAGCGAAGATGGGCATGTACTGTGTACATGTGTATACATCTACCTCCTGCATAGGGAGCACTCGTATCTTCTTCGAAGAGACCGGAGAAAAGGTAGGCCTCAGGGTTGGGGTTTTTGTGTGTTATTCCAGGCATTGCCAGTTGGGGGAATATGAAAGCAGGGAGGGTCCAATGGATCAATCGACTCCGGGCAGTTGATGTGAGAGGGAGCACATTGCAAAGCCGACTGGACACTGCAATGCACAAAGAAAGGCCGTTTCCGTTGATTTGTTTGAGGAGAGGAGGATGTATCTTGAAAATGACATTCTTCTCCATGGTGCAATGAGCACAGAATATGATGAAATGATGTATACCTAATACTACATACCTAGCTTCTTGCCGGCGAGCAACAACTTGCCCAGGTTGCAAGCATTTAGGACGTAACAACTGACAGATGCGGAAGAAACCCGCGGATTCCCCGCAAACGAAGGCATAGTTACATTTACATCCCCATTGAAGGCCATTACCATCAGACACAGGACAGGTCTGGTTGCGGTTTCTGCGGGGGTGGGCGTGGATATATACGGGCCAACAGCAACGGCTTTTAATCTCGTAACGCTAAGCAAGAGTAACTCGCTAACTAACAACGGTGAACTCGGTCGGGTAAGGCTGGTTGACACGCGCGAATTGCATGTGCATGGGCTTGACATCCATCCATTGCATGCACAGTATACATGTACCTGTCCCTGTACCTGTACATGATGCAACTTAGCCGGATGCGTCCTTTGCAACCGCCGGACGGCAGATCAGCCGGGCTCAGAGCCAGAAGAAGCTCCCGGACTCTGGGTTTTGCCGCTCGCTCGCATCGATGACTCCAAGACCAACTTGCTTATCTGCCATCATCATGCTTCCCTTACCTATATCCCGGATCACGCGCCGGGGCAGCACTGGGTCTAAAATGCTAGCCCACTCCCTCGACGCAGCAAGTACAGGTGCGCGGAGCGGGCCTGTTATGTGACAATATGGGTGGCCTTTCGCTTCGCTGGGAGTTGTGGATACCTGGCAAAATTTGGTTAAAGGAGCAACACATCCGCCCCCGGGAAAGGAAAAAGGGTACAAAGTTTATTATTATTATTATTTTTTAAAGGCAAGATAATATCCTAAATGCTTCTCCCAGTTCTTGGACTTCTTGATTCAGATTTCCAGGGGAGAAGATTGAGACAACTGCTGGCAAACTTGCTTGAACTCCCCATCCTCGGAATCAATCTTTCTAAATCTGTAAGGGCAACAGTGTGGAATTTTCTGGTTGTTATTTAAACAGAATTAAAGAAAGAAAATATATTAAGATTACAATTATAATCGAATCACATACCAAATCAACATCTGAACATGGCTCCTGCACCGCAAGAAAGCCTGTTCAGCACCTTGGAAATCCCTCAATATGATGAGGTTTTCGGACTCATGGCTCAATTTGTGGCTGACACTTCGCCGCAGAAGGTCAGTCTTGGAGCCGGAGTGTACAGAGACAATGAGGCCAAGAGCTGGAGGTTAAACATCGTGAGAAAGGTACGTATCTACAGTCAAGCTAAGTCTTCCCTTCCCACGTATTGGAACCGCAGGCAAGCCGGGAAAGGGGAAAGGGGAAAGGTGAAAGGCGAAAGAGAAAGAAGTGCTTCCGTGAATTGCTGCGAATGGTGCCGTTAACTTTGGCAAATCTAGGTCGAAAAACAACTGTGTGAAGATCCGACGTTTGACCATGAATATCTTCCTATTGAAGGGTACCAGCCATTCGTGGATGCAGCGAGGGATCTGGTCTTTGGGAACAGCTGCCCCATTGCCAAAGGCCGCATTGCCAGCTTGCAAACGGTTTCGGGAACAGGCGCAAACCATCTCGGTGCTCGTTTCCTCAAAGAACACCTCCCTCGTCTGATCTCACCATCCTCATCGTCCGCTACTCCAACCCGAAAAATCTGGCTCTCAGACCCAACCTGGGCCAACCACCATTTGATCTGGGACCTGGTCGCCTCAAGTTCCACCGGAAGCCCCATCAAGACCGTTCTCTACCCATACTACCACGCCCAGACCCGCTCCTTCGATTTCGACGGCATGATCCGCACACTGGAAGCTAACGCGCAGCGCGGGGATGTCATCCTTCTGCATGCCTGCGCGCACAACCCCACGGGTCTTGACCCCACCAGGGCCCAGTGGGAGGCCATCGCCTCTCTGTGTCAGAGGAAGGGAATATTCCCATTCTTCGACTCTGCGTATCAGGGTTTCGCGTCGGGGGATTTGGATAATGACGCCTGGGCCATGCGAGAGTTTGTCGCGCGTGGGATGGAGATGTGTGTGGCACAGAGCTTTAGCAAGAACCTGGGCCTCTATGGGCAGCGGGTTGGGGCTTTTCATCTCGTGTGCCACACCGAGGATTCGGCCAGAAGGGCTAGGTTCCAGCTCATTGAGTTGCAAAGGGGGGAGATTTCGATGCCGCCTGCTTATGGTATGTTTTGTTTTCTTATTTTTTTTTATTAAAAAGAAAAGAAAAACACATAAAATTAACGGAATATGGATGTCCGTATATATATAATACAACATAACTAACGCGAGAACAAATAAAAAACCTCCAGGTTCAAAAATCGCAGCTGCAGTCCTCAGAGACCCCGCCAACGTTATCGAATGGAAACAAGACCTGTCTATCATGAGCAGCAGGATAAAATCCATGCGACGCGCGCTGTACGATGAGCTACGCCGTCTAGGCACGCCCGGCAATTGGGACCATATCATCAATCAGATCGGCATGTTTTCATACACCGGCCTGACCAAGAAGCAGATCAAGACCCTGAGGGAAGACTATCATATCTATATGCTTGAGTCGGGGAGAGCGTCGATTTCTGGACGTAAGGGGTCTCCTTCCCCCCCCGCCCCCTCCTCCTTTTTATCATTTGTTTACCATTATTTTATTTCTTTTTAACAAAAGAAATCTTTTCATTCCCCAAAAATTCGTTAAATTGAAAAACCCTCAGCTAACCGCTCTCCAATTATTCCGCAGTGACCACCAATAACGTGAAGTACGTCGCCGGCGCCTTTGACGCGGTGGTGAGAGACATGCCGTACTAAATCGCCGCGCATGCGTCACCAAACTCCAGAACATTACTGGCCCAATTCCAGCCTGCCTTTTGTTTCGGCAGAGACGCAGCTTCCAAGGCTGCAACGCTTGTCTCCAAACAGGGAATAACATCCGTAATCCCTACCTTATCTCAACGATTGGCGTTTTATCGGTTAAGTGCGGCACCGGCCTCATCGGCATCATCGATATCAAACAAACCCGCCCGTTTGGGTTTGGGGGTGTGGGGGGTTGGCTGACTTCGATCATTTCGATTTATTCATTCATTACGTACTTGGATAACTAACTGTATGTAGAATAGTTAGATAGAGAGTAGCCTTCCTACTGGCTCCGCGGTTTGGGGATGCGGTTTGTTTTTCTTTCCTATTCAACCCTCTTCCTCTCTCTTTTATTTTTTTTACTTTATTTTATATTTTTGATACAATGGCGGATTAATGTCTCCTCTGATATAGGTATATACATATACATATTAAACAGCGTGTATACAGAAAGCTTTTCTTTTTCTTTTTCTTTTCCTTTTTTTTTTCAATCATTCTTTTATCCGGTTTTTGGCGGCAAATTGAATTCTGCCTGTTGGTGGTGTTATTTTCTCTGATCTAGTTAGAGAGGTCCGGAGTACTTTTGACCGAACTTCTCATTTAGGTCAAGAACAGAGTTCAAGAAAGCAATTAACCTATATCTTTTACTTACAATGGATCTGTTGCAGCTGAATGAACAACCCCTATTTTTTCTAAGGCTATATATATGCAGTCAGAGACTATGACGGTCTTCACCTCACTGGCCTATTCTTGTATTCAGCTGCTCTCTAGTCATATTTCCCTATTGTATTGGTAACTTCATCACCGGCAGTTCCTTGTCACCTGAACTAGATACTAGTCTGTTAAGATCACCACACCTTACCCTGCAGTGGCACCTATCAACAGAACTGAGATAAGAAAGGGTACCTCCAATATCCTTTTTGGAGAGGGTGGGCACACCATATGGGGTAGACGGGATCATGGTGTTGCGAACAATAGGTGGGAGTTGTTATGTGAATTTAGAAGTGTAATAAGGCTCACTCTGTCTTCTTAAACGAGTTGTTTGTGCTCACCTTCCCATTTTCAAGCACGATATCCTCAATCCCTCGTTGATCTGCTTGTGAGCGGATGTTCCGCTAACTCTTTGCTTGTCTGAATCACTAGTTGAAAAGCAATTTCGATCTTTACTGAAGACTTGAAGCGTGCAAGTTGAAGCACTCCTTAGAAGATTAATTAGAAAGGGAGTGGTTAGACTGCACACTCGCCACATTTTCCATCCACTCTCCAAGCATGATAATTCCAATAATATTAAGATTTTTATACACGGCAACTCTGATAAACTACGGTATTCGACCAATTCCACCGTTACCCCAATCGAATATCATAATATACAACCGCATGTGTTTTCGCAAGCAATCTGTCCGTCACGACACCTAGATAGCTTTAGTACCCATACTTCTTCACCAAGGGTGACTCCGCAAATGGATCCGCCGTCGAATCTTCATGCCAATTGTACTCCATAACAGTCGCAACCTTCACCGCCAACTCTCTTCCATAGATTTCCTGCACAAACGCCAACATCTCATCCATCCCCGCACTAACACCGGAGGATGTCCAAATATTGCCATCCACAACCCACCGCGCCTGCCGCACCCAGTTCACCTTCGGAGCCTTCGCTACCACGGCATCATATCTGATTTTGTTCGTTGTCGCCTTCTTGCCATCAAGGATGCCTGACTGTGCAGCTACATACGACCCTGTGCAGACGGTAAGTAGATAACGGACGCGTGGGTAGCTCTCGGCCAGGAATTGGACCGTGGGCTTGATGGTTTCGTGTCTCGAGCCAACTCCCCCCGGGACGATGATGACGTCGATGTCCTCTGGCGGAGCGTCGTATGTATGCGTCGGGACCACAGATTGGTAGGAGGTTGAGCCGGTGGAGTAGGTGTTTGGGATCGGTGACTTTGTACTGACAGGGTCCATGGTTGGGCCGATGAGGGATAGCTTTATCTCTTTCTCCAGAGCTACGATGTTGAGGATGTCGAGTGGTCCGAAAGCATCCAAGGCTTGGAAGCCCGGGTAAAGAAGCATGGCATAATGCACGGGAGCTGAGTTTTAAGAAAAGGGGTAAAATATATGTATATTTATCAGAGTTCGGTGTGGGCTTTTCAAGGGCTAGTTAGAAGCGGCTCCCTTACCTGATTCATTCGCTGCCATACTGATGGCTGCAGGGGGAAATAGATATATTAATGTTGAGATGCCGGGAACTGGAAATGAAACCATGAAGTTCAAAATTAGACATTCTATTCTATGCGTGGGATATCAAATGGCAACGATATATAGAAATAGGAACACGGACAGCAATGAACTCAATACTCACTTGAGGAAGGAGGTATAGCGGTTCAATACTGTTCTTAACATTCACGAGGCCAATGCCTACAGATTCAATTCTTGTTTAATTGTGTTGCGAGTTTCCGAAGCTCCTCTGTATGTGGGGGAGCAGTTGTCCGCGTGTTCATCCAAAAGTCACTTCCAGGACGAGCTGCTGTCTATTTAAACACCACCAACACGCTCACGGAAAGAGGTGCCCAGCAAGGAATGCCCTTGAAATTGTTCACGCTACATGTCGCCCTGCCATGGCGCGGACTTAAAAAAAAACAAGGTCGGTAAGCATTTTAGCTCTCCCCGTTGTCGTTCTCCGCCCTGTGACACCCGCACTAGCAAGTCAAGCTGGCCTCGCCCCGCCCACACCTTAAGCCTCCCTTCAAAGGGCATGGACTCTGCACAGTTTGAATCGAATCCCGGTTTCGACTGCACGAGAATCTGCACTGGTCCCCGTTTGGTAGATATGCAATGCTCGTTGTCTTCTAGGAGGACAATGAGAAGATTCGAATCAACACCTGATCCGTTAAAAGTGCCAAGTTGGGCGGTATTGCAGGCTAGAATTTCATTCCATATGCTGAAGCGATCACCACTGGCGATGATTTTGCCTGCGAATATTATTGCTGTTCTCTCTCCAGCCTTTGTGACTATCTAGAGGAGCTGGGGGCTGGTTAGTTAGCGCACATTTAAATGCTCTCTTCCCTACGGAGTAGAGGGTCTTCGTTTCCATGCCAGGGGATGCGCCAACAGGATAAACGACGGGCCTATTTTTTTCGGAGACATGAGCTTGAGGGAGAGACGGGAGAGTAGGACTGACTTTGAATACTGGTTAGGAAATACTCGTTTGGAAATTGATCCTCCCAAATGCGCATTGAAGCTGTGAGCACATTGACCGTCAATAAGTGATGGGAAATGGAACGACTTCAACAGAAACTGAGAGAAAGGCGCATAGTCCTTGGAAATGTTATGTATGACGGCTCCAAATACACTTCAATCAGAAAGATACCTTTATTCCGCAATTCGAGTTTAACCCCATAGTTGCAGGTATCTCCTGACTTCAATGCAAGTTTAACGGGAATGAAAGCGAGGAAGAGAGAAAATTGAGAGCTGTACCTGAGTTTTGGGAGAGGATTAATTGATGCTTTTGCGTGCCGTAAGGTATTTTTGTGCAAGAAAATAGAAAGTTTATATTATAGATTCACTGTCCTTTAATACATAAAATGTGGACGGATTAAGTTCATCAAAGTTATGCCGTACTCTATATATGAAATATCTGTGTGCTATATATAAATAACAATCTCATCGGCAGGAAGCGAGAGAAGTATCCAATCATAAACCCCTTGATTGGGCAGCAGGGGAAGGGTTTCCACTGCCCTGCGAGGATGTGGGCCATTCTCTCAAGTACCTCAGTCACCCGCTTCTGAGGATTTGTAGTGATTTGCCTTCACAGGGTAGAATCGCATTTCCAGGCTGGCTGCCCCTTCCGTCAAAAAGCTCAATTTTGTAAATAATATCTTCTGATAGTTCCTTTCTCGCCAAGCGATGTTTTGGGCCAGGGTAAAAATATTTACAAAAATACCGTATTATGAACAGAATCATTAGCCACCGATGGAAGGCTTGAACGAGTTGTTGTTGAGTGGGCCAATCCTCCCTTTACATCGAAGAACCTGGGATTTAGAAGGTGGTGGGCATGCTGTAATATAGTGAATATATTGGCATTTCAAAAACGGTGAGTCCGGTGCCCTCCTTGTGTTGAGCTAAGTATCGAGAGGTGGATTTTTTTTTGGAGCATTCATGGGTCGAAAAATTTATGGAATATGTGTGTCCGCTTCTGGAAGTTCGTTCAAGTGCTGATTTTGCCCCATTTCCCATAATCATGAGCGCCGAATTTGAACACTGGCAGAGATCGAATGCATCATTTTTGGGGGCTTCCAAAGATGTTTATACCGGATTCTTTGCGTCTGACCAGAGAATAGGAGAGGATAAAAAGAGAAAACAACCTATCCAACAGATATGCAGTGATAGATAGCACAGCTAAATCGGACTTGTTCAAGTAAATTCAACAGGGGGTAAGCCTCTTTCTTGGACAGCATCGCTAATATTATCACGAAGGCTCTGCAGTGCGTTATCCCAACCCTCTCTCGCTTGTCTACCCTTGATGGTGCTAAACGAACCCACCTCCGGTAAGATTCCAGCCTCATTTGGCGGGTTCTCTTCCGGGGTCGAAGACTCAATCAACCATGACAGCCACCCAACCACTGCAACTGCCTTCGCAATATCCTTCTCCTCGAGGACCACACGTTTCAAATACTTCGCCAGTGTAGTTACATCCTCATCATATGGGGGCTCAGTCTCAAAAGCTCCGTACCATTCGTCCAAGGCTTTGCGCAGCTCTGGGAGAGATGAGAGTTTCTTAGATGTAAAGGTAGGCTTTTCCGGGCGAGGAGGGAGGCTAATCGTTTTTTGCTCTGATACTCGCGCAGCTGGCTTGGGGAAAAGGGATCTTCGGGTCGGGGGAGGTAGGTTGAGGCCGGCTCTTTTTTGGAGACGCGATCGTTTGTGCTCTTCGAGTACTTCCCGACGAATATCGTCTGGCAACGCAGCAAGGAAATCTGAAGAAATACCGTCGGTTTCGATATGAGGCGAGCCAGGGGAGCGCACGTGTTCCTGGACCGTGGTCGGCTCGTTTGAAGGCCGTGTAAAAATGAAACTAGATTGCATGAGGGTACTATTCCCAACGGGTTTGTTACTAGGCCGTCCGCGTCCGCGCCCAGCACGTGGTTTTGTTGGAGTGGTAGCTCTCTTGATAGCTTTTGAGATGGCAGGTTTATTATGCCGTGGGGTGCCAAGTTGAGGTGATTCCGGGTGAGGACTTGATGGTCGCTTATAGTAACCTAGGATTTCCATTCGAACATCTTCAGGCAACTCAGCGAGCATTTCTTGATCTAGCTGTGATTGAGGCGGTAGATGTGCAACTGGAGATGGCATCCCTCTATGTGGAGATCTATCATGACTCCGGGGCTCCTGAATGGGATTCTGAGGAACAAATTTCGATCGAATATCTATTGGTAGCTCTACAAGCATTTTTGGGTCGGCTTGGGTTGGCATCACAAATTGTGTCCCTGTCAGATTCAATGGCTTTTGGGAGGTATCGGCTAAAGCTGGAGCAGATTTGAAGGAATTCGGCAAATAATCGCTAATCGTGTCCTCTTTCCGCGGGGTGCTGATTTCATCAGGATCTATCGGCGTTTCTCGTTGCGGAGGAGGACTTGCTGGTTTGAAACTAATCTGCTTTTGGGTGCGTTCCGATTCATTCGCATTATTCTGCTTAACGGGTTCTAATTTCGTCATTTGAACCCCAAGGCCGCGCAAGTCACCTGGAGAGAATTTGAATCCTCTTAGGATTGAAATTGCCTCCCGCCCGATGATATCGCTGGCATTAGTAGCTACCCCTAAATTGACACTTTTATTAAACGTGTCACATTTGCCGTGTCCGAGATGTTTAACAGGTTCCAAAGGAGCATCTGCCGATCGTTTCATAATCCGCATGGTCAACTGTTTTCCTTTTACGAGGTTCTCAACAAGTCTTCGATGGAGTTCGTCGCATAAACTTTGGACAAATTCTTCAGCTTGCGCTTGGTTGACAAACCGAATACCCCAGCTGATTTCAGCAGATACCGATTTTCGAGGGGGATGGAATCCCACTTCTGTATTGTCGATTCCTCGAGAAAAATCCCATAGCTTGGTCCCAGTCTTTGGCCCTAGACTAGATATCAATTTTTCCTTGCTAAGCTCACGGATATCCTTCACGAAAGTGACGCCAAGTTCTTCGAGTTTCGCACCCAAACTGTGAGCCACACCAGGGAGATCCTTCACGGTAAGGGTTCCTATGAAATCTAAAACTGCGTCCGGCTTGAGTTGAAATTGTCCAGCCGGTTTCGCTTTCCGCAATGCAACCCTGGCCTGCAACACGTTCCCACCAATGCCCACGGAGATATTGCAGCCAGTTTGCTCCTTAACAGAATCACGCAGTTTTTGTGCAATCTCATCGGCCTTCTCCTGCTCCCGCCATATCGAGTCTTCCGAGATATCCCGGCCCCTGGAACCAACAGCGTCTTGACAGAGATTTGTGATATCTACAAGAGCTTCATCAATGCTAACGCTTTGAACAACTGCATCGATCGAAAGTATGACATCATAAAATTTTCGACTAGCCTCCTCGTATGCAGCGAAATCATAAGGAAGCACTTTCAAGTTCGGGCACATTTGTAGTGCCCCTTTCATCCACATTCCGTTTTTGATACCAAATGAACGTGCCGGGTAGTTACAACTCGCAATCTCGGACCCAGGGCCAGTGCCGTGCGCGATAGCAACTGGCTGATCAACTAGTTCGGGATGCTTTTGTAAAGACACAGCAGCAAAAAAGCTGTCGAAATCTACGTGCAGAATGTATTTCCGAGCCCCAGAAACATGAGTTTTCTTCCCTTTGCGCGATGAGACTTTCTCTTGAGCGGCAGCCTGAAGTTTGGCCTTGAGTTCAGCCTTCCACGTAGAAAGGTGATGAAGACGGGATTCACGATAGAACTGTTGTATGAACTCTGGGTTAACGACGCTTGAATTTCGCATATGAGGAGCTGAAAGAAGCTGTGCATTGTACATCTCCGGAGTCATTGAGGAATGGGCGTCGTTTCCTTGCTGTTTGTTAGGAATGGCCTCGGGATGCATAACATGTTCAACCATCCGTGCCTCATCGGGTGACTCTAGAATTGCTGCTTTTGTAGGAGAACCAGAATCAGTGATTTTCTGGTCGGATTCAGGCGCAGGAAATGTAGCTATTGCAGCATCCAGGACTGTCTGGTGTTCGTTTTGTGAGGAAGACCAAGTTTCACCTATAACCCCGTCGTATGCCGAGGCAGCGTCCCTAGGGATTTCCATAGGGTCGTCGGCATCTGTAGGTTTGGATTTCATTTGAGATATATACAAACTCGTATTTGTTTGATCGCGGTAGCTTCGATTTTGAGTGTTCGCCTGACTTTGTATTTGGCCATCACCTCCGAACATCAACACTTTCTGGGACTGCCCTTCATCTACTACCCTGAAACCATCCCATGGCAAAAGACGTCCAGATTTTACGCTTTCAACGACCCATGAAGGCTTCACAATGCGATATTTGCGGAATTCTTCTCGTTTCTTCGGAGTTAGAGCGCTTGCAATTATATGAGTGGCGGACGTTTTCCCATCCAGATATTGAAGAAACCCTCCTCCATGGCTCACGATCAAGTGATGGAGATCACTCAGAGAAGGTTGTGTGTAACCATTAACGTGTGCTACCACTCCACGGAATATAGGTGGGTTTTGCGGCGATGAGGCACGGATTTCTGTGTCAAGGTTCTGGAGTTTGAGCTTCTTGCGTCTGATATAATCGCCAAAACCCCCGAAGCTTGACGCCTCATATTCTTCTCCATTTTCATTGTCAAATACATCTATAGCAACCGATTAGCGAAAGAAAAAGAAAATGGGTGTAAATAGAACAGGTAGGTATGACTCACGGTTCTCGATTCTCTTGCGCACCGCATTAGAGCCTGATTCTAGTCTTGAGCCCATATTGGGGCATATAAGAGAACAACGGCATATCCAGCAACACCATCGCTAGCATAATGCGCAGAGTCAAGGGATGGGACAAGCCCGCGGTTGGAAATCATGAGTTGGGAGCTCGCGTTGCCGCACGTAAGAGGCGAAGCGTGATCACATGATTAACAATCAATCGGCGACAGCCTCTAGATAAGCGCGCGCATAAATTTGATAAGCGCGTGTCGCCAACGGATCAATCCTCCAAGATTGTGACCTAACCTAAAACAAGACTAGTGTAAGGAAATCCCCGCTTTTCAAATTTTCTGGTTTGTCATTGGCTAGAAATTTTGTGCGGAAACTTCCATAACTTTGCTCCTGTTGATATTTTTTTTTTCTTCAATCTTCCGTTCCTCTCTCTCGCATAGCAACCACCTTCGTTCGAGCTTTTGTCTCGGTTTTCCCTCCGAGGTGTTGCCATAGACATTCCCTCCGGTTTCCGACGGCATTGATTTCCCTTTACCCCTTCACTAAGTTCAACATGTCTTCAACTCACCCAGTTGCTCTTTATGCCGTGAAGGTGCCGCCAGGCGGTATCATGATACCTGCCGGAGCAGATGCCTCTGCTATGGTATGTCTTGTTTGATCATTAACGTTTATACATATCACCTAAAGCTATTTATGTCTTACTCATCGAATAATATTTACATTATCTTATTATTAGTTCCGCGTCACAATGGCTGCTATCGACCCCGATGCTCCACCTGAGTTTGATGCCGAGACGGAGGGCAAGCCACCACGTGCGACATTGAAGATCGTCCGCCCTCCTCCAGGAATGGATCTTGAGGATGATTCGGACGATGATGATTATGAGGATGGTGACGAGGATGAAGACATGGAAGATTCGGAGGACGAGTCTAATGGAGGACCTAGTGACCCTGCCAAGTTGAAGCAAGCTAGACAAGCGGCTGCATTGAAAGATTCTGACGATGACGGCTCAAATGGAGAGGATGTCGACCTCAAAGCCGCTATTTCGAAGTTAATAAAGGGTAAAGATAGGGCTACTGGTGATGATGACAGTGACAGTGACGTTTCTGAGGGACTTGAAATGGAAGAGGTCGTTGTTTGCACCCTTGATCCTACAAAGGTTTGTTCGGAATCCTCTAAAATGGAAATTTTCTTTCCTATCGATGAATTGACCATACAACTATTTCATAGACTTGCCAACAACCCCTTGACTTCGTCGTTGGAGAGCACGAACGCATCTTTTTCAAGGTCACTGGTACCCACTCTGTTTACATTACTGGTAACTATGTCATGCCCTCTCATGATCACGAAGATATGGACGATAGTAGTGATGAAGAGGACGAATATGGCGACTACGATCTTAGTCCTGATGAAGACGAATTGGATCTGATGGATGAGGACGAGGAGAGCGATGAGCTGGATGATATGGATGATCCCCGTATCACGGAGATTGACTCTGACGAAGAGGAAGCTGAAAAGGCTGCCGCCAAGAAGAAGGGAAAGAAACGCCCCGCCGAAGATTCCGGGGATGAAGGTGCTAACTTGGACGACCTCATGTCAAAAGCTCTCAAATCGGGATCCCAGCCAACTACTAACGGCGTGACAAAGCTTAGCAAGAAGCAGCAGAAGAAGTTGAAGAAAAACAATGGCGAGGCCGTGGAGATCCCGGCAAAGACATCAGAGCCAGCCAAGTCCGACAAAAAGGTTCAATTTGCCAAAAAGCTTGAGCAAGGCCCTACTCCTTCACCTCCAAAGAAGGATGGTGAGAAGAAGGATGGAGATAAGAAGACACCTGCTACCGGCACCCTCGGCGTCAAGGAGGTCCAAGGAGTCATACTTGATGATAGGAAGCTTGGATCTGGCCGTGTTGCCAAGAAAGGAGATCGGGTATCCATGCGATATATCGGAAAACTTGAAAATGGCAAGGTTTTTGATGGTGTGTCCCCCGTATTTCCTTCCAACCTCTGTCCTGCAACGGTATTAAATAACAGTTTTTGAAATATATTACTAACGGTCGACTCATATAGCAAACAAAAAGGGGCCACCATTCTCCTTTAAGCTTGGCAACGGAGAAGTGATCAAAGGCTGGGACATCGGCATCCCCGGCATGTCAGTTGGAGGGGAACGAAGAGTGACAATTCCATCACATCTTGCTTACGGCAAACAATCGCTCCCAGGAATCCCCGCTAACTCAAAACTGATTTTCGATGTCAAACTTCTAGACATTAAATAGAGGGAGAGAAAGAGGTGGTGGTCCTCCCTTTTCTTGAAATTTTTTAGGTTCATTTGTCTTCTCCAAAAGCTTCCTGTTCATCATTCGGCCAACTTATTGTTTTCGACCTGGCCATATTTGTTATATCTGTCCATTTTCTCTCTCGACCTCCTTTACCCCTGGATTTTTCTTTTCTTTTTTCTTCGGTTGCCTTTTTATTCTTCCCTTTGAGTTATTTAATGTTCTGGTAGTCCATTTCCCTCTGGCCTCTTGGGTCAAAGCACCTTAGATAACTTGTACATTGCGCTGGGCATTTATCAGAGACGATGATATCATAACGGAGTTGGCAAAGGAGCTGGTTATACTACTTCCGAATTACTTAATTTCTCTCTATCCTTTGAATTTCGCAACTGGAATCTTAAATTAGTTCATTTGTGCCTTCATAGCGCGCCGGAGGGAGGGAGTACTTCGTACATGGTTATGTTTATTGCGCTGCCTTATAGATCTCTAGTTTAATAATGGCACTTGAGGTCTAAGTAAATTCTCTTGCATTTGTACCATGTAATATGTTGACAGGACTGCTCTAGATGTGCATCTCTCGTCTCTCTCGTTCAGGGGCTCTTCGCACGTGATGACTCCATCCTACCTAGCTACTCTTGACTCACGGCCCCAAACTCTCACTAAACATTACTGTTTCCTTTCGTACTTGGGTCCTACAATAGACATCTCGGTATATTTCTTAGTATTGCTCGAGAGCATGATGTTTGTTATTAAGTTTGTAAACCCTCCTCCGGTTAAAATGGCGTCCTCGACCAAATGCGAAATCCTGAAATTGCCGCCATGTCTTCTGAACGGTTAGAGGCATCATGGATTTTTCTTCTGCCCAATCTAATCCGATCGATTCGGCTAATGTCTAGAGCGGACTAAGTAAAACGGATGGCCACCGATACTAGTATTCTTCGTGTTGTCACTCTTGCTTTCAACATCAACGGAGAAGTCCAATGGATAGTGACAAAGATGTCCAGCATTCAACATTGAACGCTGGGGGACGACACGCGAAGAGGACAGGGGATAGCATCATGATATGGCGCTGAGAGAGCTACGGTGAATGTCAGGAACGATGAGAAACTGCCTCCTGATAGATGAATCATGAGGTTGATACTCGGTCGAGCCTGCGACGACCAGCAATAGTTGGCTGCTACCAGCCTTTTTTTCTAAGGAAGGTCTAAGAGTACGACTGTCTCCATCAAAAATGCAACAAACGAAATTGGTTTCTACAGCTGGGCCGCCTTATTTATGACAATTTATGGATGCCCTTATAAGAGTCAATCGAGTTGTCTGCTTGCACGCTTAAATGGCCACGATGAGATAGCAGTGATCCTCCTTCCGGCCATTTCCTGTACATGTCTCGGCCCTGCTTTCCCTAGATGCCCTGGATACCTCGGAACACGCCTCTGGAAACTGCCGGAGGTATCTAGGTATCATCGGCTGCAACTGCTTGCTACGACCCCGGTCTCTCTTCCCCTTTTAACGGCCAAAATGTATATATCCCACGAGCGCGTCCTTTTTCTGATTTGATACACCGAACTGCAGTTGGCTTCGCTTGTCTGCATTTCGCCAATACTTCACACGATTGACATTCTTATTGCTTTTTGACAGAACTATAGTTGTTATTGCGCATACTTGTCTTTTTATTATTCCATACGAATGTGGAGGTATTGGCCTCCTCCAGCTTCGCCTCACTGACACTCGTTCACGCATGAAGGACTGCGGGACTTCACTTAGATTATGACGCCAGGACAAAAGAGGAAGATACGAACGTCCAGAAGTTTTTTGGGTCTTCTAACTGCTAATAAAGTCATTGTACTCGACGGAGATACTCAAACCGTGCGCAGTGATTCTCCCACCGAAACCTCAGACAGTGTCCAGGCGCATCCCGTCGGCAAGGCGAAAGTGAAGGCATTTTTCAAAAGAAAAAGCTCTAGCCTGCTATCTATGCTAAAGACTCGAGGAAGTGGTGGTACGGATCCTCTATCTTCATCATTTTGTGCTGGTGCTGACAGTGAGTTAGATCGCAAGGGCTTTCGATCCCTCACGCGAAGAGGCTTTTGGCAGGAGAGTCTGGGGAACCCAGGACGAGATCCCATTCCCTTTACTCAATCCACTACAGCCGATGAACTCGGGCAATTGCAAGTTACTTCCAGTGAATTGGGGACCCGTAGTCCAGCTGCAACATCATTAGGCGAAGGATCTGCTAGGGTATTATCGCAGTTAGCAGCTATATCACCATATGTTGATCGAGAGAAACCACGACCCTGTCAAGAAAATAACTTGGATACCAACCTGACTCTTGACCGCACGGGAACCAATGACAAATATCCAGAACTCGGAGTTCGCCAGAGTCATTCGACATCTGGCCTGTCACATCTGATATCCCGCAAATTCTCAATGACTTTCGGCCAGCCGACAGTAGTTCATCGTGCCAACCTACGGTCCAGGCCCGGAATTCCTACTATCCCTGGAGCTCCTGTTCTATCCCCTTCCAATGCCACCCGATATTCAGACCCTCCTCATGAAAGGGAAAATGACTCTCATCCTTCCACCGCCACTCAAAGTGGGAGTGGCTCGTCTCCGCTCAGCCAGTCAACAAATCCCACATCTGACGGCTCACCTACTTCACTGCAGTTTATGAAACCGGTAAATATAGACACTAATAACCAAGCGCAAGTTCAAAGTGTTCTGGTCTCGGCTAGCCATAGAAAGGAATTGCCGCGTGCTCACGAGATACCACCTGTTGTTCCTTCAATCTTAACAGTGGAGGCTACTGCAACAGCAAAAATATTTTTTGAAACGCATTTCAATACCATTTTTTCGGGCGAAACACCACGGACTAAACGACAACGTGAATTTGAGGAAAGATTATACTCATTGCCCCTCACTTCAGAAGAGCGAGCAAAAGCCAGACAAGGATGGAACAGGCAAGAATCTGAGTACTTGCGCCAGGAGCGTGTCCTCAAATCTCGCTCCAATTTTCCCAGAAACGGCGAGAGCGTCTCTATTGCTGGCTACGAGGTCATTAAAATCCTCGGGAAAGGCAGTTTCGGAGTCGTGCGACTTGTTAAAGAAAGAAATACAGAGGCAACTCAAACCACGGCAACAGAGTCCAGAAAATCATCTTCCAGGAGTGATTTGAGTTATATAAAAGCTAGCACGATCGACGTCTTGAGATCTGCAGTGGATGGAAGAGGATCCCGTCGAAGAGATATAAGCAAAATGAAAAAAGAAGTGTACGCAATGAAAGTCATTCGGAAATCTGAAATGTTAAGGAACTGCCAAGAGGGGCATCTACGCGCTGAGAGAGATTTCCTTGTTGCCTCCGAAAAATCTAGGTGGATTGTGCCACTCATTTCGAGCTTCCAGGATGTCAATAATCTGTACCTTGTCATGGATTACATGGTTGGGGGGGACTTCCTGGGACTGCTTATTCGAAAAAATATCCTCTCTGAAGATGTCACCAGATGGTATGTGGCAGAGATGGTTCTTTGTATTGAAGAAGCTCATAGACTCCGGTGGATACATAGGGATGTGAAACCAGATAATTTTCTGATATCCGCATCTGGGCATCTGAAGATTTCCGACTTTGGCCTTGCTTTCGACGGTCATTGGTCCCACGACCAGTCATATTTCAATAATCACAGGCATTCTTTGCTTAAAAAACTGGGTATTCATGTCGAAGGGGATTCCCAGGATCGGGAAGAATTTGCGAAGGCTGTGGAACGCCAGCGTGAGAAGGATCGAAAAAGGTCGTCTGTGAACTCTGGATCAAGTGAAGATTGCCCAGCCGAAATTTGGGGACCTGGCCTGAACGATGACATCTTGCGATGGAGAAACAGAAAGGAAAAGAGGAAGCTTGCTAGAAGCGTAGTGGGTACGAGTCAATACATGGCACCCGAAGTTATACGCGGCGATCTATATGACGGCAGGTGTGACTGGTGGAGTGTTGGCGTGATTCTCTATGAGGTAGTTAGGCTGCTTCCTCTTTACTTCTGGAAGTTTGTACTAACCGCTAATAGTGTTTATATGGGTTTACACCGTTTTCTGCAGAGACTCGCCATGACACAAAAGTTAAGATATTAGTAAGTTGAGCGAATTTTTCCATTTTTCAAAAAAAAAAAAAAAGAAAGAAAGAAAGAAAAAACTTCTAATTTGTCTTAGAAACACGCCGAATCCCTGTACTTTCCGCATGAAAAACCTTCGGACAGGCTTATTTCGGCTGAAGCAATCGACCTCATTGGACAAATGCTTCAGGAAAAGGAATACCGGCTTTGCTCAAGAAAATATATGCTGAATGACTATGTTCATTCAAAAAGACTTCCTGGTGGGCTCCTCAATTGGCCATCAGATAAGCAGAGCATGAATTATCAGGGGTACTATGTTTATCCGGATGACGCTGGTGATATTAAAGAGCACCCTTTTTTCAAAGGCATTAGATGGGAAGAGCTCCATTACCGTAAACCACCGTTTGTTCCAAAAGTAAAAAACTGGGAAGACACAAAATATTTCGAAGACGAAGATCCGATTAGCGATGTGGATGATGGATCGAGTTATGGGGATAATCACCCTGAAACCGAAGCTCCTGACCTGGTAGCCAATAACCCGGATTCAAGTCGCACGGTTCATGTGATGGATATCGGAGCCCAAACGGATGGCCCTCAAACTGCAAGCATGAAAGAAATATTGAAACAGAACGCAAGAGCTGGGTTAGAGGCTAATATGCAAGAAAAATGCCACAAGAAAAAGAAAGAGAAGAAGAGACCCAGAGACAAGATTTTGCGTGACGAAACGATTGGGCGGCAGGCGCTCAACTTGAGAAAGAGGGGAGCCTTTCTGGGGTATACATACCGAAGACCTAAAGATTTTCTACTTGGATTTGAGACCGATCGTGGGAGATCATTAATCGGCTATGGTGAGCGTTGAACTAAGATAGGACGGGCCATCAGTCTTTTTGCGAGATATCAGCAGTGAGACGTTCTTTTTACCCCATATTGTTGGGAATATTTCATCCTTTCATTGCCATAAGTCTGATTTTTTGCATTTTGCACAGTACAGTACAAACCACACCCCCGAGTTTGTTAGCCTACTTGATGCGAGCCCCTTATGTTGGCCGTCACTCGTTTGGCCAATACATTTAGCCCAATCATTATCTCCTCCACTCATTATCATGCATAGAAACCAGAGAGTGATTTTATTTTTAGTTCAAATTTGGATAATTCAGAAGACACTCGCCGCTTGGCTACTGGCGTATTCGTAAAAGCTGTTAGATAGGTTTCAGACTGAATTAAGTTGTAACTCATCTCAAGGATCTAAATGATGTCTTTGTTGTCTTTGACCGTACCGTCCATGAAGATGTCATCCGCACTCTAGTGGCGGTGGATCGTATAAAATATGTATGGACAGCCGGCAAGTGGAAAGCTAGAAATGAAGAAAGCACCTTTCCCGCCTATGAACCCCTAGAAGACTCGCGCCCAATTTATGAACCCACATGGGGGAATCAAAAATCACATAGAGAAGAGAAAACAGAAGTCGAAAATAACTAACGCCGCTGGGTATGTAGAGTGAGACGAGACAACTGCGAAAATGCAAAGACAACTATTTCTGGAACAAAGTTAGAGGAAAAGTTAAGAGGGAGAGCGCCAATGACACAAGTATTTTGCATCACGCTGCTGGGAAATGTTTAAGGCGGCAGAGATGAGGAAATTTGAAAAAAGAAAAGAGAAGCATTTGGTCATTCTCCAGGCTGGAAATAGAGCAGAGGGATAGCAAAGCTGGAAAGAAGTTAATGGCACACTGAGTATTGAGCGAACACGAGAGGGTACAGTTGTCGAGTGCTGGAGGATGCTTAGGTTGAAAAGTTGAATCTAGCCTTTTGAAGAGCGGAGTCCGACTTCTCGACTTTGTTAGGGTGCATAAATGTCGACAAACCCAGGGAGCAAGAGTGAAGTATCTCACAATCGTTTCTAGATCGCGGGAGGTGCGCCCATAGCAAATGCGGAACCGGCAAGGCCATCTTCAGCTTTCATCGTACCGTTTAAAAGGGGACATAGCCTAGAGAGCGTCGATCGCCGTGATAAAGGGCCAGGAGTTAGTTTTTTTCCAACAAATATATATATATATATATATATAATGTAAAAGCTTGACGAAATGGAAAGAGAAGGCGAATTAAAAGAGTTGTAGTGTTGGTGTACAGAGGGGCATGGACTTGTTGCAGTCCAGGATCATGAAAAAAGTTCTCATTTCCGTGGGCCAAAGGGAAATTTAGGCATAGTGTTAATAAATCAAGTATTGCGCGCACTTTTTGTTGGTTTTGATATGTCCGACCTGGCCGCAATTTGCGCATTTCCTTTGGGTGCCTCCTCCTTTGGGGACGGCGGTAGTGGGGGAATTCGCACCCCCGGGTGACGCGACATCCGAGGTAATGCCTTTTTGTCTTTCGCGGGCATGACGGCGTTCCTTGTTACGTTGAAGGCGTTGGAGCTCGAGGTGCAACCTGCAACATATTAGCTCGTTGTGGAATAACTATAGGGGTCAAACATGCAGAGTTTAATGCAAAAGTTCCAGAGTCTTTTTCCAGGGTTAAACCAGAGCATCAAGTAGGATAATGCAATTGCAACTAAGTTTAGCTTGGACAAGGGAGACTCCAGATCTGTTTTTCTTTTTCTCTCTGCATGGAACTCTGGACAGAACGCACTGTTTCATCCGTCGGGCATCCGTTTCAGGATCCCCCGTCGGTTTAATATCCCCCAGTCTACAAACGTTAGCTTTATCACTACAGCAACCGGGTAACGAGAATGCTCACATTAAGTTTCGCGCTTCGGCTTCATGTCGCTGCTTGACGTATTGCTTGATCACGCGCGGATCCTTCACGATTTCCTGCACTTCATCATAACCACCTTTAGAGTTAGGTACTTTACGGGTAATTTTCATAACCTTGCCAGTATGGCTGGCCGTGCTCATGCGGCTGAATTGGCTGGTCGTCTCGTCGTCTCGTCGGCCTAACCCTGGCGTAGGTCGTTCTGACCTGGCCCTTGGCTTGGTAAATACCTCATCTGGCTCATCGCGGTCAATGTCACTCTCCTCATCTGAATGTTCGATCGTCGAGGATAAGCTTGTTTTTTGTGCTTCCCAGATACGTCGGATCGACTCTTCATAGGACTTTTGTTGTCGAGCAACATTATAGCTATGACCGCCAAGCTCCTTAAGCCTTTGAGCATCGAGCTTATCTTCAACACTTTCTCCTATAGCCCTGAACCCTCCCTTCATGGAAGTCTTGATAAAGCTGAACCCTTCGCCTCGACCGGTAGGATCTCCTTCTCCGTGTAGCTGTAACATAGCCTTACCCTGGGTTGCAAGCAAGAAATTACGTGTCGTTTTCCAAGGAGCAAGCTGTTGTTCGGAACTCTCGCCTTCCTTCTCGTCATCATCCGCATCATCTTCATCACGATCATAGCCAGCATCGTGAAGATGTTGCTGACCAACTTGCATAGCTTCGAGAAGGCAAATATCTTCTGGCTTAACATAGCCACGCAAAACATCCTCATCTGGGATAGGATCTCCAGGCTTCATTTCCCATTCTTTATGATCCTTTGAAAATTGAAGGAATTCTTTCATCTTTTGTCGATTCTGCATGTCACTGGATTCAGGAAAATGTTCTGTGATGTCAGCGACACTGACTCTGTGTTTCTTGTTTCTTTTCAGTAGCCGGTAACAGATCATTTTCAAACGATTCTTCGAGGCCGTGGTTACTTTCCGCGAATGTGGCCCCGGAACATCGACCGAAGGGAACTGCTGTCCAACGACATATAGGTTCTCAATGTTCCTTATATAGTAACTCGAACCATCAATCCCAGTGCTGTTGCGGATTACAAGGAAATCTGTTGGTTTTGGTTCTTGCTGGAATACGGGGGCTCGAAACATTGCAGTCGTAATCGCGGCACTTGTTTCTCCCGGATCAATATGCCCGAATATGGAGAACGGACTTTTATCTTGGGGCAATAGCACAGCCGTTTCACCAATCTCCGCTTTGGGACGAGCAGGATCCTCCATATTCTTTCGTCGATAATAGTTGATCAAACGGCTGCCCATTCCGAAATTCGACATCATAGTTGGATGCTCTTCAGAATACTCCAGTAAAAGAACATTCGAATTATCGGAGAGAGATAGGGATTTTGTTGAGGTGTACAAGGTTTTGACGTCCTTGCCCTTCTGATGCTTCCGTTTAATATGGAGAGGCTTTTTGAATGATATAGGTAAATTGGGGTAAAAGCTCAAACTCGGGCGATGGAAAGATCGTGCCTCTTGTCTCGCGAGTTTCGTTTTGTAGTACGGCCATTGGAGGCGCACAGCTGGCAAACTGTGCTCAAGCGCCACACTCCCGAGAGTGCTTCTGACTTTGTTTTGATGGTTTTCTTTGAGCATATCGTAAGCATCGTCATTGGAGATATTATATCGTTTGATTAAACGCTTCGTAAAGCTCCCCGCAATTTCATCTCGGTTCACAGTCCCCAACCGCTTGGGGGCTTGTAAAGCTGCTTCCGAAGGACGCTCATCAAGCAATAGATACGGGTCATTCAGGTCAATCTGTATCTTCTTCGCAAGCCTCGCAGTTTCACTTACTGGATCGTCAAACAAGGGCATATCGATCGGCATGCTTGATATGTAGTCCGCTGGTGATTTGTCCAGCCTACGCTTCTTAGTTGGGCGGTTCGTCTCAAACAGCCAGTCATCATCTTCCGCACCGGGTTGCTCATTGGGTTTGACTTCTACTACGGTTTTCATCTCCTCCTCCTCACTATCAGTAACTGGAGTCTTTATATCCCAATCGGCGCAAATAAATTGTAAGTCCTGCATAGTAATTCCGCCGGGAAGCTCCTCGTCCAGATCACCATCAATATCCATACTACCACTTGAACCACCTGTTGCCTCGGCAGGAGGAGTAATAACGACAATGGAAGTATTCTCCAAATCCAATGCACGCTTCAGGGTTTGGCCGGTAGTACGAAATGCTCGTTCCTGGTCCTGAGCCAGTTCAAGGTTAAGTTTTGTAGGAACAATTCGCTTCGGTGGCTTCAAGGGAGATTTCCCTGCAAAATGTGACTTTTTCGGAGGTAGAAGCTCTAGAAATCGCGGCATAGCATTTCGGTCGAATTTGGGCCAAAGAGATGCCAAAAGTTCCTCGTGGTTCTCGGGTGGCGCAGGCGGATTGTCAGGTCCGTACGATGACATTGCAAAAAGTGCTTGTTGGAGTTGGTATTCTTTAAACGTTGCCGCGTCCATATCTGTAGGAGCCATAACAGAGCCCCTATCCATTCCACGCGCAACCTCCGTTGTGTCATTCTCTTTGGTTGGAGATGCTACATCGAGAACGTCGAGAGAGGAAATAGCTTCAGATCCGATTGGTGGCAATTCGTCATTCTGGTCGGCATGTCCACCTACAGGTGACGATGGGACATCCCCAAATAAATCGTCGAGCTCATCGCCCACCGGGTGCTGGTCTAAGGCCCCTGCAGTCAGAATGCCTTCCATACCTTCCATCGCGCTCCAGTCGTCCTGAATCGACGCCTTTTTTCCATCCCCGTTCTCAAGGTTCGAAAACCCAAGCTCTTCGTCCGGAAGATCATCGTCATCGATATCCTCATAGTCCACCGCATCATCCGCCTTCTCTCCCGGTTCGAGTTCTCGTTGTAGAAAGTCGAATGAGGCTTCGTTTGTCGGCGCATTCATTTGGCGCATCACATTGTTGAAGTCCTCATCTTCAGACTCCACCACTTCGGAACCAGTTGCATGCGGCATTTTTGTTGACGCTGGCTCGTTTGTCTTAGGCTTGTCAGAGGAAATCGCTTTCCGGGGGAATGTGGATTTAGTCGACATGAAGCGCGAGATGATTCACGCGGGTTTGCCTTACTGGCAGGGAAAGACTGGTTAACATCGAGACCAAAATTTGTCACTGGATAGCGCTGTATGCCGCGATGTCCTTAGGTTGGAATAGAAGGGAGTATTGAACAGGAGTTGACCCGGACTTGGGGAGAATACAAAGGTGAGTGAGAGAGAAGGCAAAAGGCGGCGGAAATCTAGGTCACGTGATATAAAATTTTTGGCCAGCGTTTTTGTAACTTTTCACTTCATTTTGAGTATAATCCGAGTTTTCACTTGAATATAATTACAAGTAATCTTCAAAGGACAATGTTGCTAATCATTTCCATTTCTCATTAAAGCCTCCAGTGTAAATACATAGCGCCTTGCTTGCCCCATCCATACAATAGTGCATGACTAACGCCTTCTTCCTGTTGTGAACTATTGTAGCAAGCTGTTTCAGGTCAGATGTTCGGGGTAGGAACAGCACCATATGTTCAGTGAATGCCGAAAACTCGGAATAGAGAGTACCAAGCGAGTATGGCTGCATAGTCGATAAGTCAAACACATCATCAGCGCGATATCCTGGGCCTGAGATAAAATAGTCAATACGACGGGTTAGGGAGGTTCCAGTGGAATGCAATAATCATTTGGCTTACCTCCCCAAGGCGGGCTGGCAAAAACGACGCTGTACGATGCCAATACACTCAATTGATGTTTGATAATTTGCATACAATCACCCTCGAACCATGTAATTTTATCCTCCACGCCATACAATTTGGCATTATGTTTCGCACACTGGAGAACAGTAGGGTCTTTCTCAATGGCATATATTCTCTTCCATCTGTCGGACTGTGCGAAGGCGATCGTGTTACCACCAGCACCAGCGAAAGCGTCAACAAGTACGCTTCTGTCCTTTGGAGCAGCGTTTGCCATGTGCTGTGCTATTTTCCTTAAAGAAGGAAATCGTGATCAATAAATGAATGAACCCGACAGTGAATTACATTGATGCACTCGACTTACTTGGCGATTGGCTCAGGTGTGACGCCAAACCAGGCATCGTCAGTCAACCAGACACCGTCGTCATATTTAGAAAATATCTTGTAGCGTTGAGCCCAGTAGCTAACGCGATGTTGTTAGTAGTGTTATTAGTTATTCTCCTTTCTTTTCGTTTCCGCCATAAATATGCGGTCGCAAAAAACATGCTTACTTCTGGATGTCCCAAGGAACTTCTTCTCTGGTGTAATAATGATGGACCCCTGCAGGTGGTTCATCGTCCACACCCGCCATGCCAGCAAGAAACAGTTAGATGGTCCCTATTGACTCCTGATGGTCCATACTGTATGTACGGCAACTTGAGCTGCACGAGGAGGAAACTAGGAAATGATGGTACAGTCGATTTGCACTGTTTGCATTCCATAGCTTCAAGCCATTGGACGGGACAACTTGAGAAAGCTCCAAACTTGTGATACCAATGCGACAAGACATATTCTGGCTTATGTTTATTATGAACGCGGTCAATTTTGTTAAATTATATTAGTTCAGTGCTTTGTTTCCATCCCTGGAATTTCGAAGCTGAAATACGTGCTATGTTTAGCGCCCTCAATCGTTTCATTGCCCGCCTCGACTCGGAGCATGGGCAGCAACAGCACAGCCATTTTCGCGATAATCCCCATGGTTTCCAAGTTCTGCGGAACAAAGATCCAGAGCTTCTTCTGGAGCCCTGGTTTGACTTCGTAATTGGGATCAACGGACATCTTATTGTACTATGTTCTTCCCATCTTCTAAATCGTGCTTCTTGAACCTGTGGTTGACCCCTTGGTCAGGATGATCCGGATCCAAACCTTTTCGCAACAGAAATTCGCAACTGCGCTGGATCGAGCGTAACTTTCGAGGTTTGGAGTGCAAAGGTGTGTTGCTTTAAATTTGTAATCGGCCATTTATTTATTTGCGAACCCGTGGATCTAACAATGGCAAACACCTGTCAGGGTCAACGAACATATACGACAACGATAGCCGTTCCTTCAGAGAATCCAACTCTTGGTGTGACTTTCCAGTTTTCACCTCTTTCGGCGACACAGCATATATGGCATATTACCGAAATACCGTCCACGCTCAGTCCAGCCTATCAGGCCGGGCTTCTTCCCCATTCAGATTATATCTTGGGAACGCCCAGCGGTACCCTTCGTGGAGAGTCTGCTCTTGGCGAACTTGTTGAGGACCATTTGAATCGGAGTCTTGTGCTATGGGTGTACAATAGTGAATTCGATGTTGTCAGGGAAGTTGAGCTCGTTCCCAGGCGAGGATGGGGTGGGGAAGGTGCCCTGGGAGCTGTATTGGGATACGGGGCCCTTCATCGATTACCCTTTGGTTTAGGTGAGGCGGTAGAAGGACCGGGAGAGGTGGTATTCGAAACGAAGGACAAAGAGGAACCTAGCGAGCCAAACGAGTTGGCCCCCCCTGACGGCCCAGGAGGCCATTTCCTCGTACCTGCGAATATGGCTTCCCCACCACCTTTGGTCCCGACGTCGACTCACGCGAACATACCAAGTGCAGCTCCAGCGAAGCATGGGCGTAAACCACGACACGCTCATCATGGCGGAAATTTAATTTTTGATGACTATTTCCGGGAAGGTGAGCAGAGGAGCAAAGAGGAGGATTTTGTACCCTCGAGGAATGCTTCGCCAATACCGCCTCCACCAAAGGCTGGCAGGGACACACTTTCTCCTCCCCCAACGACTGCCACGGGCGGTAATGATACCGTGGAATGAATTTGTTATTAGTGGCATAGGCTGGCGTACGGAGTTACTATATTGATACCTTTTCAAAAAATTGGCAGGCTAGATTACCTCCTAGGACAGTAAGGGGGTTTTTCCCTCCTTAAATAGTGAATATAATCAATGGTTGGAATTTGCTTTCCGCTTCGATCAGCAAGTACCGGGGGGGGGGGTAATAGAAAGAGTTTAGATTCACGTTTAATTGAGATCTCTACTTATACTCCGTACAAAAGGCTGTAATTACAACAATGGCAAACGGAAATCGCAGTGAAGAACGTTCTCTTAAAGAATATCCGTGAAGCATATGTGCTTTAATTTCCTTTTCGCACCCACTCCTCTAATTTTTCTCTTCCCCGTCCAATTTTGCTCTCCAGCAATCCGCGAGCATGCGCGCTATGTGCTTTAGCTGTATACCATGCCTCCTCCGCCCCAGTACGAACCCGTACATGTCGTTCCGCGAGTCCCGGAACTTTCTGTTCATATTCGAACACTAAATCTGACACATTCTGCATTGTGACGGGAAGAAGCGTCCAGGCCGCTATCGTGCCCACTGCCAGCGGGGTCGTTGTCCTTAAAAATATGCCGCGGTTCCGCGAAACAATTGATCCAGCCATGGCGGATACGAGAACATAAATGCTTCCCGGTAGTAGTCGCTCGCCAGATTCACGTGGAGGAGCCAAGGAAGCTATCGTGTTGGTGAAGCGGCTTTCAACGTGGAAGATGTGGGAAAGGGCATCGTTTAGGCTGTTTTCCATGGCGAGAGAGTGTGTGTAAAGAAAGAGACGCGCCTGGCGGACTTTCTGGGCTAGCATGTCTGCCGTTGAGGTGGAGGATGGTGTACGAAGCGGCTTGGGTGGAAAAAAGGTCTGTTGTGTATCCCTCTCTTGAAGCTGGGACTGCGGATGGGGTTGGAGCTCTTCTGCGAGAACTGTGGAGGATTCATCTTCGTAGATGGGTTTTCGGTGTGACTGTATATAGTATTAGACCAATATCTCATCGTCTTCAATGAAGTACATCCATTGTCTTTTGAGGGGAAGCCGCACCATTTTTCTCTAGTATCACCTGGGATAAAGGGCCGCAAGCAACAAGAGCAATTGCTCCAATGGCAACCTGTCCCTCAATTAGCTTTATCGTAGAGGTAAGTAAGTGGGCATACCTGTTAGAAAGATTGAACGCAACAAATATCCAGCGGAAAATAAAGGTTGCTGTCCAATTGGCCTTCAATAATGCATGCGAAAGGAAGGGTAAATGTTGATGTTGGTGGCCGGGGTTTGGGAAAAAAGTTGCAAATCACCGCCCCGGCCCGAGCGAGCGATCGTTAGTTCTGGTAATGGAAAATTTTGGCCTCAAGCCTCCTCTTCCCAACGCCATCTTCCAACGTACTACATTGACCACGCCAGTCGCCTTTCATTTCCCTTTGGCGAACTGCTAATTGCGCACGCGGAAGATGTTGAAGATCTTCCGGCGGCAGCCGTGGACCTGTCGACAGTGCGTATTACGGGAGCATCGGGCACAGTCCAATCGTCGAATCCACCACGAAGCTGGCGCTGGAATAATAAACAGTGTTCAGGATTATGCCGTCGCTTGCAACGAAGCAACGAAACGTCATGATGATAATGCCCTACGGATGATATTTGATTCGCAGCCTTTCTGGCGGGAATTCTCACGGCGGAAAAGCAGATCTTCGTTAGGGCTGCTGCAGAACCAACACCTCACATCCCCGAAAGGCTTTTTGAAGTTTGCATCCGTTTCGCTGCAGAAATGCCAGGAAATTATGGCCAGGGTACTTGAGGTATCAACTCTTGATGGCTATAAGAGGGTGGCAAAGGATCTTGACCGCCTCAGCGACTTACTTTGTCGGGTGATAGATATCGCGGATTTTATGCGGTCAAACCACCCGAACCCCGCAATCCAAGATGCCGCGACACAGGCACATTCGATCATATTCGAATATATGAACGTTCTAAATACCGAAACTCGTCTTAACGATATACTCAACCGGGCTTTGTGGGACCCTGAAATATCCTCCGATTGGAGCCAAGAGGAGAAAGTCACAGCAATGGTGCTCATCAATGATTTTATGAAATCCGGGATCCATTTACCTCCGGAGAAGAAGAAACGGTTCGTCGAGCTGTGTAATAGCATCAATGATGCGGGCTTCAGGTTTGTAAACGGTATGGAGCCCAAAATTGGCAAGCTATCTTTCCACAGAAATAAATTGCGAGGGATGGATCCTACGCTCCTGGATAAGATGCGTAGGTGGTCAGACATTCATATCCCAATCGATAGCCCGATGCCGGATATAGCCTTAAAATCCGTCCACGACGAGAATACCAGAAAACTAATCTATCTTACCTCTCGGAAATCCTCAGACGCGCAACTTCATCGTTTGACACAGCTGTTAGAACTGAGAGCCGAGTTAGCCCAATTGACAGGTTACCGAAGCTACGCTCATATGGCAATGAGTGATAAAATGGCTAAAAGTCCAGAGGCTGTTAATAAATTTCTCTTGGCCTTGAATTCTAACAACCGGGAACTCACCCAGAACGAGATTGCGAAGCTGGATGTGTTAAAAATGCAGGATTATGCTAAGTTGGGAGAGGAAAAGCCGCCATTTGCCCCCTGGGACCACGCATATTACGTTGAGAAATACGCTACGATGAATGACGTCTCGAGGAAATCGCGGGCAATCAGCCTATTCAGCTCGTTTTTTTCATTGGGGACAGTTATGCAGGGACTCTCTCGTCTCTTTACCAGACTCTACGGGGTCCGTCTTGTTCCAAAGGAAACGCCTCCTGGAGAGACATGGAATCCAGATGTTCGACGCTTAGATGTTGTAGACGAATCCAATAACCATCTTGCAGTCATTTATTGTGATCTATTTACACGACCGGGCAAAAGCCCGATTCCCACACACTTCACTCTACGATGTTCTCGCGCAATATCTGCCGAGGAAATTTCGGAAGCTGCAATGTCAGCTGATACACATCCAAACGACGGCATGGCCACAGCTATAAGGCCAGGAACAAATACTCTCTATCAGCTCCCGATAATCGCGTTGGTATGCGACTTCAGCAACCCCTCGCTTGACGGGCGTGAACCTTCGCTGCTTTCGAAACACAGCGTCCAAACACTTTTCCATGAAATGGGTCACGCCATCCACTCCGTGCTGGCCCGTACTGATTTCCAAACCATCGCCGGCACACGCTGCGCGACAGATTTTGTCGAACTTCCTTCTGTCATCATGGAAAGCTTCGCCACGGCCCCTGAAGTGCTCTCGCTCTACGCCCGCCACTGGGAGACTGACCAGCCCCTCCCTGAAGACATGATCCAAACCATGCGATTAAACCAAGAAAATTATGAAACTATACAAGGCGCCATGGACAATGAAGCCCAGATAATGATGTCCCTACTGGACCAAGCTTATCATGACTCCAGCCCTCTCCAGCCAGGTTTCGATTCCACCCAAATCTTCCATAATCTTTACTCTCAGCATGCCACAATCTTCGATCCCATCAACTCCCAGACAAGCTGGCAAGGTTACTTTGGCCACCTTTTCAATTACGGCGCCAGTTACTATAGCTATCTGTTCGACCGCGCCATCGCCAGCAAAATATGGTCTGAGACCTTCCAGGAAGGAAAATTAGCGACAGACCGAGAGGCGGGAGAAAAATTTAAAAATGAAGTTTTGCGATGGGGTGGAGGAAGGGATGGGTGGCAGTGTGTCGCTGGTGTTTTGGGTGATCAACACCCAGCGAATGCCAATGGGAAGCTGTCCGAAGGTGGTGAAGATGCCATGCTTGAGGTCGGCCTGTGGGGCCTTGGACAGAATCGGTCAGAGATGTGAGCAGATATTTTAAGTCAGTGTTCCTGTTCACTGCGCCACATATATTCCCGTGTGACCTGGAAAGGCAAAGACTTTTCTTTGTTGAGGCCAAACATTCTGAGAGCATCCTGCCAGATTTGGCACAATAGGTACCCACCCATATACCCCAGTCAACGCGACTCCTTCTAGCCTGCCTGTTCAAACTTGAATAAACAACAACAGTGCACATTTAACAAGCAGGCCGTTTTAACTTGACCTCTGGTGGAAAATACACTATATACTGTACAACGTGCACAAAATTCTCAGTTGCCGCAAATTCGTTGACCAGATGCTATAGACGCAAACACATGCACAACCATGGCCCCAAAGGCGGGGGTATAATTACATTATAGTCACTATACCTGTCAACCACTGACAGTGTACCTTTGCTCGTTCCTGTTATTGACGCGTTGAGTAAATTCACATTTACCCATTCAGTCAGTAGCACAGAGGATAAGCTTCTCATCCTTGCTTTCTCGTTGGATCATACATTTGCCTCATATTTATTTCTCACATTTATTTCGCATATTTATTTCTCAGTATAGCCTTATTTCTGTATTGCTCAACCGCGCCTGCATGTATTTTTATGTGTCTGAGATCTGGATCGTCCTATTTGGGTAGCTAAAACAGACAGTGTGTATGTTTTTGCATCTATTGGTTATAGAGATTAAAAAATGGCAACATTGCAAGCTAATCACAAATTCTGGGAGAGAGAATGAGTCCATATTCTAGGGATCATGATTCGCTTTTGTGGCAGACGTTTCTCCGGGCATTCTATGACCCGTGTCACTATCTATGGATAGGTTACTGGCTTACTTTCTTTTCATCTATGACACAAACCAGAACTTCCTACAACTTTGTTTCAGCTTTGTGCAGTGGAAAATATAAATAGACTTCCACATCAAAAAAAGTTCTTTCTCCCTATATTTTCATCTATCGATGTTTCAAGGGTTCGGTGTATTGTGCTCCACAATGTCAATGCGAGCGAGTCAGAAGAACAACGGACTCCTCTCCAACATACTTTTTTGCCCCAGTTGTGGGCAAGATCATATTCAGCCTCCATTTTCCAATTGTTTCAGATATCGGCATGCACCACAAGAAGGCCTCGAGCCACTCGAACTCCATTTCATTATGCGGAGAACCCTTCACCCCTTTCAGCCGTGAGATGGCGTTCATGCCCAAGCTACCCTGGTAGCTATCCAGCAACGAGAGGCCGCCCACAAAGCGTCATTTTGCTATTGCAGAAGCAGATATTCTTGACGGTGGATGTTGGGTAACAGTGATAGCGTTTCTTCGCCACGACAAGGCGCTGTGTAACAGCCATGGCCTCCCAAGCATCCTCGTCTTGATATCCCCCTCTAACGGCTTCACCACTGGGGTATGCAATATCGATCCATCCCAATTCTGATGATGGGCTTCACGATGAAGAGCTCTAGGATATCAGACATCTGCGATATGAATCGACTATCCAACCCTAAAAGTACATCTGAACCAAATAGACTAGTGTGAATTTTCACATTGGGCGACGAATGGTCGCGCCAAGCATCAGCTATCATTCAAAAACATGCGAATTTGAGGAAGGTTGAAAGTACCGCATTACTTTCGATGATAAGGGCTATGAAGCGAACATAAGAGGAAAGGATTTTTATGCACCGCCAGACTTGAAGGGTAGAGCCAGCTTTTACTCGATGGTGCACCAGGGAACATCCTCCGCAGAAACGACTTCATGGAGACATTGCTGAAGAAGACAATGATAATAAATCCTCTACAATACATACCATGCAGAAATATAACAAGCGTCCACTCGATCAATGCGTGCATTCCGCTTAATCACTTCCGTGAGCTGCCGCCGCTTACGACTGCAGGATACAAAAAACCCCCTCGAAGTCATTGACGAAGGCTCAAGATACTACCTTAGAAGGAAACGATACCCGTCACTCTACACCTACAAGGCCTGGCGAATAGTCCCGAAGCGGAGCCACAAGATGGGACGACATGTTAATACAAATATACCCAAGGAAGCTCCTATAGAATAGATCAAGCACGGTATTGCAAGGAATGCTGTTGGCCCTGGCTACATCAGCGCCACACTGGAGTTCCAGCAGGACTACGGATGCCCTATTGGCTTTGAGGCCGGCGCGGCTAGGGTACTGGATCCATTGATGTTGGAGTAAAAACGAAACGCCAGTCTGAGATAGTATCTTCTACTAGGAGGATTGACAAGAATCAACATTAATGGCGGCAAGGACGGTTGAGTGATTTATTTGTAGATTAATGGCTGCGGAAAGCCGCTAATGACTGGGGAGGAACTGTAGACAGTTATTATTATGGAACATCTATTCCCTTAGTTCTTTACAGATATTACTTTACTATGAACACACACGCCATTGAAATTGTTGGTGTTTTGGATTGGTTCGTCGATTGAACTCTTTTGCTCTAGTGATATAGCATGCGGCTGAGTCAGCATGCCAACCTCGTGATCTGAAATCATTTTGTGCTTCACTCCATTGGCAACATCGAACCTCACATCCCGTCATCCACGGAAGAGCCAATTGGCCCTGTCGCAAGCCAATTGCTTATATGACGGTTTACATCGTGCAATCGCATGTCTCGGTGTAGGCATAGGCTCTATCGGGCTCTTCAACAGCATGGTACAGCCAGGCCCGACTACATTTGGATTAGTGATGAGCTCGTTTATGAAGGCTTCTTCCGATTCACAAGAATCCATAAACGATGTAGCAGCTCTGTCCCAGGGCCTCTGGAGGCCCAGAAACGGCTCTCAAAGCGAAGGCATACCGCTTTGGCCCTGATGAGATCTCACCCACCGTCAATGGAGGCCGCAATTCTGTTTGGGAAGCCAGAACAACAAAATTCGGACGTACATCCAGTCGGAGTGCATCCATGGTCTCCACAAGCGTTAGGTATGGCCAACATGATTAAAAATGGAAATTGCATGCATATAGGACTAACCTGCCGTGCAGAGGCCTTCCCATATCTACATAATGACGTGCCCCCAGTTCCACAGGCTTGGAAAGACGACAATACCCGAAACTCACAATTCGATACGATTCTCGATAATACCGCACCTCCTTCTAGTCCGAGTTATGCTTTTCTCAGGATGCACTTGTCTTCGTCAGCATGGAAGTCATCTTCGCTCAATGAATTCAAAAAATACATTGCCGTATTAGGGCTTGACCCGCAAGGACGATCCCTCATCAGCCGTATAGCGCTCTCCGAGATCCTGCTAGTTCAAAATCGCAGCGGACGATCCAAAAGATGGAATATTGACGATTTGCATGGCTTTTTCAGTGACCCTTTTTTGAATGTTCCTGCAGCAGAGAATTATGTCACCCTGGTCGAACACTGCACCATGCATACAGAAAGGAAGTCTCGGCTGTACGCCCACTTTCGCTTCCTGAAGCGTTCCATCATGCTTGGTCTTGTCCCTGTGGAGGAGATTGCTAAAATTATCAAACTTATACCATTGATTAAAACCAAAACTCGGGAACACGGCAAGAGCACCATCGGGAAAGCCAACTGGGCTGATGTTGCTACTTGCTATCAGGCTATTTGGGATGGACTTAAGGCATCCTCTGTTCTAACACCATCTGACCTTGGCCGGGAAACAATGACATTATGGGTCGAAGAGATTTTAAAAGTCTCACCACATGGTAGACTATCACAGCTCGGTATGGATGTTATCCACGCGTTAGACGGTTCCGGGGCCGCCGGTTTAAATTTGGCAGGAGATGTCCTTCTTCGCCGTATTGTCCTTACGGCGGCGTCTGTGCCAGAATCAACAAATATAGATATACCCGATGATGCCCTGCACGGCACCCTCCTCTATGCTCGGTCACTCCTCAATTCATGCCCTCCCGAGGTCGCGGTCGCACACATTTTAAAAATAACTGAGCTACTAGTATTTTCACCAGTATATACAAAGTGGGGTTCCCAATCGTTGCGCATCTGGTATTGGGTACTGTCCCGTCTTGATAATGATTTAGTCCTATTCTCAGCCACTTCGAGGAGTAATCTTGATTCCGCTTCGAGTTTGACGTCGTCGACGACTTGGGACACAACTGGCTTGGACATTCCAAATCGACTTAGAAATTTGCTTAAGTTGTGGGTCCTAGCTGTCCTGGGACACACCACCGACAGCTATGCAATACTAGATTCCCGCAGACGGAATGTATTCCGTCGTCTTTTATCTTCCCTCGATCGAGCTTCAGGCCCATTCAGAGGTACTGATATTTTGACCCGGCTCCGAATATACTTCCAAGACTCCCGTCTGCGCGTTTTATCTGCGACAGACCTTGTTCTGTCAAATGCTGCCGACATAGAGTTCTCAATAGCACAAAAGCAGTTTCGTTGGAATAGAGAAAGCGGACATGCTGGTGGGCCGGATTGCCTTGACCCAGTGATAAAAGCGACACTCCTCAATCCCACCCATAGTCCTAAGACAATCAAAGAAATCCTCCCATACTTCTCCATGTATACCCGAAACCGCGCAGCAATATATGCTACTTTTGATCAGCTTGCAAAATCCACGGATGTCACCTCCTCGTCCTTTATCCACCAGATCATCACATTCACAGAAGCTGGTGCGATCCCGCGCAGCGCCATCCTGCGTCTCCTCCGCCGCCACACCCCTTTAAAAGTCGCGTTGTCCCGCTGCTGGCAGGAACCAGCACCCACATATGCGATAACAGAACCTCGCGCACCACAGCCAGATCCTTCTTTATACCCCAACCCTAACGAATGTTTGCGCATGTTGCATATTCTCGCACTCGTGTTTGCTTGCACGACGACAGTGACGCCAACAACGTCCTGGCGCCTGACGCAATGGGTATATTTATTCATCGTCCAGCACCATGGGCCTGTATCGCCCATATTAGCGCGAGCGCTTTTCCAAGCTGGTGTTACGAGGTACCGTGAAGCCGGCAAACCAGTACCAAAACGCAAATATGCGTTTATTATGCAGAAGATCAGGGAAGCGGAGGGAGCGGCTGTTGCGAATGCACTGTTGGATGCGGAAATGTTTTGAGGATGCTTGGATAATTTAGTTAGTTGGATGCGGCAAGCTCTCTCGTCCTGTCTGACAATGTGTAGAATCAAAATTCTTGAGCTAGCTCTGCACAATCCCCCATGTTTCACATTAGTTTCTTCAGGCTAGAGTATCTATTTGTATTTGCCTAAGCCAGCCCTAACACGGACAATAAAACCACAAACCACGAAGACTCTACTGCTCCCGGAGCAGATTAATATGGGCAGACTAATGACCAGATTCAATAAGTCGCCAGCAATCGTATTATACAGGTAGTAGTTGACATAACGCCCCCTTTACGGGGAATTTTCTATTGGCCATATCAAGCACCTACCATAGGGAATAAAACTGCTCACATGAGCCATGTTATCACCAGGACCTCAAGATAAAAAACAGAGCTTATTCATCTAAAAGCCAATACATAAAAAGAAACTAACCGGGGCCGCAAGGAAACTAAAAATCATAAATCAGAGAGTGGCGACTAAGAATCCACTTCCATCTTCTCAGCAACTACAGTCCCCTCACTCCCAAGCTCCTGCACGGTAATATATCGCCCGATATCCGCCTTTGTAATAATCTTCTCATCCAACCAAGCTGTCGTCCCCTTCGCAAACCGATAACTCCTCTCCTTCTGGCCCCTTTCATTCGGCTTAATATAATTCCTCAGTAACTGCGTCGGCTTCTCCTTATGAACCACACACACATCCACATTACTTCCAGAGCCCAAGTCGTTAAAAATACCCGCCTTAATCGCCTCCGAACACAGCTTTACGGCGTCATCTTGATTCAGAGATGGCTTCCACATTGTCTCGAATACAGACATGGCCGCGAGGGAACCAGAGCCCATCGTCACGTAAGGTAATTTGTCAGTGGAGCCGTGGGCGTGGACGGTGTAGAGACCGACGCCAGTAGGGTCGACGCCGGCGACGACGAGATACGCGCCGATGTGGCCCTGGTGTCGGAATAGGTGTTGTTTGAGCATGGTCATGCAAGTGACGACGCGCGGGGACCGGCCGGTGGATAGGGCATGAAGTTCAAGATTGGAGCTGATGAGGGCGGTCGTGAATTCGGTATCTGCAGCAGTACCTGCACCAGCGCACCAGATTTTTGGTGTGATGTAGTGAAGTTTTTCGCAGTTCTGTTGCGATTAGCAGTTGATAACTCATGGTTGGACTGGTTTTTGGTCCGAAATTTGACACGTAATGAACATGCAAATAAAGACATCATTTAAGGCTTTTGCGTCAGGGCTCAATATGTAAATACCTTGTCAGCAACGATTGGCCCGCTCGTAGCTCGTGTATCAGCTGCAATCTGTGTTGAGGAATCAGTATGTGTGCTGCTACGAAACAGCGGTGCATTGATCAGCTGGACCGGCTTACCACTACACCCCCGTCAAAGATACAACCAACAATAGTAGTACCAGTGCTCGTAGCCTTTGGAAGAGGCACGCCCTTTGCGTGGAGAGCTGCATTCCGGTTGTAATTAGAGAAATCAAAGCCTGGCATGGCGAATGTGGAGGCTCAATGGGCAGCTGGAGCCCGTATGTGATGGTTTTGGTTTTTAGAGGGAATATACGCCAATGAAAACGCACAAAGAGGGGTATCCGGAAAATCCAATAGTAGTAACTATGCACAGGGGGTTTGATAGCTGAGAGTTGAGTCGAGACGTTGATGTAGTTACTACAGAGTTTCGCTGCTGGAGTGACGAAGCTGGAGCTGCCTTGTGCCGAGAGCTTCACGTGCCCAACCGCCAAACATCACATCTTGGTAGCTCAAAAAATACATACGAGCATCTTCTTGCGCGCGAGTCGTTATGGCCTGAGAGCATTGCCCTTCTCTCTCGGCTTCCTCTGCTAGTGCTTCACTTCCTCTCCTCTTGTCCCTTTCCCTTCCTCTCTGAGGGAGTGCGCCACCAAGATTTTCGGACCAACTCTCCAGCTCTTTAGCAGGAGTCCTGCTGCACTCCAACGACGCTCCTTTGCAAATCTCCGTGCTGTCAAACCACCTGCTCTCAATGCCCCAAGGCCTAGGTACTCCTTAGATTCTAAGCCCCGCGCGGTCTCCTCCGGCTTCGAGCTCCTCATAAAAATGGCATTTTCTTCCTCCCAACCAAGCGCAGCCTTTGGCGGTGGCCAGGCGTCAACTGTTCAACTCGGGCCCGAGCTACAGGAAATTCAAACACAGGCACGTTGTACCAGAGATGTATTTGTTTTCATTCTTTTGAGAAACCCTTAACTGATATATCCATGTTTGAATAGGAAGTTGGCTTCCTTTCCATTGCTGGGGACTCGAAAGTTAGGCTTTTCCCCACGCCATGGCCAAACGACTCTCTTCCTCCCCCCTCCTGCTCTTTGTTGAGTGTAGCATCTGTAAAGGGCTTGCTCGCAGCTGCTGGGCCTGAAGGTCTTATAATAGCAAGTACGGATTCTGTCAGAAAAGCTTATACCGCAGACGCGACTGGGGACAGCAATATCAGGCAATTTCAACCGCAACTACAAATTCCGCTCCCACAAAAAGTGTCGCATGTGGCATTCTCTGCAGATGAAAATGTACTTGTCGTAGCTGCTGCAGATGGCAGTGGCTTGATAGCATACCAAGTGGTTTCCTTGATGCAGGGCAATTCACAACCTGCCCTTACTATTCCTTTGAACGGAGCAAGGCTACGAGCGCTGGCTCCAAATCCCATGCTTGCCGAGTTGTTTGCTGCGGTAACAACGGAGGGAGAGCTATTGATGGCTAATTTGCAAACTAGTCAGCTTGTCCAAGGTACCTCGGGTCTAGTTTTAAAAACAGGTGTGAGCTGCATCTCATGGAGCAACCGGGGGAAGCAATTAGTAGCTGGATTAGGGAATGGAACCGTATGTCAGATGACTCCTGAAGGGGAGATGAAAGCGGAGATCCCCAGACCTCCAGATTTGATTGAAGATAAACATGGTAAGCGCATATTCTTTCATGATTTCAGGTACGGGTAGAGCTTATTAACTAAATGTATTTTTTTCATCCAATAGTCTCCTCTATTTCGTGGCTTGAGAATCATGTCTTTTTCGTTGTTTATACCCCAACGTCCTCATCAGAAGGCCAGCCGGAATCAACATACTATATTATAAATCGCCAACCACCAGATAATTACACTTTCCAGAAACTACCAGAGGTCTGCCCACCTTGGGGTCTCGAACGGAACCCTGCCTACCAATTTATTGGCCGTTTGAGAGATTTTAAGCCCGAACTCAAAGATGCATTGATTGTCTCATCGACAGCCTCAACAGATATAGCGCTTTTAACGAAATCTAGCAAGCCGTTAGCCGAAGAAGGGGGCGTGCCTGTCACCGATGCATTTACTGTTACAACAATGTCGGAAGATTCAAGAAGAGCCGAACTCCCTCTGACAGATGATTCTGAGAATACGTCTCCTATCGGACTGGCAATTGATTTGTCGAGTAAAGATATTGTTTCCTCTCCCATTCCTGGAGAAGATATCCAGGATTCTGGAATTCCTCTACCCAACGTTCTGGTACTCAATAATGATGGCGTATTGTCATCCTGGTGGTTTGTGTACTCCGAGTCGATTCGACAGCGCGTGCCCTATCATGGCCTTGTCGCCGCTGGAGTTGAACAGTCGGTGCAACAATCGCAGCCACAGCAAAACCCGTTAGCATCGTCGATGTTAGCCCCTCAAACTCCCAAGCCTTTCGGGCAATCCCCTTTCGGACTACCATCAACATCACCCTTTGGGTCTCCCTCAGGGCTAGGAGCAAACCGCCCGTCTGCCTTCGGGCCACAGCCAGCGCTTAGTTCACAACCTTCCTGGGCCACGCAGGGATTTGGCCAATCTCAGTCACCCAGCCAGTCGGCTCCAGCAACCAGTAGTTTTGTCTCACTGACTCCTTCATTCGGCAGCCCAAATTTGTTAGGCCAGCGATCTTCCGCGTTTGGTCAGCCACCCCTTTTAGGTAAACCAGCAACCGCCTCTCCATTTGGGTCCGGGTTTGGTGCGTTCAGCGGTTCTTCGGGCGGTACAGGAACCGAGACAAGTAAATTATCCACTCAGCCATTTAGTGGTTCCAGCGGAGGGTTTGGATCCTTTGCAGCTGCTAGCGATAGTTTTGCTACTGTTAAAGCTTCTCAGCCCTCCGGAGGGAGCATTTTTGGGAAACCTCCGGTTGGCGAAAACCCATTTGCGAAAGCTGGACAACCAATCTTTAGCTCTGTACAGAACACAGTATCATCGCCTGTTCCTCCTAAAACCCAGCCATCTCCGTTCGGAGCATTCAATCAAAGTTCTGGATTCAAAACAGATACGATAACTACCATGGATGAAGATAAACCGGAGGAATCAAAGGGCGCATTTTCCTTCGCCAACATGATGACCTTCGATGAGCCCACCGAGAAAAAATCCGTTTCGCCTAAAGCTTCTCCTCCGCCATCCCTACCTGCCATCTCCTCTCTACTGCCCAAACCAGCGAGTCCGGAACCTCAAACGCCTCAAAATAGTGTGCCACCTCCCACAGATTTGTTTGCCGCGCCTCATCCTTCTAAGCCCCCGCCGCCAGCCCAGACGAAAGAACTAACCTCCCCTTTCGGAAAACTTCCGGCCTCCATGGCACCACCCAAAGAGACCGAGAAGCCATCGCTATCGACTCCTTCTCTACCAGATGAATCCAGCCTATCGGAGTCTACGGTCAAAGTCGAACACCCTAGCGACGAGGAAACACCAATGCCAAAACTAGCTGAGCCTCCTCTTCCCCCAGACCCAACAAGCAGAGCGGCTTACGCTCCTGGAGATACATCGGCTTCTTCGTCCAGTGTATCCAAAGTTTCCTTCGAAGAGGCCCCATTACCTCCGGATTTCATACCCGCGAAGAAGGAAGGGACTTCGAACGAAGTCGCGGTTGCGTTGCCTGCAGAATCCGATGAAGGGGAATCAGCTGATTTTGAAGATAGTGGAGAAGAAGTGGCGGGTGATATTAGCCCTGTTGAAGAAACCGATGGACAGCACGTCCAAAGTCTTAAAACATCACCAGAAAGTTCGTTCGGTGGCCCTGCTGTGCAGAGTCCAGATAGTTCCATGTTCACAAAGGTTCCCTCACTGGTCCAGCAACTAAGGGAACCAAAGCAGCTTTTTGGCGAAATAACGCAACCCATTTTCCCCTCCCCTAAACTACCGGATGGACGCATACGTTTAGCACCAAGGTCACCGAGTCCAGTCCGTCGGTCTCTTCTAGGGCTATCCTCAGCAAGAGATGGCTTACGAGCTACCAGCGCACCTAGCGCCCCTGGTCGTGCATTGGCTCAGAGGAAAGTGACTCTCGAGAGTTCTATGCTGTCAAAACAAGTTGAACTCCCAGCTGACGACGAAGGCCAAACGGAGGAGCTTAGTCGCCAAGCTCAGCGGTTAGCGGCTGAATCCCAACCACTGAGCGAAGATGACGAGGATGAGCAACTCCGCACTGATCTAGCACGACCATTATCACCAGCACCCACGTTGGACCCTTTTCTTCCTCACCAGGATTACACAGGGGAAAGTCTGAAGCCTGGAATACCAGGCCAAATTGAACGGTTATACCGGGACATCAACTCCATGATTGACACCCTAGGGATCAACTCAAGGTCCCTATCGTCATTCTTACTATATCAGCACACAGCCAAAGAGCCCAATTACAAACACTGGCTAACTACTCTACAAAGTGAGCATCCGAGTGATATTTTAGAAGACCAGCTCCTTTTATCTGAGGTCGATAAGCTGGCTGCGGGGATAAAGGAATTGAATTCATTATTACAACAACAGCAATTGCAAAAAGTTGAAGAAACTTTTGAAAACTGCCAGCGGCTATTCAGCAAAGATCTCGTGACTCTACGCGGCCAATGCGCAAGCCTGCGACGAAGTATTGACGCCCACGTCGACACTGTGGCCATCGCTTCAGCGCCTCTATCTGCGGAACAAGCGACTCTGCAACAAGACTTGCGACAAGCGTCTACAGAACTACAATCAAAGATGGCTAATCTGGAGAAAGAAATATCTATCCTTCGCGCCAAGATCGCCGATTCTGCAAAACCAGATTCTGACGGGTCAAGCATCAACGGCTCCACCGGACGTAGGTCCATGGCACGACCTACTGTCGAAGCTGTCACATCAACTATTGCGACCATGACTAACATGGCGGAGAAGAAACGCAGTGACATCGACGTTCTTGAAGCTCAACTTCGGAAGCTTGGCATTGACGTCTCCGGCGCCAGTGGTGGTCCAGCGGGTACGGGTTCTGCCAGATCTCGAAGTCGTGAAGCTTCACCTTTCCTCACGCCGCCGCGTGGACAACGGGGGCTTTCCAGAGTACCAGTCACGCCCGGCTCGCGGGGTTCCGTGGACGGTGCGGTCGGAACGAGGAGCGCGTACCATACCCCTGAGTCTGCCACGAGAGCTCATGTACGTTTCCGGTCTAGTTTACTTGGTAGTGCTGGGAAGAAAAGCAGCTTGTTGCACAGTGTTAGCGGACCTGGCGAGTTGGTTCTTGCGTCAGAGGAAGACACGCAACGGTGGATGGCTAAGACTAAACGTCGGCGTGAGATCGTGGGACATGTGCGGACGGTACTAGTGGATGGTACCAGAAAAGCTAGAGTGAGAGGGATGGATGAGATATGACTTTGATTTTTGATGGTCTTTGTAACATTGCCTATTTTAGAGGCAAATATGCGCCCTGCTTGGAAGAGGGATGAATAAAAGTAAGGGGTTTCCTGGCCGTTTCATATATTCTAGCTGTATTGCAAGTTGCCAACGTGCTTGCCTTCCATCCCTCATGTTGGAATTTGAATGGGACACACCTCCATTGTTTTCTTTTGAGATGTGGAAAGGAAAAGGGAAGGGTGCTGGCGTGTACGGATAGCGGTATAGTCACAAACTTTCAGTGATACTATCTGACACGATGTACGCACTGATGATAACTTTGGGGCACACGGCAAGGTCATGGTATTCTTTACACAATATTATGATCTTTAGAGTAATTTGCTCGCCGAGTCTCCAAGGGTCTGGTCTCGCTGAAACTAATTTCAACCCTTCAACAGCGGACTGATCAAGAGTGCCTCATCAAGCCAGCGTCTTAACGACCTTGATTCAATTTTGGCTCCCCGGTAGCCTATTTAAGCCATAAATAAGCACGGAACGAACTTTTAGCTGTTGGTCCAAGCTTTTCTCTTGGTGCAAGTTTTTTCTCCATCAAATCACATATGCTGCATACAATTGAAAGGGGCTGCCAAAATTGAATATCCGTGTCCACGATTAGCTCACACACCCCCTCGCCTTTCAATATAAATTTGGATTTCTTCTGAAATTCAATGTACCGTACATGTGCTATTGGTAGTTTTCCAATCAATTGAACCTGGGATACAAATGGAAGAACTACACAGTATGTCTTCGCTCTCCGAGAGACCACATCTCTCGAATCTGTAACTCCGAACGGAGTGCAGCGTTGTTCAGCGATTCTCCCAGCCTAAATTTGCCACGGCCGAGCTCGCCGCCATAGACCCTTTCCTGCGCTAAGGTGCGCTAAGGTGCCCTGACTGGGTCCATGATGGAAATACGAAGGCTAGCAATACGTTGGAGGGATTAGATTGGTGGCTTGTCCCCTCTTCTTCTAGCTGCTAGTTGGTGGTAACTCAGCTCCTTTTGCCCCTGTAGCCTTGACATATCGCGCAAAATACTGGTAAAGTTTATTTCCATCCGAGCCTCTGTGCTCTGTCCGTCGATCCCGCTGGCTTTTGCAATGCAGTCCGCAGAAATAACAATTCCAGGTTGGCGGGGTGTGTGATGTTTCGCCAGATTGATATTATGATATATCAAGGCTTTTCAATCCGTCGAGAGAGCTAGATAAGATAGATCCGTGACAGAAGCTCGTTTGGTGTGTCCAGCTTTGAGAAACTATCTGATTCGTTCGGCATTTCGGCGCAGCCAAATGGCGAGGCATCCTGGTAATTCAGCTTCAAGATCCTGTTGTTCTGCTTTCATTGTCCACTCCATGGGTTGCTGGTAAATTGGCTAGATCAGTTGAGCCACCGCTATGGATTCATCCGAGAGGTTCCGTCCTCCACGCTTCACAACGGGCACACGAACATGTTTTCGGTTGGATTTAATTCTCCGTCTCTGGCTATGCCAAAAAGGCTTTCTCGCAACGGACGCCAATGATAATGGCATGACGCGCTGTGGAAACCCTGCATTAAATGGCTTAGCCCTCGAACGAGTTTTTGATGGATCGCATGGTTGAGCAAATTGACAATTTGTGACCGTTTTAAATTTTCACTCTTCCACTCAGGGGACAATAGAGATTCCGGCAACTGGATACCAGGCCTCCCGTCTCAGCGCAACCATCAATGGGCACTGGCCAACACGCCGTATTGTCGCCTGGGGGTTGCGAGTAAGTGGTTTGGCCCCACGGCCTCCAACGTTGCCCCTACTGTAGCGCTATTCCTGATCTGGATTCGCTCAGAAGGCGGTCTTGTTTCCCCTTTGTTATATATTGAACGGCCCGGTGTGGCGATCGCTGATTCGAACAACCTGCTACGTCCGTAACATGAATGCGATTTTGATTTTTGGCCTCTGTGCTAGCAAGCACCTTAAACATCCCTCTCACACGAACTAGCTGATTCGGCAGGCGGAAATTCTTGTCCGGATTCTTATCTGATCTTCGTTGCTTTTTCTCCTTCAAGTTACCCCGGTTAACCACGGAGTATACCCTGTTTTAAATGAACCCCTCCGCCTCAGGCTCGGCCCTGCAGCACGGTTGCGCTACGGCCGCTGAACCCACACAACAGTCAATCGCATCTTCAACGCAAACACATTCCTTGAAAGTTGGAGCCAACGATAGCTCTCCTCACGGCGGGGATGGAGTTGGTGGAGAGGGTGGAGCGGGTGGGGAAACAGGAGCACAGTTGGCGGGAGGTGGAGCTTCCGCAGGTCGAGGTCCCAATGCAGCCACTTCCGCGCACTCTCGCATCCGCCGCCGCAATCGAATGATCACATCGTGCCTGGAATGCCGCCGGCGGAAATTAAAATGCGACAGGCTCCACCCTTGCAGCAACTGCGCGAAGAACAAGCGGGACTGTTTGTTCCTGGCTCCCGCCTTGGACCCAAGCTCCCGGAAAAAGCTTACTGAGCTTAAGGAAAAGATGGGCTCATTGGAGCGTTCTTTGGAAGAGGATGTGGTGGACAAGAAGTTTTTTTTTCAAGAGGACAATCAACTTAATGCTGAGGGTCGGATCGATTTACATACATTGGGAGGGCTTCTCCAGAACCCAACTGAGGGGCAGCCTGCTGTCCCGGAGGATGAGAAGGACCCGAAGCCAACGCCTCTGGCTGTCCAGGATGCTGCATATGAAGATGGATCGGACGATGACGCTCTCGACCTTGGATTCAAACTTGGGAAGTTGAGAATGACAGACCGTGTTGGCGGATTATTTCGCCCAAAAATCGCAGAAGAGGTTTGTGCTTCACTTTTGCTCCGCCAGGCCGGGCTATACATTCATACGTGTGTTCTGCTTCTGGGAAACCCAATGCTCGCTGGAGGGCCTTGCAATTGCGATATATGGGCGCGTGTACCCCAGCTAACATGGCCATTACCCAGGTTACGCTTGCCCTCGGGGGTTTATCAGTTGCAGACAAACCCGCGGCTGAACCAAAGTCCAATGCTCAGCGCTTCTCGGAACCCCTCTCTGTGTTCAATGACTCCTTTTTCACGCCGGGGCCATCTTACATCGCGCCCAACTCGGACATGTTTTTGGGAGGTGGGGAACGAAAGTACTCGCTCGTAGACTTTCTTCCATCCCGGGCTTCCGCCAATAGATTATTAAAACACTACTGGAAAGCGGTGGATCCCATAACCAAAATTGTCCATCGACCTACTTTCGAAAGGCAAAATGAAACTTTCTGGCTAGAGGTTTCTCGGGGGTATGAGCCCACATGCTCTCTACAAGCAGTTATATTTGCCGCATTGTTCGCTGCTGTAATAAGTATGACAGAAGATTCGATACTAAGCACCTTCGGGGTTACGCAAAAAAATCTCACCGAAAACTTCCAGTTAGCAACAGAAATGGCTTTGGGGAAAGCGAACTTTTTGAAAACCACCAAAACCCAAACGCTCCAGGCATTGGTGATGTATATGGTATGATTGCTATTTCTTATATAATTATATTTTCACTATTTATCTATCCGATCTTCCTGTATTTTATAGGTGTTTATTCGGTGATGTTATTTCCATAGATTCCAATGTGTCGAGCAGAAGTATCGCGTGCCCATTCTGTGATTGTCGGAACCGCCATTCGTCTGGCTGAGTGTATGGGATTCCACCGTGACCCAGAAGAGTATGGTCTTGGGCCGATCGAGACACACGTTCGGAGGATGATCTGGTATCATCTATGCTTTCTTGATATCCGAACGAGTGAATCACAAGGGCCCCGCCTTTCGATCCGCAGAGAGGATTTCTCCACCAAGTTCCCCTTAAACATCGACGACGATGACTTGTGTGTCCCATTACCTGTTCCACTGACTGATAAATCCCAATGGACGGATATGACCTTCATACGAATACGTTTCGAGTGCCATGAATTACAGAGGATCATTTATGTAGACAGGCTCAGAATAGAGAAAAAGGGCGTAAGCCTGACGCATGTACTGGGGAAGATCGAAGCGTTCCGTCGCGCCGCGACAGCGAAGTATTTCCCTCTAATCCATGTGCCCAATCCAAAACCAATACAGAAAGCTGCCAAGCTCCTTCTATCGTTTTATCTAAACCGTTCATACATCGCGTTATTGCATCGCTATCATAATAGCGCGAATATGCAAGTTCCCGATCGTCTCAGACAAATCATAATAACAAGCGGTACGCAACAGATGGAGGATGCGATTGAGCTTGAAACAAACCCCGAATACAGGTCATGGGTTTGGTATTTAGGTGCATTAAACCAATGGCACACCGCCTTCCTACTCCTCGCAGAGGTCCACCAGCATCCGCTGCGCAAGGAAGCTGATCGCATCTGGCGATGTTTGTACTATGCTTTTGAGACTTCACCATCTCCGTACGAGCCTGGGCAAGAGAAATACTCAGAGAGCAACAGGCGTAAGCTCTTGGTGCATCGAGATCGAAAAGCCCGCGAGATCCTAAGCCAACTCCATGAGAGGATGATTCACTATCGCGAGAGGAGGAAAATTAAAGTTCCTGTTAGCATGCAGGGTACGCAAGAAGCGGAAAATCTCAATGCAAGACCTCATCTTCAAAGGGGGGAAGGGACGGAAATTTCCAACTTTACTCATCCGACGGGACAACACACCGCCGCTGCCACTTCAGCCCCTGGCGGCCATCAAATTTCGCCTGACACTGATCACAGATCCATACCACACTCCCAGCCACATCCTCCACCGATGGCTGCTTATTTGCAGAAAAGCGAATCATATCAGCAGTCAAACATGCATAGCCCACCTTCAGCGCTTCCACAGTGGCAGCCGCCGCCGCAGCAGAAGCAATCGCCACCAAATCCACTTCACCAACTTCCGACCTTTTCACAGCAACATCCTGATCAAACCGGCCAGTTCTTCTTTGGGCCGCTACAATCTCTCCAAAATCCCCAATATATGACTGATTATGCTAAGCGCCTTGCCAGAGGCCAAAGCCTTGGGTCGGAGACCACTAGCTCCGAAGATTCTGGCTCGTCCAGGTTGTGGTTTCTTCCTGGTGCTGCATCTGGAAGCGCCGGATTGGCTCCACCTCCTCCACCTGCAGGTGGAATGGTGATGGCTGGCAATCAGGACTTTACCAAGGACCGTCCTCAAGAGGATTTGCCAATGCTCGATATTGACTGGGTAAGTTTTCTGTTGTGATTTTGAGTCTTGGCTTCTATGTTTTATATCCCTTCGCTCGTTCCTCAGTGTGATTATTTCTTTCTCTCATGTCCTCCGATATTCTTCAAACCATCTTATTTGAAATGTGGAATCCTAACAGTGATATTTTATTTCTATAGAATGAATGGGATAAGCTTTTCCCTCCCGAAATAAATACCGGCGACTTGAATCTCCCATTCCCACCAGTCCCCATAACAGAATCTTCCCCGCTCAGCAACTTTGACACGTCGGATTCTGGACTTGGAGATCAGGCCTATCATCCCTATTCATACGGCTCCTAGAGCTACCTTTCCATCTCGCAACAACAACACCCGCCCGAAGCACTTGTCCGCTAGCCAACCAGCGAAATAGCCATCCAGAGACTCTCCACTTAGTGAAGCCCTTCAAGCCCAGTGCGCTCATCTCGTGTATTATCTTCTCGAAAAATTTTGCGAGGCCAGGAAATACATCGCCAGTGATATCTTCTATGGTGATGTCTTCAGGCGCATACCCGGCCTTCTCCAGAAGCTGTTTATATTCGGCCATTGTAACGAAATTTGAGAAAGGGGCAGACAAGGCCGGTGCCAAGCAGCGGAGGGCAAACATATTCAGACTTCTTTTCACTTTGTCAAGTGGTGGTGACGAGGGCGGTTTCGGCGGTAGGAAGAGGTCAAAGGCCAGTATAGTTGCTTGGAGAGTGAAATGTGAATATTCGAACAGCTCCTTTCTCGAAGGGCTAAAGTGGTACAGCGTGTCGAGGCCTAGGACATAGCGCTCCTCAGCCCTCTTTACTCCCACTTCTCCGCCCTCCTTAGCATACCTGCCTTCCCCAAAAGCAGTCGAGATTGACCGCTGTATTTCTTCCGACCAAGCATGTGGTTTAGCTGCGTCTCCACAGAATAACTCGACAACCCGGCTTGTCGATTGCCATTGTATTGCGCTCCAATCCTTCGAGGGCCCGTTTTCGCGTACAGAGCTATTGCAATTCCTTGCAGCTTTCTCTACTCTGGAGAGAGCGAATGCACATTGCATCTTCTCGATAGTGATACCGACGTAGTGCTGGAAGAGCGGTGTGCTTTCCGTGGTTTTGCCATTATCATTTGTCTTGTTTTGCGCGCCACAACTCTTCTTATTATCATCGCCATCACTGGTAATGAAGCCAGCTTGATCAGCATCACCACCTCCAGGTGCCACATGTACAGTCGCTTTTTTCCTCATCAGATACAAAGTCTGTTCACCACATCCAAATCCAACATCTAGGATGACCCTCTTTACCCCGTTTCTTGACGTCCTTTTACCCCTCTCCCCCTCCCCTCTTGAGAACCCGAGTGTTACCTGACTATTTGTCCGTGACTGGTAGTCCACGCCAGTAGCAGTGGCATCCGCACTGTCATCGCTGACAGCGATGATTGTGGAAACGACGTCTAAACCTGCTGTTTGCAGGATCTTATCCAACAATGCCCGACAGGCTTCGGGAAAGGAAGCTGTGTTCTATTACATTTTTATTCATTTTGAAGAGGGAAGTTAGCAAATGTTGGAACCAATTGTGGAAGCAATCATTTGATTTTTTTTCAGCATTTTTCTTTTCTTTCTTTCTCTCACTGGCCATTGTAACATGTTGGCATAGAAAGACGAGCTTTTTTTTGTTTCAGGGATTTGCCCAAAGGGCGGGATATCTAAAATCGGAAAGGTGTCCAGCGTGAAATTGGAAGGGAATGGAGTGGGAAAAAAAACTCATTCGAATAGCATTACGATACATAAAACACCAAATATGACATACTATCAACGATATCACAGTACCAATTTTCATGTAGAAAAGCCAAGAATGACTTTCCAAGGTTCAGGGAAAAACTTTCCAAAAGAGAGAAAAGATCGGACCAACCTTCCAGTATCCCATATTCATCCACATCTCCGTCGGGGTCAAGCTGGGTAGATTCAACACCCCATGGTCCAGGCTGTAGAGGCCATGACCTTCTTTCACCGCATGTGCCCCAATTATCCCTTCCTTGCTGGCGCTTGAGCCAAGCAGCCTCGAGGCGATCCGTGCCACAATTCCCGCCAGCAAGGAACGGAGAAATGGCGCGGCTGTCAGGCCCAGGAGAAAAGTGGTGAGGGCGAGTGGGACGGGGAGTGGCGGGAGGCTTGGGAAAAGCATCATGGTTGTGTGTCCTCCTCCTTTCCCCTCCATCCTCCTGGGTATTTATTTCCTGGTATTTGTTTATGGTCGTTCGGTGCGGCAGGCGCCAAGTGTGTTGCGCGCGTAGCCTCGGCTGGATCTACGATCGCCAAGACCCTGTGACATCACCGCCCGTCGTCCCTCCCGCAGCCCTTTAGCTAACTACAGGATCATATTTATATAAGCACAGAGGCACCCGCGGCAGCCGGTAGCTCTCGACCAGCCCGCTCTTCCCGATTCCATCCCAGCGCGCAGAAAGACAGGGCAAGCAGAACGAGGAATACGCGCGCATCAGAGCGGAAGAAGGGCTGGCAGATGGCATCTACCGCCGTCACAGAGCTTGTTTACCTAACCTTCAGAGAAGGTGTGAAGCCCGAGGACCCCGAAAACTATGACGGACGGGTCTTCACTGACACCCTCGAGGCCGTGAAGCTGCAGAGTGGCTACCTGTATTCGAGCTGGGGCAGGACCGTGGCGGATGAGAACGATATTGTTTGGGTTGTTTGTAAGTCTATAGATTCATATTTATATTTAACATCCATATGTCCGAGCCTTGTTACTGAGCTTCCCCGCCTGCATGCGAAAACAAAACAATAAGAGAAACGTCTATTTTTTTTTTTTTTCCTTTTCTTTTTCTTTTTCCTTTTCTTTTCGCGAAAAGCATTAAAAAAAAAAAAAAAAAAAAAAAAAAAAACCAAATATCGCCGTCGCTAACAAAACCCGCGTTCCCTCCCTAACCGCGCAACACATATACAGCATGGAAGGACAACACATCCTCTGTTCCCCTCAGCCAAATCGCCCCAATCCTCGCGCCCACCTCAGCCCCAATAACAATCCACACAACCCTCACCCCATCCGTCCCCCTCAAAGACCTCGCCGCAACACCAATCGTCGAAGTCGCCATCCTCCCTTTCCCCAGCGCCCTCCCTTCGGCAGAGAAATCCTTCATAAACACCTCCCTATCAAACCTGCGCACCGCCCTGCTAAACATCAAGCCCCCCGATGACGACGACGGCCGGCCGGCCACCGAGGATCAGCGGGCGCGTAGCCAGCAGCGGACACAGACATCCCTGTCGTCGTCGGCATCGTCGTCGCGGACGAGGTTGGGGGATCCGGGCCCGCCACGCTGGTTATCACTTGGGTGGGTCGAGAGGCCTGGAACGGTCGAGCATGCCGACAGCGCGTCCGGGGAGGCGGAGCTGGCGATCCTGGTGATTGGATGGGAGAGCATACAGGAGCATGAGGCTGCGATTGGGACGGATGAGTTTGAAAGAGCTATTGCGCCGGTTAGGAGGAAGATGTTGCCTGGGATCAAGGTGTTGGAGATGAGGTATGTTAAGTTTTGGGAGGAAGACCGAGAGAAAGGGGAGGGGGAGGGGGAGGGGAGAGTTGGGAGCTGAAAGTCGGGAAATGTGCATGTGTGGTGCGATAATCGTGCTTACGGTTGGATGAGAGGGGACAGAGCGGCCTGAAGACAAAAATAATCTGCGAGAAGTGGAGAAGGAGGGAGGGGGACGTAAATCTGCTGGTGTAATATTTCTTCGCGAGAAGTGGTTGGGGGGAATTTTGGCAAATTGGAAGGGCTAGCTATTGTACTTCAGTTTTGGCATTTTGGAGGGGGTAAAAAGCTAGACCTTCATCGAGCTATCAGGAAGTCAGGTCGTCTGCACTGGCGGACCAATACAGATACGTATACATCCAATGGGTCCAATGTTCCCAGTGCCAGCTCGACAGGCTTAATCGAAGTCGTGAATCTGCGGTTCCAACTAGCTAACCGTCAAGTCAGGGCAGGATTCTTCCCATGACCGGTGGTTGCGAGATAACCGGATTGAAGAAATATTAAAATTTTTCATGGTAGTCGAGTCAGTATGAGATTCGCCATTATTATCTGTTCGGGGTAAAAATACACCGGGAGAAGAACGGAAAATGAAGAACATCATATAATGTTGACCAATAGTCTTAGACGGTTTAAACAACAGTTGAGAAGTAAAGGATAAAAAAAAGGGAAAGACAAGCAAAAATAAAACAGAGTCGGAATTAACACAGAAGGTAGAAAACCCGTGGTAAGGAATTAAAATTCAAACAAACGGAGCAAGTAGGATAAGCAAAGGTACAAGTTCAAATTTGTAATAAAAACTGCTTTTCAATCAAAACTCCCCAACCTGAGCAGAAGGGAGATAACATGAAAAATAATGGAAGATGCAAGGTAAGACAGCCAGTGTAACAGTTTAGATACTTTAAATCCGGTGCTTCTCACTCTCTGCTCGGAAATGTCATGGTTAGCAGGAGAATTCACAGGGGGGTGGGGTAAACTGGGGTAAGCAAATCAAACGTACCAAGTCGTGAATAAAGCATATAGAGAGCCATCTGGTTGCACTCAGGCGTACCTGTGATAGTAACTAAGCGCTCATTGCTATTATCCTGGGGCTCGTTGATCTTGATGACACTACCGCTAAGGTGGCGTATTTCATTGATCTTAGCGCCTCCTTTTCCAATGATAGCACCCACCATATCATTAGGAATAAAGATCTGCTGCGTCACCGGTGCTCCTGGAACAACCCCACCAGCAGGCTGAGCACTTGGCCCACCATGGACTGGCGCGGGTTGGGGAGCTCCGTAAGGCGCTGGCTGATGAGGGCCAGCTCCAGAGTAGCCGGGACGGGAGGATGAACCGTAATGAAGTGCTTGATGTGGCATTTGAGGCTGGCCCGGCTGGCCGTGGACGTACGGTACGCCGTAACCACCGGTGGACACAACCCGATTTCCTGGAGGTTGATGTCTCTTGAAGGTATCCGGATGTCCATATTGTCCACCGGCTGGTTGGGGGACGTAAGGAACCACTTGCATACCTCCAGGCACAACGCCAGCGGCACCACCACTGCGGGTGGCATAAGCGGAAGCAGCTGGTCCCCCAAATCTCTCTGTCAGTTGTTCTACTAAAGTCACCGCAACGTAATAAGTTGCAATGTGAACTGCGTCAGCAACACCCAGGATAACAAGCGTCCGTTCAGTGGAAAGAGGAAGGCATGAATCAGAAGCATTAAGACGAGCACCGGAAGCCTCTTGGATTTCGCGAATGCGAACTCCAGATTTTCCAATAATGGATCCAATGAGTAGGTGGGGAATGAGGAGGCGGAGAGGATATGTCTTTGACTGGGCTGTGGAGGGTGCCTCAAGGGGTTCATTGTTAAGAGTACGAATAATCAAACCAAAAGCCTTTCACCATGGTATATGTCAGTGATTGCAATATCGGGGAAGGAAGGCACGGGTAAAGAATCAGCAAGTGTTAAAACACACCTTAGCAACTGCATCTTGCATGCCACTGACAGTTAAAATTCTTTCAACTGCGCCACGAGAATAGTCGCTCACAGTGCACTTGGCGCCCGATAGACGACGAATCTGTGAAACATTTTCACCTCCTTTGCCAATACAAGTTGCTGCCTCAGCACTAGAGATCACAGCTCGAATATGGATCCATCCACTCTCGTCTTGGGTAGCGTGCTGTGAAGGAGGCTGTGATGACGAGCGGTCATTTTGTGAAGCTGTGGACTGAATGGGCTGGGTTTCCAGTATTTGCGCAGCGGATGCGCTTTTCCCATTGGCATGGGGTGCATCAGTAACAACAACATCACCTTGCTCGTCCTTTACACCATTTTCTCCCGTAGCAGCAGCGGCAGGCTGAGCTGCAGTGTCTGACTTGGCGGTGTCCGTCACAGGAGTTCCAGCCTCTTGCACTAGCTTTGATGCTTCTTCTTCACCCTTTACGACCTTATCCAAGGCGGGACGTTTTGCGTCAGGTTGATCCGTGGGTCCCGATGGGGATGAAGGGTCCTCAAGAGGACGTTTCGTTGACGGAACAGCGGATGTCGGAGATGCAGACATGTTTTTATTCGTTTAGGTTTGCTGGTAATGGGGTTAAAATACGGCTTTCGTCGCGGGTCTCTTGTTCTGGGCCTGAATGCTTTTCTTTTGGCTCTGATGCTTCACCTACGTTGGGAAAACAGGGAGTCGAAGTAGGATCTGAATATATTTTTTCTTTTAAAATTGTTTCTGTTTGTTTCTGAATCGGCTATGTACACCAGGGATTTCCCAAGGAAAACTTGCTGGTGCAGGTGGGTCGTTTGGAGAGGAGGTGGTGCTTGAAGATATGCTGAGATATTGGAGTCAAAGAAGGAGTAGAGTGGCAGCAGTGGATGGTTGAAACGGTGCGGAGAGGCAAGTGGAGCCGACGTAGAAATGGAGATAGGTGTTGTATAAGGTGAGGATGTTGGATTGAGTTCAGCAGTACTGAGCGAAAGGCTCCAGGAGAAATTTGGGAGATGCTGGGAGAAGAACTTGATCCACAGGGAAGACGGAGGGGCTGTGATATGTGGTGAGTGGTGAAAGGTGACGGAGGGCCTTCAGCCAAAGAAGGGTTTTGGAAGCTTGATGGGACAAAGTAACAGGCTCAAACAGGAGGATAAACGCAGGTTGTTCGACCTCTTTTCTTTCTTCTCGCTCCTCCTTTTCTTTCCTAAATAATTATTTCTTAGCCTCCTTGTCCCCAGTAAGACCCGATATTGCGCGAAACCTGAAGTCTTTGTTAGCAGCTGAGACGCGGAAAAAGGGGTTGGTGCTAGCAGAGAGAAGGCTGACAAATAAGCGCAGAGTTTTTTTTTTTTTTTTTTTTTACAGTAGAACACAGAGAGAACAGGAAAGTGAAGGAGACGCACTAAAAGGTAAATGGGAGACAGTCAAGTGTCCCCCAGGATAGAGGACGATGGAAAATGATGACTGGTTTGCAAGGCGCGATGCTGCCGGTGAGGTTGAAAAACGAGAGCTGCGCGAAGGATGAAGATGGGATGAGGTTGGAGGAAGGAAGGGAGCCGCAAAAGGCTAAACTGTGGGGCCAAGGCGGGACTAAGTCCGATTGGGAGCCTAATGTCTGGATATGGACTAGTCTGCTGAGCTCAGCACCGTAGAAAGTCACGTGGTATTTGCGCCGACCAGAAGAACCTTGGACAGACAGACAACATATTGACGATAAAATATATCAGGAGGATTGGAAGATGGCATTGCAACAGAACACCTTGGATAAAATACGCCACTTTGCGGAAAGCAATCGCAAACTCGAGGAAGAACGCGCCCACCATCCAATTGACTACCATGCATACAACCACCGACTTGACCAGACCGTGCTACAGCTGCAAAATCAAGTAAAGCGCCAGGAACATGCTTTGCAAGAGGTCAGTTGGAATCAATTTACGCGTCTCACAGTTTCATCAAGCCATAGAATACATACACTGTTTCATTGCCATCGTTTAAAACTCAATAATTGAAAATATTTATCCATAATCCAGCTCCGCCGCTCCACCACAAACGGTCTCCCCCACGCAGGCCTCGACCCCCGCACGCGCCTTGCGCAAATCAGACGCGCAACAAAGGCATACAAAGCCCTCTCACAAACCGAGCCAGACTTACCACGCCAAGGCTCTCCCCTACCTACCCTGCTCGCATTGCGCGAAACAGCCCGCCAAATCCTCGACCTCAAATCAAGCATATCCGCCACAGCCCAAGATCTCAGTACAAACCGTGAGCGGCTAAAAGCCGAACAAGCCGCTGCGCGCGATGCGCAACTCATCAGCGCACGCTTGGATGAGCGTATTAAGACTTTACAGTCCACACGGCCAGAAGAACGCGAGAAACGACCGGCGCAGTTGGCTAAGGAGCTCATGCAACAGCAGCGCAGGCGCAAGGGCGAGTTGAAGAATAAGACGACTGCGCTGAAGAAAGCGCTGAAAGCATTTATTGATGATTACTTAGCTGCGATGCTGGCTGCGGAGGATTTAGGGGGCCCGGTTGTAGGGGATAAGCTGGAGGTGTCGGATGCGACACTGGTGGCGGGATATACGACGCATGGGAAGGAGAAGAGGACCAAGGGTGCTGTGGGTGTGGACGTGGAAAGGGATTCAAGGCAGCAGCGGATTGATGAGCTTGTTTATCGTCGATCGAGTGGCGGTGGGGATGGGGATGGTCAAAGAGCTGGAATAGGTAACAAGCGCGAGGCAGCTGGAGCAGAGATGCATGATCTGATTACCTCGTTGCTGGATGCTGCGGGGACATCATCTTATATCGAGTTAGAGCGGGATACTGCCGCATCTAGGTTCCTGGTGAAAGCGAAAATTGCACAATTTCATCCACGGGATGCACATCGGTTGCGGCTGATTGATTTTGCGAGAGAACTGGTTGATTGATATGTTTCTTATGTGCTCCGACTCCTGTGCATACGCTTATTACGAGTATCTAACTCTGCATCACCCCGTTACATACAAAATTTACTTTGCTGAGGATAGGCAGCTGGCATGACTGGAGGTCGCTAAGGATAAAAAAGAAGAAAAAATGATCTAGTCGATTGTGTCATCCCTCAAGGCGAAAAGCTGTTTTACCAACTCATCAGCGTTCGTACGGATGGCGTTGTGATACATGACGTTCGTAATGAACTGCTTGCACCCTTTGATCTTTGCTGCCGTTTCCGCTGCCAACGCGTAATGCACATACATGTCATCAACGAAGGTTGCTGAAAATACCGGTACTTCGTTTTTTGCTAATTGGGCTTCGTCATAGAGGTCAGGCCATTCGCTATATGCCGCAATGATGTCTGCAGCAGCTTTGACTTGCCCAAGCTCGTCGGAAGATTCAAACATGTGGGGGTATATCTGTGTGCATAAATCCGACGTCAATTTTGGGCCTCAGTTGCACCCACGGGCGGATGCGCCTTTTCCAACTCACCATTTCCCCAGTGAAAAACACCGGACTTCCATCGAATTTGTTCTGAAATTGAGAGAACCTTGCTATCAATCTTTCCGCACACCAATTCGACGCCTCCCTAGACGATCATTAGCTGTTTGTTCTGCAAAATCGTCTCACAAAATGAGGCCATATACCCTTGGCAATATATTGCTTCATGTAGCACCGCATAGAGGATATTATTGTCGAAGGTGGTAGCATTATTCAGAATTGAAAGAGTTGGTGTTGTCAAAAGGTTAAACGTTTCAAGCTCGTTCTGTACTCTTAGTACGATATCTGTGCACATTAACAGTAAGTAGGCTTGAATAGACTCTCCGACATCCTCTCTTACCGTGAATAGAATCCAAGCCACCTATTTCACCATCAGCCAAAAAATTAGTTTCATCCAATCCATAGTAGGAAAATGTTTTTATATACCTCGCATTCCGAATGATAGCCCCAGCGACAAGAATCTAGAAGGCGTGAGAACTCCAGCCGGTAGCTGGACCCGGTTATCGTTCAGATAGCGAAGGATGTAATTAACTCTGCTGACATCCTCGGGGAACTTGGAATAATAAGCTTCATTCCGTTCCTGGACCTTTTCTACTGCGTCTCAGCTATTTTATTCACTCTATCTAGCGTTGTCAGAAACTTACCGTACGTCCGCTCAAGAACGGGATCTGGTCCCTTCCTAAGTGGGGGAAGGCCTCCAGTTGTGAAAACCTCCCGCAGGCCCTCCGGGCTTCACAAGCCAAAATTAGCCTCCAGAGCAAACCTGGGAGGAACAAGAGGGATATAAAATCATAAATCTTCTGAGAAACCCACAATTTTGAAAGATACGTAACGGCGCAAAACCCGCCAAAACTTTGGCCAAGGACGCTCCATTTCTTCTTTTCAGGCGGATATTCAGAAGTAATATTTTCGCGGATAGCCTCACAATCCCGGACTATGTTATCCGCACGGAATAATTTGAGATATTCTGCCTGTTTAACAGCATCACCTACGAGGCCAAGAGTAGCAGCCGTAATTGGAGCACTCAATCCTGTCCCTCGCTGGTCAAGTAAAAGAATCTGTAGAAATAATTAGTTAGGCCATTCAGAAACGCAATTTGGAACCAACAGCTGTGCAATGTTTATTCATTTATATTGACTCCAGCCACAGATGTGCGCCAGAAATGAAATGAGCAGCATTTGCCGTCCAAATCTTCCCATACCTGGTATCCCCTATCAAGCACCATTTGCACCCAGCCAACGTCCTGTGGTGCCGGTGATGGCATTCCTGGACCACCTTGTAGGTATAAAAACCAAGGTAAAACCTTTTCATCTCGGGGCAAATCAACCCCTGGTTCACGGCGTCTTACAGCCCGCCCAAAAAGCCGAATGGTGGCCTCAGTAGGCCGATCGTAATCCAGCGGGACATCCCAGAAAAGTTCAGTAACTCTCAATTTTCCTGTTAATTGCACGAGTAGGATACGAAAATATCAGTTATTCGGATTTGCTGAAGCTCCTGACACAATATGTATCGCAAAACTTTGCCAGATCAAGAAACAAGGCTGGGTATTAAATCGATCCCAAGCCACGCACCTGGAACAAAATGGACCTGCGACCTGACAAGCTTTGCGAGCCACATAATGAAAGTAGGCGGATCAAGGTAGACTATCTAGCGGAGAGCAGCGGGTATGCTGAACTGGGCATTCAAGATCTCCTAGGGAGAAGTTGTTCTGAGAGGATCCTATTCCTGCTTATTAAATAGTTATACACTGAGGGGCTGATAAATTATGTTGCAGATCTATGACGCGGTTAGTCACGCAACCTTGCAATCACCAAACAGTGTTATGGATATTCCATCTGCCACTTGTATGCACACAAAAAATCACCAATAGCTCTTTACACGAGTACGACCAAAGATATATATCTTACATTTATCTACCTATGGCAAGTATTTGTGATCTATATAGCAATACCTTGATACCATTACTAACCAATTGGAGAAGCTCGGCCGAATCGACGAATCATGGCAGTTGGGCTACTAATCAAACCTCTTACTGCTCCACTCAGCGATACGATCTTATATATGTCACTGGGAGGTTGTGGTATCTTCTTCCTTACACATAGAGATGGTAGAGACTCCAGAGACACAAGCAGGTGGCTGACCGCACACCGCAGACAACACGATTAAACCATCTCAACCATGAGCATCCAGCCCCTCCAATCCCGTCGGGATAAAGAATTCCCTCTCCAGATCTGCCAAACGGCCCTCTCGCCCTGGACGTTGCCCGTGCTCCCTACGCCAGCCACCGTTTCCAAGGCCCGTCACTCTCTGATAAACACGCTTCCCACCACCGGATTGGGATTTTCAGAGACAAAGCGACACTTAGTCGACGATATTATCCCCGGCTTCAACGGCAGCAGCCTCAGTGCCAATTACTATGCCTTTGTCACAGGCGGCGTGACACCCGCTGCCTTGTTGGCTGATACTATCGTATCTGCCTACGACCAGAATGTGCATGTGCACATTCCAGACCACTCCGTAGCAACGGATGTGGAACATCGAGCTTTGACGTTGCTGCTTGATTTGTTCGATCTAGATCGTAAAGTCTGGGTCCACAAGACCTTGACAACCGGCGCGACGGGTAGCAATGTGCTTGGACTCGCTCTTGGCAGAGAGTTTGTTCTTCGGGCAGCTGTGGAAAGGAAGGTAGGAGCGGATCGCGCGGCTATTAAGAGCGTGGGTGAACATGGTATGGCGGAAGTATTGCTTGCTGCGGGCCTAAAAGGGTTACAAGTTCTGTCCACATATCCGCATTCGTCAATTGGAAAAGCAGCGGGAGTTCTGGGTATTGGTCGGGCAAATGTTAAGAGCATCTGTGCTTCTGGTGGGAGCGAGAGTCAACACCCACTTAGGTTTGATTTTGAGATTCTAGAAAAGGAATTATCTAGAAGCGATGTGGCAAGCATTGTTGCGGTGTCTTGTGGTGAAGTGAACACGGGACATTTTGCGACAGGGGGACTTGAAGAGTTTAGGGAGATACGGCATCTCTGCGACAAGTACGGTGCCTGGTTACACGTTGATGGCGCTTTTGGCATGTTTGGACGTATTTTGAAAAGCGGCAAAGAATTTGACCGTATTTTGAAAGGATGCCAGGGGCTTGAATTGGCAGACTCCATAACAGGGGACGCTCATAAATTACTCAATGTTCCCTACGATTGCGGCATTTTCTTCTCACGCCACGCGGATATCGCAGAGGATGTCTGCAGGAACCCTAACGCGGTCTATCTAAGTGTTGGTGCTGGTGAGATCCCGGCTCCGTGCAATATCGGCCTTGAGAACTCCAGGCGTCTCAGAGCACTGCCGGTGTATGCAACCTTAGTTGCATATGGAAAGGACGGTTATAGGGATATGTTAGAGAGGCAGATAAAACTCGCTAGATCGGTTGCTGGCTGGTTACTTGAGCATCCAGCTTACGAAGTTCTTCCTCACAACCCAGTGAAGGAAAGCCTTCTGCAGGATACATTTATCATTGTTCTATTCAGGGCAATAGACGAAGGCTTGAATAAGGTGCTGGTGAACAAAATCAATGCTAATTCAATAATATTTGTGTCGGGAACGAGTTGGGACGGCAAACCTGCGTGCAGAATTGCAATTTCAAATTGGAGAGTAATCGAAGAGAAGGATTTTGAAATGATAACTACCGTGCTACGTGAAATCGCTCAATAATGTGAACAGCGATGTGTGTGTGCGGTCTATCTATATACATCAAGAATATCAATAGAATACCACGATATTTTTTCACCATTATCTCCGACGTCCTGCCGTTGGAACGTCACTTCTATCGGCCATACTGACGACCTCCCCAATGCCAGCCTCTTCTTGTTCGTCTTCCAGAGCTGTGATTTCTTCTCTGCAATCCCACCATTTCTCTTCAGCAAGAGCAAACGCTTCCTTTCGAAGTTCCTTTATGCTCATTTCTGATCCAGATTTAGCAGTGTTCATTTTACATATTAGAATATCCTGCCATTCCGAGGAGGTCCTGTTGAAGAAATCTCTCAGAGACTCAAAAGGTCGGGGATGCGGTCGAGAATCCTGGGCAGGGGTTTCTGATTCTTGTTCGACCTCTGTTTCCATCTGCGCAGGTTCCGTGACGCTTGTTGCTGCGGTCGACGCTACTTCTACCGACTCCATCTCTATATCCTCATTTTCTCCGTCGTCTGATTCTTCCTCTTCCTCGTCCTCTTCATCAGTGTCGACTGGAATGACATCATTCCAATGTTCAGGCTCGTTGTAGAATATCTCCTTTACGCCATCCAGTTTCACTAGATCAATGGAATACATGTCGTTAAATGTAAATTCCTGATCTCCTCTTTCAAAGGTGCCGCCAAAAATAAACAGTGTATCATCCAGCACCGCTAATTGGGAATTGAACCTCCGGTGCGGCATTTCAAAGCGAACTGTCAAGTTTCGTTTCTCTCCGTTATCCTCGTCCTCATTTTCTGGAGAGTCGATGTCCATCGGCTGCGACTCTATGGCCTTAGTTTCAACGAGCGCGAGGTTGCGCAGTAGGTCCTCTTCATCTGCTTTACCCCGGCTCCGCTTTTCGGTCTTCATAGCAGCCTGCTGCTTCTTGCCTGTTGCACGCGGCCGACGAAGAGCCAATTGGAAAAATCGGTTTCGGTCAATGTTCCATGCGTGAAGGCTGTCGAAGAATTCACTTTCAATCCCATCTTCGGTTGCCTCAACGTCGTGGACGCCGCCAAACATAATTCCTCTTCCCTTGTGGAATGCCATAGTTGCACCCGCCCGGAGAGGGTTCGGAGGATTAGCCGGTTTCTTCCGCCGCTCCCATCGAATCGTAGGCATTGCAGTGGAGGGAGCATCAGATGGGGGTGGGGTAATTCGTAAGAACCAGGTGTCTTGGTGAACAATTGGCTTGAGGATCATACGCTGCGCTCCCCCTTTCTGCTGCTTGTTGGCCGCGGCGCTCATCTTTACTCGAGAATATCCTCCGTAAAGTACCGCGCCGAATTCATGTGGAAGAAATGAAAATGAGGATCTAGCATCTGGCTTTTGGGACGCTGGAGGAAGAATAACGTTATGCCACGTATACTTTTGACAGTCATATATCCACAAATCCTGAAGGTACTTTGTCTGGTGGGAAGTATCCTGGAAACCGCCAAATAATAGTATATAATTCTTGGGGAAAAAGTTAGAATCGAGGTAAACTTATGCAATTACGCATATTCGCATACAGCTGCTTCAAACAATAAACTGCGTTTAACAACCACCATAACAGGAATGCAGGATAATTCGACCTACCTTGAAATAAGTCATTCTATGCCCGCTCCTTGCAGGAGGCCCTTTGGTCTTTGTTTCAATCCTACTCCATTCCCTTGACGATGGATCTAGGTGCCAGAAATCATTATAGTGATAAAAGGTTCCTTGTTTTGGAGAGGAAAATTCTCCTATATTTGCGGTCAGTATTTTATCTACTTTACGTTTACACTATTCGTTCAGCATTGCACATGCCTCCAAACATATAAATTCCACCTGCATTTCCCCCGCGACACCATGCATGTCCACTCCTGGGGAGAGGACTATTTGGGCTGGTGACCTCCCGCCACTCATGCTTATCAGCTTGATAGACAAAAAGGTTATTGTAAAACGTGGCTATTGTGCCATCAAAATATTCTCCTCCGAAGAGAAAGAGCTCACTTCGCCTTGCTGGCGACGCAATCAAGGTAGAGGAAGAACGTGGTGACGGTGGCCCGCAGCTGACCTCGGTGACCTTCAGGAACTTGGCCTGTTCTTCTGCATATGCTGCCAAAACAGCATCCAGATCAACATCTTCAGCATCGCTGTCATCAGCCTGACCCTTTGCTTTGAGTTTCTTCTCCTTCTGAGCCAATTTCTTAGACTGTTTAGCGGCTACACGGGCCTTTTTCTCAGCAGTTTTGGACTTTTTGTCGCTTTTGCCCATCCTTGCGCAAAGTACAGGAAGATATTTAGGTGGGAGCACTTTTTTATCCCGCCACTGTATCGGTTGTGAGTACCAGAAGCGAGACAAAGCCAGAGAGCACTTTTCATTGGTGGAAATTCCCAAAATTTTGTCAGATGACCGACGTGCCCTAAAACACCAAAACGATACCCTTTTGAGGAACAATTCTGGTCTGTATCATCTTGACATTGTAATAATTGTCGACCGATGAATTGGGTCGTGATTGTTGAAGGCTCTCAAAGAATTTCCAAGGCTCCTCCGCAACAGCCCCAAAGTCAAGATCGCGAAGTGGGTTTGACATCACGTGCCAACGCGTATTCATTTCATCCAAACACGAAAACTTCCCCAGCCTGAAGAGACTATCAATCTCAAACATCTTCCCTGTTGGCGACGAATTGTACCATCCGGTAACTTGATCCAGTGTCCCTAAGAGTCCCCCTACAAAAAACCAGCAGCGAGATGACTCTATGACAAGGCATAATTTAAAAGATCACCTGTCTTGGCTATTGAACAGTGGACCGCTGATACCTCCGTTGATACCACAAGCACAAACCGCAGGTGGAAACAGTGTTACAAGACAAAAGGTTGCCAGTTTCGGAAATCCCTTAGATGTGGTGCATACTGCCAATGACGCGGTGACATCGGTCTTACAACCCATACAACACGATCTTGATCCTCAGCATGCGAAGGTTGAGGAGGCAGATATCGGGTTTGAGCTATCGGATGTGGACATGGCCCGGCTTCAATGTGCTCCACTATCTTCAACGAAGCCGCGCATGCTGAGTAGCATCAAGCAGAGATTTCCAGCTTCGCCGGGCAGGTCTAATGTGCTGAAAGAAAAGCGTATCTTTCCTGGGAACAGCGAGCCTCGTTCTGGAGCTAAGAAGAATAGTTTGTTATCCCCACGAACTAGATCTAACTCTTAACTGTACTTGTGCTGACCATTGAATTAGCTAGGCGCACTTCCCCATCGCAAATCAGTCCAAGATTCCTGTCTCGTCAATCAACCTACCCTGGCGATTCCAAATTTTCCGGCAAACATGTTGATTCCATAGACCTAACGGGTGACCAAGCCCTCCATACGTCGTCATCGGGGACTGTTGAAACATTTGGAGAGCCGCTACGGATATGGAGAGAGGATTATGCATCTCGCCCCGAGCCATTGAGCAACCGTGGAATGAAACGAAAAAGCGATGACTATGAGGCAGACCTAAAAATACCAACAGATCCAATATCGCAGAGCTCGCAGGGATCCCAAGTAACTCCGGATAAAAAAGAGCCGTGCGATTTTACTTCTAGTTCAAACCATGGCAAGTCGGCTAAGAAATCTTTATTGGATCCGTTATCGGTTATTGGTGACTCAGAAGGCGAAGACGACGGGATTGATCTTTTCCGCACTGACAACGATAAAGATTACCAATCTCCCCCATACTCATTTAGTAGTCATGACCTATACCCAAAACTAGCTAAACAGAAAGAGGGTTGGCAGGGAGCAATCAAATCCAAGAAGTCATCCCCGCCTGACCGAACGAGTCCAAGGAGTTCTGGACGTCGACCATCAACAATTGCTTCTCCTGTCCAACAGCATACTCCTATCTCGAATGTGCAGGCACCGGAAGACCGCGGCAATGGCTTAGGGAGCTCTATCTCCCGTAGCACTTCTAGCCGTCGAGGAAGCCAGAATCCCGCCTTGGCCAGTTTTCTCGCGCTTCCTCCTGGCTTTATTGAAAATCTTCTTGAAAAGTTTAAAGCTGACCGTTCCAGAAACGCAGAAATGGCATATCAGCGGGCTATGGATGCTATGGATGCTTCTGATTTGATTGAGGAAAATAAGATATTGAATTGTAAGATTGGGGCTCTTGAAAACCTCCAAAAACGACAAAAAGCATACACTTTATTGCAGGAAAAGCAGGAGAAACTTAAGAAACGGATAATTCAATTTGCTGAACGAGCAACGATTCTGCCGGATGCATCTGGTGATGTTGATAAAGCTCGAAAACTTGCACTGGAGCGCCAGGAACAGGAGGCTAAATTAGTCGAATTAATCGAGCAATCCGGGATCCTGAAAAATGAAAGCGGGACAGCTATCAATGGTACTAGGCCTCCAGCTCATGAAGTTCTAATCACAGGAACCCAATTTCCAAAGAAATGCACCGACAATGTTGTAATGACCTTCGAGCCCCAAAAGTCACCTCCAAATATCTCCCATCCGCCATCGCAATCTTTTCCGCAAACGTTTACGAAACCCAAAACTCCTACAAAGTTTACCCCTAAAACCTCAACGTTTGGTGGCAACGATGGCGAGTATATTCTGGACAAAGACGATCTCTTTTCTCGGAATATGGGAACGCCCGTCGCTTCGGAAATGATAGATTTTGACAATGACACTGATGATTTTGATATGCTCGAAGTAGCGGAACATTTCGAGAATCAATGGTCTGGGCCTGTACGCAATATTTCATTCGGAGGTCCGGCCATGCGGCATGAAACAACATCTTCTGCTAAGAATCCCGCACCCGAATTATTACAACATCCGTGGTCTAAAGATGTCAAGCACGCATTACTACATCGTTTTCAGCTGAATGGATTCCGCCCTAACCAATTAGAAGCCATCAATGCGACGTTAAGTGGGAAGGATGCGTTTGTTTTGATGCCAACCGGAGGGGGAAAGTCTCTCTGTTACCAATTACCTTCTGTCATCCAGAGCGGCACCACAAAAGGAGTTACAGTTGTTATATCTCCTCTTTTGAGTTTGATGGAAGACCAGGTTGCTCATTTGAAGCGACTACATATCCAGGCATTCCTTTTAAACGGTGATGTGAGCAGAGAAGGAAAAAAGGAGATATACGGTGCCCTCCGCAATGCCAGGGTCGAACATCTCATACAGTTGCTCTACGTCACTCCTGAGATGGTGAACAAGAATGGGGCATTACTAGATATCCTAAGTCATTTGCACAGCCGACGTAAATTGGCGCGCATTGTCATTGACGAAGCTCATTGTGTAAGCCAATGGGGTCACGATTTCCGCCCTGATTACAAGGAATTAGGAAACACTAGAACGAGATTTCCGGGAATCCCACTCATGGCACTTACTGCTACCGCCACAGAAAATGTTAAGGTTGACGTTATCCACAATCTCGGTATGCGTGATGCCGAAGTATTCGTCCAGTCTTTCAATCGGCCGAATCTGATATACGAGGTCCGTCAGAAGCCGAAAGGCACAAATGTAGTTGACGGCATAGCCGAAACAATCAAGACATCATATAATGGTCAAGCGGGCATAATATATTGCTTATCCAGACAAAGTTGTGAGAGGGTGGCTGAACAACTTCGCGAGACGCATAAGATAAATGCGGCCCATTACCATGCTGGCCTTCCCGCCGAGGACCGAATATCGATTCAAACGGATTGGCAATCTGGAAAATGCAGCGTCATCGTGGCCACAATTGCTTTTGGAATGGGTATCGACAAACCAGATGTTCGTTTCGTTATCCACCACTCGATGCCTAAAAGCTTGGAGGGGTATTATCAAGAAACTGGGCGAGCTGGCCGCGATGGCAAAAGGTCAGGCTGTTACCTGTATTATGGCTTTCAAGACACAGCAACCATACGCAATATGATCGACAAAGGGGAGGGAAGTAACGAGCAGAAAAGCCGCCAGCGTCAGATGCTCCGTCACGTTGTTCAGTTTTGTGAAAACAGGAGTGATTGTCGACGAGTACAGATCCTCGCCTACTTTAATGAAAAGTTTAAAAAAGAAAACTGTAATCGCTCCTGCGACAACTGTAAAGCGGGCTTGACTTTTGAAGACCGAGATTTCACGGATCTCGCTGCTTCTGCTGTGAAGCTTGTTGGACGTCTCGCGGACCGAAAGGTGACTACTTTGTACTGTGTAGATTTGTTCAGGGGCGCCACGAGGAAATTTTCGGATCCAGCAGATAAATGCTTTCCCGAATTCGGCATTGGAGCTGACCTAGATCGCGGTGACGTCCAGCGACTGTTTTCCCATTTGCTATGTGAAGAAGTCTTGAGGGAAGAAAATGTTATCAACAATGCGCATTTTGCCACTCAATATGTACAACTTGGAGAAAAGGCCGCTGAGTTTCTCTCCCGACGTCACCGGCTAATGATTCCGATTCGCGTTTCGCCTAATAGCAAGGCTACTCAGAAATCCAAGCCTACCGCAAAAAGAAATCGTGGCACCGGAGTCCGTGCTGTTGGGAATGAATATCCAGCGTCCACAAATGTTTCGTCCCCGATCCAAGAATCGTTGCGGCGACGCCAGCGTGGACGAAGATATACAGGCCCGGATGTGCTCGAAGATGAGGATGAAAGCGATGGTTTCGAACCGATACGTGATGCCGGGCTACAGCGTCGGTCATCTGGTCGAGATTTGGGACCTCCAATCACCAATGATGGAAAAATATCTCAGCTTGACCCTCTCCAGAGCATCATCGTTGACGAGTTTATGTTTTATGCCAAGAATACTTGTCATGATGTATGTTACGTTTCGCGTTAGAATCCATCCGCCTTCTCAAGTCGTGCTGACCCTGTCATAGATAATGATGAAGAAGTCTCTTCGCAATCAACCATTTCCTGATGCTATATTGCGTGAAATGGCCATCAGCTTGCCACGAGGTATGTACCTCCAATACCAACATGACAGGCATAGGTTCCTAACTTACCACAGATAAATCTCAACTGCTCAAAATTCCCAACATTGACCCTGACAAAGTCGATCGGTATGGAGACCAGTTTCTTCGCCTAATCCGACGAGCCGAAGATCGATATCAGGAACTTCTAGCAGAGAGAGATCGAGATGGATCTCCGGTTCCTGATCCAAATCATGAAAATGTCATCAATATCAGTAGCGGTTCTGAATTTGGCTCAGGGGAAGATTTTGATGATCGTATTGATGATACCCCGGCTACAGGCGCCCCGATTTGGGAGAGAAGTTCTTTCTTCGAACAAGACGAAGAAGTAGCTGCATTCAATGCCCGCAGTAAGTTGACTTTACCAGGTCCTATTTGACTCTCAATCAATTCCGCTGCTGATATTGCTTTTTGACAGTGTCTCAACTCGAGCCCACACGGAACTCCGGTCTCACAACTAATGCTTCTACCAGGCAGACGTACCGCTCATCAAAACGAGGACCCGGTTCATATAATAAATACGCTATTGGTTCATTTCGTGGGAAAAATACGAAATCTCGAGCAGGCTTTGGAGCGGGAGGTGGTACTAGAACTTCAAGTAAAAAGCCTGGAAAGTTTCGTTCCAAAAGGAATTCCCAATCTTCGTCTTCGCATCCAACAAGACGCCAAGGCAGCCGCTCAGGCTCAGGCTCCGGCTCCGGCTCCCGTTATGGTGGCATCGGCATGATGCCTACGTAGAGTGAATTATTCACTAATTTGGCGTCAACTATACTCCAACTCTCTCTTGTTCCCCCACTCGTCTCTTCCCATTATTTTGGTGGATTTTCTGAATAATTCCCTTCGTCTTTCAATTCACTGATTCAAGGGGAATATGAAGGTGACCTGTCCGCATTTTGGCGAGTTGCTCTTTTCGGTTTATTTTGACCCAATTTATCGACTTTACCTAGGGCGAGACAGACGGGTCAACAGGCTCCCAACAAGATCATATTCCACAGGACCAGCTGAATGAAGGAGTAACGATTATTGTTACGCAGCACACGTCATTATTATTTATTCATGATACCCTAACATGATCCTATCTATACATCACTAGATTCCCACTTTTATTTTTATATTTCCCTTTTATTAATGCCTGATATACATTCATAGTGCGTAATATCTTTGTGTTGAATAAAAGTACCGCTTCTTTGCTAGCTCAAGCTGGTTGGTAGTAGAAATTAATGGCAGTAAGCAAACTGATATCTCATGGACATGTCGACCTTAAGGTACTTGGAGTGCCCAATGATGGCAAAAAGTGAATCTCGTTCGCCTTCCGTTCAGCTCAACCTCATCAGACCAATGCTAATTCAAGGTGTATTTTAACGAGGTATCGGGGGTATTTCCATGAGGACTAACACAAAGAATAGGAAACTGCTTTAAAATACCTAGCAGCACAGACCTCCATTAGTCAGATGTAAATTGCAAAAATATTGAACAAGAGAGCTAGGATATGAACAGAGCATGAAGGGATCAAGGAATATTTAATTTATGAATTTTTTTTTTTTCCCTTAAGACTCACAGCGCCGCCAATAATAAACAATCTCTCCTCTTCCTGCTGTGCCCACTGTGCGATTTTGCTCGCACTCTGCGATAGAGCGTTCCGATTACTATTCGGACCGGCAACACAGTATAATTCGAAAACAGGCGTGATCCATGCGAGTGCGTTCATGGAACTTGTCGTCCTATGTTCGACTCTAACGTGCGCATACTTCGCATGAACACTTGAGTGAAGAGAGTGGTAGGTAGATAAAAGCCTGGAAAAGGAATGACACGTCCATTTTATTAGTTATTGCGGTGTTAAACTTAGCTGGTTTTTTATTCCTGCTTGGTAAATAACGTAAATGGAAAGGTGATGTATAGATTTAGTTATGTATGTACAAACCTGCGTCTCCCCAGAGTTGTTGAGAAGTCTGGATAATATGAGGCCATAGAAAATTGAACATTTGCTTTTGATTTGTAGAGAAAATGTCGCAGGACGGTTCCAGGCACAATATCTGTTGTGGTAGGCCGACCCTTTTCAATCGCTGCCTTAATAATGTCGATGCTGCCATTTTTCGTCATTCGCTAGTACACTAGTCAGTTTCCTACTATGCTTCTTGGATGATGGTTGAAAGGGGCCCTAAATGGAAATAAGGGTTGATTACCTCCACTACAGAATCACGCATCTCTCGAAGTACATAAAAACTTTCCTTATCTGCGCTGATTAAGATGATAGCAACGGAATCGTCTTTGTTCGTGTCCTGGTTTGCAGTATGGTTTCCATCGCCACGTAGATCAAGAAAGCTGACATACATGTACAGATAACCACTGCTATTAAAACCCGGAAGGCAAATAGGGATCCAGCTGTCTCCGCCACCAGCTTTGACACCATCTGCTTCAAAAATCATGTTAAATATCAATCGAAGGTCTCCTGGGTGTAACGAGTGCTTCTTTGGTCTGATCACGCTCACAAGCCGCCCCCCCGCGACGACAAGCCCGTATAATAGGCTATCAGCCCTTGTCTTTAAAAGGCTGTTGTTTATTGTTTGTCTATGGGATTTTCGGATTTTGAGGCATTCCAGAGCGGAGAGCAAGGTCGATGGGGAGCCCCTAGTGAAACTATCGGCTAACGATGAGAGAAGAGGCTCCGTTCCCTGCAGAGGGCGGCGTAAATCAGTCGATGGCCGGACAGAAAATAAGCGATTTAGACTTGGAAGTGTCAATGTCGATAAAATTTGCATATATAAAGCCTCCAGTTGCATCCTTAGCTGGATATCGTTCTCGAAAAAGCGACTGATAGCAACTAGATACAATGGCCCCTGCGATAAAATAACAATCCTTACTTTCCCAACTGAGAAGCTCTTGAGGGAGTCTCCAGATTCTTCATAAAAAGATATGATCGTTTGAATAATACCAATATAGTCTGAAATCAGCCCACTATCGCCGTGTCTTGTGTATATTGGTTTTCCTGCCTGTGACAAAATAAGGAAATGCTTCCTTTTCTGCTTCCATGCTTCGACAACATGTGCTATGACATGTCAGTGCTCATTCTAAGGTCGAAAAGAATCTTACAGGTCATTTAAAGGCTTTACCTGAATTGGAGCCATCTGGCTCCACTTCGTCGATAGTATCGAACTCATTTTCGAAATCATAGTCCACTTCATCGTCCTCAGACTCCAAAAAGTCTCGTTTTCCTGTGTTCTCTCCACCCTCAGGCCATGAGAAATCTTTGCCTCCAATTACGGGAAAGTCCCCGAAAAGGCTCATGTCATCGGAGGTCTCGCCGCCTGGGACGAAGCTCCGTACACTTATAGAATCACCAGCATCGCTTCCCCTGCGACTTCTCAAATGGGCGCCGCTCAGCCTGTGCCCTAGAGTCACTCCAGCGGCGATTTTCACACCTGATGATAAAGGTGGCTCCCTGGAACCGTCGGAGGGGTTCTGAGTATTGATATCTGTTAAGGACAAAGCAGTTGTAGGTTTTGACTGTAGATTATGTTTTGAAGAGGGCCTTATTTTCGAAGGACACCCTGCTACACTCACTTGTTTGTCGAGACCGACGATATTGGGTCGAGGGGGGAGCGCCGGGGGAACTTCTGCGTTCTCTCCGCCACTTCCAGAAGAAGCTGTATCTGTAGTGTTCTGTGGTGGAGCTGGAATGCCCAAGGACAAGTTTCCCTCGTCGCTACCTAGCAGCTTATCATCTTTCTTCTTCGAATCCATATGTGGTCATCTATTTCGCGATGGAGAGTTGAGGGTCATACGAGGAGCATTTTGCAAGACAGGTTTTAGGGAAGACGATATTATCGTAGCCTAACCGTACCTGGTTGTAGAGGGCAGGTTCTTGTGGCATACGTGCATCAAATAGATATTAGATATATAAAGATCCCCCTTATATCTGACCAGTATAAACAGGGCATATTGCTCTTCGAGTGGTGGCGAAGGGAGTTGGAGTGTGATGTCAGCGAAGGGAGCCGCTTGGCGTGGAAATCAAGCATCAACAACATCCAGATAAAAAATACTTGGCTTCTTTCTCCAAACTTACCCTCAGTCGATTCCACAACAGAAGCCTCTCCTTGTAAAGGATGATGGTCAACCTATTCCCTAATACAGCTTTTCCACTTCGGCACAATGGGCCTTGATCCGGGCGACCTAACACGGTCCTCGTCTCCATCCGGCTCTGAGGCATCGCAGCCGAAATCTCGAGCTCAAGCAGTGGATCGTATGTCGCTCACCCCCGCAGAGGTGGATTTTTGCTCACCTTTTGTGATCACAGAAATACATATAAAGGATAAAAACTACCGCCGTTATGCCGCCAGCGTTGACCGAGCCCTATCCTTGTTTGACACTGCTCTCCAGGAATGGGCAGACTACATCTCGTTCCTAAGTCGGTTGTTGAAGGTATATTCACGCTTCGTTTAGTATTTGGCTGCGAATGCTCAACTCCTCTTCCGAATAGGCTCTACAATCTCATCCGCCATCTCTACCCATCATTCCAAGCAAAACAATTGTTGCGCGAAGATTGGCGCAATGTCTCAATCCCTCGCTCCCATCTGGAGTTCACCAGAAAGCCCTGGAGGTCTACGGCTATATATTCTCCATCCTTGAGGTAAAGTCTCTAGATTCATAGAATCTCCAAACGTTACACACTGAGAATTAATTCCTTTTAGCCAGATCGCCTGTCCCGAGATCTTGCACTCTACCTACCTGGAATTGCCCCCACACTATCTTTCGCATCGTTAACCGTTCGACCGCTTTTTCTCTCCTTGGTTGAGGCCTATATAGTTGATTTGGACCCGTCAGCACTCCGCCCAGCATTAAAATCCATTATCCTAGCGTTGCTTCCAGGGCTAGAGGAGGAAACAAGTGAAGATTTCGAAGCCGCTATAAGGATAGTGAACAAATTTCGGAAAATAAATCTCAGGGAAGACTCTTTGTCAGATTCGAATAACGACACTAGCAGCCAATACTTCTGGCAATGCCTCTTCCTCGCCTCCATAACTAACCCAAGTCGGAGACTTGGTGTGCTTGCATATTTGAATCGCTATCTTCCCAAGCTTGGTGGAACAAGCCCATGGTTGATAGACTCGGAAAGCGGCAAAGCAGATAGAGGCTCTAGCTTACTTTCAATAGCAGACTCCATTATTATGCCAGAGCCGGGGCTACTAATTCGATGCTTTGCGACGGGTCTTTCTGATGAACAGCTTCTTGTGCAGAGAAACTTTTTGGATCTTCTTGTTACTCATTTACCCCTTCATTCTCCCGTATTACAAAATCGGACCACTCCAAATGACCTCGAGATTTTAGTTGCGGCAGCCGCCGGCGTGGTGACAAGAAGAGATATGAGTTTAAATCGCCGCCTCTGGTCATGGTTTTTAGGCCCGGAAACGTCAAATGGCGCGCAAGAACTTAGTCTTGGTGAAGCAGAGCCGCAGTTATCTTCGGGACATGAGGCAAGCCGTGTCTTTGATTACGAAAATGCGAAGTTCCAGTACTTCAGTCGTTTCGGCCTAAAACCCCTTGTTCAAAGCATCAAGACAATGATAAATCGCAATTCTCTTCATCCTCCAGAAAGAGCAAAGCCGCTCAAGATATCACTGTCTTTGATGGATCGCTGGGAAGTGGGAGAACTAGTTGTTCCAGCAATATTCCTCCCAGTTATGCGTAGCGTTCAACAATATGAACAACTAGCGTCTTCAACTTCGAATTTCGAAGAGGTTTTTAGAAGTGCAAGTGCTTTTTTCGACGGAGTTGAGAGCAGCCTGATATTCTCTGAGCTCCTTTCCCTTGTTCACGTTGATCCGTCGGGCATTCAAACTCGATCTGGCCGTGCCATAAAAGACCTTAAGCTCACGAATTTTATTATCTCCCGTTTCAATATGGGGGAGGAGGAAATGCTCATTTCCCACATCCCGTTATTGTTGTTAGCGCTCCTTGTTAAAATGAGGGTTATTTCGTCAAGTACTGAGGGTGGATTTGATCATCAAAACATTCAGTCCGCAGCACTGAACGAGACTTCACTGATAGTCAAGCATCTCTTGGAATTGATTCCAGACAGAGTATTTCACGATGGAATTGTGACAGATCCAACTCGACATGATCAACCTCTTGGGGAATTCCCCGACATTGCCAGCGAAGAGATTATCAAGTCGATAATTGGGTTCTACAAGACAAGCAAAGCAAATCTCAAATTACCGCCATTGCCCTTCTCATACCGTGATATAGGCGAGTTACTTCTCCGAGAAGCCCAGTTTCTGGTACTGGCTGAGTTAGAATCGGAAAACCACTCCCACTTGAAAGATCGGGTGAACATATTTATATCCCTCCTCAATAAGATCCGCAAATCCCAAATCGTTAAAAACGGGAGACTCTTCTCAACCATGTATCACAAACTTCTCTCTAAGTCTACTGAAAAGTTACCTTTTGTTATGATTTCATCGATGTGCTCTATTGTGACGACTCTTTACTCCATCCACGTACCCGGATTCTATATTTCTTATGAGCAGGTATCCGATATTATCCCGCCATTAGTTCAGAAACTTTGGGCCTTTCTCTCGCCCTTGAGCCCCAAATTTCACGTGGAATCTGTTCGATGTCTCTGGCTGTTGCATTCCGTGACATGGCAAAATCATTTGATTGAAGCATCCATTGCATCCATCATGGTTGGTGCCGAGGGATTCAATTCATCGCATCTTACAACGATAGAGGAAACTGAAAAGTTTGTAGTCCTATGGAATCATAGCCAGCAAATTAGCATTGATCCTTCAACTGTGCGCTCTGTTACCGACTACCACTCACACAGTGGTGGCTCAAGAGATCCGAAATCTATCTACCAGTCCTCCATGCTCGATCGCCCGTTATTTCTCGTATTGGATTTGCTATCGGGAGTTGTCAGTGAAGCTTCACTGGTGGTCAAGGAATGGATTTCGGATCTTTCATCTCTGCACAAGTAGGTCTAGAACGTCGATTTTCCAATCTTTTGTTATTGTTAACGTTGACCATCCGACTTTAGGATATTTGACATAATAATTTCAAAACTTACCGATCTTTCATACCTCATGGCATCGGATCTAGAAGACACATCCCAGTATCGCCATCCCACAGAGCATGGGGAAGCAAATCAATGCCGATATCTTTTCGAGACTGCTTCCGGTGTGATATCCTCGTTGAGTCGGATGGGATGGTCTATATTAATGACGAACACCGTTACAGGACTTGATAAATGCCGCAAAAGCTCTGACACTGATGGTAAGTTCGGCCATATCAAATATCGGATTTCGGAGTTAACAGTGTTACTTTCAGATGATGCCCAGAGCCTAAGTATTCAAGCCACTTTAATACGCCTTTCTATTCAAGCTCTCTCGTCTTGTATAACGGCCACCAGGGAGCCACATTCGGAAGAAGAGCGGATGCAATTGGCAGCTTTTACCGTAATGCGCCAGCTTCTAAGTGGACCAGGCGCTGGGCAGCTCGTTGAAATGGAATTGGACAACTTCCTAATCGACCAGTTATTCTTCTCCTTGGACCACAAAAGGAGTAGTCTCCAGCCTGTCATGATCGACACCTTGCTAGCCGCATTGAAAATTCGATTCACTCCGGGATCTTTAGAGCCTCACGTTCCTTCGTCTGTTACTCGAAGGAAAGCTTCTCTCGATGCTCTTTCAAATATCTCACGTATATCGCTAACTGGCGAGAAATCCGAAAAAGAGCTCCGAGGAGGTGTAGCTCCACTGCCATCACCACAACTATTACAATGTTTGCTAAAAGGGCTTAGCTCCACCTCCTCGCAGAATGCAGTGCAAAAATGGGTCAAACTTCTTGTGGAATGCCTACCATTGTACTCTGGTACCATTTTCCAAATCTTGCTGACGTTGGTAGAATGTTTGTGTCAACGGATAATTGCCTCGTATAATGAACTCCAGCTTTTGTTCAAACAATCCAATGGATCTATTGGGGAGCGTTCAGAGTATGTTACCATGGCTCTGCTTGGGGGATTGGAGAACTGTATTGCAGTGGCTCATGAACGCTTAATTCTCGAGGAAGAGAGTGTTTCTCCCGTGAAAAGCCCAGACCAGCCTCAGGGATTTTTTGGAAACATGGTTTCCGGTGTGTTCGCTTCGGAAGGAAACCATTCTAGGAGCGCTACTGCTAATGACAGATTGACTGTTCTGCTTTGCTTTCAAGATACTGTCCGCTTGTGTTGCTCAATCTGGTCGTGGGGCAACGTTCGACGTTCTAACAACTCTCAGGACCCCGAATCAATTTCTTCTTTTCAGTATACCTCGTTGAGAATGAGAAACCGATCGCGGCGTATCTTAGAGCATCTATTTAATGCTGAGGCCTTGGATTGTTTAGAGACATTAGTCCAGTTGTGGCACGATGCAGTAACGGCAGATGAAACGGCAGGAGCCCGATCAGTGTTTAATTTACTTCATACACTAGATGGGTCACGACCCAAAGTAACCATCCCAGCCATATTCAATTCCATATACAGCCGAACCGACCCAACTGCGCTGGAGCCTAGCCGCAAGTCGGTTATGACATCCAGGCTATCCGAGGCTGACTTAGTTTCATTTCTCGTGACATATGCTAGATCACTAGATGATGATGTGTTGGACGAGATATGGGCAGACTGCACCACTTTCCTTCGTGATGTATTAGCGAACCCGTTCCCACATCGACACATCTTGCCACGGTTGATGGAGTTTGGTGCAGTCTTGGGTGAAAAGATGGATCGGACTAATTTTGGTGACGACCGGCGAGCGAGGAAAGACCTCGGGGTAAGTCGCAATGTAGCCATGTTTCCTCCAAGTTTAGTTGAAGCTCACTGATATCTGTAGGATTTGTTGCTGCGCCTCCTTACGGCGATACTTACTAGCAAACCATTAGGCTCATCACACGAGCCCATCGCGGCATCGCGACAGCTAGCGGATAGCGAGCGAGCGTCAAGGCCTTCTTCCAAAGGCCAGCAGCTCATTGGACCTGACGATACAGTTGGAATCCTCGCATCAGTGATGCCCGCGTTGGTTACGACTCTGGGAGAATCAGACAGGATATCCACTGCAATGTCAAATATATCAGCGAACATAATAGCGCCACTATTTCATTCAAGACTGTTTCCGCAAAATGTGAACAAAAGCGTCCTCGACCTCCTCCAACAAATGTCAAAGATTCCTGGTGCCTCAAAGTACTGGCGGAAAGATATGGGCGACGCTTTCAACGACACCAAATTCTTCACGACGAAGGTCGGGCTTGTGCAGACGCATTGGCTTGATCTGATTCATCATTGGGTCCTGACTGATAAAGACCGATTGCCTGACGTTTACTCTCGCTTATCGACCCCAACATCTGCCGGGATAATGTTCGGCGTAGGTGCTGCAGCTGCGCGACTTGAGGCTGACCGCAAAGCTCAGTTGAATTTACGGCGAGTGGCGTTATTAATATTAGCTGCAGACGAAGATCATTTCGCTACCGAACTCGCAAATGTCCACCAAAAGCTCGAAGACCTCCTAATGGCCACCCACATATCTTCACCTTCTTCCGTGACTCGAGCGGAAGTATATATGGTCCTCAGAGCACTAGTCTTGAAGACTTCTACCATCCACCTTGCACCCTTTTGGCCGATTGTAAACAGGGAACTCCAAGATGCGATTTCAGCCATTGGCCCAGGCCAGCAGGTGGAGACGTATAACCCTTACTCGCTCTTGCAAGCTTGTAAGCTTCTTGAAACTCTACTTCTCATTGCTCCCGATGAATTCCAGCTTCAGGAATGGCTATTTGTTACAGATACCATCGATGCGGTCTATCCACCAGACCAGTGGGAATCTGTCGCTCTCGCTGACTCGATCGCGCAAAGCCTGGGTACAACCACAAGAAGAGACAGCATTGACCGCTCGACAAGTAATGGTCTTGGGAATGGTAATGGAAATGATGGTGATGACAATAGTCGCCGTCAGGGATATAAAAATGCGTGGCTTAATTCCGAACTGAGTCGGGAGACTGCCAAAGACGAGATAGTTGACAAGGTGCTCAAGCCGTTCTTCGATCGATTGAGTATATATGCATTTGAGAGCACGTATAGCTTAGGGGCTCCTGATTTGGAATGTTTCAAGGAGGATCTGCTGGCAGATCTGTTTAATGAGTTCACAGTAGCAAATTAAAGTAGAGCGCTTGCGGGCGCATTGTTTTCCTGTGTATATGCTGTTCATTCCCAATTTAATATCATTTCGTGTGCTCCATTCATTTATTTATGCACTAGGTTCTACACAGCCTAACCCCTTTAAAGGATGCGGGAGCTGGCTATCTAAAAAGAAAAAGAAAACCATGCCATTGGCACTCATGCCTGGACTAAAAACCACATGGTCTACGAATGCTCATCTTTAGTGCTCATAATAACAGAATATATAAAAGCAGTCAATGTTGCTCTTAGGTTATAACTTATAAGGAAAATATAAGAAGATACAATATCGAAACTGATCAAGGAATAGGAAAAATATGGGGCTCTCAAAAAGGATAGAAAAGCCATTAATATAGAAGTCACATATAGCCCTTCTTTATCATTTACACATTTCTGATATCTTCTCATTCTCTTTCACAGATATCAAGTAGTATTCTGTCTCAATTTCCACTCAAGTCTCATCGCCCTGATAAATACTCAGAGTCAGCCTGATAAAGAGCAGAAATATTTATTCCCCCGCCCGCATTGAGTCCATATAACTAGTTACATCAAAGATATATTTCGCTCTCAAAAGCTGAATAAGTATACTCACCTTAATGTTTGTGTTATTATCATCAAGGGCTTTTTTTTTAAAAAAAAAAAAAAAAATACTGCTACTCTTTTATTCTGCTTATCCTCATCTTCTCTAAAACGGCTTTAAATGTCTTGATTCTAGTAACAGTGTCTGGAATTCTTCTCAACTCTGTTGTTTTCTTAAATATATGTACTCATCCAATTACACTCAATGTCTCAACTATCATCATCAACTGTCTAGAATCTCCTGAGATGGCTGCCTACTGTGTGCAACAAGAAGTGATTATTGAAAGGTGAAATATGAGAGAAGATCTGAAGTCACATATTGAATTCAGTAATGGGCGGGCATCTATAAAATGAAAATAACTAGTTAGACCATTCAACAATTTTCTGTGATTTGATATTCTTCCTGACATCGTTGCATACAACAACCACATGGAAATATCGTGCCTCACTCATTTTCGTATGGGAAAACCTCTAGCGGTGGCGTTGCACTCACATATGTACCCCGTATATGTACTTCGATGCCTTGTACGAATGACAGCTATCAGGATGTCACTGTACTTTGTCGAATCCGGCTACAACTAGCCACGAATCAAGGGTTGCATTTAGGCGCAATTTCAAACAAAAGGCAAAACAATGAAATGTCCGAAGACAAAATATAACAAGAAATAAAAGTCCTTGGAAAAACTTCTTCCTTTCGCTCGTTGTTGATGAGTCTTGGTCAACTATCAATCCCTCCCTAATTGTTCCAACTCTTCCTCGAAGAAAATTATACGAGAGTTTTCCCAAGAATCTCCCGAAACCCCGGCTTCAACTCTTCCCAACCACGCAGCCCAAGTCGCCTTTTCTTCAACAGAGGCGACGCCTATCTTATATCTCACGGCATTGTGTATGTTTGTGTGTCTTTTCTACGGTCCCTTTGTTAAAACCTCTGCCAGTGTCAATGCCTTCAATACGAGCGATGTCTCCTTTTTTCCGCCGTACCCTCTCCTCACCTCTCATCCGCCCATCGCAGCGCATGCCCTTTTCAACAACCAGCCGACTGCTGAATAGCAGCACTAGTGCAGAGTCAGGAGCTTTACCGGTACAAAAACCTGTAGGAGCTTTCAGAGGAGGGTACGTTATTAGCGAACTACCAAGTGGTAGGGAATGAAGATTTGGCTAACACGGTAGAATTGAACGGAATAACAGACTATTCGGCTTCCTCTTTGGCACTGCGGTAGCGGGCACGTCGGTTTATTACTATATTCTGGATGAATATAGAGTGTCGAATGAGATGTTGACGGAAGACATCTACGTACGTTACTGCATTTGAAAGAAAGAAAAAAAATCAAGATACCCCCCGTTGCACAATAAAGAGCATAAACACGGTCTTGGTGTTCAGATTTTGTCTTCAACTCCTTAATTCCATACATCTCCCATGCTGCGGTTATTCCTTTTCAATCCTTTCATGATTACGTTGGGAATAGAATGAAAGACGGATGGAGGATAGACGGAAATAAAAAGAAGCGAAAGATGTTTCAATTCATAATTTAGACATGGAGAAATGGAATGGGACTCCTCTTTGCTTAAACTAGAACTAGATGCGAGATGCGAGATGGATGTTTTTTTGTTACTCCCAAAGCCATGAGAAGAGGAAGATTTATGAAAGCTCCAGCATTGCCGCTTTTAAACTAATACCTTTTGTCATCTTCTCCTTTTGTTTTCTTTTGTCCTCGTGCGCGATCTGCCCTCATACCAGTTATTCTTTGGAGACTGACGATTTTCCCCTCATCACCGTGCGTGTTGTCATATGGGGATTGAATTATAGGCTTTGCAAGCCGCGACGCAACGCCTGAACGCCTACGTGACCGATTTAGAGGCCAAGATGGACCAATTGCAGGAGAAGAAATGATATACTGACGAGGAGTGGTTTCTCGACGAATGTATTCCTCCTTTTGTAATGGCCAGATATGTTTTTTGGCGAACCATTCCGCTTTCATATTTTATTGATATATACTTGGGATCAATTTCGGAGACTTTGAATATGCGTTCTTTTAAGAGGCATATGGTTTATATTCCATGTCTACATTCGGCTTTACAATCAGCTCTTTTACTTAGCTCGTCATCCCCATTTGCACGATACCAAGAATGTTCCTAGAAACTAGTAGCTTTCATTTTGTTCTAGAGCCAATACATTATATCACTTTTTCCGTTTCTCTAGTATCAAGCTTAGATGGGAGACAATTACTGATCCATGGTATTACCATTGCGTCTTTATATCTCCTACCTACCCCAGGGGAGGAAAGGAATACTAATTACACGGCCCAATTTCAATATACCGAGGAACGGCATGTGCATCTGGAGCGTTCCAGAAAATGTAAAGACGTTGGACGCTGTTCGACCCACAACATTTTGGCCAGAACATGCCAGGTTTCCGCTGTAGGCAGCTGCATATCGGGGTTTCTTTTATTTTGCATGCATATAAATTTCCTATTCCATAGTTGGACGAAAAGTGCCAGGTTTGGATTTTAAGTACAGCGGCTAAAGAAAGTAGTCAAGAGTAACTTAGCCGCGCGGCTAAATATGTATCCGAGACTATCAACCTTCACCGTCAATGCACTTAGAACATAATCTTTCCATAGAGTGCTACCTGAATGTTCTCGCGGCCCTCTGATACACAATGTCGTTAAATAAAATAGAAATCCTCCCTACCTCATCCTCGCACCTCACTCCTGGTTGGGCGTACGTCCCAGACACCCGCTATGGCAACTCTACTGACACTGGGAGGGCTACCGGGAGGGCTGCTGGGGCTCGAAAACGAGCCGTACGTGACCTGGGAGTCATAGGAAGGGCAGAGGCGTCTTCTTCAAGACAAAATACCGCTACTCTAAGGCATATTGCGGAACTTGATCGAGAAAATCATAAAGATACCTATATTCCGATTCCGACGAAGCAGAAGAGCGCGATAGCGAAAGGTTAGATAGATCGAAGCTCCCTCTTGTTACTTTTTTCTCCTCAAACCCCTTTTGTGCATTTGAAGTATTTCTATCCGTAGGGAAGAATGAAGAAAACGAAATGATACACCAGCTAATATTCAGGAAAAATCACGGCAGATAAACCCAGAGGCAAAACGACATCCAACGTCCGCCGTATCCTCCTGTCCCAAAAGACCTTCAAAAATTACCTAGATGACGAGGAAGCTGCGCTAGCCCAAGCTCAATCTCACAGCCCCGCAGCAGGACAACCATCTTCGACAACTACAGCTGCCACTGCTCGCTCTACACCTCTGAAATCCAGTAAACCCAGCACGCCACGAACATCATCCCATCCAGCAACAGCAACACCCAACAAGACAAGTAGTACTACAGGCCAACCCTCCGAACCACCCAACGTAGCCTCCTCCCGCGCTTCCACCTCCACCATACAGAAACCACAACCAAACCAACAACTAATCGCCTCAAATTATGATAACGACCCCCTTCTCCGCTCATACATTCCCTCTGCCCCCTCTGAAAGACTGATGCAACTGCTCCTCGCAGAGCCACCGCTGTCATACAACGCCTCCCTTGCAACGGTAGCCCCACCAGACTGTGGCCCGGGGACACCAGCAGTTTCTAAACCACCACGGCACTTTTGTAGCATATGTGGCTATTGGGGCAGAGTGAAATGTATCAAGTGCCGCGTGCGGGTGTGTGGGTTGGAGTGTTATCGCATCCACGAAGAAACCAGGTGTGATCGGTTTTATGCCTAGGGAGAGCCGGGTGGCTGCTGAACGTACTGAGTGAAATATCTCTTCTCTGTGAGAGCAACGCTCTCTAATTCCGTATGGCGCTGCTTATATCGTATGTCAGCACAACGTGGTCTACAAGAGACGGCAATGGGCAACAGTAGGGCGCAAATGTCAGGGAATGACTGGCCTCTAGAGGAAAGCTCCCTGTACACATTCATACTATGCCCTCTTCCACTTCTATATCTATGGCGCAGTCCATGTCCAACACTGAACTGGGAACTTGAGACATAAGATTTACCCTGCCTTCTTTGTGTTGAGACCCTTCATGATTGCTATGGGATCAATGGCTTGAGAAACCACCAGCCCAGTCTGGTAGGATTGGGCAACTACGGGGATAGTTCTAGGCCGGATTATTTAGGTACTATTAATAATCAGTGGGTTGGTTATTAAAATTTGCATGGGCTATGAGGTGTGAAGGCCAGCAGGACCTCGGATCGGAGGTTAGGAAATTCTACCCTGGGGAAAGTGAAACCACGTTATCTCCTTAGGATATGGGGAGGGGAAAGGACCAGAGAAGCTGTCGTTAACGGCATAGAGGTGTGGAAAATACGAGCCGTGGAGATTGAGGGGTTCGCATTAAGACAGTATTCATTTTGATTACTGGTCCACTGTCTGGAGCAATATGGACGAAGCGTTATGATGTCAGAAAGACCCTGAGAACGTGAGTGAGACGGCTAAGCGACACGGACAGGGGAATAAGAAAATGCACTGTATTGGCTTCTTGATGTGGTATAATATATACATTTAAGAAAGCTCCGACGCAATAGTCCATGCTAAGACATGGATGAATTAAAAAAAATTTATGTAATCCCATGTCTAAACCTAAGAATGCACTGTTCATCGCACGCATTCACCGCCAGACCCAATAAAAGGCCTAACACTTCATATTTATCCCCATCCTCAACTCCCCCTCCCGAATCTCAAACATGAGCTGCACGCCCACAAATAGACTCAAACATGCGCCGATAAGATATACCAGCCCACCCAGACTACCCACAATCCCACTCACAAGCCCCTTCAAACCGTCAAGTCCCAGCGCAAACCCAACAAGATTCGCCGCCATCATCAGTAAGATGTTAAAGACTGTGCCCACGCCACACAGCACGCGATACGTCGTCGGCCGGTCGCGCCATTTATGTGCGGGGAATAATGTTGTGCCGATTATTTCAGGCAGCACGAAGAGGGTGATGAGCCAACCCCACATGAGCAGGCGGAGGTTAATGTCATGCCACAGCGCGACAAAAGTGAAAACGAGGAGGAAATTGAGGAGACTGCGCGCTTTGGCAAGGATGGGAGAAGTCGGCCCACTATTGCGGTTGTCGTTGCTTGTACCAGTTCTGGCGCGTCTATCACCACCGCCACCTAGGGGCACATATAGATATCTGACGATCCACCGGTTGAAAGAGCGGTGCCAACCACGCCAGAAGGCGAGAGCCGAGTAGTTGTCTGACATACAGCGGACCATGTTTTCGGGAGGATCAACGCCGTCGATAAGTGCCCAAAGACGAGCGAAGCGCCAGGGCAACAGCAGTTTAAGCCAGATGTGGTGCAGGTTGAAATAACCTAGCATGCTGAGTTGGAAAGGAGTGTAGACAGACCAGTTCGGGGAGGATTTGGAAATGGCGACTACGTAGATGTAGTGTATGATTACTTCCATGCTAAGGAGGGCGAGGAGGAAACGAATTCCGTAGAGAATAGTACGGGTTTTAGTTATTGAGGCAGATTGGTAGCGTTGTTGTGAGATGTAGTCGTTGAAAGTGACGATGGGACCAGTAAGGTAGAGGGGAGAGTAGAGAGCGTAGGCGACGTAGTTTGTGAAGTTGAACGCGCTTCGATGGGCAGGGATAGACACACGATCGCGCTCAGACAGGGCGGAGGGGTCAAGTTGTTTCTTCTTTTGCGCGTTAGGGAGGGGCCCAGAGTTTGTATTCTACTAGAAAGGGGATGCCATACCTCCACAGGACTCGCTGCTCGATAATCAAGGCTCCAATAATAATCAAGATTAAAGCTTATAAGCCTAAGTACCGTGAGGTTGAAAAGAATGTCCCATCTTGGGATCAAACCGCCACAGCTGTCTAGCCATTTCCCGAAGGAAACTAGCACATTAACTTGCCCTGTAGTTGAGGCGGAAGATGTCCAAGTAAGCATTCTCGCTAAGTCTGCATAGGGATATCCATTGGACAATTCATTCGCAAATAATATCCCAATGTTAAACATCCATGTCGCAACTGGGATCCTGTTCCTTGGTAATTTTGTCGCAATATTATAGTTAATGGTGAGAATTGCCAGAACTTTGAGAGCTGAAAATCCGTGCAAGGCAGCAATAAATACCAAGGCAAAGTAATAATCAAAGATCACCCTCCGTTTCAGGCGCAAGTCGGCAGTCACTGAATCATATCCGGTGATCGCATCGTCTCTGATTTTACTAGATTGAGGAGAGCGCGAATTCGTGCTTGTTGAAGGGAAAAAGGTGTCTATTGCTCTCCGGATTAAAGGATGGATCACCAAGAGCAGGAAAAGATAGGGGATGTTATCGCGAAAGGTTCCATATTGTGAGTCAGAATTGTCCTGCACGGGACAGTCAGTTATAAGTTTCAAAGAGGAATATGGTCTCTCGCTCCGTTAAACAAATCAAAGAGGTATAATGGACTCACGACTTTCCGGCCCATAAGCCAGCCATCGTCTAAAAGATGCGAGTATTTCGAATACATCGGGTGAGACTCTTAACGCAGTGAACGAGCCAAATTAGCATACAACCAATCCGGCCTACCTCAAAAGCCTCAAAGAACCTCCGCCTACCAAAACAGGGAAAGAAGCAAGGCAGCTTCTCAAATCCACAAACTCACCCTTCGAAACATCATAGGCAGCCTTAAACATCATTGGCAGCGCAATAAGAAACACGGCATAATAGACATAAAACTCGACTGTTTTCCAACGCGGCGGGGACGTCGTTAGCGAACGGCCAGAAAAACCACCTCCCCGGATTTCTCCCAATTGTGTCCGTGTCTCCATTTTCGTCCGCACCCCGCTTCCGCTCTCAGACTCCTTCGAGTCCGTCTGTCCCACCACTCCATTATCCGCAGCAGCGGTTGCTCGGGATTCGCTGGCAAGGAGGGCCTTTAGCGGCGTGTTTGATGAGGTTGTGAAACGCGTGTCAAGTGTATCTAGGGAGTAGAGTCTGCAGAACCAGTGGAGGAGACCCATACTTTCAACGATTGGCGGTATTCAGCACAACCGTTGCGGCCAGGGAACTGAGGGAGTCAAATGAGGATACGGTCTATTGTTCGAGCTTGGGTATTTCACAATGGGAGACAAGTTTATCCGGGCATGGTTTCTGCGATTGGGGAACCCTTTTCATCGAGGATCTTTGGCGGCTAGAGGCCCTCAAGCAAAGGAAATTGTTTGTCACGTAGTCCAAAGTTCTGTAGCTTCGCTGAACCTTGAAGTGGTGAGGTTGAAAATTGGCACGTGATTGGCCGAAGGCTCCAGGGGTCGTCTCAAAGCTTAAGCCATGCATGCTAGTAAGTATAAGCAATCTATACATTGAGGTCTAATCAGGTCTAATAATGTATAACGATGCTGAAAAGAATCTAAATATATAAACAGGGCCTTAATGAATGATATAGGCGTGGAAATCCAGGCTGATTCCTCGAAGACAGGACCAAACAACTCATCCATAATTACTATCCCTAATGCGCCCCGAGCAAAACAAGTTCCAAACCCACCAAAACTCATCTCAACCGCCGTTCTTCACTTCTCAGCACCGGCCGTCATCTAGACCGTCGCGAATGTCCATCGATATAACACGTTCGTAGAAACTTCCAACCACATCCTGTATTCCTAGTTCTCATACGTAGTGCGCCCGCCGTGGTTATACATCTCAATTTCCTCCCTCAGGTCATCGTAGCACTCTGCAGCACCGATGTCGTTGTTCCCATGATTGTTGATCAACTTCAGCGAGAAACCAACATCTATGATGATGTCGAGCTTGCCATATTTGGCTCCGATGTTTCCAACTCTATACGTGTCATCCAGACCGGCTTGCATGTTCGCGCGGCAAAGTTGACGGCATAGAGCCTGCTGGAATCCCAGAATGCGCTTCCGCCTAAAAAAAAAAAAAAAGAAAAAAAAAATGTGTTCAACGACAACGTTCATGTCGGTATTCATGTCCCTTGCTGTTGGCTTTATGAGAAATGCGGATGCCGGGGTAGCGGCGAAGCCAGTCAGCGCGAAATGAGAATGCATTTTTGGGATATTATAAGATACGGATGGAAGGAAGAATTGAATTTGTGGATGAACTCCGTGTGTATAAAAGGCTGATGAAGGGATATTAGACGTGCGGAGCTCTTTTTCGATGTGTGGTCTTCCTTTTCGCTGGATAGAGGCACAAAACCACTATATAAGCGTCCCTGATCCATTCCGCTCAGCTATACCACAGCGAGAGAAGCTTCATCGTTGTAACATCCAATCTCCTAAGCCCCAGTTTGGGAAATTGAGAGAAGGCCCTTTTCCTTTTCTTCAACACAACTCTTATTAACACGATTGTTGCGATGCCCATCAAGCCCACCGCTCAGGATCGGACGCAATGTGAATTAAGTCCAGGTCGACATCCTTCCCCGCTCTACAAGTTGATTTTAGCTCGATTCCCACTTGCACTATTTTTCATACTCGACGGTAATCACAACGTCAAGATAATTTGACGAAAACGACGTGGTCATGATTCCGACTCTGAACGTTAGTTCCAACTCGCACGCACCCACTCGTCCCCTCCTAATCCCCATTCACAACCCCCAGCCCCTATCATCTCACTACGAAAATAGTCAAGGTTTCTCGGGTTCAGAGTGGCGTCTCTCAAACTCATCCCTCTTCTCCTGGCTTAACGGGGGCGGTAAAATGGCCTTATCCGGATTGAACCACAACTCCCTTGAAACCTTGCTTCCATCGATGCCGTCATATTCAGCTTTCCTCGCCATCTCGGAAGGCATTCGACGCAGGCATGCAGCGATTAGGTTGGGGGTTAACCCAACCGCATCTACGACATCGCGATCGGCAGTCAGCGAGCGTAGAACCCCGTCCTTACCTAGTGCGACGCAGCCCTGGAGTGTGGAGTCGAGTTTGAGATTTTTGAGAACGGCGCTGAATTCCCGTTGGTCAGGGTCTGTGAAGTACCAGGAAGGTTTGCAGCATCCGCCTTCTTTTTGCTGTTCCATGATTCAATCTGCTATTTATTTTGCGATTTCTGTGTTTTTCTTGGAGGCGGGGGTGGGACGTTGCTTTGTTTTTGTTTTTTATGTCGATTTACTTCGATTTATCAATAAACGTGGCGATGGCTGTTGTTGCAGGAGCCAGGAATAGTGCAAAAGGTGGTTTTCTGCCGAAAGTTACAGCTTACAGTTATAGGCGGTGAGGTACCTCCGGCGCAATGGATGCCCCTCGCTGGCAGAGCTTCGTGAAACTTGTTATTTTGGTGGTTCCGGTAACCCAGTCTGGAGAGTGTCGCTGCGAAGCTGAAATCTGGTAAATCTTTTAAGTAAATTGTGTCGCAGTGTGATCATTACCATTAAAATCTACCCCTGAATCAGCGCTGTAGCTCCGGTAACTTGTATACGTTTCCTCCAAAGGAGCACGCCAAACAAAGCGGTTGCTTTATGATGATCAGTTTAAGTGAACTTTTCAATTCAATTGATCAGTATTAAACCTTCGCAACGGAGTTCGCAGGATTCCAGATGTCAATGTGAGGAACGAACGACTGGAGAAAAGGATGATGACCTTTTATCCGCGAACCAAACAATCCGTCCCGGTATGACTTCTCAGTTCAGCAAAAAAAGTGAAAATATTGATCTGGCGCAGGTATTTATCACAATATGCTTATCTGGCCACAGCCATTCTCTTGTAGTAGTACAGAACATTCCCAACATGGAAGAGAGCTGAATCAGATCAATTACAGAGAATCTGCAATGATGGGCTGCGCACAATCCATGCTGATGATTGTGAAACGAGGGTCCAGAGACGGCAAATGCGTTTAGTATCATTTATAAGGAGGGCGTTTCAAGTGGCGCAACCAGGCAAAGACTCCCCCCGACTTGCAAAGAAGTTTCGTGTGCAATGACTCTGCCCCACAACCTCGTAGATCGAATCATCCAATGCAGAAATTCCCCTAAATAAGTAATAAAGCTTCCGCAGTTGTGAAATTGGTCGTAGTCTTTCGGCAGCATCGGCAGAAACGGCAGCAAAGCAATAAAGCGATGGTGGTGCGGAAGCCCCTCTCACCATTCTTTCGTTGGCTCCAGTGGACATTGTTCCTCAACGTGTTCATTGCTATCCTACCATATGCTCCCCTTGTCATCCCAGTTGGCGCCATCGCTAGGCTGGGGAAAGGGACAGGCATTGTCGAAATTCCTGAATGTCCCATGGGGAAAACCCAAGATTCACCACATTCCCCGTATGCCATACCCATCCATCTGCACGAATAAGCTGAGAACAATCAGTGGTCGTCATAATTTACCCGTGCAGTGGAGCTGATTGTGACATCCAACAATTGAAAAGGAGTATTGCATATCGCATCCCCGACTTTAGAGGTTGGGGTGTCAGGACTTCTGGCGTGCGGACACTGAGGCCCTGGACTGTAGGTGCGAATAGAATCCAGCTCAGATAGCATCAAAGGATAGTATTGGGCCTGGTTGATACGATGGGATTTATTTTCGTTCTATACTTTGTATCATCATCGTGGGCTTTATTGTTTGCCCCAGGCTGTGAAACTGGCCATGAAGAAAAACACAGCCCAAAGCGAAAGAGATTTTAGGTGAATATTGAAGATATATACCACCCCCTTTGTTCGACTTGCATGAAATATCAAGCGCAGACAGAAAGAGCAACATCAAGCCGTAGCGGAATCTGACAGAGACGTAACTTCAAAAATTCAAACGCGCAGTTACATCTCCCTGTGGAGTATTCTCTCTTCATGCGGCTCTCCCACGGGAAAGTGAAAGAAGAGAAAAAAAAAAGGAAAAGGATAAGGAAAAGGAAGAAAGAAAGAAAAATCATAGTTGAAGGGGAGGGAAAAAGTACATAATTCATACCAAAACGAAATATCCCACCCACAAGTCCACTACCACCACCTGCAGATCACAGTTGCTTGGGCGCAATGAGAGGTTCTCTAGGCGCTGAGGAATGGTCCGAATCAGATATGTGGGAAGGCCGTGCTCGGGAGTTTCGCGGATTGTCTGCCGGATTGCTGGCTCCGACTTTTTACCCTGGCGGGTCAGCGATTGTTTTCCCGGTCAGCCAGCGTCGTTGACAGTCTGTAGGGACATTATTATCATGTACTGTTGGCTGTGGAGTGCTGCCTGCCGCCCACCGTCCCCCATAGTATGCTGCGTTGAATGAAGTTGGAAAGTGTTAGAGAAAAAGGAGAAGGAGTATGAACACGTGATATCAAAGCTTCCCCTCTCGTTCCAGTGGCCTGTAAATATGAAAGAAAAAAAAAAATCTCATTTTCATTTAACAGAAGCAAAGCCCTCAAGAACGAAATCGCGAGTTTAATATATTGTATCCTACATATAAAAATAAAGCGCCTAGATGTTCTTGGTTTTTTAAAAAAAAATTGTATAAGCTGATGCAATTTTTTGCCGGCCGTGAAGCATTTATCTATTTCTAGCTCCTCGGGTGGAGAACAGAAAACAAAACAATGAATTAAAACAAACACATAATGTATAAAATATAACATTGAAAATCACAACTAGCAACCTTCCTTTCCGTAAAAGAAGAACAAAATAATGAAATGAACCCGCAATTCAAGTTTGCCAAAACTTCACCACTTTTTGCAAATACTCAATGTAAAATCACCCGTCCAATAATGCTAATGATGCTTTCACTGCTGTTTTTATGTTTGAATGAGGAATGGAGATGGGAAGCAGGGTATCACATAGACAAGTGAGGAAACGACACAAAAAGGAAAAAAAAAAAACGAAAAAAAAAGTGCAGCTCGTGGTTTAACACCAGATCCACAAACGATCACTTTGCTTATCAATAGTAAAAGATAGCGATAATGGCAGAAGCCCATATCAGAATGGCATTGTAGGCGAGTGGGTTAGAACAGTAACAAAAAGGTGCTGCACCAGTTCATATAACCTCATCCCGTTCCCAGCCAGTGGGCTTAACAATTTCAGCCGACTTGGTAGGATGCGGCGCCTCGGGATTATCGTACTTGGACGCGTACGGATTCGGGTCCACACCTTGCTTGAGATTAGCCAGCGTGTGATTGACCTCACGGTGTTTCGCTTCATCGGCACGGATGTAATATAGCAAATCGAGAATCGTCCTCTTCCCCTCGGGCATCTGCCAGTACGCGACGGCGATATCCGGAGCCGGCTGGTTCGCCCAGTTGGGGAGCTTGCCAGATTCGAGATCCTTGATCGCATGGGTGTATGTCATGACGGCCTCCTCTTCGAGGTATCCGACGAAACGGTGGCAGGTGCGTGGAGAAATCAGATAGGAGATGAAGAAGCCGTTGAAAAATACGCCCTGGGCTCCCAAGACCATTAGGCGCATGAACCAGCCCGGCTGTGCGAGTTTTAGGAAGGAGAGCAGGTGCATGCGTTCGTTGTAGGCTTCTTCCAAGAGAGTTTCGATCCTAGAAACAAAACAGATGAATGTTTAGTATTCTGAGTGATACGATAATCAGGACGGGGATGCAAAATTAATGGGTTGGAAATGCAAGCCCTTACCAGCCATTATCTCGCTTCATACGCCTCAAGCTTCGGAGGTGACGAAGCATACCGCCAACCATTCCAGGAACGCCAGCAACAGTTTCCAGGAAAATAAAGCGGATGACCCATTTCCTCTCAGTCATCTGGAATTGTTCTGGCACTTCCACCCCCTGCTTACCAGGTGCAGCATGCCTGTAGCCAGTTGCCAGATCTGTAGCCCAACGCAGGAAGCGGACAGTGCCCAGGGCAACCCAATCTGACCAGTTTTTTGCTTCTCGATGGGCAATGGCAATTTCTTTCATTTGTTTTTCGGTGAATCTAGAAAGGAAAAAAAAGAAATTGCAACTTTAGTCTTTTGGATCACGAAAATCATGTTGTAACATGCACTCAAATAAAAATAATACTAGAACTTAGGTGAAGAAAACGTACACCGGATGTTTCCATGTCGTTACCGACTCGACGATATGATCCGTCTCCTTCGGGGGCGCAAAAAATTCCTTAATCCACCGACGAGAAGTTGACGAGAAATATCTCACGTTGTTATTCGAAGTGGTGGCGTAATGATAAAGCAGGGGACTGCCCCTCAGGCCTCTGATAGCGGTGGTTGATGGACGAAGCAGCGGTCCTCGCAGCATGGCGGGGGCAGGGCAAGCCATCAGAACCCTCGCGCATCCTGCTGAGGTCGGATACATAATGTAGGCAATGCAACCAAGAGTGGAAATGAACGCGTGAAGGCTGTGACGGAAGTGGAGTTGGTCAGACAGAGGTGTATTGGTAATGGCAGTACTGAATCGATTCTTTGCAGCGAAGATATCGGGCAGAATATACAATTGTCAATCCACCATCGGGACAGTGCACTCAATATATAGGAGTGGAACAAGCGTATTCAAGGGACCCAGAATAGGCTTTGCACGGCATCCTTGCCCTGTATATAATGACTTCATTAATTCCCCGGGTCCAGCAGGTTCCGATGGGCCTGGCCCCGGCTCGGAGCTCTTTGCTCTCATTTAAATTATACATGCGCTAGAAAAATCTCCGGAGGGAAGATTGGATCTTGGTACTGAATGGGATTAATAATCGGGCTAGATGTGTGCTGTTTTAATGGAACTGTGGTCAGCTGACTGTGACGGGTCTCCGCCGAGAGTCAGCCCTATTATTCGCTCCGAAGACAGTGATACAAGGCGGCGGCGGGTGAACCCGGGCGAAGTTGAAGTGTCCGTTGCTCTAATTTTCCATCACTAAAATCATGCATTATTCAATGACAAGCAAAGTGACCTTGCCTCGGTCTAAGCAAGGCCGCGCCCTGATTCTTTATTTGCTCGCGACGGCGCAGAGCCCAATTCTCTATGAACCCGAGTCGGGATCCGCGCTTCCGCCAGAAACGACCAGAATAACAGCCACACACAGAGCTGAAACATGTCGAATCTTTACGGCGACTTTCCCGAAGGCGTTCCCACGAACGTTGCATCCGTTCGAAATGCGCTCCAAGATATGACTCGTCTTTGAGACTTTGTTGTTTCCTTTTTTTTTGTTACATTTTTTGTTTCATTTTCAATGGTTTTCAATATTCGGCCCCGGAGTTCCCGATATCCCCCGATCATGATGTGATGGTCACGCCCCAGCTATCAAAATTTATCACTGCAAGATCTGGCAAACCATGACTTAACACAACTCAGCCGTGGTGGCCACCACGCCCGGTGCAGTCGAATTCGTTAGGCACAACGAATAGGAGGAATAAACAGACGAGAGGCTGACTTTATCGCGCCATCATCAAAAGACACCTGCCATGCAACACGCAGCGCACTTGGCCAGCAAGCAACTATGTGGGATCACAGGAGTCATCGATGATCAATAGAACTGTTCTAATAGGCTTGTTTTTGTAGTCATTATGCAGTAGAACATTTCTTCAAATGCGGCCCTCAGCTTGCTGCCCCTGCGGGTAGACTTCAAGTTAGGTTGTACCTGTTTATCATTGAGCTACAAGCACCGCCAAAAAAAAAAAAAAAAAAAAAAAAAAAAAAAAAAAAAAAAATATTGGGTTTGAAGCCTACATTTATTAACTAGATCAATTGATTTAGATCACAGCAGATGTCTTGAAGCTACTTGGATCAGCGGGCTACGCGGTGATGTAGTTAAGTGAGACAGTGAACTAGCTATTGGCAATCTCTAAACAAGATACATACATTTAAAGCACAAATATTCTTTTTTCTTGAATTGGGGCTAAAACAAAGGAACTTAAATACGCATACATATATCTCCTTGTCCTACTTTACGCAGATTCGAAGCTGAAATCTTGCTATTATAAACCTGTAAGCTCATATCCCATACCGCGCATGGTGACATCCATTTTTAAGTCTCCATGTTATGCAGGTGTAAAGAGAAGGAGCTCAAAGAGCTAGCTGCATTGCATTGTGTCGCATGAATTTCAATGTGAACATGGGTTCGGAAATACACAAAGCAAGCTGTGGGGGTCCAACTTAAGTTCCCCTTCTCTGTTAGTTGCACAATACATCTTCCAGTCCAGGCATCTGGTTTCCTGAAACAACGTGTATATAAATTTATATATACAGATATATATCAAGCAAGGTTTCATATCTCCATAGAAAAATAGTTAGCCGCGAGTCACTACAAACGACTCCTCCCCATCCTTCAGGTCAATCTCCGACTTTTCCAGCTTAACCACACGTGCTAATTCGGGTCCTTGGCTTAGATCCTCGAGCAGCTTGGAGAGCGCGGCCTCATCCCCTTGGGCTTCCCCTTCTACCTGTGTAGGTTATTGGAATTTGTAAGTAATAAAGGTAATGCATGGTAGATGGATAGGCAAGTGGGTATATGTATACACATATAGCAATGCGAAACGACGATCTGTGCTTTCGCGGGGTAGAAATGAAAGTCAAACAATATATAGTAATCTAAGGGAAGCGGGGTGGGGCTTTCTTCGCTCATATATGTGAGAACATATGTGTGTTGCAATGAGCAAGAGCGACAATGATAAGAGTCTCGATTCAACTACATTCCTGCGCAGTTTTTTTTTTTTAAAAAAAAAAAAATAATAGATAGAGTGGAGGATGGGACATTTGACGGAGGCAGAGTTGGGGTGGGAGGGGTCTTGTTTCCAACCGACCTTTCCATCAGGTGTATTCCTCACCCATCCGGTTAAGTTGTAGTTATTCGCATTCCGCCGAGTGAAATCGCTAGTTTCAAGGATTCATAATTCAGCATAGACTTATTTCATCTTAAACAAGAAAAGGATAGTGGAGGGATTGGGAGGGGGGGCTCTATTATTATTTTCCATACCGAAAGAAGACTCCTGGCAACCCCAGCCCGTCACAGGTTGGTTGGTTGGTTAGCTTGGGATAAAGCAACGCAGAATCCAGGCGGAAAGAGTCAATTTATACATGCCTTGGACTTTTCCGTGGACACGAAAGGAGATCTGGGTCTGGTCAGTGATTTTTTTCTTTTCTCATATATCAATCAATGAGAGTTGTTTATATTCTGTGTCATCAAAAGTTCCGGAAAGGATGTTAACTCCATACTCGTTTCGACATAATGGGTTTCCAGTTCCCTGTTGTGCGAAAAAGCGCGAACCTAGGCCGGATCGATATAGATCCCTTAGCCGCTTCACTTTGATAATAAGATTGCCAGTGATGAATGGCAGGTGCTGTGATTTCAGTGCTATGGAGGGTTATATACTCAAAGATGACCTGTGCCAAGCCCTGGCCTGTTGTTGACTAAACGAAGGTGTGCACGGTCCACAGCCATAATCACACGTGATTTTAGGACAACAGTGCTAGACCCAAAACAGCAAAATACCAACAAAGGTCTTGGCGTCAGATCGGATCCAAAAGGGAAAAAAAGTTAAAAAAGGGAAAGAATTAATTGTCAAGCATGTGACAAGTATAGGGATAGGGAGTCCGGTGTACGCAGTGCTACATGCAACAGGCGCAGGAATCAGGGTGCAGCTCTTCTTAAGTTCTGAGAGCTGCAGCAGGAAGAGATGGATGCTACATTATGTTGGATGCCTGGGATGTTCCTGGCTGCCACGGCCAGCGCTATGCTTGGTTGATTTTAGCTGCAAGCCCCTTTCCTGTTCATGATCTCAAACCAACATTTCCTTCCCTCTCACAACCAACAACAAACATCATCAGCATGGAACAAGGTGCTTAATGTTAATAATAGCCAGGAGAAAACTCATTGCATTCATTTGGCTACCCTTTTCATCTAATTTATGTCTTGCATTATTTTCTTGGCCACGAGCAATTCTTACTCCCTCATATATATTTTGTTTCTTTCAACCAGTCTTGACACTTTGCAACTAAGCCCTGCATATTGATAGTTATTTATATACTCCTCCTTTAAATAAAGACCCCACGTCCCACATTATTACTGCCAGTAAAGGAACTCTGTCCTATTAGACGTGACAAACAAAAATGGCCTCCCAAGGCGACCGTGATCGACCACCCTATCCAGATACTCAAAACCCCTCCCGCTCCCCCTCCCTCTCGCCCACCCCGGCCGTCTCCTCTTGTCCTTCGCCCGACCGCACTTTCTCCACCATGTCCACCGTCTCCTCCGTCTCCAATTTCTCTGGCGATGCGAAATCAGGCGTGTCCTCCTCCTCGCGCAGACGCGGCTACATTCGACCCCAGGGCGTGGAATTCGCCGAATCCGCAAAGAACCGCGAGAGCGTCATGAGTCTGGGGAGCATTGCGCATTTGCAATACTACTTTGCGAGAACTGGCTTGCTGGATGGCAAAGGCGCGCAGTTCGCCAAGGCGAACAGGAAAAAGGGAGAGAAGTCGCTGCTGCAACAGCAACAGCACCAGGATATCCCCAGACTGATGTTGTCCCAGCAGCCGCAGCTGGGTGAGGACTTTGTCGAAAGCCCTATCGATGATATGGCTGGCGGCTGTGATGAGATGGGAGATGACGGGTGGGATGAGAACGAACCTGTCATGCTGCCACCAACAGTTAGCACATATAGTATCCGTAACCACTATATACCGCCACCTCCGGACTTGGAGTCGTTGAGGAGGGAACTGCAAACTGCGTTGGCGAAGGCGCGGTTTGTGTTGACGGCGGCGAAGGAACAGTTGACTCCACAATTGCTGTCACCGACTCCGAGAGATCGCTCGCTGGATGGCCTGTCAGACCCGGAGGATGAAGCCACCATCTCGGAAACACCTACGGCAGCTAGGTCTCCACGGGGTTGGCATGAGATTGAGGGTATGCATATTCTGGATGTGGTTACGTTTGCTATCCGTGCTGCGAAGATATATTACACGGCGCATGAGAATCCGGAGCGCTTGGCTTCTATTAAGAGCGAGCGGAAGATACGGGAAGAGTTGCTGCAGGTTTTGGAGGTTCTGAAGAAGTGGGCTACGAGGAATTTCGCAGGAGGGTTGAGGGACGGGGAACGGGCGTCCCTTCTCGCGTGGATTGCCGGTGTGGGGGAAATGCTTGATGAAGAACGGAAGCTGGAGGAGATAGAGATGCAGAGGCGGTCGAGCTTCATCTGGGCTAATGGGGAATGGGATGGAAGAGAGCGCGAGCAAGCGGGATCATTTCTCCAGTGCCTAGAGACGAGCAATCGACCTCTACCTGCGTGGGACTCCGTGGAGACGAATCCACTTCCAACGCCTCTACTCGCGCGTCTCAAGGACGGCAGGGATCTGGTCAGATTCCACAACGAGGCCGTGAAACTGTCGCACCGCCAGTTTGGCCAGATTAAATCGTTCCATGAAGATGTTGCCAAGCCGTACCGGCTGGCGGATAACCTGCGGTATTGGGTCAAGGCAGCTGAGATACGGTGGGAGATCAAGCTTGAGCTGGATGTGATGGCAGTGGTCAATGGTGAGGACGACGAGGCGTGGAAAAGTTTCGACACGGCGCTGATGGCCTGGTGTAAGCGCGTTCGAGAAGAGTTGGTGCGCGATTGGAAAGCGAAGGGCTCCCATTCTGCAACGTTATCGCCAGTGGACCCGGGGACAGCGCCAACTGTAGCTGGACTTGGGATTGATTCTTTATAAAATAACCCATTATGGCGGGAATCAAAATGCCACGGAAGGACAAAAAGGGGCGTCAACACGCCTCTCTTTAATATTTATATTCTGTTTTTGATGAGGTTCACGACGTTTGACCAGTCCACAGGTGTCTTCTCATTTGATACCCTCTTCCTCTTCTTCGTCTTCTTCTATATTATATGTCCATGGTGCTTTTGCTTCCTCCCACGCTTGCAACGCTGCTCTGCGTTTTCTGCGTGTTCTTGGTATTTCCCCGACACCAGCACCGGCGAAAACTCGTCGTCGCCCTCGCCCATGTCGCTACTGGAAAATGTGTCTATTGGAGGATAACCTACGGAATCCCATTTGTTAGATAAGATCCATCCACAGACTAAGCGGAAAATATGCCTGTGAAATGTTGAGCGTTGCCAATTTATCGTTGCTGAATTTTGCCATCGCCACAGCATGGTGGCATACAAAAGTAGTTTTAACATGGTTTCTGGTTTCCGGGGTGAAAATATATATATTAATTACTGTAAATAGAAATTTAACTTTATTTGGAGTCAGAATGTTTGGATAGCCCACTCAATAGAGCAAATCAACATTCCAGGGGTTCGATGGAATGTTTAACGGTCGCAAACTTTACGATAGAACGCGAAACCAAGATTTCTTATCCACACGCCCCAGGAAGGGAAAACAAGATTGAAAACAATCATCCCCCGGCCAGGCTGACACCACCTCTGTCTTCTCCCGCACAGCTCGTCTGCGTTGACAATATCGCATCCGTGATATGACAGCGTCGATTCTTGTCTGCGGTTGTCCTCAGGCACCACCAACGTCTTCCGCAGCACCATTCTCCCAACACCACCACTATCAATCACCACCACCTCAACCAACCACTGCCCGCTGCCATCACCACCAACACCAATAGGGGCTGGCCCTCCAGCAACAGCAACGCCAGCACGCTCATCCACTCGATCCACCGCAGCACGGCATCCACCGTCTCCTGGCCCATCCACTAACGGCGGGCAGTCAGTCTCCAATGCCCTCGATATTCTCTCCTGCCTCTGAGTCTGCTTCCGCATTGACATCGACGGCATCACCCTCTGCTACAACACCGACAGCCAATACGTCCAATACGTCCCCCATATCTTTGCCTAGTACACGCCGATCAACCAGTCAAGTTGCACAATCTCTCGCCTCCTGGCCCGACACAACATCGACATCAATCTCACCTACATCCCCTACTCCTTTACCTACGCATACCCCATCGTCTGCGGATAGCAACAACAAAAATAACAAAAATAACGCCACTTCTCGCAGAAACGAATCCCTATCCCCGTCTCCTGCCGCACAGAAATCACGCTCTTCTTTTCTACGGCGACTCTCCCCCGGCCTAGCTGCCAGAGTCAAGCTGCTAGACGACTCGTCCAAGTCTACGCCGACAGCACTGACGCGGAGCCGCAGTACGATTGGTAGGATTCCGGAAGGCCATCTCAAAGAGCTAGATAGTGCACACAAGGACCTCTCAATAAAAGTACTACGACGCGGCCGAGCCTGGAGTGGTGGGCGCGGTGTCTTGCTGACTCCGGAGCCGGCCTCCTCTCCCAGCGAGCTGGAATCAGGGAGGCTGAAGGAAGACTGCACTACAACTGTAGACACTACCACCCCCGAAGCAGACAGCAGGGTCTCAGATCCGTCTGGCCCGTTGCTGACTGCTCAAGTCAGAGAAACATTAACAGAGATGTCGGCTGTTCAGGAAGTGCAAACCACTGTGCTGGACACGGAAGCTTCCCATGGATCTGGCAGCCCAACGGACTTGGAAAAATACCTCCGCTCAAGCGTGCAGTCTGCTGAAGGTGCTCCCCCTCCACCACCACCAAAGGACTCCCCTCCCCTGCCAGCTAATGGCTCGAGTACCAATGTGGAGTCATATTTCAATCCCCTTGGTCTTTCTCGCACGGAATCTATTTACTCCTTTTCTAGAGCCACATTTAGCAATCAACTATCCCAATTAACTTCCATCAGCTTGCCCCAACCAGCGTCCCTCGAAGCAAGCATAAAAGCCATCTCTACTGCCCCTGCTGCCGTCCGAGCGTTGTCGGGAGCGGCGAGTCAAATACAACAATGGATCGATAAAGCCTCAGATGTCTTGAGTGGGCTGGACGCTGAAGACGATGTTGAATGGGCAGCTGCGGGCGGCAGAGAAGGACTGGAGGATGTCGACAAGGCCGTGTCAAAATTTGAGAGTCTCGTGAATGTCTATGTCAAAGCTATTGAAGAGGTACAGCTGCGCAATGATATTGCGGATGTCGGGTCCGATCAGCTCCGGGCTATCGTTGTCCAGGTGGAATCAACATTGAAGAACTGGAAGGGCGTCAAGTCACAGCTGAGAGGTGTTAAGGAGCAGGTTGAGCTTGCTATGGAGTGGGAAGAGTTATGGACGAACGTACTTGGCGACGTTGGTATGGAAATGGATAATTTAAGTCGATTGATATTCGAGATGGAGGAGAAAAGACACAAAACTATGATTACAGAATCGGAGACAGAGCCTAGCAATTCGCTTGATATCAACGAGCTAGAAACGATCGTCGAAGAGTCCCCCGCTCACGGGAGCACATCATCCTCTTCACAGTATAAACATGGCCACGTTTTTGGCGCTGCTCCGCCCCAGCTAGAAGCTCCCACTGTTCAAAATGCTGAGGATGACTCTAGTTTACTAGCGTTGTTTGCGCGGATGCAACCCCTTCGAGCATCCCTGGCCTTCCTACCCATGCGGCTTTCAATGTTTCAGTCTAGAGCGGAGAAGATATTCCCAAGCGCCTGTGATGAGTTAGAGGCTCGACGAAAACGTTTGGAAAAGGGATATAAAAAGTTGGAAGCCGATGCAGAGGCATTACGGCGGGAATTGGGAGAGGATAGATGGAATTTGGTCTTTAGGAATGCTGGCAGACAGGCACATAAAATGTTCAAGTCTGTCGAACGGACTATCAATAAACTCCAGGAGGCAATTGATTCGGGATTCCACAATGCCAACAGCGCAGCTTTAGCGAAGAAGATCGAGAGCTTTGAGAATAAAAAGGTCCACTATGGCGAAGCCATCGACCGCGTGTTGGCAATCATTCAGAAGGGCATCAACGATAGATTGACGGTCAATGGAGAAATTATACGATTACTCGCGGATCTGAAAGCGAGATCGGAAGCGATGAAGGATAGGATACGCGTCATGGATTCGCTGCTGGAGGACCTCAATGCTACTAAGAGCCAGCAGTTACGAGATTCGATATCCAGCATTGTCACCCTGGATAGTCCTGCTACCCGAAGCGCCATTGATACCCCAGATAGCTCCCCAGCCTCATCTGTGGTCATGTCAAGTACCAATGGAGTCAACAGCGGAGTAGCATCAAGTATCAACGGGTCTAGTAGAAGAGGTAGCTCGACAGGTAACCCTATTACAAAGGCAACTGCAACAAAACTAAAGCGTTACTCTGGACTGCCTCAAGCACCGCCTGCCCCTCGCCGCTCCTCCATACCCCGCACCACCTCCACTTCGAGCCATCTAACGCCGCCATCCCCACGACTCTCCACACTATCTCCTACGCCCTCCACCCCTCGTCCGGGATCCCGAAACTCCTATGGGCAACAAAATCCTGCGTCTAATAAACCACGCTGGAACGGTAGCGCTAATACGAATGATCTCATAGTCGGTCACAATTTTAAACCACTCAGCCTCACCACTCCATCGCCACACCGCAAGCTCAACGTCCCCACAAACTCGCGTTCCTGCCTCCCTCTCCCCAGCCCACTCAGCCGCGAGTCATCCGCGTCTCCCGCCCCTTCTTCACGTCGGCCCTCAAGCCGACTCACAGGCAGCCGCATCGCCTCGCCTGCCCCAGATCGTGGTGGTGTCGCGTCACCCACACCCACACGCTCCCGCCTCATCGGTCCACCCCCTTACAGCAAATTCTGCAAAACTTCGTCGTCAACGTTGACAGGCCCTTCTCCTGCGCTATCTAACACGCCCCGCAGCCGACAAAGTTACGCTGGCCAACCGAGTGCGCGAGCGGTATCGACAAACACGCTTAATACTATGGGTGGCAGTGCTGAGAATGGCGCGAAGAAAGCCGCTACCCGTCCCGGAACCGCATTGGGCCATTCATCCAGACGTACCAGTATGCTGCCACAGCCACGCGGGTTAAAATTGGGAAGGGATAGTATGGGGTTGTCTTCGAAGGGTTTGGATGAAAGGCCACCGTGGAGGTAAGCTCAGCGATGCATGCTCCGCTCCTGTTGGGATGTTTGGGGAACCATTTTCCCATAAGAACAAAAAAGGGTTTTTTAAATGTGTTGTGTTTTTGTTGTACATGTAGGGATTGGTTGAAATTTGGCTCATTTCAGATGTTATCTTGTCCCTTCTCATTTCTGTTTCCCCTTTTCATCTTTTTATTTCATTTCTCTCTTCTAATCTACCAGATCATCCATCTTTAAGCCGCCTGTTCTCCCTTGTTTTTTTAATTACCCATTTGCGTCCATCTGCCTGTGTAATCTGCCTCCTCAAGATGCCAATCCTACTTGGTACGTGTCGTTGTTGATCTATTATTTTGTATCTTGCCTTCCCTCCTACCTTCTGCCACACCAGCTTTACATGCAATTCTTTTATTCTTGTTTCCGCAGCACTTCATATGCCCGGAAATTACACATGGATGGAGAAATTATATCATAACCCCCAATTTTTTCACTCGCACGGTCGGCGCAATTTTCAATGCAATACATACAACAAGATACCACCATCTTGATTTCCTCCCCTTTTACCTTCTGGTCTCTTTTTGACTAAATCTTAGTGTATTCCATTTTACAATACCTATTTGGATTTCAGTTCTTTTTCCTCGTACATATTTTTGATTGTATTATTTGCTATAATTCCAAAGTTGCCGTTGCTCTGTATACCTACATAAGCAGTTTCGCTGCGAGTGGCCTTAATTTCTCCATCAATTTGGCGAACCTTTCCAATTATTTCTTCTCTTTTTTCCGATCTTCCCCCTCCGTCCAACGGCAGAATCCTACTCCCTTCTGTCTCGTCTCTTGTAACTGCCAAAAACGACCGCGTATATATCCACCGAACATAGCTGTACAGTGATTAGTTTTCTTGTTTTATCCCTGTCTATCTCAGGAGCTTTCTCTCTCCTTTCTGCTCAAACCACCTGTTGGCGCGGGCATTGCATTTACCACTTTCTATGCCTAATGCTTCATCTCTCGCCAAACCAAGGTATATTCTTGTATTTATCTAACTCTATATATATATGCAACTGATCTGTCAACCCTCTCCACTTGTAGCTGAATATCAATAATCTTTTGCTCGGTTTGAGTTGTTCTTCGATTGGCTAGCGGACATCTTGACTTATGGCCCTGTCAAGCATGCACACCCAAGATATAAAAGAATTGTTTAGTTTTGAAACCCACAGTTAATTAGACAAATCTGGGTTCTTTTTGAAAGCATCAAGAATTAAGCTTAATGGGAAAGGTTTCAATTTAAGAGGCTCTCGTACATAAGTGAGTGGGCAGCAACATGCTCTAACACCCTAACTAAATCTGATTTTAAAAAAAATGTCCAGGAAAGAAGATCGGTCCACTGAATGAAACTGAGTTTCCCAAGATGAGGAATCACGGATTTATTATCAATTTCTGGATTCAATCGCCGCCTTCTGTTCAATTTGTGATTTCCTAGTTAGTTAAAAAATTCCCGAAAGATATCAACCCCTCCAGGGAAGCACCCAAAAAACAACTTGTCGTATGTTATGTTCTGTCTAACAAAGTGCCACCATTCACTTCCGTCATCTTCCATTGACTTTGGGTGAAATCGACTTAACCCAAAACTTCAATCCGATCACCCTCTCTATCTTGCACCACAGTTTCAATAGTCTTCGCCTGCCTAGCGGCCCAATACCGCCTGGTTTTGAGCCATGTATCATCAAGGGGCTTCGGGAAACCGAACTCGATTTGGTTTTGGTAGATATATTCGACCCACAATGAGTACAGTTTGCTGCGTGGTATGTTCATCGCGACACGTTTGATAGCCACGCGGAATTCATCGCGCGATTCGTCGACAGAGCTATAAGACGGGAAACCAGTATAGTTTTCATAAGTCCAATCGTTCAGGAGCTCAGCGTGAGATTTCCATGGAGCAGTCTTTTGGGGGATAAAGGTTTGCATGTAGGAATGTTCCCATGTTCCAACGCTCCAGGGTTCCGCGATCGTCCCGTAAGTAGAGGGGTCGAGAAGAGAAAGGACAAAAAGCCAGCTCTCTTCGATTGGCTGGTCTGGTCTTCGCGCGAAGGAAAGCATGGATTCTTCGAGAATGCGTATGTTGTCTTTCTGCTCAACCAAAATCTCGTTGATCTCATTTTGGTTAAAGTAGGGCCCATGGCTATTTCCATATCCCCCGCAGCAAATGTGTTTCATACCCATCATCGCGAAATTTGCCGCCCGCACTAGGTCGGCCAAAGCCGCCTCCGCAGCCTCTTTGCCTTGATACTCTTTTAACATCAACAGCCACTCTAATGCTATAAGATGTCCGCGCCAATCATCTCCATAAAGTCGACGTAAAAGCATTGAGCCTGGTGAGCAACCATTGACCGAACATGGACATCGGCATTGGTCGCGAGCGAATGGGTCAGCCCCTCGAGATAAACACATTGCCATCGCTTCCAATTTCACCGACAAGAATTTTAGGTTTTCTGAATCGTCAGTATACTTTGGATAAGGGCTGCCTATATTTTCGCAGATAATGTGCATTGCTGAAGTCCCACGATTGTTTTGTAGGTTGACGTCGACTCCCTGCGCGATAATAGCTCGATATGCTGTACTATCTGACCTACAGCGAAAGTCGAGAGCGTTCATCAGGGGACTATAGCCCTTATCATTGAGTTGGTTCGTCTTCGTGAATCCAGCCTCGAACAAAGCTCGTACTTCCTGCTCTGTGCCAGCACAATGAAGAAGTGTAATCCCAGAATTGCTCGTTACATCCGGGCTGACACCTAATTGAAGCAGAATATTCATGCCAGGCGGCGGCGGAAATGGGAAGCGAGTAGGATTTTCCAACCACTTAGCGACATAGGAATTCGCCAAGCCTCCCACAGCTTTCTCCGGGAAATCTAAGGCCGTTCGTATATGCGAGAAGAAAAGCCTGAGGACATCCCAGTGCTCCGCACTGAACGCATGGTGTAAACAGATGCTGAGAGGATCTTCTAATTCGTCAGTAGAGAGCGGGATTGTTCCATATTCAAGCAGAAGCTTTGTCGATTCAACGGAACCATAGGAAATAGCATGGCACAACGGCGTTGCTCCATTGCCATCTTTAATTTCGACTTGGGCACCGGCTTCAATCAGGCGCAGCAGTTGGCATGGTCTGAGCACTGCCATATGTATTGCCGCTTGCCCGAGGGAGTTTTTGGCATCAAGAGGTATCCGACGTTTAATGCAGGTGTCAAGTTCAGCAGCTGTTCCAGCTAACACGGCGTCCATAAGCGGCGTTTGGTTCCAGGACCCTGTCATAATTTCTCGTTAGACCAGGCACAAGCACTGTCATATCGCCATGAAACTTACCGGAAGAATGTTCGGCGCATTTCTGCAGTAACTTCAGATAAAAGAGATCATAGTATCGTAGGTAGCTACCCCATTCCCGCTTCTCCGGGTTATCAAGTAATATTTTCATGAAATTTACAGCATCATCAATATCTCCTATGTGTAAATTCGTAGCAGGATCGCCTGAATATGGTAGTACAGAATTCTCCTGTGGGTAGCCTATAGAGCGTATCCTAGAAGTCAAAAGTTAGAAGAGGTCAGGCAGTGGAAGACAATCTGGATCGATTAGGCTTACGGTAGGCTGGCATTAATTTGCGCACCCGATTCATTTAGTACCTTCAGGAACTCCCGTCGTACTTCAAAATTACCCACGCCTCTAAAATCCAATAATACCTAGGTCAAATATTAGTAAATTACATTTAACGTGGGCGGAAAACTGATAGCTCCATACCTCTGCCCAAGATTTGCCGTCGGGGTCAGCGTCATAGGGTGAGGCACGACCTTCTTGGAAAAGTCGTTTCAACAGCTCAACTCCTTTTGACAATTCCATGTAATGATTGTCGCATTTCCAAAACACCACGAATCCAGGAGAAGTGCGTTTCACCAGCCCTTGGAATCGTAGAGATGGACATAATGTGTAACGCTGTGGTCCCCATGATAGGTCCAATGACATCGAAACAGCCCAGGGAAGACAGAAACGGGAGAGGTTGATGATTGCTGAGTATTGGCGAATTTTTTGACTATAGGGAGGTGCTTTATTTTGCCTCCGCACGATTTTGTCATCATCCATTTGGTTCTGTGTCTTTTCATTTCCAGACGAATAAGTGATCAAGCGCGAAGAACCTGGGAGCAAATGGTCGCCACGAAGTTTGTCCATTTGATGTGCAAAAACATCGAGTTGACAGAGCGAAAGCGTCTGGTAGCATTCCGAAAGCTTCGATTTCAACGCGATGATCTGTTTCTCATGCATAACTCCGTATACAGCTTTCCGACTTCTGGTCATTATGGAATTGTCCTTTCGAGGAGTGGATCTCTCGAGCATGTAGTCGAGTTCTAGCATATGAGCGGTGTACTCATCAACTAACGATTGGAGGGCGACCGTCATCGGAGGGCTGTAAGACCCTTGATCTAAAAGAATCTGAGTGTGCTGCAGTCTCCCGAGAAAAACTGGTAACAATACTTGGATCTCGTGAAATGTTTTCGGCGAGTCGTTGGAATCTCCAAGGAATTTGTAGAGGCGGGTGGAAAACTTCGCAGCAAAATCAAGAAGCTGAACAATGGAAGACACTGCGCCAGCAGCAGCCAGGCCTTCTGCCATTTTATCCCAATAAAAAGGAAGCTTGGGATCCAACCAGATTTGTCAGTTGAGGAAATGATGTCTTTTATATCAAAGGCACCTTTCCATGAAATCTAGGATTGAAGGAAGATCGCTTGTAGAATATAAAGTCATAGTTCTCCCGCAAGGCTTATAGTAAGGCAACAGCCGCAGAACTGCAATACTCCGCATGCAGTACTCCGCATGCACTGGAACTCTGCATGAGCCAGTAAAATGATGGCGAAGCTGGTGAAAAATTGCGCCGCATTCTGCTGCAGACATGACCAATGTTACCCCAGCGCCCAAGGCTGATTTCCCTATGTAACGCATGATGCACAGCATGTGTTAAAAGAACTTCGCTTTCTTGCTTGCTTGCCTTGAGCATGGGCTAGTTAAGAATAGTGTAAGGAATTTCCCCGTTCGTCCACGTACATTTACATGTACTAGTTCTGAAGCCGATCGGTATATGCCGTTGGGTAAGAGGTTGGTCCACGGAAACAACCTTGAGTCAGATAATAGGCCCGGATATCACTTCCATACAAGTCCAATTAGACACTCTTTTAAGGAAAAAGGCAATTAACTTGCTTCATCACCATATCCACCTTTCCTAGCAGCCTGATAATAGATAAATCTGCCTGGTGAGTGCCATGGGTAACTGGAATATTCCTGGCGGGAAGGAGACGGTATCTTCTCAATTGGCATCACATCGTGCCGTATCTGGCTCACACACAACTGGTGATTCCTTGGCCTTCGTTATTTGGCAGGGAAGTTCCTGGGATATTCATATCCATGTTGTTGGCGGAGAGTCGATTACCGCTCTCTTTACTAGTATCCAGTATTGTTTCCAGTGAAAGAATTTCTCCCTATCCAATGGCCGGGATGGATTCTATCTGGTCCGAATGTATTCTTGGGACCCAAATACAAGTATAATGATGGAAAAATAACAGGCGATACCGTGTCCCGGATGTATACGCAGTGCCGGGTTTAAGGAGAGAGGCGACCTCGGGTGTTCATCACGTGATATAGTCTGACTAGTTACAGTGATATACAATGTCATGTCATAAGTATTGACAACCATCACAGTAATCATAGTGTCTCTTGTTGTGACAGCAAGGTAGTACTGGTTGCCAATGCTTATGATCTAGTACAGTATCTAGATATCCAGTGGTCATGAGTGAAAATCACTAGCAGAGATCAATCCAGTTATTGAAGAGTTAGTTAACTGCTGAATTATATAATATTTCTTATTCAAATAACTAGTTAGTTAACTATTTGAAGCAACAAATACTATCTCTTTCTAAAGAACTACTTCCACTGCACTTATTCATAGACAGAGTTCACTTTCTTCTGCTTACATCTCTTTTTACGTTGATAGTTGAGGCATTATGCGCAGTCGCTACCTAGGTATTCCGACAACCTAGAGCCAACCGTTTAATAGATAGAGTTTATATCAAGGTCGTGGTGGTTCCGGCCAACGTTTACGGAAAGCTCAAAGTTTACCTAGGTGACTCAGAGAGCATTTCCGAGGGTGACGTGATCACCAACAGCACAAATTTTAAAAAGTGGAGATATATTGAACATATCTATCAACTAGCTCATTTTTGCAATTTAATTTGCAATTTTTTATAATTTTTATAATCCATGCAGAATACATTGTCATATAAATATATAGTTTGAGAGTTAATTAGAGACTTAAGTGCACAATGTATGTTGACAGCGGAAATATTTTATTGTGCTGGTATTTATATTCATATTACTAGTTGTAATTTTAATACACCTCTAAGTACAGATCTGCTAAAAATGAAGATTTAGGATGTCAACAAATCTTGTTACCAAGCGAGACTTTATTCCGAGCACTTACTAAGATTTTCAAATAATATGGAAACGCAATTCCGTTAGGTGTAGGTAACTCCGTCTTCCGCCTGATAGATTCCGGGGAAACGGGGGAGGATACAACATAAATACGCACCTTGCTACAGCCATGGCTGTTCACTTCTTGCACCGATTCTACAATCCTTAATACTATTACATTCTTTTATACATTTCCTCGTCGAGAAAAACCACCCAGCTCATTCTCACACATCAACAGCAACCATGAAGGCCTCAATGGTTCTTAAGATTTGCGCCATTCTCAGCGGGTTGGCTCAGTCATCAGTGAGTATTATTTGCATCATCATGTTTTAGCGGCCGATTGATTCTAACTCAAAAAACTTGAAAGCTCGCAACGGAATCCGATTATTCTGAGATTATGAGAAATCTCCAAGTTGATCCTAATGGGCTTCTCCATGTTGATGAATTCGGGATTATGCGGTCTTTGGATGGTGATGGCAAAGTTATTGATTTTGCAAGACTCGGTCCTTCTCATCTGAACACACTTGCTCAAAGGCGACCCGAAGAGGACCGAGAAGAACTGCTTGCGATGTGGTCAGGTGCTGACCACTCTATGATTGATGATGAGGAGATCTGGAATCCATCTGAAAATATTATGGCATCTATCCGTGAGCGGGCGGCGGTGGAAGGCTCCAGTAAAGTGCGCACATAAAAAAATCACCTTGCCGGGTGTGAGGATGTCGGGACCTGGTTTTGTGGTTCCAACTGCGGGTAGATCCAGATATCGTAAAGCTTAAGACGTAACGTGATTCCTAACGACCACTTGTAAACTCATTTCGGCTGCTTCAAATTAGAAATCTCAGCGAATACTTATTGAAAATATCTAGTAGGAAACAAACATTTAATAATTCATGTATATCCGTGGACTTCTTGAAAGGTTTTCTCTAGCAAATGATGTTATTGATAATAGTTGATATTTAAAAAACTTTGTGCAAACTTTTCAAATAGAATTCATAATACAACTGTATCTGTGTAATTACATTAGTTAGCATAGCAAATAGTTAAACTAGTTAGTTATTATAACGCCACCAGGGCCTGTATACCAATATTATGATTTTTCTGATAGTTAAATGAAGAATACTAGTAATTTGAAAAACACCTCATATAAAAAATGCAGATAAGAAAATACTCTTGATTTTTAATACACATAATATAAATTTATGGAAAATCAAGCATAAAAATATATATATTTAGTAAATGACTTAAAATTATCATGTGTAAATTTATTACAATACTCTGTGGTTCAGGTACAAGTGTCAAATATTGACAAGTCATAGTTATGCTCTTCCCACAGCGATCCACGTTAAGTTTGATTCAAAAGTTTCGTCTCAAACTAAAAATTTAAACTGAGATCTCCTTTCTAGTGTCAAGAATCTCTTGTTTGGGCCAGCGACAATACCTTCCAAGCCTTCTAGAGCTAGAATTATTATGGGAGTTAAATAATAACACCAACGCCTAAGCCACTAGGGCAATAGAGCTCTCTCACCATCAATGCCATGCTGGGATTGGAGAGACGAGCCAATTCAACCCCTCCAAACTATTCATACTTATCTGATCGCCTGATGGTTCGCAAGGAATTAATTTTCAAAGTGTAGAAGCAGGCTCTCGCATGGTCCAAAATTTTAACCCAACATGAGGAACAGTTCGATGAGCTCAAATAAAATTTTTGAATCACTTTATTGTACCCAACAAGAAAAAGAGTAGAAGATGTCGCAAATATACATATTTCTCATTAGGCACCGTCAAGCCCTTAAAACAGCCAATAAAACAGATAAAAGCCGCGAAAGTTTTCACCGTATACACACCCGCCATCCCTCACCATTTCTTTGTAAGTGAAAGCATTGCATGAGCAAGTGTTATAGATATAGCTCCCGCTCGCACCTTGATTGAAAATAAGGTCGTCAATGAAAATGGCGACCTCGATCAAGTAAATTTGGCCATTCCCATTAAGCTCCCACGGTAAACCAATATAAGTGAGAGGAGTTTATATTTCTCCCGTGCCTGTCTATGGGAAGTAAATGCTTGAAAGGGATCCTCGTAATCTCTTATAACTCAACAAACAATGGAATGTTAGTTTTCTAAATATTGTTGCTTGTTAGAGAGAATAATGAGAAATGAATGATGAATAAGGAACAGGAGTGTGGAAGTTTAAAAGACCAAATCCATCATTCATATTACTGAGACTAGATTGCTGATTGAACAAGTATTACTAGTCCATGACCAGCAAACTAAATCGATCCTAAAAAAAGGGGGGGCGAATGTCATGTCTCCATGCTGTGCTCAGCTATTTCAACACAAGTCCCCATCCATGAAGATGACCTCTACCGTAGGTTTTTCTCGCTACACGTAGAAAGATATGCACCGAAGCGAATGCCAAGAAATATTGGAGTGTCAAATGCCTTTGTCCTGGCTATTGGCCTCTAAAGGCAGCGTGAGCGTGTTCATAACCTACTGAAGAGTTGTGGCATCATCTTGCGTTTGTTTGTACATGTACCATAGACAAAACACGCGAGATGGATTCGATAAAGTTCGCAAGAAGTGTGTGTGACCTGGGGTGTTAAAATTGAGGCGTGCTTGAGTTTCACCAATTTCTTCCAACAATAAATAAGCTCTCTGACATGCGTTTAAAATACTAGACACAGGTCTGGGTATCATAGTATTAGGCACTTCACTTCCAGAAGTAAGTTGCTTGTGGGTACCTATGGAGCCATTGGTCTCTGGTAAGGCACTCCCCTTGCATAGTCAGGAAATGCGTGATATGGGCATTCAAATCTGGTAGTTAATCCAGCCAAATTAGCATGGTTCCTTATAATCCATGCGACCAATGTATATGTATATACATATAGATATATGAAATAAATCTCACCTTCAACCGTCATCTCCATTCTGGCCTGCAACGAGAAATGATCTCTGAACTCATGAACAGGATGAGGTGCTCGGGAAGCTGCGTTCCTATACCCGCTCCCTCATTAATTCTTTGCCCAGATTAACGTACATACAATACAAACATCATCAATGGAGTCTAAAATATTGCCCGTGCACGAACCTGCAGGAACGGAATATATGTAAACATCTCCTCGAACCTTCCTCGCAAGGTTCTGCAAGGTTTGAGAATTAGGGCGCATGGAAGCTCCATTCGGGACTTTTGTAAAACAAAAAAAAAAAAAAGGGGGGGGGGGCGCAAAATTAACAAAGGCTCCCAAAAGAATTTCTATGAATTATCCGGCCCACGCCAGACCTAGACGCATGACATACAGATATACGTTGCAGGCCTTAACGCCCTCGGTATCACTCTCCCATCCTCCAAGAGGAGGTCAAACGGTCCATGTGGCGGCATTGCAGGATCCACATGCGGACGGAGACGAACCGCCAGGCCGAAGTTGAGGCGGAATATCTGGTAGGGAAAGCGAGTGAAGGATCGGATGAATCTGTTGGTGAGTGCCATTTTATTTTTATTTTTATTTTAACACTTTTCTCTGATTTTTCGTGGGGGGGCCCCCCTTTTGGGCATGAGAAAGGAAAAGCATGCAACGAATTGGCAAAATAAGTGGCAACGAACGATGGGTTCGGCTCCGTTGCCAAGCCGCCACGCGCGGCTGTACCTGTTGGTTGGGCGGCTAAGGAAGGAGGTTCTGGCCTTGCTTGTCAAACTTGTTCTCCTGAGTCAGGCTTTGGAGGCTAACTGTAACCCATGGTTAAAAAAAGAAGATTTGATTTGTGTGCCTAGATAGCTCGCTAATATATTTTTATTTTTTGTGGGCAACGTAGTTGAACATTGGTTAGAAGGGGAAATCAACCACGTATCATCATCATCATTGTTGTTGTTGTTGATATTTAACACACATGCTCCCCTCGCTTCCCTCGCTTTCCATACTTGCACTCATATTTTATAATATAAGAACGGTAACTAACTATAGTACATAACATAGTAACTAATTTTAAGTTGTAGTTAATAATAATAACCATACAGCGATTACCAGTGGTCATATAGTTACAATCATCAATCTATTTTGTAGAAATATGGAGAGTTAGCTATAATAGTATGTAGAGAGATAGATATCTACCATAGATTCTGCAAATAGTCTGGAGATAAAATATATTATATATATATATATATATAGATAGAAGGTCACTTATAGAGACTCAGGAGATATAATATTGGTGCTATATTATAGATTTATAGATATAGATATAGATAAAAAGCTCAGCGTTTATCATAAACAGAGATTCAGCAGAGCGCTGACAGGTAGTTAGGCAGATAGATAGAAGATCTAGTTAAAGCTAGAAATTGATACAACAAAATATAAGCTCCAAAGATATGAAAATACAAAGTGATATACGTTTTATACAAAGTATCAATCGATAGAACTGGAACACGGGACAATAATAATCCAGGTCATAAGTCAAAGGGGGAACATGTAGGTTACGGAAAATTTATTATCCCCATTAGTTATTATATAGGAGGGAGGGGAGAAGAAAAGACTGTAAAGCAAGAAAGAAAGAAAGAAAGAAACTCAAGCCGCGAAAACCGCTCCCCTCAACGCCGATGCGAATGGCAGTAAGAATAACTAACTAATAGACATCGATGACTTGGAAGTTTACAAAGGCGCCAACAAGATAACCAAGTTAACTAGTTTGTGAGAAAAAGGAAAGAGGAGGGAGGGGTGCTGGGGTGGTTGGAACTCCTTTCACTAGCTTACCTTTCCAGCTACAGATCATAATAAAATATAATAATGATAATAATAACGATGGTGATAGTTAATAAAAATAAGCCTAGACGATAACATAATACCCAACGGCGGGAAGAAAATGTAGTTAAATGTAAAATAGAAAGTACTAGCAGGAAAGAAAAGAGAGAAAAGAAAGGCAGCTAGCTAGCCAGCCATGCTTCATCCAACCAAATTTTTAGTCGATCATAAGCATCATTATCATTGCCATTGCCATTGCCATTGCAACAGAAAAAAATGAAAAGCAGGAAAGAAGAAAGGAAGCAAGATCTCTACGCAAACGTACGTGTAAATAAAACAAAAAAGGACCCCAGACGTAGCATCTACATACCCCCGTACATATATATTTATATTAAAAAAATTAAAAATATAATATTAAAATAAAACCAGGCAACCCAGTTTTAGTTCCCGGGTGGAAATTAATAGGCTGGAGGGCCTCCTTGGTGATAAGAGCAGACAGATAAGAGAATGAAAACTTCTTTTTTGAAATCTAAGGGGGCGGGAAGCATATCGCCAAGAAAAAGGGGGGAAAGGGAGGGAGGGGAACACAGCAGGGGGTTGGAAGGTGTAAGATAGCTACTTAAGATAAAGCAAACTCGGTGCGGCGGCGGAGGAGGTGGTGGAGGAGGGAGGTGTTGGTGCTGCTGTTGAGCGAAAGTAGGCCGGCCTGCGATGAAAATAGAAAACAAAACGAAACCATACGGGAGGGGGAAGATGGAAGGTGATATGTACATGTTTCTGTGTAACTAGGTGGGATAGATCAAACAGATACCTCTCGGGTAGATAGATGAATAAATGGATAGATAGATGCAAAAGGAGTAGTAGGTATTTGGGGGGCCTAGGGAGCGAAGGATATGGGGGAGCATAAAACATATATTTCATCATCCGGCAGATCGAACCAAGATCAAAATCAAAATCAAAACTAAACCAAATCAAATCAAATCATCCTCGTTCTTCATCTTCAGTCGTCATCATTGTCATTCGTCACACGTACATCGCCATCATCATCACATCATCATCAAAACAAGGGGTTGAGTAGGAAGGAGCGGGGGAATATAATAGTATCAATACCAATACCGAATTGATTTTTTCTTCTCTCTCTTTTCTTTTTTCTTTTTCTTTTTCTTTTTCTTTTTTTCCATCACCGGAAATCCAACTGAATAGGCTTCCACTGCCCACTCACCGTTCCACAGTGCGGACACCCACGTCGACTTGCCAAGCGAGCTGTTCGCCCGCCCCCACCGCCAACATTATTCCCATTCCAATTCCCATTCCCATTCCCATTCCCGTTGCCGTTGCCGTTGCCGTTGCCATTACCATTACTGTTACCAGCATCCTCCCCAGCACCATTGTTCCCATTATTCTCACCACTACCCGCTGACGGATTAAGAATGGATGCCGGCTGCCCCGCATTAGTCGTCTGCAGGGCTGCAATGATAATATTGACACACTCGCGACACACGCCGCAGATACAGTTTGTGCAAGCGAAGCAGTCGCGGACGGGCCAGGGGCGTGAGCAGCATGCGCAGTAAATGTGTATATCTTTACTGCTCGCGCTGATGGCGGGGGCGCTAGCGATGGAGCTAGTGCTGGTTGCGGACATGGGGGTTGGGTTTGAGAGGCGGTGGTGGATGCGGTGGTGTGTGGGTCGGTCCAGGAGGTGATGGTGTTGGGGTTGTTGGAGGTGATGGGGGGGATGGTGGAAGTGGTGGTGGTGGTTCTGCAGTTGTTGTGGGTGGGAGGAGGGTGGGTAGGAGCTTGTTGCTGGTAGGGATCGTGGGGGCTGGACGGGGCTTGAGTCTGAGTGCGCGGAGGTTGGGAGGCCGGTGGAAGACATGTGGAAGTTTTTGCCGGAGACGATGGAGGAGCTGGAGTCAAGGGAGGATTCGATGGAGGGGAATGGTTCTAGGTCGTTGTCTAGGCTACCATGGGGTTCGTACGGGGGTGGTGTAAGGGCTTTTTGGAGCGGGGAGGCGGTGTATGAGACGGGTGGTGGGAATTGGCGATAGTGTGGTTGTGGAGTGGGTAGGCCTGGCGCTGATTGGAAGGCTGGCGGGACGGAGGAGCGGTGCTTCGTTCCTGAGGGGGCGGAGGTTACGCTGTTGAAGGAGTGGTATGGTGGCGATTTGGGGATCTGTTTAAGGGGACAATCAACAACCCAGTGATCAAGGCGGAGGATGAGAAATCATTATCCAAAATTCGTTCTTACCGGAGTCACATCGCGATCATCAACCTCCGTCGCTGAGGTCGCAGCTTCAATCAGATCCTCCCACCTCTTCCCCTGCACCCACGCGGCCGTTTGCGGTTCTGCCGATAACGCCTTCCTGTCATTCAGACTAGGCCTACGCCCAAATTCCTTCGATCTATTCCGTTCGTGTTTGCCCTTGCGCGCAGATTGCGTCAGCGAACCTTTGCGAGGGCGTTGTAACCTCTCCCGCCGCTGAATTGGTGGAAGCGTTGATGATCGCCCAGGTGGGGAGTGTGAAAGGATGGATGGTAGCAGTTCTCTAGGCCGGGAGGACTGGAATGATGGTATGGAGTCCGGTTTGAAGTGGTCGCGGAGTGGGGGAAGCTCGATTGAGGAGCGCATTCGTTCTCGTTTCATGTCGACGTCAGAATGCATATCCTAGTATGTTATTGGTTAATGGTTTGGACTGGTTATTGTATATGTGCTTCTTTATATGTTCCAAGCAGAAATATTTACGTAGGGGCGCATATGATGGAATTAGTCCAGATGCAAAGAAAAAGAAAATTACGAACCGGCTCAGAATCCCAATCGGAGGTCAATCGATGGTGGTGGAGTTGTGCCAATGCGACAGCTGCAGTGGCAGCTGCAGGGTGAGCTTCGTCAAGGGTGCGAGGGGTCATGGGGGAGCTTCGATCGGGCCCACCGAAAATATCTCTATCGCCGGGATCGCCTAGAAAAAGTGGCAACCACAAAGAGACAGGAAAAAACCATCAGCAAAAAAAAAAAAAAAATAAAAAAGCAAAGGGAAAAAAAAGCTATAACAGCAGTTTCAATGCAAAACAAAAAGTGGGGAATGGGGGATTAAATACGAACCAGGACCCCGCCGGGGATGTGAGGTGTTAGGAGGAGGCCTCGACTCTGGAGGGGTAAAAATCATCAACCGGAAGCTCTCTTCGGTCGCCGGAAGCTTGGGGATGTAGTGGCTGGGATGGGCACGGCGGATGTGTTCCTGCATAGAACGGTATCGCTTCTCCTAAAACAGCCAAATGGAACAAAAAAGAAAGCGAGGATCGAATTAGTGCCGGTCAAATAGAAGTTAATTAAAGGATAGTTCTCATCTGGAGCTTATGACCGGGAATAGATAGGCATTTATGACGTGTTCCTTTATTTCCCTTTGCTTTTTCTGTTTCATTTCATTTCTTTTTATTGGGGAGGGGAGGAAGGGGAATCGAAGATAGAAGAGCTGAATGTTGTATTATATAGGAGCGGTGAGGTGGGAGGGTGGGGCAGAGGAAGCTTGCTGGCCAGTTTCTGAGGGAGGAGCAGTAGTCAAGGGGGGTGTACTCACGCCCAGACATCGTTTGCGACAATTGGAGCCGTCATTGTTGGTTAGAGGGCAAATCACTTCATTGTTGGTATCCGAGACGGAAAAGGAACTGGTCAGGGAAGCTCGCGGTGGCATGGTCTGGAGGTAACCCTGTTTTCAGTCCTCGAGTTGGTGGTGGCGGGGGTGGGGTTTTGGAGGGACTTCGATCTGATCAGAGACAAGAGGGGAAGAACAAGTAATAACGGTCTCAGCAACGGGGTGAATAGCTATCGAAGCTACGTAGCTTCCTTTGTCTGTCGTCTGCGCAGAATGGGTTAAAATCAAAAGGAAGACAAACGAATTGTTGGGACAGATCAAGGCGCAGGAGGAAGCTGTCGAGATCGGGAGGTATTTTATTTTAAATGTGCGAGTCGAAGCTGTTCGAAAGGTTCTCGGACTCAGCCAGATGGTGGTAATGACGATGATAATGATGGCAATGATGATGATGATGATGATGATGGCGGGGAGAGGAGGGTGGGGGGGCGGGGGGGCGCTGCCTACCGGAATAGGGTGGATAGCGATGCGCTGGTGACGACGACAAGGGAACGACGAGAGAGCTGTTGAGGGCTGAAAAGGCTGCTGTTCATGCTCTCCCTCTTGGCGTAACGGGGTAGCTACAGGGCCAGAATGATACAAGTCGACGAGGTGATGGATTGTTGGGGCGGGAAAGCGAGGTCTTGATGGGAGAAGCAGGAAGCAGGTTCAGGTTCAGGATCGATAGAATAATAGGGAGAATCGCAGTGTGAAGCGACTAAGATTAAGTCCGCAGAACAGGGAAGGTCAAATACAACACCACGGTTTCAAGTTAGAGCGTGAATGAGGAGGACGATTGGAGGGAGGACGAAGGCGACAAAAAGAAAAAAAGAAGAAAAAAAGTAATATATATCAAAGCAAGCTGATTTCGTTGGTCGGGACGGATTGGAATAATGGCGGTGGCGAGAGAAAGGGGGAAAGTTGTCATGCACGCAGTATATTGTCGGTTGGAGATATAACTTGTGGACAATATTATGAAGAAATCCCAAGCTGCAACGGAAGATCGCTCAGGTGCGAGTGGTGGAAAGCAATTTGCAAGTATGAAACGAAGCCGGTTAGGGCTGCCTGGGTGGCTTGGGGCGATGACGGCGATGCGAACCTTGGGATGGGGATCGGTTGGCTTCCTGGATACGCCGAGTTACGTCGAGTTACGTCGAGCAACCTAGGTCCAGAGAGCTTCAGGCGGGATTGATTGGCTGGGTTATATATAGCTGGAGGGAGCCGATGAGAGCGGATGAGAGCGGATGAGAGCAAGGGGAAGGGAGGAGCATGAAAAAGGAAGAAGAAGAGGAGAAAAAGAAAAGAAGAAAAGCAGAAAAGCAGAAAAGGAGGAGAATCAAGAACTGGACGAGAGCTAAAAGGGAGCTTGGGAATGGGCCACGGGTGGAGCTATGGCGATTGACAACAGAGCTCTGCTTCCACTCACAGCATTTGCGCAGTACAAGTACGAGCAGTTATGCATTAAATTCTTCCTCGATTCTCTACAGCGTAGCAATAGTAATCATTGCCAATAGTTACTAGCGAACCCGTAGAAGAAGTAGAAGAAGAAGAATAGTTACATAGTTAACTAAAGTTGAATATTAAATGATTATCGACGTAATTATTTCCCCAAATTGAAACCCTAGGGGGGTGGGGGACGCATAGTTACATCCGCAGGCAGTCTGGGGGTGAAATTGGGAGAGCCAAAATGGATGGTTGATGACAGGCCTGGCATGGGTGAAGCACGCTGGCTGTAACGGTGTGGCAGCATCCGACAACCTTGGAATGATCCAAGCTGCTCCAGCCGGCGTGGAAAACCCTCGAGAAGAGGGGGAACGACAGAAGAACCCTAGTCAAGGTGTGGCGACGCGAGAGAGCTGGCGGTGGCCTGGCAGTGGCCTGGCAGTGGTCCCGGGTGGGAGCTATTCTCCAGCTAGCTGAGTAGCTGGCGTCGAACCCGATGTCTTGCTGCTTAGCTGCGGGTTAGCTCATTGCCTGCATGGCCAACGAGAATCTGGCGGCACACGCTGCTGGAGGGGTTTCCGGCCGGGTGGAAGGAGGGGTTGGGAGCATTGGACATTAGTTATCTACTGCGTATATATGGTATAACTATCTACTAGTATCTCTATTCGAAGAGGAGGTTGATACAGCTATTGTGATTCTTGGTCAAGGTACATGTACTTTCTCTACCTCTACTTATGTATTGTTTCCAATCGATGTATTTATTCCTCGATCGATACCAGTAACTTAGTATTAGCTACCAGGCACAGGCACAGGCACAGGCACAGGCACTCAGATACATCTCTTTGTACCTCAGCTCTTCCCTCGGTTGGGCTGCTGTGTCTATCCACAAGCTCCAGCGCCAGCAAAGCGAGCACTCATAAGAAGCAAAGCCCGCGGAGGGCTGTGTCATCGTCTTCCCCTTCCCCTAACTATGCATCTCTGCATCTGTGCATAGCTACTACCCCTCTCCGCCCACTTCCCCCCCCGTTGCTTTCCCGTTGCTTTCCCGCCTGACATCTCCTTCATTTCTCGTCTGATGACGCGAGATGCCAAGCCCAGGTCAGGTTCTTCCTTGCCCATCCCCCTTCCAGCGCTAGCCCCGCGGGAAATTTAATGGGAAATTTAATGGGAGATTTAATGAGAAATGAAAAATATAATCCCTCAATTACCGTCCCAACCCGAGGTCCTTGCATCGCCATCAACCCTACCTACCCCAGCTTTCCCAGCTTCTTCCTCAGCTCAGCTCAGCTCAGCTCCGCGTTGAGCCAAAAAGTTCGTCAGATTGACTTGGCCCTTTTTTTTTCCCTTCTTCTTTTTCCTGGAATTCCTGCCCTATATCCAACTCCAGCTTCCCGCTTAGTTTCCTTCAGCCTTCTTAACCTCTTCGTTTTCGGGTTTTCTTTTTGTTATTTAAGTTGAAACATAGCGGTCTCCCCATGGCAGGGTAAGGTCCCTGTTAGGGGTGTGCAGTAGCCTGGTAATCATTTGAATTTTTTATTGCTCCTCTATTTTCTTTTTTCTTCTTCTTTTTTTTCCCACTGGTCTGTAACGACCCGAGTACATATGTAGATACTAGTATTTCTACATATATACATACATATATCCCCCTATCTACTTCCTTCTGTATTCTGAATAAACTGCCCACAGCAATAACAATCACACAATAGTAGTGCCCCATCTTGCATCTTCTTTCCCAAGGTTGCTTGGCCCCACTTCAAGCTTTCTTTTCCCACCCCCGACCGCCGAACGAGAATTCCCGAGGTGTTTCCGGTGCAAGCGGTGTGGCCCTCGGTGCCATGTGTAGAGGGGAAAAAGCTCCTACCCGCCCCCCACACACACCAAACCGCCGCCGCCGCCGCATTGGGAAAGCTTCTTTTACACACCGGTATTTTCACCATGAGATAGTCTCCGTTGAAAATATATGTAGTTATATATATGTGTGTATTTACACAATGTACAGTACGCAGTAAGCTGCGTAGCCGGCGAGCTAACCCCAATGATACTATTGTATATATCCGGCTAAAGACGGGGGTGTAGATAGGCAGTTAGTTCTAAGGGTATCGTTATTAAAACATGCAAATCTTGTGGGAAGGAGGCTTTTACCACTACGCTGAAAGGATCAATCCTTAAGGTAGCCAGCCAGCTACCTATCCTATTCCTCAAGATGTATATGTATATGTATATGGATGCATTCACAAGAGTTAAGATATATTATATATAGACATGTACTACTAGTATTTCTCTAGTCGTCATCCCCCTTTTCGCCTGTAATATAACATACATACAATCAACTCTCTAATAAGTTGTGGGAAGAAGAAAGTATGATAATGTCCTTCGTCAGCTACGTCGAAAGCGGAATGAATAAAAGGGGAAAAAAAAAAAAATAAAAATAAAAAGTTAAAAAAGTTTACCAACTCTCCCATAGGGGGAATCGAACCCCCGGCTAGCGTGTGAGAGACGCTGATGTTAGCCACTACACCATATGGGATGGACTTAGTTTATCGAAGAACTTCAAATATTGATATTTATATACTATATGGATTTTTCTTTCTTTTCTCTCCACTTTTTTATTTATTTATTTTTTTCGGCCCCCCTCATTCCAACTACCCGAACTTCAACTCCATGAAGAATAGCTTAACCCTCTTTCCTCTAATGGGATTGGAAAAAAAAAAAAAAAAAAGAAGGGCGGGGGGAGGGTTTCGGGAAAGAAAGAATTTCGCATTTAGTAAGAAAAGAAACAACTTCTGCTGAATTGGATGGATTTACTATACGACGAGTATGCATATACAGTACACAGTCATTTACTAGTACATTTACACATTGATTGACATTGAAGAAAAAGAGTTATTGATTGAATCTCACCAAACCCAAACTCCGGTCCGTTTGTCGCTTGCAGACAAAAATTCTAAATCATAGCCAAAACACGGGGGGGGGGAAGAGGAGGAAGTTGGTATTAGAAACATAGAATAAAAGAGACGAAAGATGAAAGGAGAGAATCAACAGGAAGAGGAGATCAGATCCAATAAAAGTAAAAGGGAAAAAAAAGAATCCAAAAAACAACATGAATGAAAAAAAAAAAAAAAAAAAAAATGCAAGGAAGAAAATCGGAAAAAGATGCAGGCAGAAACCACGGTTCCTAAATGTAGTAATATCATGGATATGTACAGTACATCAGACACACAACGATATAAAAGAACATCATACTCGGTCGCCGTCCTCGTCCGAACCACCATGACGCCGATGCTGGGGCTGGGGCTGATGGTGGTGCTGGTGCTGGTGCTCATTAACCTTCCCCGCCATCTTTTTCCCAACCTCGTAGCTGGAAATCATAATGGCGCACGCAGGCGCAACTTTGAGACACCGTGCCGCCCAGCCGCGGAAAAGACCCGATACCCCTTCAACTTTGAGGATGTGCAGGAGGAAGCGGGGCGTGGATAATTGCTCTGGATGGATATGAGACAAAGATGATGCTGACGATGGCGACGAGGATGAGGATGCAGATGCAAATTTGGAGAAAGAGGAGGTGGTGAAGGAGGTGCTGGTTGTGAGTTTTGTTTGTGTTGTCCGTGCTGATTTGGAACCCGGCTCGTCGCCACAGTGTAGGAATACCTGTTGGCGAGTCTTGCCAACGTCAAAGGGGGTGGTGATGAGGGCTGCGAGGGCGCCGGATGTGGCGCCTGCAATGAAGCTGTCGAGGAATGTCATGGTGTGGTCTTGGTGTGGGTCCGAAGGCGCGGCGTGTCGACCGCCGTGGAGGTGCTGATGAGTGTCTGCGGCGAAGGCGGCTGGAATCGTTTTCAATCGCAGATCGGTGAGGATGGCCTTCACGGTTTCGTATCCCCACCAGTACAAGGCGGAGAAAGGCACGTCACGCCACATGGTAAGGGTGAGCCCCCGCCATAGTGAGCTATAACCCTGCGTCTGCGTCATTTGATGTAGCTGGCGGAGCGTGGCTTTGAAGTGGTTCGTTCCCGTCCCCGACGTGGCTTGCAATCGTGTCCGAAACATTTCAATCGGACTTATTACCGACGCGGCCGCTATCCTTGCTATCCCGCCTGCAGCGAGCGGAGCGTACGTGTCATTGAAGGTTCTATTGACAGGACTTCTCTTATCGAAGCGTAACCAGTCGTAGCCGGTGAAATAAATAACGTTTGCCGGGATGGCCATCACTAGGGTTGGACTGAGGCCCCGCCATAGTGACAATGCGCCTTCATTCCTGGCAATTTTGCGAAGTCCGTCGAAGGTAGAGGTGAATGTCCTTCGCTGAGTTTCCTCAACTGCACAGCCAGCAGCCCCATCAATAGGCGGACTGCTGAGTGCGGCACCATTTGGTCCCACCATGCAAAATTGGGCATTGTTCCCAACCCAGAACACTTCTCGACAGCAGGCCGTCACACCCAAGTTTGGAGGAAGTCCCCCGAAAAGAGGAGCGGGAATAATATCTGGCGAAGCCCGGAGGACGGGAATTTGGGATTGCAGGCGAACACGAACAACATCGAGGGGCGTCACTGGAAAATGATGTAAGCAGGCAATCAATCCCGACTGGCCCAATAGTACATCCATCAGGATATCTTACCGAGTAGGGAGGTTAGCAAACTTCCCCACGTAGCGGACATCATCTTCTGGGTCGCGGAAACATTGTTGTATTCCTGGTGAGCGCCGGTATTGGCCCGGGAGCTTCCACTTGCATTGTTGGCAGCCATAGGTACCGCTCTCTCATGATGAAAGGACGTTTGCTGTTCACGAAAATCACCGGGTTCCTGTTGTTTCGTGTACGACGCTTGGAAATATGTCATTCATCCAGTTCGCGGGAGAGCGTACTTAAAAATATAGATGAGACCGACAAAAGACCTTCCTTAGGCAAAGGGAGTCCGCGTTGATATATCTCACTCCGCCCCGTTCATATCCCCTCAGGAGGTCTAAGGCGCAGAAATTGGACAGAGCGGAGATAAGTGGTGCCTGGTGGTTCCAAGTTCTGCAACGGCGGGTGGGGAAAAAAAGTTGACAGAATGATCACTAAGCGGCAAAAAGGAGGGCGGAGAAATCCAAGGCCGATAGAGCCGATATGTACCGAAGCTTGGCGCGGGCCCGGGGAGGTACAATATGGACACTAAGCCAAAACTAATCTAGCGGGGGCAGCCAGGACTGATAAGTATTAGTCATAGTTAGTCATAGCTCAGCATCAGAAGAGCCTCCAAAACTTCAAGACCGCGAAACTAGATTTGTATACATCAGAGCAAACAAGTGTTTACTGTGCACATGCTGAAGTACGCAAATAGTACTGATGGATATCGAATTGTATATTGCTTGACGTGTTTATATGGCGACTAGACTGAAAGGATTTTCTGTCTCCTACGGTTGACAAATCTATGTCAAATACCTGGACGCCAAAAACAACTCTCCGCAATGGAGCCAAATAACGATGAACTCGAGTCCTTCAGGCGCCAATGGTGGGAGGAAGTCTCTGCCCGGGCTAGGAAAGCTGATCCTTCACAGCCAAATACCCGGCAAACTGCACGTACGCCTCTTCCAGCATCATCGAGCTCTAAATTGCCTCCGCGGCACCCAGCTGCGGACCGTGTAGATGAGGAAGAAGAACCGGAAACTACAGAAGGGGTATTTACGCCGCGTAAAGATGAAGAAGCCCTGGCAGAGCAGATGCAAACTCTCCATGTTACCTCTGGCGACGATGACTTTTTCCATCGTCAACATGAGAAACCGCCAACTTCCGCCCTTGAGCACTTTGAAGCTGCAACACGGAAGGAAGCTCAGGGAAACTTAGGATCAAGCTTAGACCTGTACAGAAAGGCTTACAGGGTAACCACACACCCAACTGATAAGATATCCCTTATGTCTGAAAAACTAATTCTCTTGTTAGCTTGATTCCAATGTCGACCAAGAGTACAGGAAAAAACACTTTCCTCCAGTCATGTCAGTGCCAGGCATTAACCCTTCTGCACCGCTGGTCACCGTTCCAAAACCTGCCCATGTTTCACAGGAAAAGCCCTGGATTTCTACGGCGGAGCTAATTTCCTCCTTCGCCGCAAGCCCCATTCTCGGTGCTGGCCCAACCATTCAGGATGAACCACCCCTGCCTTGTCCCATCTCCAGAGTCCCATCTGAAGTGCTTGTAGAGATTCTCTGGCATGTGGCTCTTTTGGACCCTGCTGCCTTCGGGCGTCTGTCCTCTGTCTGTAAAAGAATGGCATACCATTTTGCCCATGAGCAGCACATTTGGAGGAGGCTCTGTCAAGGGTCTGAATTCGGGTTCGGGGCCATGCACTATGACTTCGCATGTGATGTAAGATGGCATCGGATGCATTCGTTTTTGCCGAAGTTCACTCTTTTTCCATTCGGCCAGGCTCGTTTACAGATCCCAGCGCCCCTTTCATCCTGGAGTCAAGTATTCCAGGCCTTCCCCAGGATCCGATTTACAGGAATTTATATAAGTACTGTTAATTACACTCGCCCTGGTGCGAATTCCTCTTTGCAGAACATCTCCTGGAATACTCCAATCCACATCGTGACATATTATCGATATTTGCGTTTCTACCCGGACGGTAGCGTGATTTCGCTGCTGACAACTACTGAACCAGTCGACGTTGTTCGTTATATCAGTAAAGAAAACCTCGAAACCTTGCATGTCGGGATGCACTCACACCGTCGACACCAGCATCACGCTTCGGATTCTGCTCAAGCGGTGGTTCCTGTTGCGAACCCAATTCCCCCAGTTGCCGCCACAACACTAAAAAGTTGTCTTCGTGGCCGATGGCACCTTAACAACCCCTACCCGGCACCACCAGAATCTGAGCAGCCCGAAGCGTCGTCGGCCAGCGCTCCACTCATGACATCAACATCAACACCCGCAGCAAATCACACCTCATCTCCCAGCAAACTTCGTCAAGCAGCTTCCGCGCCCACTTCTACTAGTGGCAATGAATCACTACCAGATCCCCGCGATCTGTTTATCGAAACTGAAGGCGTAGATCCAAAATATACGTATACAATGCACCTAGCACTCCGATCGGCTAGCGGTGGCCGGCCTGTGGGGGAGAACACGGCGTCTCCGTCCAACCCGTCGAAAAACACGAAGTTGATGTGGAAAGGGTTTTGGAGCTATAATCGACTCACTGACGATTGGGCGGAGTTTGGGTTACGGAATGATAGGGCTTTTGTGTTTAGGAGGGTTCGGGGATGGGGGATGGGATAAATAGCGGTTGCTGCCCTGATGCTTTGGCCGTTGTTAACCTTTCCGTTTATTTTATTTTGATTATTTTGTTATCCGTGATTTTACGATTTTTGAAATGAAATAGCGCAACGATTCCCGTTTTCCGAATTGTTACATGATATAGAAGCTTTATATACGTCGCGTTGGAAAACTACATTTTGTATGTGAAGACATATCTATGCACACATTTTGAAGTTACACACCACCATATATAACATCATTCGCGTGGATTACAAGTCCTGGGGACAGGACTTTGGAGTGGATGAAAGCGAGGAATTAACGAAAAGGGTGTCATTGTTTCGACAGTAAAGCAGATTTCGCGGAGACTGTATATGAAAGGGGCCAACAAAATTAGTATCTGAAATGTCTAGAATCCCGATTTTAAGCTACAAGAAAAAAAAAAAAAAAATACCACCCGTTGCTATGACCCTTTGCGAGAAACGAGGTACCTGAAGCGGGTGAGTTACAAACGCCCGCTCACCATCCGAGAATATATTGACGCGCACAATACACAGCTTACGCTACAATCTTGTAGCTCCCTCCACTCACAACCTCCAACCTCCCCTTCGCCACCATCTGGCTCAAGAACTCCCGCAGTTCTTCACTGCCAAACGGGAACCCACCGGGTACTACGATCTTCAGCATCATGATGATCCGTTGCAACGGCATGGCGCCCTGGTTGGTCAGCATACCCACAATAAATTGCCAGTACAGATCCATCCTCGCCATTGACGCAGCGTCTGCAGATTCTTTCGTTGCAGCTTCTTCTGCCGCTTCTGCAGCTGCGACGGCGTCTGCAGAGGAGATTTTTGTTGACGATGTACCGCCGACACCAGTTGTGCGTGATCCTGTTGAGTATGGACCGACGGTGGCTGCTTCACCGCCTACGTGTGGTGGGCCATTTTCGTCTTCTTCGCCTGGGATTATTTCTAGGACTTGAAAGGTATCAGGTTGCGTTTCTGTGAGGATACGCTTGCTGAGCCAGAAGAGACAGGCGCTACGGGCGAGGGAGGGAGACATTTCCAGTTTTTGTGAGAGCTCGGAGACGGTTTTGGTTACGGGGGATGGTTGGGATGGGGACGGAGTTGGTGATTGGAATGCATGTATTACGGCAGCTTGCCAGGTTGTGACTTCCGCTGTGAACACGCGATCTTCGAGGTCTAGTTCGACAGTGACTTGGCCTATGCCGTTAATCCAGGTGAGCTTGCGAGATTGTTTCAACGACTCGAAACCGTCGGAGTACTTTTGCTGCAAGGAGGCGATTTCCGGTGGAACTGTGAATTGGGGATTTTGCAATGTAGGCCAGAAAAGTCGGGACAAGATTTTGGCGTGCAAGTCGGGCATGTTGGCATCTGCATTTTCAAGCTTCTTGTCTGCGCGAATGGATGAATCAACGCGTTGTGAGCTCTGAACATCGCGGAGCATAACCTGGCACGCCTGGAGGGCTGAATCACCGAAACGGAGCTTTAGTAACTCTAGCAAAGATACTTCTAGATCATAATTTTCGCTCTTTTTAAGCAACCGCTCCCCAAGGACTTTCTGCAACTCTCTTACAAAGGCCTCTTTCGTATCGAAAAGGCTAATTAAACTGCCAATGACGTCGGAGCTTTTGGACTTTTTGTAATCTGTAGCAACGTCAATCGGATCTGGCATCCAATTCATGTCATCCCAGTCCAGTTCACCGGAATCATCCTGAAGCAAAAGCTCGTGTGCTTTTGACAACTCCATCGCCAATTCAACCAGAGTGTCTGAACTTGAAGTGATGGGCTGTCCATCAGCATCCACAGTGTCAGCAAGAAGTCCTCCGACAATGACCTTCACTGTATCATCGCGATCTCGTAGATATCTTCGGATTGGTCGAGCAACGTGATTTAGAAGCACTCCTCGTGGGTCTAGCTGGCTAAAGGCTCGAATGATTGAGATATACATTTGCAATATTTCAACGGTTGAGGCGCCCGGGTGAAGAAGTCGCTGTATCAACATAGAAACAAAGGAACTAACCAGATATAGTCGCGTCGCGGGATTAGTCGTATAATGTTTTAAGTCCTCGATTGCGCCGCTGCTCGAATCCCACTCGACGATGACATCGAAAAGCTCACTGATCCGCAGGGCGCCCAGTCGTGCAATCCCCATTTCTTGCCACCTTTTGACATCACCCAGAGTGACATCCAGACGTTCCTCAGGTAAGGCCCCATCGTCATTAGTTTTGAAGATATGCAAAATCCGTACCACCAGCCTCGCGAAAACATGTTCGGTCCACTGTCGCAAATGCTCTTCAACAAGCGAAGGAGATTCCCATTGACCCGCATAGGCAGATGTAACAAACTCGGTTAATATGTTATTCATTACACTTGCAAATATCTTTTGGCCGTTGCTCCCCCCAAGCCCGACTTCTTGAAGGCCCTCTAAGAGATGCAGTAACTGATTTCTAGTTTGCGTAACTTCCTCATTTTCCCCACTAATCATTTGCAGTCTTCGCTCCGGCGACGGTTCGTTTTTCCACTTGCTATATGAAGTAGTGAATATCTGGTCGATGTCCATGCCATCATCGGCTATACTGTCATTTTCAAGAGTACATTCTTCGTCCTCTTCGTTATGAACTCCTAGAATAATCAAACTTTGCGTAGCAAGTTCCTCAGAAAGTAGGTATGAAATATCTGCGGAAGGGAGGGCAAACGTGACGATAGTACGGAAGTTCCGTTGTATCCGAGCGAGACTTTGTTTTTGGTCTGCGGGGTCTAACAGGGGAGATAAATATAAGAGAAAAGTGGTAATATAGATGCTCCTTATTAGCCTTAGGTACCGAACCAGCTTTGATAACGTATCAGGCTGATTTCTGCTTTTCAATCCCTAAAATTGCACCAATTAGCCAAGCCAATATGGTCTGAGAAATGAAGTACATCAGTTAAATGATGATATTAGAAGACGAACCGCAACGAGAAAAGTCCGAAAATTTGTTAGAAAGTGTCTCCGCATCTCACTTAGATACCACTCCTTCACGTCATCCTCTTTTGATCCCTGCCGCAAAGCCTTTCCAGGGGATGAATCCGCGCCGACATAGAAGAGGCTTTCGGACACTAGTTGGGACGGAGGCCCTTTTGCCCACCGTTTTAACAATGTGTCTTCATCCCGTGTTCCATCATCATCATCACCTCCGTTATTTCTGAAGCCCTCGTCAGGAATAGAGAGAAATGTAGTTGCGGCATGCCAGGCTCGATCCCAAGTAACCTGTTCCGGTACGTTTTCCAGCTCCCTTTGATTACGATCACTGCTGAAAGTTCCCCCAGCTCGTGTTAAACTCTGGACAGGGCTTGAGATTGGGGTTGGGGATATGCTGCTTAATGGAGCCGAAAGGAAGACGGAATCAAAAACTCGTTTACGGCTGATTGACAGTGGGATATTTTGGAACATTGCTTCCTGAATGTTTATTCGAGATATTGGCGTGTTCCCTCCGGATTTAACTGGGCTGAGCGAAACCGGACTGGGCCATCCCTACCGACTAATGAGGCTCCACATTGGAATAACTGGGATTTGGAGACATCGGCACCGGGTGAGGTGCTTCTGTTGTCGAAGATGAAAATGGAGTTCTAGAAGGTGCGCGGGTAGAACACGTGATCACGTGAAACCTGCCAGGTGGGCATACTGGTCCTCTATATGTTGCGGTGGGTATCAACTCAATGGAGGTTCTAGTATTAACGTAGATAGCATAATGTACTTTTGGTCGCCATCACATCAAATATGAAAATGAGCAGGGGAAGCAAGAGACATATTTACAATAACGATCAACGGGTATCAAACAGCTCTCTGTTGTTCTCTGATGGTCTTGGGTATCTGGGTTCGGTTGATAAGTTACCAAACACGTATCCCAAGCGCAGGTTGAATCGACGCCAATAGCTAATCAAAAAAGGCTGGACCAATACTCTAAACAAGATCCGCTAAGAAACGAAGAAGCTAATAAACGGCATCGGGAAACTAGTAAAGAAAACAAGCACAACATTGCGTCAAAAGTAAAGTAAACAAACTCTCGGAGTAGGCGTCATAAGCGGCAGTACGGAGGTGCTTAGTCACCCGCGTTTTGATGCTATATATACGTGAATATGGTTCGACGCAGTCGTGGAGACTCAGGTTAGGCTGAAATCCAGATTAATGGATTAATCGACCCCTCTGGGATCCCATATCTTCTGTATTATCTCCCCTTTTCATCAACCTTCTCCCATTCACTGTCCGTGCTCACGTAGCCAGAATTATCGGGGCCACTTCGTCGCTTCTTTAAATCTTCAGTCTCGGTTGGTGGAGGGCCACGGGAAGCACCAGTGCTCCGCGGAGGGGGAGGTCCCATTAAACCAGATGAAATCGTACCTGCGGGTAACTGAGGCTCTCCTCCCGCAAGGCTTTCGGTTTCAGTCTCACTCTCTGTGTCGATCGCCCCGGGTGGCCGACCTATTGGGCTTTGCTGGGTTGCTTGGGATCGGGACGGGTCGGCGGTCTCCGATCGTTCGCGGGAAATTTCAAATTCTTTCACAAACCAGTTTATCGCCCACCATAGACCGCCACATAGGGATGAGAGGACAGCAAAGTGAATGCTGTAAGTCGTAAGGAGAAGGACAAATAGGAGGAGTTGGAGAAAAGCGAAGGTTACATTTGTTGCGATGACTAGCGAAGGTGTTGGCCCCGGTGTGAATACACTCGACCAGAGATCCTCGATAAAAGAGACCATTCTGTACGGATATTCTGCGGCTATTATACTGATATGAGGAGGGTTTTCCGTACCGTTCGGGGAAGTGGCGACTTGGACGATAAAACGATAAAAATGAAGTACGATCCCGAAATGAATATGGAAGGAAAAAAATGCCAGATAGCCAGGTTATAAGAAGACGGAATATCAGAACACGTATATCTTTCGAATAATGGTCAGTGTGTCTTTCACAACGTTCTTATCCTGGTGCCTCAAAACGTAGTGTTGCTGCCAGATGGAGGGGTTGGCTGCAGAACCTACTTAGTGTATGTAGTGCGAAATTAATCAAGGATACGGATTTCCAGAACAGTTGAAACAGCGCGTTGTGATGATTTTGATCTTGCAAAGATTTATTCTAAGCCATCAAAACAGCATTCCAAAGAGGCATTGCGTGCCTTCACCCGTGTTGGAGGACCTCGTCTTGATGATAAAACGGGCAGCTGATATCGCGACGATCCCCGCATCATCGTTGATCCGACAACGCCAGCTAAACGTCGTCCCAATTTCAGTCGGAAAAACTTTCAGGGTTTGCTCAAGGCACCAACATCAAAATTGCAGACCACGTATACACAACGAGATCATGGTTATTCTTAACTACTGGAGGGTTTGTTCTCGTATCCCCATAACAACCCCTAATACTAACCCTGACATTCGTTGTGCGGGTGAGCGAGCATTATTCCTCCACAGTGTGGGTGTAGTTCCAAAAGTCAACCAAAACTTCGGAACCAGGTTATAATTGCTCTATCGAGATGGATCATGAATTAACCGTGACACAACAAGAAAACTGTCGACAGCAATGAATGGGATGCCTGTTCCGGAATGTAAAAGAAATAGACCATACCCCGGCCATCAATGGCTATATCTACTCGATCTCTCGAGCACAGGAGTTTCTTACCCCCATTCCATGGATTTACAGTGCCAGGACATAAATATTGGCAACCCCCACCACAATCATGGTGCCTTTTGGGGCAGAAAAGTGGTGGGTGTTGCCAATACTTATGGTCTAGTACAGTATATGGCGCTCCCACTGTCGACCGGCAAGGATCTTCAGTTCTGAATCTCGTTTTTTGTAGCTCATGAGCGAGCAATGCACTGACTCGACTATATAGCTGAGATACCAAATTAGGATTCGAATATTTCGGACTGTGGGGTACTTGGGTATACACCCATTGGCATTCTGAAGGACGCCTATCAATACCGAGGGAAAAGACATTCCGACAAGCGTAGAAATCTTAGCATTTCGGGTCTTGATTGAAAATAATGCTGAAAGCTCAACGGCTTCAGCCCGTATATTGACCTATTTATTCGGTGCATGCTAAACAACAATGCACCGAAATGCTGGACTTTGTGGAGAAAATTTCTTTGCGCTTTCATTTGTGGACTCCCTCTCCTCTTAAGCCACAAGCTACAAGCTACCAGGGCTTTGTAAAGAAGCTAATATGAATCCAAGCATGTCATCTGTCTCAATTCGACAGCAAGGTCCCGAGTTCAAAGGACGGTTGATAACGCAGTTTCACCTATACCCGCTCTATGCCTCTGGTTAGCGTCAATGCAACTGAATAAAGGAGCCAAATCCATGCTTTCCGCTGAGGAATACTCAAGCAGATGGCTGGATTCTCATAACATTATTTGCCTATCTCCACCAGGTTGTCAGTGCCATGTAACCAGGCTTTTGCCAAGGTCGAGAGTGCAATATTTGTGACCGTCGAAGAGCTGGAGGTGTTGTGTCACGGAGTGTCCATGCGACATGCTCTCCTATCCCGAACTATATTGCCCTCTCTTTCACTTTGTTCTCTAAAAATGCAGAAACTGTTGTTATGAACAAGAACCCAAATGGAATCAATCATCCACCGATGAATTTATTCCTCTTAACCCTCTCGTCCAAATTTCTTGCTGGTTGCCACTCGCCCCACCTTCCCCTCCCATTCGTAGCGGGGTTGCATGAATTTGATCAATAGCGCTATTGTTACGGAGCAGCTTGTGGCTTGGCCCATTCCTGTCAACAACCGCTAGAATAGCAGTTCCTGAATCGTTTGAATGTCACGATGGGTGGATGCCATTGGTGGAGGTCTCTGACGAACAATCCGATACGGTCTTGGTGACCGGCGAAAAATAAGTATGCAGCACACTGCATAAGTTAAGGTTGGTTTTCAGAAAATGAGAAAAGTTTTCTCCTTCTTAATTGGGGATATGGGGTCTTCAGGGTTCGCATTGCTCGTCACCCATTGCTGTGAACAATCGAGCGACGCTAATAGAGCAGGCCCTCCTTGAAAAGGAGTTGCACCTTAATAAACCCCTGCGTCCAATCTTCAATGGTTGGTCGAATACATGTAGCAGCTGTGAAATATCTGTGTGTCTCATCTCCGCGTATGCGCCAAAGCGGAACCGAATGAGGCTCCTCCGTGCCTCTCAAGTTTCAACTTTCAAGTCTCAACTTACCAGCCCCACTCTTCTCTTCAGCTCCGTGACCAGGCGAACAGCTAGCTCTCTTCAATTTTCCTGATTTTGCTCTTCACCCCGGGCCGCACCAAGTCAATCATGCCTTTGAATTCATATACAGGATTGGGATCCCTAAAATGGTAACAATAGCAACTTGCCCCATCAATCATACTATGATAAAATGAGATGTAATGAACAAAGCCGGTGACCTGGATTTCTATCCATAAACAAATTGCGTGGTTAAGCGCCTTTTTTCCCACGAGGGTCAACATGTTAAAATAAAGTGCTTAGCCATGCAATCCATGTCGTGTGAAATAAGCCTGATGATTGGCTGTCTGGAAACCCTATTTGACGAGAGCAAGCGCTTTGGAGTCTAGATTGTTTCTACCTTCCCCCCAGGGCCAAATGTGGCCACCATTCATAAAAGCAGACAGCAATACATACACATACACATACTTCAACAGCATTGCTAATACACTTGTCAGGCCAGCCTGGCCAGGGTGATTTCTCCCTTTCAAACAATTGTGTAACAGTGAGCCACGATGCCTGGAATAGAGTGGACTGAGTTATTTTACAATCAATCTGATCTTGGGCGGATAAAATATGCAGAGCTTTTACATATTTGTTTTGAAGGTAAACTGTGATTATCCAGGATATATTTGTCGACAGCGATCGCCATGACCATGAAATCATGATTGGGCCAATTTAGTCTGAAACCCTTCAAAAAGACTTTGGATTATTTCAAGAAGTGCATTAACCCGAGGGGGAATGGCGAAATAAATTTCTCGTGGTATACCCATGCCATGAGGCTCCGATACGTAACTACGGGGATAGTGTTCGTAATCACCCATGAAGAAAAAAAAACTACTGGTGATAGTTTGCGCTTATAATTTAGCCTCAAAATCGGCTGTGCATGAGATGGAGCTGGTCGATCACATGACCCCAGGTCCAGCCCGGCACTAAACAACCAACAACCTCAGAGCTGTCCTCATGGGGTCCACCAGTATTGACCAATGGCCCATGGCCCATTGGTACCATCAATTCCCACAATTCAATGGTATTCTTTTAGTCGGAATCAAGACTTGTCACAAGAACTGCCTTTCTGCCAAGCATCAGCCTTTGGGCCAAGGACACATGACAAGTTTCATGGCAGAGATACACATACGGACTCGGGGTTTGACGACCAGCTGTTGAGCAATTGGACTAGGCGCCCTGACTGAACAGCCCATTTTCCAACTAGATCGGATAGATGAGCATTTCTCTGGAAACGCTACCTGAAGGCAGGGCGAGGCACATGCAGCCCTTGGTAAGGCATCAAGGTATCTTCACCAAGTGGATGGGTGAACATGATCATGCCTTGCTGGAAATAGTCGGAAGGGATTGTTCGGTTGTCCAGTTAGCTTCGGATTGGCCCCAGATACAACAACCCTTTTACAACCCTAAAATAACCTTGCATGGGAAAATGTCGTGTTGGTCTTAGCCCTGTTGACCAGGATATGACGGAAATGCCATACTCAGCGGATAGGCGATCGTCCTCAAATCTTGAAACTATTGCGTTACCTGAAACCACTTGACGCAGATTATTAACTTCTCACACTTTGAACAACCTCTTTGATGTATGAGAAGTCATCCGATGCCTCGTCTGGTGCTTGAGTTGGCTAATTTAATTGTCTTGGGAAAGGACTTGTCTGAGCAAGAGCCGGTTGGCTTGGCTCTAACTAGTTTGAGGTCTAATTAAGGGCATTAACTCAATTTTCGAGTTGCTTGCCTACCCATGCCCAGTACGTTTCCTCGCCCCCAATCACTAAATGGAGCCGCTGTCGAGTTCTTTGGTTTGCCTTCTCCCATGTAACTGCATTCGACATGGCTGCTAGAACACTATCATCGAATATTTTCAACCTAACAAGGGCACAAGAGACAGCTGGGATCCTGTCAAGAGAGCTTGAGCTAACCACGCCAATTTAAACGACTCCGCCGTGGATTAAACTCTGAAGTGGAAATTGCAATATTTTCGCCTCTCCTGGGGATCTACGGAGTACTTGCTCTCTGTTGGTCTGTTGCAATTTCACTTGAAATGATCGGAAGAGGGAGAGAGGAGATAGTGCCTTTTTTGGTTGGGCGTGGAACTAAGCTACCTACCAACATCAAAACATTCTGGTGTTACAATCCTCACGTGGTGGTCTTGGTGAGCGGGATGCAAATCTAATTGTGCAGAATCATATCCGTCCGGGGATCTATGGCATGTGTCAGAATTTTGGATAACCAACAAGCCCCTTAGGGCTGACTTTCCATTTGTCATCTCGCCATTTCAACGTGCGGAAAACGTCTTTGCATCGATAATATCGTTTGCTAAATCGGGCCTACTTGATGGGCTGGTGTGAATGGGGCTCGCTCCAATGCAATGGCTGAGTGTTCTTAAAACAGATTGGGGTGGAGATGCAGGCAGCTCCTATTTTAAGCTCCTTTATTCCCCCAAAATTTACGCTCATTTCCTCCCATTACTCTCCATTCCTTTTTACGATCCTCACATATTTCGGTTGAGAGATATTATTGCGAGCGCTGTCGCATCTGTTGCGAAGGGGTAGTTATTGCTGTGCGGGGTTCATTTATTTTATAACAAGCAAGGTTAAATCTCCAGCGCTTTTTTGTCATCTAGAATACAACATCCTGTTCTACACATGTATGCATTCCACTGCGTCTTTTCTTCTCTTCTATCCACAGAGCGCCAATTTTTTTTTTTTTTAGCACAGTATGTCATTACAGAGGCGTCGGCAATCAAGAAGCTCATCCAGCCAAAGATCTAGGAGTTCGCAAAGTGATCAACGAGCTACTATTACCACCGCGCAGTTCGAAGCCCTACATATTTCACCCCGTACTCCACCGCCGCCACCAATCGCCGTTCGCCGCGCACCAGAGTACGTTCCATCCAATCTTAGCGATTTCGATGGAAATTTACCAGTTGCCATCAGTCAAGCACAGCGAGAGTGGTCGCCCCTCCAAATGACGGCTATTGTTGATCCGAGCTTAGCATCTCCGCGATTCAATGCTGCGCCTAACTCCGAAAATAGATATTGCGCCCTTCCTTTGAGATACACACAGTATAACACAGAACATATGAAGTGGGTTGAGTCAGCCAAACCATTGTGTGGATGAAACTATACAAACCAATATACTATGAAGCTCACGACTCTCGTTGGAAAAAAGCAGTGCCTTCAATAGTTACAGCATGCCACCGCATTCGCAACCCAACTATTATTACCCTGGGCCTGCCCACTCACAACTTACAGGTATTAACACGACCTGCTCTCTTAATTTAGACTAATGGTAACGAGATAAAATACAGCATACGGAATAGAACATGAATCCTCGATGTCGCAAGAATTTCCAACTAATTTTACCAACCGAAATTCCCCGTCACAAGGATATATGCGCCCAGAAGCCTTGAGAAATATGCCTCCTCCAAGCAGACATCACTACTCGCTTGAACAACCTCAGTCTTCTTCCGCAAGACAACAGAAAGATAGGATATCGATTACATTATCTGAACACGACCCACAGGACCAGGTATCTCGTCCAAATACTGCACGCGATGAATACATACAACACGGATATACTTCACATTCTTCTGCGGAAATGTATTCTACCTCTTCCACAAATCTGCCCTCCCTCATGCCAGACTATATGAACCAGCCAGCACCCAATGTTACAGGCCATACTTATCTCGCCACGTAAGGGGCCCCTTGAGCGGGATATCTAGAATTTACGAGAAGTGACTAACAATTTTATCATCGTAGCTCCTCTCTATATGAACCGCTACATCTGTATCAAAGGTCAGTTGAAATGATGGCCTTGGTTCTTTAAACAGCTATCCCTCGCCGATTCAGTCTTCCTAAAATTTAATTACTAGTCCTCAACAATATTCGTTTCCGCCTACATCCGATACAGGGGTCGCCGCGACGCCAGCTCTAGCTGATGGCTTTTCTACTCCGTATAGCGTTTCACCTGCTCCAGAGGACCAAGTGCGAATTGTAAATTCGCGACCGAAACCACAGTGCTGGGATCATGGATGTAACGGCCGCGAATTCTCCACATTTAGCAATCTACTGCGCCACCAACGTGAAAAAGCAGGCACTGCTACGAAATCGGAGTGTCCTCATTGCGGAACTGTTTTCACTCGGACAACCGCACGAAATGGACATCTTGCACAGGGCAAATGCAAAGCGAAGCGCGAACAGCAATAGCACCAGCAGCAGGAACAAGGCCGCTGTGCGCTGTTGACAAACCCTGATTATCTACCAAAATACTTATTTCCCTTTTTGCTCGTAGCGGGCGTTTCATCTTCTGGAGGCGCCTTTTGACAGGTGTATACATTGGGAGACTGGAGCCCGGATTGCTCTCTCAGTCTCCTTTTCCTCAACTCTACCCACCTTGTTATACACGAAATTATATATATGACATTTTCAGCGCCATTTCAGCCTATCCGCTTTTTGCATCAGCACATCACGACTTAAGGAGCTAATGACAAAATATCACGAGTCTCTTCTCTTTGTATCCTCAATCGAGACGAAATGCGGACGGAAGGGCAAATATATAATTTGATATTTCGCTTCCGTCAATTTTTAACTTTTAATTTACATCAAGCAAGAGGAAGCGGACGGTGGAACGGAGAAGAATGCAATGCGATAAGTACAAAGCGTAGTTGCAGTGTCTTGCCCCCGAGCCAGGGGCCTTGCTGGCTCTAACCACGGTATCAGATACTTGGGTAATCGATTGTTAGTTGATTCATGGGCGTTGGGCACCGTTGGGCGTGCTCTTACATCAGATTCTTGGACCTCAACACAACGGGCGCTTAAACTACCGTTCATGTATCTATATATGAGTTGCTGAACACATGTGAATCGCTGGGTAGTTCTGCCATAAGGGCTCCAAGCTTCCAACCGGACATGGAAATTTAGCGGCTTCAATGGTTCCAACCATACACAACGTCAGAGTGCTAGCAGACTTTATTTAGTTAAGACCATCTTGAACCTGGAAACAGCTTGATTGCCAACTTCTGACTCGAAAGAGTTAGGTAGCCGCTTATCTCCGAGCTTATATGCATCATATTACACCACAAACGACGATTACCTTTGTTTCCGATACAGTCTCTGTTACATAATTTCAACGTTGTAAGGAATGTTTCTACGGATTAGATATCTAATTTTGATTTGGATGTCGTCAAAGGCATAGTCGCCTTACACCCTCCATTGATTTTCTTTTTTTCCGTATTTACTTTTTTCTTCGTTTCTTTTTTGCTCACTGTCTTCCACTCTTGCCGTTGGAGACGTTGCTACGGCTACTAAACGCACAAACGAACTTGAGTCATAAAGAAACTCGGATTAATGTGGTAGATGGTAGAAGACTGATCTACAAAGTGCAGATAAACGTCGAGGGATGAGGATCGAGCGGAAGCGTCTCAGCCGTACGTCGTAACAGGGAGCTATGCATTCCCCAAAGAGGGCTGAACGCCATTTTTACCTGCATTTGGCGGTTCTTGGCATAGAAAAACGTTGCGTGGACACATCCTTTGAACAGACACAATTTGTATACAAATCTGATGATATCTGATTGCACCATATTGTCTATCTCCCTATTCTACTGAATGAAGCTATGCTGGTTTTCTAATCTAGTAATATATTTTATATCATTAGAATATTATAATAACCCCCAAATAATCGATCATCTTCAAAGTAATCTAACGTAATATGAAAGTGTAAGATTCTTTATATATAACTAGTAGACTGATAGAATTTTCGAATACGCTAAATTGTCGTCACAAGGAGGAGTAGGAGGGCCAACTCTGCGAGCATGATACTCATAAAATATCAATTTTATGCCAAATTCCTAATAACTGCCTCGTTACCCGAGGTTGAGGAAGAAGTTGAGAGTTTCCCAATGCCAATTTCCTCAGGAAGTAGCCTTGTGGGTGAGAGCCTGGTGGTCAGATCAGGTCTGTGCCTAGCGGGGACGCTTGAGGGGGACGCTCGAGCCGGTCAAATCTGATAACACCCGGGAGGGAACTTCGCTGAGGTCCACTCAACCAGCGTGGTCTGACATGTCATCACTTCTTTCTCAACAAGTCCGCCAAGAATGCGCCCATAAGTAGGAAACCAGTCTTTCAATCATATTGAGAGCCGGATGGCCTCAACAATATCATGGATAGTTGGGATGGCGAGCGATGTAACTTACATGGATGGAGCATCTTGACATCGGCTGTTGATAGGCTTCTTGTAACTGCGTGGTCCTCTCTATTTATGACGTTGCAACTCCGGCTTCCCAAGCACTTGAAGATCCCGAAGTTACCGTACGACCACACAGATACTGGACTATACATATAAAAACGGGTGAGAGAGCTCACTATGTGACATATGTTTGGATATACTGTTTCTTTGGACATTGTAGGAAGTTGAGCAGTTTTCACTAATACTCCTTATTTGTCATCTCAATTTTCGCCCGTTTGCGATCGCTGTCGGCAATCTCCGAGCTGGGGGCTCCGCGTAAATTTCAAATACATTACGCGGACCGTCCGCCTACTCGATTTCCATCTCAGGACCGGCTCAACATCCAAAACAGGATAATCCGCGAGCTGATAGTGGCTTCGCGGGATGAATCAACTATTCAAGGGTCATATTTGAACCTTGTAACCTTCCTATTTAGTTGAGAATCTTCTTTGGTACTTCGGCTTGGCTCAACACAGTTTAATTACCTTCAGCCCTACAGCCTGATAAGCTCGAAAGGGGGAGCAACGTTATGAAGGATTGTCAGAACCACCTCCTGTCAGGGTGATTCAGGCATTCTAACCCAATCGTTGTGGGTCAAATAGCATGGGTACGTCATGGGGCTGGTAACTCAGTGGATCTCAAGTTTTATCCCGTTGACACCATTGCAAGCACGCTCTAGCCGTTGTTCAGCTTTGGGGTCAGCCTGATGCTTGCCACCCATTGCGTTCATCCTTGTATCGGCACAATTAACCTGCAGTCCGAATTTAAGGTGAATTAGTTAAATCTGGGATATGAATTTATTCCTATGATACCTGAACGCGTACCAGATACCACGATCCAGGTCAATGACGGATAATCGTATTCCTTCCTACGTCTCGCCGACCAAATAATACATAAATGAGAATTTGTTAGGCTCGTTCAAGCACAACGGAAATCCAGCTGGAAAATGTTGGGAGGATGACTAACTTTTGACGTAATTCACGTGACTAACTGGCCAACAACATTGCAGTTCCGAGTCATCCAAAGGCACCAGCGATTGCCGATGAGGTGACTCAAATATCAACATTGAGAATATGGCGTCTTTGTCGTGAAATATATACAGCTGGACTTCTGGCTGCTACATTTCCTCAATTCCCAATTGCTATCTCCTTGCAGATTTCAAACCCATATTTTGCCCAGTTTCTGTGAAGGCCAAAACGCCGGAACTTCAAGATGATGCAGTTAATCTATTCAGTTTTACAGACCCATTATTCTCGTACAAATACTCGACATTTAGTCCCCTTATACCCAGTCTACGGGCAACCCTGGCTACGGACTCGAGAGTGAACTTGAATATCGACAAGCCCACACGTAACGTGGTGGAGGGCAGTTTGAGAACTCCTCCCTTGAACAATATTTGATATACTGCTATTCAGGGTTTCGGATGGCATCGGTTTTCACATATGATCCTGACCCTCCACGGGTGTCGTCCCCCTGGTCGACCCCTGGCTGCACGACACCACGACGGGTTCTTTCAGGGAATCGAGGAGCGCCATGCCAGGAAGAGCCTCTACTTACGTTCGATCCAGACGACCCAAATTTCCTAGCAGATAATGGAATTACAAAATTAGATGCGGAGCCGCAGGATGGACCGACAGAATATAAACTTCACCTGCTCCTACGTTCACGGCGTTCCTTTCTGTCTCTGTCCACAGGAAACCTAACATCAGGCTCCTCTCACTCCAAACCGAGTCCAGTTGGTCCTGAATCACCACCAGTTTCTTCGGAACCAGTAACTAGACCGGCACAGGCACTATCTAGCCAATCGCGAGAACACAGGCTCCAGCAATTGACTACTCAGCTTCTCTGGCGTCTACAGCAGTCCTCCCCTTTCCATTCATCTTCTACTCTTGGATTGGTTCTTCCGGTTCTACCAGAGGCTACCCCAACCCTTGGTGTACCCAGTAAGCCTGCTCGACTTCTCCCTGGCCTTGAGGAATCCCAGGGAGCTTTGTACGAGATTGGAGTCTCAGATGATGGCACATTTGTTGGCCTTGCGGAAGATGAATTAGAGGAGAGTCTCACGAATCTTAAAGCGATGGCTGCGAGTTTGGGTTGTACCGTTGAAGTCCTAAGGAAGGTGGCCGTTGGACATTGCAAGTGGAACGAGAATGCGGACGACGACAGTAAACCGGTTGTACTTCGTTCTGGAAAGCTCTGGGTCGCAGAGGCGCTTGTAAGCCCCGATTTCAAACAGAGTGATCAACTCTCTCCAGGAGATGAAAAACGTGGATCTTTGGATTCGAAAGTGCGTGTGGCGCCATCGGCTAGCACTGAAGATGGGGCCATCTTTTCAACACCACAACTTCACATTGCCATGGCTGGGCCATCGGCTGCTGGGAAGTCTTCTCTTTTGGGTTCTCTGTCTACTTCCGCTCTTGATAATGGCAGGGGGAAGAGTCGGCTTAGCCTTCTAAAACATCGACATGAAATTGCTTCTGGAATCACGAGCTCAGTCGCACAAGAGTTAATAGGCTATTCCCCCGCTAATACTAAAGGGGCCGAACCTACTCCTGATGTGGTAAATTATGCATCTGGCAATGTGACTGCTTGGAACGATATTCATGCATCTGCCCAGGGGGGCCGGCTTGTTTTTCTCTCTGATCTACCTGGGTCAACAAGGTACCTCAAGTCGACGTTACGGGGATTGGTCGGCTGGGAGCCTCATTACGTGCTGCTCTGTATTTCAGCCAATAGCCCGTTAGATTCTTCCAAGCTTGATGTGCCTTCCGAACTTGATCTTTCTCTCTCATATTTGGACTTGTGCATGAAGCTAGATCTCCCCGTCATCATCGTTGTGACAAAACTTGACATAGCAACTCGTTCCGGCATAAGACAAACACTTGTCCAAATCCTATCTACGATCAAGCTCATTGGGAGGAAGCCTGTTATGCTGGCTGCTCCAACAGAGGCCTCTGAACAGGAGGTGAATCTTCAACAGATTCCACTCTCTGACCAGCAGGACGTAGACAAAATAGTGGGTGCGGAGGGTTCTGACTGGTTGAGTAACGTTCCCATCGTCATCACAAGTTGCGTTACTGGAGCAGGTATCGGGAAACTGCACGCATTACTCCGCACCCTTCCAATTCCCGCAAGGAGCTCTACGAGACCTATACCAATTAGTGGCAAGAAGACTGCACAAAAGACTGCGCAGCATGAAGCTGTCAAGCTGTTTGATATTACCGAAGTATTTGAAGTGCCGGCGTTGAAGGTTTATTCTGTAGCTAGCGACAACAAGCGTCAGCATGATAGAGCTATTATATTATGTGGTCGCGTCCGCCGTGGCAATATCTCTATCGGTGACCAGCTTGTTGTTGGACCACTTATGATGAACTCACGAACGGATATTGATTCATCTCACTTGGTTCCGCGATCGAAGCCTCTCGTTAGCAGATCACTTCCGGAGGAGCTTGCGACGTTTTATTTACAAAACGGACATGCAGGTAATGAGCATTCACAGACCCAACAAGCTCGCTGGCAGGTTGTTCGTGTCGTCAGTCTTCGAAATCTTCGACTCCCAGTGACTACCATACTGGAGCATCAAATTGGCACGATCGGCGTAGACAGCGTCGAAACGACTTCATGCTTAGGGAGCATTCGAAAAGGCATGGTACTTGCTGATTTCCATCCAATTTCTTCCCATCTTTCGATTCCGAGCCCACTACTGGCGCCGGTCTTCCACACCGGGTTCGTTGCAATATTCCCAGCATTGAACTTCACTTCAACGCTCTCTTCCTCCCTTATAATGGGAGGTAACGCCATTGTTTATATTGCTAGTATCAGGGCGGCTGCCAAAGTAACATGCGTCGAAGCCAACAGAAATTCACAAAGACAATTCCTGACTGGGAATGAGGAAATATTTTCCCTTGACGGGGGTACATTTCCTGTTGACAAAGCAGCCCACCCTACCTCTCTCAAGCTAGTTGCTAACAACGGGCCTGAAATGTTTAATGGATTTAACGAATCGGGCGACGTAAGCATCACATTTTCCTTCGTCTCTACGGTGGAGTGGATCGAACTGAATTCCCGTGTGCTTGCTATGCCTGGTACCGCGATGGCAACAACGTCATCGTCCGTGCCTGCCGCTCCTGGATCACTCGCACTAAAAGGGTTTGTTGGACGTGTTTGCAAAGTTCTGAGCGACTGATCATAAGCGTACAGTTTTTCCATTTCCATATATTCTCTCTTTGTTTTTATTTTAAGCGACTTTTACAATTCCCACGTTCCTTTTGGACGTATATCCATATGCCAATAGTTCAGGTGCGCCAAATTATAACATAAAATTATATATCAGAATTCTCAATTTACCCATCCCGGATAACTTTTGTATACTAGATAGATTGTCTTCATAAACATCGTAGTGCGTTCGGAGACATTTTCTTTCCAGTTTCATCGCCACACTCCGGCTGCTGCCATTTTAATCGCGGATGAAAGATATCGCTACTTTACCGCTCGACCGTTTAAGCTGAGCGGCAATGCATAGGCTACAAATGAGTGCTACAGTTCCTGACTAACAGTTCATGATATCTTTTTGAGTTGCTGTGTATCGAGCTACCTGAGTATTTTCATCCACCGAGCTGGGATGCCCGTGCCTGTGCAAGACTGGCAGGGCTAAACTTACCAACTCCCTGCCACTATGTAACGATTTAGATGCGATAACTTAGTCTAAGCTCTGTTCCGTATCCTTCGGACACGAGGAATTGTTCGTAAAATAATCATTACAGATTCGGTATTCGGAGAGATTGTAACATCGGGTGTTCAAATACAACGGGCCGCAGATCATCCACGTGCGTTTTGCCGCATGGTAGCGGGAGGTAAGAATAAGCTTAATTTGACGACATCTCTGGGCGCCGCCTGAATGACTCTGCTCTCATTATGTACTCCAACTATATTTATGATATGATACGAAAGTAAGGAGTCGCCACAGCTATTTAACCACGATTTTCCCCCTTCAACCCTCAACAACCCACACCAAAGACAAATAAGAAGGACGAAGAAAAGGAAAGGCTTCACTGGTATCGGTTGTCGTTTCAAACTGCAAGTCATAAACCTCTGGTTTGTTCACCCATACTTTATAGAGCAAAATCTGCGTATCATCAATTCGAAGGAGGTTGGGATTATGGCCATTTAGGAGAAGGGAATATGATTCCGGATTTCTCGTAACTTGCGGTCACTGAGTGGATAACTAACCACATCGGTTGACTTGAGGTTTCCGAATTTCATGTACAGCCTATCAAGCAGATTTACACGGGGCGGAAGCACACAACTGAGATTAAAGCAAAGGCAATTCAACCACATGGCGATGCAAGGCCTTGTTTGCCCACTATAAAAGAAGAACAAAAGAAATATGTCGAAAACATTCTGGACGGACATAAAGAAATCCCCAGACGAAAAACCCAAATTTACCTATGGACGAAGGAGATGTGGTTTTCGTAAGCAATGGCAGAAATAAAAGCAAGATTGACATGTTAGAGTTGACAAAATTAAAGTTTAAGATATTGTAGAATGGGCCTAGAAAAAAGTGAATATTATAACCAGTTTTCATGTGCCAAAACTCGGCAGACGGAGAGCCAAAGGAAATCCAAAATTTAGAATAGTATACCAGAAGAAATTGGCGATGGTGCAATACTGAATTGGAAAAAAGAAAAGAGGAAGCTCCGTTAGATCGTTTACGACGTGTTACTCAGAGTGAGGGGGCAAGGATAACCGTTCGGAGCCTTGGATAGATAGTAGGCGACGTGCAAACCAAGGGATGTCTCATCACTGCGCCCGACAATTGACTTAGCAGGATGGAGGCCCAAATACCAACTTTCTCCAGTCTCATTTGTGATCCACTCGTAAGCAATAGCCTGATCAAGGGTGGGGCTGGCAGCTTCCCGCATTGCTGGTAGAGCGGTTATCCAAGAGCCTTGCAGGGTAACGGAGCGAATCGATAGTTCTTCTAACCTGTGGCGACTTAGGAAGTCAATTAAGTCATTTTCGGAAGCAACAAGATTGCCTATCGAAAGGCGTTTGAGCTGCGGCCAAGTATAATTGGCAACAAATGATTTAAAATTTGCCTCCTTGCGGAAAGGAGCATCTTCAGTGGAAATGGATAGATGGGTAAGCTGCGAGGCAATGGAGAGCAATTTTATAGCTTTCCCGTTGCCGACTACATCACAAAATCCCTCAGAACCAAACAAACTGGCTTGTGCTTTGGGACGCCATGGCGTGTCCTTTATTGCGGAGAGGTAGAAAACTAGTTTTTTCAGGGATGAAAAAACTTCTTGAACCGGCTCCAGGTCCTCTTCGAACACGGAGTAAGTTAATGGCCCAACTTCTAGTACCGAAAGCCGAACCCTTTGTCGGGATAAAACACTCATCAGTGACATGAACTGACGGACAGAGCAGGCGGAAGACTGGCGGATGGCATAGTGGGGTACATTCCGAAAGCTTCCTGCAACGTCTGCTTTCATTCGCCGCCCACCGTTTTCGAAACATCCCATATAAATTCGGAGTGTTGTCAGCCTTGGAAACCTTGGGATGGCAAGCTCGAAAGTGTGGACATCCTCTGCCGACAAAATTATCTCATCTTGTGCTTCCAATAGCGGCCGATAAATTGAGAATTGGCGGCACGATTGTTCCACTGATTCATTCAAGAAACGTAGCTGCGAATGGAAGTGGCATTGATCTGGGATATGGACCAGGAGGGAGCAATCAAGCGCAAGGACTTCGATGTAAGCAGAAAAGATGGGATGTGTTGCCATGTGCTTCAATTTCCTCAAGGAGTCATGCGTTGTGCTTAATGTGCAGGAGCGAGTCATGTATTTAGCACACGCACTTGCAAACATCTTGCAAACTAAGCGAAGGCTCTTCCGATCTTGGTATTCAACATCTCGAAAGATCTGATGAAGCAATTCAGCCGGCAGTTGATTTAGTTTTAGGCCTGTTCGGTTCATCTTCAACTATGTCTATAAAACAACAGAGGCAATTTGATCGGGACTCCAAGTCAAACTTGAAGTTGAGGGGAGTTGGGAGCTAGTTAAATAACATCAGACAAGAGCATAATGAGTTAATAGAATACCATCACTATAGAAGAAGTTGGTGTGGGAAAAATGAGTAGCAGGTTCGTGTTCAGTTAAAGAGTGTTTATTCTGTGTGAGTCATGCAGTGGAGGGAAACCTTCCTTAACCTCTGGAAATTGGCATTTTCTGTAAGGCATTCATGCGAGAGTCTAGCGTTAATCCCCACAGCTGTGCCAGCTTCCGGAGGTCTCAAGAGGTTTTTGAGCTAAGGCTAACATTTCTCTTATTGAGAACAAGTGAAATTATTGCCTGCTGCCCATTGTTCATGAGTGTTGGACGGCATAAACAGTACTATGTAAGCTAAAGGTAGTACTTGCGCAGAATGAGTGACATACATATGAAGTGAGGAGCTCTCAGCGCATTATCTGACGGGGTTGCGTGTGGTGTTGGCCCTTGTAACTTGATATTGAATGTTCTGCACCTTATCCGCCGCAGTGTGAAATCATCATTTGAAGTGATACATGGATGACCATGAAAATTCGTTGATCTGTACAATAATTGGACTCCAAAGCCCTGAAGGACACATGCCACCTTTTGAGTAAAGCCTCGTGCTGGACATGGATTAGTACTCCTGGCTGTTAGACCACGATCCTGTTGGACTACCGTTCCAAGCTTCAGTTCATCAATTTCAACTTTTCTTAACGGAGTTATTGGTCCTCCTCATTGAGACACGGTAGTCCAGTGCAACTGCTGCCATTGGGTACTCGTCAATAAATGCACATATATATTAGTAGCTCCAGAATTGATACGGGTGGTGTTGGTGACAAGCTCGGAAAATTCGGTATTCGCGACGTTGGAACTTTGGAAGAGGTTGTAGGTCATGTGACCATAGATCAAATATCGGAATACCAAAATGTATCAAACTGAACTCAAGAATTGAGAGGTTTGCTTTTGACATTTTCTTTTCAACCATCGCACCGTACACACGAACTTTGCGCGAAAGAGGCCATACGTTTGCTTGATCTATTGCTGTCTCATTGTGCCACCTGGCACCCATACCAACATGAAGCTCGTACGGTACGTTATGCATCTTTGATCTTCAGCACAATGCACTCTTAGTTCCTTTGGTCAGGTCGCGAAAATTGCTTAGGGCAGCCAGCTGATATACCTTTCTATTTCGTACAGCTTTCTTATGAAATGCGCGAATGAAACCGTGACAATCGAACTGAAAAATGGTATGATCTTTCCCCCCCCCCCCCAACCCCCCCCAACCCCAACCGGCCCGCCTACTGCTTTGCCCTATCGGCGCGCAATATTCGTCTCCTATATATCCACTGTAGCTCGCGCTCTATTCCTACAACGTGACAACAACACTCTATACATACCTGTTCTGCAGTGGTTTTTTGCTGATAGTTTGCTGCGGAATTTACTAGGCACTATCCTCCACGGCACCATAGCTTCCGTTTCGCCGCAAATGAACACGGCGCTGCGCACAGTCAAGATGACGGCAAAAGGCCGTGACCCGATCTCCCTTGACACAATAAACATTCGTGGATCTACCATCAGATATTACATCCTCCCTGACAGCCTTCCGCTAGACACATTACTCGTGGACGACACGCCCAAGCCCAAGAACAAAGCTAGAAAGGAGGCAGATCGCGGACGGGGGGGAAGAGGTGGCGGCGGAAGAGGTCGAGGCGGTGGACGGGGTAGAGGAAGGGGACGGGGTCGAGGGTTCTGATCGATTCGCTTACTCTTTATGGGGATTTTATCACGATTGGATTTTGGCTGTACCTGTCACAACAGGCTGAGGCTGCACACATTGAAATACTCCTCTGGGAACAAAAGAGGCGTGAAGGTTTTGATTCCTCGTTCCTTTCCCTTTTCCCAGTCTATTCCCTTTTGCAATGAATCTTGCATGTACGGAACTGGATGACCTGCTTCGTGGATCTTTCTATAATTTCGTTTTATGTACTTCTCTATTATCCAATACAGCGAAATGATGATAATGTGCTTCGCTTTGTGCTTACTCCACATAGCCTTTGTTTACTGGTGGAAGATATCAAGCCTCATGTGCATCACGAAGCAAACTAGATTTGAACGGCTAACAATCCAACGAGAGTTTGACATCCACGGGGCGAACTCTATAGAGTTACCTGTTCGTTTTGTTTCTTTTAATTCTTAATTGATCTGTCTCCATATTCGCAATATCACCAATCGCTCCCAACCTGCTTTCACACCGCTGCTCCCTACAGTTTCAGCAGTCCATCCTGATCCCCAGCTAACAATACGCGCCTTCACCTCATCTGGCTTGTTCTGCGCGCAGAGTAAAACGTACGCAACCCCACGTACTGGATCTAAGACCTCTGGTATTGAATTTAGAAGTCTGTTTGTAGTTTCCATTCCAAGTTCTCCGCCAGCATAAGAGAGAGAAAGGAGGTGAGACTCGCGTTCGAATTGCGGGAGAGAGATGTTCCCCATATCGGATGACGGAATATCTGGCAACTCCGAGGTAGGTACGTAAGGGGGATTGAAAATGAGGACGTCCACAGATCCTGGCCTGAGGGGTGTGCAAAGATCTGCAGTTAGGGATGACAGGAATTTGGGTCGCACAGTCGATGGCTCAGCATCAGGGTTCCCGAGTCCGCGATTCTGGACGTCGGTAATCGCCAAACAAACAGTTTGGCACGTTGCGCTGCAGGCATTGCTATTCACATCCGTGCCCAAGGTTAGTATATCCCTCCTCCCAAAAATGACATCGGCGTTTGCAGCCACGAACGCTAGGACCACGCCTGAGCCGGTACCGACCTCAACCACAAGTGGTTGAGGGGAATTTGTAGAAGACCCGGGCTTTAAGCTTGTGTTAGAGGCATTGAACTTCTGGGTTAGCCATGCGGTTTCTGCAGCAGAGGAAAGCGTATCGAGGAACAAATAGCTATCCTCCGCTGGCTCATAGATGGTGTCGAAGGAGACGTGTGACGTCGATGGGGTTGGAAGCATGGTTGAACGATTGAACGAGTCCCCAGAAGATCTAGCTCAGAGCGACATCCCACGCCCGCTGTGCGACGCAGCCGCTGCTGTTGATGGCTTGTCGGGTTTTGGGACTTGAGCATCAATAACAACTCGAAGTCGAGGCTTTTCGATTGAAAGACCAAGTTCTGTGAATCACGTGGCCATGAAATATCTCTTGTGCCTAATCAGGCAATCCGCAATGTTCAATTCGGCACAAAAATCTAGATACAATATGAAGTCCGTACGCAATAATTTATGGATTTGAGTTTTTCATTTTCTTTCTACATCATTAAGATAGCTCTCAAGCCCTATTGGCCAGTTTTAGCTTCTCCTCTTTTGCAGCAACTTGAAACTTCCACATAGTAGTGATCACCCATAAACCTTTGTTAGGCTTTATGCTTCTCAGGGTGGGGATTGTTCCAACTTCTATTTTTAATTGCAGCTGCACAACATGAGGGTGTCTCCTAGGTTAATGGCCAACCCTTTGCCGATAACTCCAAGCTCTAGACAGCAGTCCGCTCTGCTTCCGCCATTGCAGCTATATCGCCGTTTGCTCAGGGTGCATCGAAAAAAACTTCCAAAAGACATGCGTTTGCTTGGCGATGAGTATGTGAAGAACGAATTTCGAGCTCACCGGAATGTGGATAACCCAATTCATATTGTAAATCGAACCTGGCCCCTCGTTACACATTTTCAAACAAAGGCTGATACATTGTTCGCCGGCTAGGTTGGTTTCCTCACAGAATGGCAGCTATATGCTCAGAAACTCGAAGGAGACACTTGGCAAGGCGAAAAGTTAGACAAAGCAAAAATCGATAAGATGAGCGGTACGTTTGGGTTTTTTCTTCTCTCCTTTTCATACCATTGTTTCGATTTTCCTTCAGATCGCTTCGTGCACAGTGACTGATCTGGTGATATACTTGGTATAATAAGACCAACAAATTGGACAGCTTTACGAGCTTATGAATACCCTAAAAAAGGAAGATAAAGATTGACTGTGACAATGAAATGGAAGGGATATATTCTCTAACTGTTTGTCATTTGACCGAGTGTGCTCATCGCTGTTGGCAGGTATTAACCATGCTACCCCTTACAAGGGCTCAAACAGTGAAGAATGTTTCAATAAACCATCTCCTTGTCCACTACCTGCGTTTATCACTAAGTTTAGAAACTATGTTGGGTGTTCTGGCGTTACATATATTTATCTACAGTGGCATGATTTTTTTTTTTTTTTTTTTTTTTTTTTTTTTTTTTTGAAAATAAAAAGCTTCATCTTCTTCCCTTCCATATCGAACCTCCACTTTCGATCGAGGGGTGCAATTTTGTCGGCGTTCAAACCAAAGCTTGAACAGACATAATAGCTTCCAAACGCCACGTCGCGAAGGCGCGCATACATCTCACATTACACTCGCGAAGCCTATTTTCAAAAGGCTCCTATCTCCGACCTCGCTTCAACGATAATCGGCATCATCGAATCCAACTATAAGTTCAAACAGAGGAGACACCATGTGTCGACCCGTTCTCTTCAAATCGCCGACCTGTCTCCATCGGTGGTTCACCATCGGTTACCCCTGCGGAAAGGGAAATGGTTTCAACAACTGCTCGAAGTTGACCGGCATCAACATCCTCCCCTTTAGTGTGGGATGTACTCTCACCTCCTGGCCCAAATCATGCCCCGTATGCAACCTGGAGGGAGACTATGATCGAAATCTGATCCGAATGGTCCAGTCCCCGGGTTATTACGGTGTCAGACACAGAGTTGGCAAAAATTTGATCGTTGATCAACGAATTCCGATGTGCACAATGATGTAAATTGAAGAAACATATGGATCTACGACGACCCGCTAGCTGGGGACTCGCTATTTTTCTTTCCTTATATTGGTAGGGGGGTGGGTTTTGTTTTTTCAGGATAGAGCGCATGCGGCTGGAACATGTTGCTCGAGTTACAGCTTCACAAAAAGCAGTGCATAGCATTGGAGTATTTTTATAATGTATCATCTTTGTGTATATTGTGGGTTAGTTGTATATTGTTGTTATTTTTTGTACTGTTTCGACGGCCATTTATATTCTCAGTTGCTACATTATCATGTCTGATATGAGGTGATTCTTTACCCAAATAATTCTATCCTGGCAGGCCCCTGAGACAAGTAACAATGCAGTTATATAAAACTTCTTGCTTGCCAATTGGTTGACTTTTCTTAGCTCCCTCGTGCATTAGATCATTGTACGGGGTGGTTTCAAATTACTCGGTCCACCGTTTCAATTCTTCAGCAGCCCACACCGTAATACCAACATCATCAAGGAAAACAGAAAAACTAGAATAAATACTGAGTTGAACTAACCTATCTTTGATTTGATTTCATGCAGGCGATCAAACAACACCGACAGAGACATCGACGGAGTTTGAAACCCATGCAGATTATATAACCTCAATCACGCCGACTTGAATTCTCTACGAATCTAAGAATTTTATGAATGACAAAGCATTGGTACTTGCATAGTCCACATAGCTTCTTAACTAACTTCCATAGTATGAATCAGCATCTTGCAAAATACCTCCCGGCATCCTTAGCTGTTTGATGAGGGTATTTCTTCCACATTTCTCAGACATTTCCTCTTGATGGCTTAGTGTGGGAGGTGGTGATTGCGAATCACAAATCAATAATTTTACCAGGAATATGAGAGGTTAGTCCTCTTCAATTTTATCAATTTACTCTGGAACAATACGTGGTAACAAAAGTAATCATGGAAGTTAATAATAAGGTGCGAATAAACATAACACGCAGACATAGAAACGAGATAAACACCAATGGATGATGGCAATGTTCAGCCAAACATTCCATCAACCCCGAGATAATGGGGCCTTTGGCAATTTCATCAGTCTGCAGGAACGGCGTTGATAGGCAGGGCACACACATATATTCCATCAAACTATACCCATACAACTACAGCACCTGGATACTTCATTGTTGGTTATTAATTGTATCCAAAATCCACTGCACTTCTCCCACTATGGTATCGGGTTCGGTAAGATGAACGTTATGGCCACTATTTCCTGCGATCGCTATGGAGCCTTTCGTTGATAAGTTCAAGTTTGCTAGCTGGAGGGTTTCATCCAATTCCTTGAATTCGGCAATTTTTCTCTGCCATGCAGCTGGGGATGGGATTCCTTCTTTCCCTGATCTGACGGCAGCTTCGTATATCCGTTCATGATCCCGTGTAGTGTCTCCCATCACTACACTGACGGGAACGGATCCAAGAAGGGGAGGATCTGCTTCTAGCTGCTTTTTCTGCCCCAGCTCCCGACAGCTATTGGCAACTTCACCGCACTCCGCCTCAGCTGTTTCTTTGAACTTTGCAGTTTCTGCTTCCAAGTAAAGGCTTTCCCTATCTTCTGGATCCAGGACCATGTCTTGATAGAGCCCGGTGAGTCGCAGCCAGTCTTGGCCCTCACTCATTCGCTTCACATTCTCATCGGGCCTTAACGCAGTAGTGTTTTCTTGATCACCCTCGACAAATACCAGCCCCACCATATCGTGAAGTTCGCCCTTGAACTGTTTCAAATGAAGAAATTCCCGCGCAATAATACCGCCGTATGCATGACAAACAATGATGTACGGTGGTTTGATATCGGCCGCGCCCAGCAGGACGTCAAGTTCGAGAGAAATGTTCTCAGCGGTTGGAGCAGTGGGGTTTGGCATTTCTTCTGAGTCACCGAGTCCAGAGCGATCATAGAGCATAGTTCGAACTTTGCGCTGAAGGAGTCTGCGAACAGGGGTCCATTGCCTGGAGCTGGAGGCGACATCTGGGATGATGATAACAATGGGGTCGCCAGCGGAACGATTGGGGCCGTAGATTCCAAGAAAGAGGCAATGGTTTGCGATGGAAACGAGACCTTCATGCTCCCCGTATTGCCAGTTTGTGTTCGTGGGTTCCATTAGGATCGAAGGAATACAGATTCAAAATAACTCCGTCTTTCAAAGTTCAGTTCCTCTGTTATATGAATAGACCCAAAAGACCATCCCGCGATATGAATTCAGAAAAAATATACATATCAAAGTTAATTTGCGGCTCATCAAGATGAATCGCAAAGTGAAGAGCCAACTCTGGACATATTTGCATGCTTGAATTTGTTTATATTGCAATATCAGAAGCTGCAATGGTGATGGATCACGCCTCCTCGACTTTTGTCGCATATAAAAGCGCCACATTGCGAGAGGTGCCCTTCTGGTAAGTCAATCCGACCAATATGACGAGGCAAGCACAGTCAACAGGCCCAAGGTGCTCTCGACTGGAAATAGGCTGCGGGTGGTGTCCTGACTTGGAAGGCTTGGGCATCAGTCAGTTGCTCCTAGTATCACCCCCTCCAGTTGTGGGCGTATGAGAGAGATGTCGGCACCTTTGGGAAAAATAAGGGTGAGATAAATATTAGCACTAGTAGTTACTAAAGGAGCGGAAGTCAGTGAGAACCAGCATGTTCCAATCCTACAAATTGCTCATAATGCTGTGATGGAGATATTCTCAGAGCATAAGACGGTCTCAATGGGATTCTCTACCTGTTCGACATCAATCCCACCCCATAGAGCACTAGATAGTTTGCTGCCGAATATTCTGTTTGCTAAAATGTTAGCATGTCCAGGTGCTCAAATGACTTACGACAGAAATAAACTACTGGTAATTCGACGAAAAAGCACATAAACTTGTTCGTTCCGTATTTGCACTCATTTTCATCGTGGTAAAACCAACCTTTTTTCAATTCACTTCTTCAACTTCTATACTGGTAAACAATAAGTTTCGAAATCCAGCCACAGGTTACCTGATGTCTACCTGCCAATACAAATCATTGCACCTCATTGTTAAATCGATATCCGCTCATAATTTTTCTCTAAGCAGATGGGATCCATACTTTGTCCGCTCTCTCACCCGTTTTTCCGACAAGGGTATCATCCCTCCACTGTCGCCTGCACAACTTGAAGCGATCAAAGTGCTTGAGGAGACCTGTCTCAGGCTTGCACTCCACATAGTTCTTAATGTCGAAGACATTCAATTCTTTTCCAACACCCACTTGTTCCATGCCCGTACTGAATACAAGGATTACCCACTGCCTGCACCTCGTAGACATTATATGCGTCTCTGGCTGGCCGCGCCAGAGAGCGAAGTTGGATGGACTCTCCGGTTCTGGGATAGTAATGAAAAGAAGAGAGGAGGCATTCAGGTGAATGGCCAGCCTCCTGTGGCTCCGTTAGATGCAGAGTAGCTACAACGAAAGAAAGGGAGCCTTCTGGAAGAGCTTTCAAGGGAGTTCGGTCAGGGGGAGGGCTTTGATAAATACTAATACTTGTAATACTATATGTTAGTGTGATTTGATTTCGTGCTCAAAATCTTTTTACCTTTGTTGGCTCGTTGCTGTTTGGTCCAATTCAAAGGCGATATTTCGTCCGCCATCTCCTTGCTCGCCTCCAATTTGTGATACGCAATAGCAACACCGCGAAACTTAGCCTGGGGGAGATTCACAAGATCGGCACCATTTTCCAACTGGTTGAACAGACTCCCCGGTGCAAAGTCAATTTGTATCCTGGAGCAGCATCTATCAAAAGAAAATGTAAATGGAGGAAGTTCTTAGAGTGAGACAACAAAGTGCATTACTTCCTATTCCGACTTAGCTCTCGGTACTTTGATCCCGAGTACTGTCCCTAATCGACTCCGAGTCTCGGTGTCCGCGGCCCGATTGTCAGCTAGCGTAAATGTTTAAAGATCTATGAGGATATTGCGATTGCTCTAGAATCTATATTCGAGGCTGACCGTATTGCTACAAATCCTAAATTTTGAAACCGGAAAACATGACCCGAAATATCTCCATCATTATTGTTCATGATATCATGACATATGAGCCACATACTGAGCGTAGCGTTGTTACTCTAATAAAGCGATTCGAATAGTTGGTCTATCAGGAGGCAACCTACCTAGGTACTGCGAGTTGACAAGGAAAACAGAAAAAATCCAGGGGACCTTCAAATCACTAGTCTCCTCCTAAACTTCCTAAAGCTTCGCCGACCCAATCTAGTTGCACAGCACTTACCCCCCTTGCATAGCTTCGGCTGGTAAATACGTACTCGTTATACATAATTGCCTCGACTTTGCGGCCGTATAAGATGCTAGATGGATGGATGGCAACTGTCTGATTTCCCACGATGGTTTTATAGCTCCCGTCAGGGGCGAGACGGGCAGTGTTGGAAGCGAACCCTGTGAGGAAAGATTTGAGGATCGAGATAGGGTTTTCTTCCGAGGATATCGTATGATTGGTCTTAGTGCTGGTGGTGTCGTTATCGTTTGGAAGGAGTTTAGCTTGTCGACATCGCGTTATTAATTGTTTTCGGACATCCTGTATGCATTCAAGATTAGGCTGCTAATCCCTGTACCTCCGTTATTTGCAGGCAAAAATGATAGAATTTGGCAAAGAGATTCTTTACATACCATGACTGCCTGCATTGCGCGATGTGAAACAAGATGTCTATTTGCCCATGCCTTCCGATCCGACTTTTCACCCGCATACGCCCTGACTGTAGCAAGCATGGTCAGATGATCCCCTTCTCTCCGATACAGATCTCGCCTCGCTTTTTCTGCTTCTTCTTTCTTCTCCTCAGACGTGGTGCTAAGGAAAATGTTCTCAACACTAAGGCATGAAATGATATCGATGACATTGCGCAAACAGTCCGGTCCGTATTTCGCACTAGCTAGAAGCACACGACCTAACTGCGCAGTGAGAGGAAGTTTAGCGATTCTCGCACCAATCTCGCTGATTTTGCCCGTCTCATCAAGTGCCTGGATACTGAATAGTTGCAGGAGCGCTTTCTCAAGGGCCTCTCTAGAGGGCCGGGTTAAGAATGGGAAACACATAATGTCATCCACGCCCCTCGCTTTCATGTTTAGAATCGCCTGGCTCAAGTCGCAGCGCAAAATCTCAGGTGTGTTCGTCTCTTGTAAAGCCAAGTAATCCTTTTCTGTGTAAAGCCTGTAGCATTGACCAGGCGCTTCTCTCCCTGCACGGCCTTTCCGCTGAATTGCTGCAGACTTGGATATCGGTTTAACAAGCAGCGAATCCAAACCAAGACGCGCGCGGAATTGTTTCATCTTGGCTTTTCCGCAGTCCACAACGTAGCGAACACCGGTGACGGTGACGGATGTTTCTGCGATATTGGTAGATAGGATTACTTTGCGCGTTCTGTGTGGGGCTGGAATAAAGACTCGTTGCTGTGCTGCTTGAGGAAGAGCGGCAAATAAGGGAAGTACTTGTACTTTGGGCAAAGCAGGGTCCATAGTGAGCGCGTATTCGTTAACAAGCGTCTCGAGAGATTCCACTGTTTCTTGACCTGTTAGGAATACCAGGATATCTCCCGGCAGAGGTTCTTTCATATGGATCTGGAAAATGGTCTGGAGTGCTGCGTCCACGAAATCGTGAACTGGCTCAGGAGAATGAATAACTTTGACAGGGTATTGACGGCCCTTTATATGGCAAACAGATATGTCTTTTGATGGCGATGGCGCAACCCCGTCGGAAGGTTTATTATTATTGTGCTTCACCTTATCTATTTCGCAATTGGTATCTTCGTCCGATTTTCCATTCCATTCTGATCCCGAATGCGCTCCTCGATCCTCCCGTTGTTTTAGTCCCTCCCCAAAGAACGAAAGTAAACTTTCCATGTCAGCCGTCGCACTCATAACGACCACTTTCAACGGAAGCCCACCTCTCCCCTCGTTCTTCCCCGAAACAATAAGTCTCAAAAACCCCAAAATAAGATCAACATTAACGCCACGTTCATGTACTTCATCAACAACAACAGCGCTGTACTTGGTCAACCAAGGATCCGTCAACATCTCCTGGAGTAACATCCCCTCCGTCAAGAACTTGATCTTGGTATTAGGTGACGTCGAAGAATCAAACCGTACGGAATATCCCACTTTACTTGCAGGGGAGGAATTTCCCAATGGTGTTCCCATTTCGTCTGCCACGCGCCTCGCCAGGGACACGGCTGCGACACGTCGAGGTTGCGTGATGGCGATGCATCCACCAACCGTGACGTCCTTCACATCAGACTCCTTTTGAGGTGGATCGTGGTCTCCATTTGCTGACATGGTCTGAGATTTTGATTTCTCGTTCATTGTCGTTGGAGCAACCTTGACAGTCCTTGCCTGCGCCCATTCTTCATCTACCAAAAACTGTGGTACCTGCGTACTCTTGCCACTACCTGTCTCGCCAACGAGCAACAATACATCATTGCGCTGGAGGTTTCTTCTAATTTCATCTCCATAGGAAAATATTGGTAGCTGCTTGCGAATGTGGTATAGCGCTTTGGCTCGGTCTTTTAAAGACGTATGCACAGCGCCAGTGGTAATGCCATTTCGTTTTTTGTCTTGGGTATTTCGATTTATATTTGGTCTATCATTCGTGGCAGCAGTAAACTTGTTCTGCTTATTTTTACTTATAGCGCTATCCGGCGTTATCTCGCCCCTCAGGTTAGTGCTGCATGCTGTACTCGCTGAATCCTTATCATGTTGGATTACCGATTTGGGGGCAGTGTGTTGCTGGCCTGCATAGGTGGTGGTGTCTTCATTTCGTTTCCGCTTCTTGCTCATTTTCTTATATGCAAATGGCAGTGTGCTTGCCGTACCACACTTGATCGAGTCGGGAAAGTGGTTGGCGACGAGAGTCCTGTCGCAATATTTTTATTTGAGAATCTTTGGCAAGGAGAGGGTTAACAGCATAGAACAGGGGATAAAATGAAACAAACAATAAACAAAATATTAACTTAGAAACATAAGAATGGAGTAATACACCATATTGTTTTCGATCATTGATGAGAGTTTGAAGATTTTCCTCAAAAATTAGGTGTAACAAAAAGGTTAAAAAATCATGATGATCTGTATCATCAATACTGGTATTATTACCACCACGCCATCTTTTTGCGGCAGCGGTTTACATCGTATACGGAACGTTCTGACATGCCATCTCTGCTAGAAATGCAAAGGCGACGATTTCACAACCGGCATATTTTTATCAATCTCGAGCCCTTGACCGGTTTCTTTGGCTGAGTTGGCGCTTCCTCTCCAGAGAAGCGTCTCCAACTTGAGAAATTAGGCATGACGATCCCAGTGAAGTTGAAAGCAAAAAAGGATGCAAACTTATGAGAAGAGTCGCTTTCACAATATCAAACTTGGCGGAGTTTTTGATGCTAGGTACCAAAAACTGGGGAAGTTAGGATTCGGCGTGAATTCTACAGTCCAAGGGACCGGCCAACGGCCTTACAAGGCTTTTAAAATCCACATCCACAACTCTTCATCCAAAGAGGAGAAATAAATCCTGGATCGTCTCTCCACCTTTTAAGTCCTTTCAGCCTGGGAGCAACAAGTTCTGAACAATGCTTGACGTGTTTGAAATTAATGGGCATTAATGCTTCATACATTGCAGCCGCTAATAATTTGTCATTTTCATTTTCAGTCACATTGTTGACCACTGGATTTCAGAATGTGCTCTCATGCCATTCATTACTACTGGAGCTGTTAACCGCCCTTAATATCTTCTAAGGCTCATATTATTCACACTGGTTAGCATACTCATGCGTACCAACAAGATACCGGCGTGGCTGACTGCTGTAATTCCTAGATTTATAAAGAAAGCTATCATGAATGCCACAACAGACCCCCAAGGTATTCGACAAATGAGACAAATTAGAACTCAGAGATCTTATACCTTGGAAAGCTGTTGACAATTATACACTTTAAAGATGTCAACTTTTCAAACTAAAGCTGTACTGGAAAGTTGAGAGTGTACTAATTGTAGCAACCTTCGGATAGCTCAGATTGTCAATGAAGAGCAGGGAGCCCTCATTTAGCCAATTTTATACCATGCACCTGGGTCCGTTTTGAAACACAAAGTGAACAGGAAGGGTAGAGATTCGAAATCTTGGGGTTCTAGTAGGTTTCTTGAAATTGTAATGGCTCCCAAGCACAGCCCTTAACCACTCGACCAAAAAGGTCATACACAATAACAGCCGCCGCTGTTATTGGAACCCGTACCCTGTTCCTAGTTAACCCCCCTGGGGGATGCCTCAGCCCTCAACCTAGGCATTACAGAAATACTTGGATAAGTCAGATGCACCCTGGTTGTGATATTTATAGTATGTGCTGAATCAATTCAATGTGAGAAGAGGTGTGGAGAATCTGCAGCTGAGCCGCAGAAACCTTGAGGGAAGATATATCGAGTGGTATTGTGACACTCCCGTCCCACGAATAGGATGGAGAAATGGCCGAAATTTAAGAAAAATGGGGTGGTTCAGCAAAACTAACTACTGTACCTTGATTCAAGTCAGCAAATGTAACATGATGAGTTAATCAGCCATTGGCAGGTATTGAACCAACAAATCTGTGCACCCCCTGGAATGGGTCGGGTTCAGATATGTACGAAGGAGAGTAGGTAGTTCAGCCCGCGGTAGTGCAGGGTTTCGGCTCCTCTCAGCTCTTGGAATTTGGAGGTCGGGAATTTCCGTTCAAACCTGGTGTGGGGGTTGGGCTCTTGTCGGTATTCTTCGGAGAATACATTAAAGTTAAAGGAACCAAAACGACCCTGGATGGCGCGATTTGAAACGTCATGGTTTCTCGTGGAATGAAATCACAATGGAGGAATTCGCCAAGGGGTTGCCAGGCTCCTTGCAAGGATATTCGGATGTCGCCCCAAAAACTGGCCCATTCGGTGAGGTCCCATGAATTTAACGCTTCCCCGACACAAACGCCCACTGGTCACACAGCATACAGGACTGATGGCAGAAGATTGTGTGCCCTTTCCTGTTCAGCCCTTATTGACGATAAAAATCAGCTGTAGAGAGCTCGATTCCTACCGTGGAAGACGAATGGGTAACCTCAATAACCAATGGCCGCCACTATCCAAAGAACAATGCAGGATGATTGATAAAGCGACCATCCATGCCTGGGGAGTACATGTTGCTGGCTGGGAACAAGACGTAACAACGCCACGCTGACTCCGTCAGGACTATAAATTATAGCCAAAGGACCCTGTGGAAAGGTGAATCCCCACAAAAAATGTGATTTTACCACACGGCACCTCAAGTCATTTGACAGCGCCCATATCGTTATTATTGGCCGTGCTGGCAGTTGGAAGTTTGTTTCTTTGCCGTGGTTAGTGGGGCACAAGCTCGTGGATGTGTTTGGGTTGTGGTCACCCGTCTGGGCTTCTGCCGCCTTCTCAACCTTCCAAACTGGCCTAATTGAGGGCTCGCCTGCTACGTAATTTGCTCATATAACTAACTACATAATTCGGAAGATCTCACTACGCCAGGACCCAGCCTCCCCTCCCCTCCATTTTGCGCTGGGTACCCCATCCTCTTGCACCATGGCTTTCCGTCTACCTACACATCTTCCGCAAAGGCAGCCGGCCTACACTGGTGCCCCTCAACCTTCCAGCTTGGAGATCAGATCTGCAGTTGCGAACCCCCAAAATCCCCATCAACAGCATCACCACCACCAACAACAGCAGCAGGAACAGCAACAGCAGGAACAGGAACAACAACAGCATGAAGTTGAAGAATCGACAGAATGGGTCCTCTTTTCCCCATCTCAAGCCGGCTCCACTACGGCCCGCACCCATACCACCTCTACTGAAAAGACCCCCCGCACAGCTGGCCTGTCGCAAGTCAGTGATTTTGGCTCGCTGGACTCTCCACAATCCCAATCCGAAGATGATGAACTTGATGATGACCAGTTGGAAGATGATACCGCAGAGCTTGACAGCCTGGATGATGGTCTACATGCCTTTCGTGAGCCTTCTGGATACAGGATGATATCTACTGAAGCAGCCCCTCATGATTCCGCCATTCTCCCAACACATGATGGCCTGGGTATGTTTGCCCCTTCGAGTCAAGATGTACAGGATCAGCTCTGGCAACATGAACAACACAATCCGCGACGAAGAAGAGAGGGAAAACATAGAAGGCGGTCTAGTGAACAGAAACAACTAGAGACTATGGAAGAAATCCAGGCTCGTGAGATTGAGTATGACAGATGGCGGCGGATTGAGCAGTGGAGGACGGAACAGAGTCGAGCATTGTTGCAGGAGTTTGAGAAAGAGACAAGGTGGAGAAGAAATAGCCGGGCTGGTCACGCTGGTGAAAGGTTAGTGGCTCGACAGGCTCTTGGAAGCGGTACCTGGGAAATCGATCTGGAAACGAACGCCCGCGAACTTGGTGCTCAAGAAGCCCGATCGAGCCAGGCTGGAGAGTTGCAGGACGATGATGGTGGTGCAGGTGCTGCTGCTGCTGACGATGAGTCGTTCTGGAGGAGGATCACACGGAAAGTAATTCAGGACTTAATCGGCATCGACCACTCTTTGCTTTCGGTCATCTTAGGGGAATCACTTGTGCCGGAGCAAAGAGAGCAAGATGGAAGGTCTACGCTGAACGATCTCAGTGACACCACATCAAATCGCTTGCACGAGCCTTTGAATATGGGCGGGGTCATGAAAGCCGTGGATGATACCCCACGAACTGGCGATTATTGGCATGAAAGACTCCTGGAGCGTATTGCTCGCGAGTTGGGCATTTTGGTCCATCAGCTATGCGAACATCCGGGTGCTTTCAGCACTTATGTTCGTTCTTCTACATCTATTTCAAAACAGTATGCCGGTATACCCATTATTTCCCCACCTCCTTCGACTACCATATCATCTATCCCGCCCCCTCAAAGCCCGTCAAATAACACAACATCCAATCCTGCGTCGACATATTCTCCCCATTACGAATTCGGCCCCACCCTCCAGGACGCAGTAACCTCTGCATTTGAAATTGGAGAAGAAGCACCCCTCTCTCCTTACAACCTCAATACCCAGCCCGTGCCATCAGCAGCCGCAGGCCAACTCCCCTCAAGCTGCGAAGCCATCTCAGAAACCTCTCGCCTGGAGCGCGAGCGCGAGTACTGGGAACGCGAACTAGATGTCAAAATGGTCTTCCACTTTCTCCGCAACCGCTTCATCAGAAATATTCCCTTCACAAGCGATAACGAGAAAAATACATCCTCACTCCGTCGCAGCTCTGCCACCGCTCTCTCAACTTTTCCGATTGATGAGCAGGACCCATCACACCGCGCTGCCATCATTCGGCAACGCCATCCCCTCGTCGCGCACGCCCATGCCCGTTCCCAATCTCAAAGTCAACGGAGCATGGCCCGGCAGCAAGCGCAACGGTCCTCAACATCTATCTCTGGTTCTTCCGTGGCAGGACCCATCAGTCCCCTCCTGCGCCATCGCATCCGCCACCCCAGCTCTAGTTGCACAAGCCAAAACGCTAGGATGCCTGTGGTCTCGGGGAAGCGGACGACGGCAGGTGGTAGCGGGTCGAGTCGACATTACTGGGATATCGGGGGCAGTGTGGGAAGCGGAAGTGCGGTTGTTTCCGCGGTCGGGGGCACGGGGACTTGGGTGGACGTTTAAGAACTATGTTTGATTTTATATTATGATGGTGATCCGAGATGGAGTTTTAGTTTTTTGGGTCCTCCCTCCGAAGCTGTCCCTGATTGCGGTCCGAATCCACTGCGAGTCGAGTCATTATAGCAACAACAGCTCATCTGGCTGTATAACGCTGTTTACACTGTTGGAGGATGCTGGGACATGGTAGATGCAGGCGTTTGCAAGGAAGTGGAGAGTTGTGGGATAGATGGACGAGTTTATTCGAGGCCTTTTAAATAAAAGGAAAATATGAGAGAGGGGAAAAGGTGAAAAAGCCTAACTGTCATCCCGCTTTAACTTCCCTTTCCGCCCTCTCCCAGCCCGATTCATTCCCATATAGTATAAAAACATATTCTTACTACCTACGAACGACGTCGTTTCCTCCTTGTGATTCATATATATTATAAGTCGGCATAGAAGGCGCGTAGGATTTGCGATTGAGCGAGGAAAGAGAATTATATGCAGCTGGTTTTATACATTTTGTCATTATACATTATTCCCTAAGCATGCATGCAGAATCAAACTAACTGCACATCTGTCTAGATAGGCGGGCTAATCAGTGATAGAGAGGTATATCATTGATACTATCACGCTGCCACTTCAATTAATTGATATTCATCTAAGAACAGCCTTGAACCTAAACCAATACTCACTACCTACCTACCTGCCAACATTGAGATATGAAAAAGCAAGAGGATGGAAATGAAGTGAAGATTTGCTTTGGATTTGGTCTAATCCCAGGTTTCTCTCTGGGTGATTGTGCATACAGGTTACAACATATCCGGTAAAACAAATCAGATTCCTCAAAGATTGACCGAGGAGCTAGGAAATTTTTTCTTTTCTTTTTTTTATATATATTCATAGGCTAGCAGTAGGATGGCTAGCGAATATATTGGACTTTTTAGTGTAAATCTCTAACATCGTACATATCTATGAAAGAATAATCTTCGCTGGTCAGGATCGTGCCTAAGTCATTCGAGTGTATGTGAGATGCGTTTATTGCAGAGGGTTGGTTATATGGGCTGACAGATTTGCTTATTGCTGCTTCTTGTTGTTTTTGCCCATGTGGCTAAAGAGGGAGGAAGAAAGGTAGATATGTTTCTACAATGTTATTTTTGGAGCAATTAAAATTTAAGGTATCTGCGGGAATACAGTGGTATCCTTGGTCATTGAATACTCATGAAAGTGCCGTGGATTCGTGGATGGGCTACTACTTTCTGATACGAATATCCGGTGCGAATTTATACCAGGAGACCCACTCATTATGGATGTGCAGGAGCCATGCTTCCGTGAGCAAACAATCAAATTCCAATTCCATCGTACATAGCACAATGAAGGACGGAGTCCCCAGGGATATATCGTCTGTTTTGTTGGATTTTTTTTTTCAATCGCTTAGATTCATGTCATAAAACAAGGAACTAAAAAACAGGAGGAAAAAAAACAAAAATGCACCATTTCTTCCCATTTATTAAAAGATCTATGCTTGCGACAGATTCTCGTAGGCCTCTGGGAATCGCTTCATGTTCTCCTCAATGTTGCCCTTATTTCTCAAGAACTGCACGTAGGCACCATCAATCTTAACACGCCCCTCTTGTCTGAGGCGGATGTACTCCTCCCTTCTGAGTGGGGTGAAGCCCCAGTTCTTGCTGACGATGATCTTCTGGCGACCAGGGAATTTGTACATGGAGCGGCGGAGAGCTTCGACCGCGGTGGCACGGTGGGTATCACGGGTGCGAACACTGAGGAGGATCTGGCCAATATTGACACGAGCGACAATGCCGTTAGGCTTACCGAAAGCACCACGCATACCGGTTTGGAGTCTATCGGCTCCAGCACACGACAACATCTTGTTGATACGGACGACGTGATACGGGTGGGCGCGGACGCGGAGGTGGAAACCTTCTTTACCGGCAACCTTGACGAGGTATCTGGATTGATGATATGGCATCAGTAAAAAAATATCATTATACGTGGGGGTCGGTTGGTGGTGGTAGAGCGCTTACTTGTTGGCGCAAATACGGGCAGCTTCAAGAGCTTCAGAGCTCAGCTGTTCGTACTCGTTGGACACCATGTGTACGCATAGAGGGAACTCATCGACATTGGCCTTCTTGCGGCCAAGATCGAAGATACGGATCTTAGGATCGGGTACACCGCGGTTGAAGCGGGATTTGGGATATGGCTAAAACAGAGTATTAGCATTTCATATTTAAATTTCCGGTCCCATTTAATTTTCAGAAAAGTCCGCCAATAATTCCCCCGTCACATCACAGGCTCAAATATCCCACACGGGTAATCAAAGCAGCAGTTATTGATGGTTTCTTTCTTGCTGGCGGCGTGCGAAGTTTCGCCTTTTCTTTCCCCACAACGATATTCATGTCGAAAATCAAAAACCAGGAGAGAGAAAAGCAGCGCCGTACCTTGTTCTTGCAGTAGCGGTAACATCTGGCTGGACGACGTGCCATTTTATCGGATGGTCAATGGGAATGACTGCACTTCCTGCGAACTCGATGGTACGTGAGAAGCAGCCAGGTCGATAGTCGTCGTCGTGGAAGAAGTTCCGGCTAAGTATTGCGAGTTTTGATTTCCAAGCATTGGGGCTAGTGATATCACATGACGAAGCCCTAAGCCCTAATGTCCCTAAATAAGACCCCTTGGTGGCGAATAAATTACTAACTTGAAGAGTCACTTCTGGTTTATGGACAGTATCAAGAAACTGAAAGCTTGGTGCAACGATATAAATGAATACGGATAAGCCATCTGTGCTGCTGAAGACTCGGGAACGAAACTTCAACTTGGGTGTTTGGCCAACTCCCATCGAGTCATTCCGTAGTAAGCATCAAATATGCCTCTTGGACTCTGGCTCCTTATGGTCATGCATCACCAAGTGTCACATTGGTTGCTTCAAAAATCGCAGAGACAAATGTTGTTTGCCACTCTTGGGTGGGGGCAACAACCACCCTTCGTGATATCAGTTTTCAGCCCCAGAATGCCTTTGGAAAAAATGGGCCTTCGGTCCAGCGTACCCTCAAGTTGCGTCCAAGGACAGAAAACGAGCAGGCGTAGAAGAATTTGACGTTCCGTGCCTGAATCCAGAAAAACAGTCTACCCCTGATCCGTAACATGGCTGCGTCCCAACATCCGTGGCGATTCAATAGTGTAATCATTATCCGACGTATCTTTTGCTTGGGTTTGTACGCTCAGGCGATAAATAAAAAGTAGAAGAATATCAGGAACATACAGCGAGCCTTTCGTCCAAGTAGTACAAGTCGTCCAAGTGGTCGGATTTTGGCTTCACAGTTTTTGTTTTTCTGGAGCTGCATTTGTTGGCATTATGTCTATTTGGATGCATTTTCATTTCCTCATTTTCAGTTTTTCTCTACCCAGGCTAGTAGCTCAGGTACGGTTCAGTACATACACAGGCTCAAACAGGAATATAACAAAAACTGAAGTCACCATTCATCTCCTACGAGTGTCTAACCACACAGCAGTGTCTGACAAGACGCTCGCTACGCTTCAACTCCAAAGGCAATGACAGTGGTAGCAACCTCCCGCCTGAACACAGAGCATCCCATCACTCGCACGATTTTCACTTAAGCAGTGGTGCCACTTAGGATATCGGAGTCACCGGCATCCAAGATGGCCATGGTGGAGCACCTGAAGAGCTTTCCACACGCAGTTCCAAGCTCGATCTAAAATGGAAGGAGGAAAATATTTCCCGCAGATTCCATTCCCGCAGTCGGGGGAGGAAAACGCGGAAAAATAAAAGATTTCGATGGTCAGCGCCTTGGTCAATACCCTCCGAAGCTTTTGTAGATGTTGCGGGGAGACATGATATAGCTTCTTCGCTGGGTAGAACATGACTACATGTGCCCGATCCTGCTCATAGATCTCGAGCTCGACTCAATCCCACATGTGTATCTTGGCTCTTAGCGCTCCACGTCACATGTTGCCTTGTTGAAAGGAAGCTGTGGTCTTGAGCTGAGTCGAGCCGAGGCGAGCCGGCGAATGCAGCATGTAGGAAAGGATATGGGGACGAAGGCAAAGGGAAGTAGTATGGGATTTAGTTTTATCTTACGTTGTTGCCGGAGAAATGGTGGACACTGGTCTTGGAAAGCATGGAGTAGTCTGTAGAAACGAAGAAAGTATTGTCAGATAAAATTCTTGGAGCGCATCAACCGTAAAACGAAAATAATACTGTAGACGATAGTTCTTACATTCGAGCTCACTCTTGCGAAGAGGAGGAGTGTTGCCAGCAATAATGACGAGCTTGGCCTTGCCAGAGCGGAGGGACTTCAGGGTAGACTTGTAGCCCAGGGTGACTATCCAATGAAACGGGAATAAAATCAGTTAGCCCCCAAGTCCATCCAAAGCGATGAGAAAGGCAAGTCCTTGAATTGATCGCCTTCGCAATTATGTATTTCAAACCGCAGAGTGCACTCACCCTTGCCGGACTTCATCACAAGCGCAAGGCGCGAGTTGATGTTGTCGGCGCTCTTCTTAGCCTTCTTTGGTGCCATCGTAACGCGTTAGAAATACCAGGAGGGCTTTCTAAAGGGAGATAATGGAAACTGATAAATTTTTGCGCTCCGGCACGGAATTGAGATTGAAGGATTGAAGTTGTGGTGGGTTTGCTCTAGCGAATTTTCGAACGAATTTCTATTGTGGGCTTAAATATCGGAATAGTGTTTTTCCGTGGCAGAGAAACTTCCCATAACCAAGTGCTTTTTCATTCCAAGATTTCATTCACCAGGAAACCCGATGGTATTGACAATAATACATTATTGTTTAATATCCTATCCAGGGAATTTCAGTAGCCTCGATAATATATTGTCTGGCGTGCTACGTTCCGATGGGTGCTGATCCGTCTTCAGCTTCCTCCACAGAATTCACCCAGGCATGGACTTACATGATGACCTGTTGACACAATATCGTATGCTAACTAGTTACGCATCCACGGGGATGACTTTGCAAACGCAATCTGCGCTAATGACTTCAGAATCATAATGTTCAAGGCCATGATCACAATTTACGAAGAAACTCGGGGGCGAAGCCAGCACCAACACTCTCAATTAGGCAAACGCTGAAATGGGACGTGCGTTTGATTTAACCTTGACCTCTTGATGATTATCTTCCTCCGAGGGCTCCTCTGATTATTTCCATCTGGGAAATTCTAGAGTTGGACTTGATATTTGGAGTGAGTTGATACTCCAAAGGATGGATCCAAAGGTATAAGGGTGAGTGAATACTACTTATAACAGCAGAGAGATTATTTCGGCTTATCTTTCGTAGAAGATAGGCAGGATCTAGGTCTCATTGCTTCACAGTTTGGCGTGCTTACCAGCTGGAGATATGGTGGAGAGGCAAACCAAGTTCCAAAAGTTGTAAGGCCGGAAAGTTGAGAGTACCAAACTCTTCACCGAGCGGGTGGTAACTCACTGAGAAACGTAACTCTCTGTAGGTTTCGATTTTGAACGGCTGACTTGTGTTGGGTTGATTTTAGATTAAGGCTCATCGTGGACCTCAACCAGGGCACCATCCAAAACAGAGTAGCGTTCATGCAGGAATTAATTAAGTGGCGCGGCCCGTTAGGCTAAGATATGAGATCGGGTCGCAATGAGGCGAGCAACCGGTACAATGAGGAAACGAAATAGTCCACAGTTTGCTCAACAGGTTGAAGCCCTGGAAAAACAACCCGAACTTGATACGTCGGAATAAAATTGGAGTTGATAGTAAGGGCGACCGTGTTACAGAAGACTCCAGCAGGGATCAGCAAGTGTGAAAATCCATCAGGGCGTCCAAAGCCAGCCCCGAAGGTACGGTCGTAGGGGATAGGCAGTATGTATGTGCATCAAACTGTGAGCTGACTTGTCAACAAAACGGATAGGTGCCTGTAGATGTCACAGCGGAAGGTTTTGAATGAAGGTCTGGAGATCGTAATAATCCCAAACCAGAATAGCGTGCCAAGCGGGAGGCCTAGCCTGGTGCGGAGATTACCACGTACCGCGTATTGTTCACGCTTAGTATGGCCCGTACATCAACCTCGTTGGCATTGCTGGGGAGACCAAGCAAAATGGGAGTATTGATCGCGTATGGGCTGCGTACCAGCCAAGTAATAACTTAGACTTGATGAGATCAACGTCTTGTCTCGAGACAACAACAACCAACTATTTTTTTTAAAAAACTTTAAGTGAAAGACACCCTCCATCATTGATTCTTATATACCTGCTGGATATTCACCAAGTCACGGTACTAGCCATCGTCTATCCGCTCTTTATTGATTTTCAGCAGGCGCTCTCGGGATATTTTTACTCTTGAAACTCTGGTGTCCGTCTCACAGCCTCGATCGAGATATCGCATTCATATCTCATTCGTCCCCCAATTGACCACAGCCCCCCACGGACATCATTTCAGCCTTGAAAAGCCACCGTTTTGATCAGGGCTGCCTGGTATTTTTGCAAACTCATGTGTTAAGACGAGCTGTTCATATCTACTTTATCATCACGGCGCCATGTCGAGCACTGCAAGAAAGACCTCATACGGCGGAAGTGGTCACAAATCCTCAACCGTGGACTCTGCAACAACCTCTCCACCTACACGATCGCCCTCGCATTCGACCCAGTCTTCAGTGAATGGTGTTGGACGGTCCACACCTACAAGGCACTCTCCTAGCCCTGTCTCCGCTCGAGCAGCAGCACGTAAACCCGGCGCGGGTCGATCCAACCTCAGTATGAGTTCTGTTCCCAGAACGCTCTCAAGCCCCTCAGATGATGATGCGAGAGCCCAGAATGCCGCCCTCATCGATGAACTGAAAGAACAGGTTCAGAAAGCCGAAACTGTCTCAGATCAGTACCGAAAACAACTCGGCGTTCTGCAACTGCGACTTGATGAAGCGGTTAGTGAACAGGGAAGATTAGAAGAGCAAGCACATGAAAAGGACAGCGCATTAGGTGCGCTCCAGGCAGAAGTTAAAGAATTGACGAGGCAAGTTCGCGATCTAGAGCAAGCTCATGAGACGGAGCGGATAGCCATGGCAAAGGAGAAGGAGCAGCAAGCGAAAAGAGAGGAGGATTTGGAGTCTACAATCCAACGTCTGAAAGAGACCATTGCGCAGAAGGAATTTCGTATCAATGTGGAGAATGAACGCAACGTCTCCAGGTCGCGTAAGTTTCCCTATTTATAATGAATTAGTGCTTTCTGCGGTTGTTGACTCCCAATTTTTTTGTTATTTTTTTTTATAGCGAGCTTTCGAAATAGAGCTTCCGCAGATCTCGAAAATGGACAATTTGCCCCGTCTTCCCAGCTCCAACGCAGCCCTTCCCGAAACAATTCAAAATTGATTTTGCAAAAGGATAAACTAATTGAATCTCTGAGACTCGAGTTAGCGGAAGCCCAGATAAAACTTGTCGAAATGGAAAACTTGGGTGGTGGTCGCCAACACGATCTGGAGCGCGAGCTTTTGGAAGCTAGAATGGCAAACGCTCGCCTGATGGAGGACAATGAGAGTTACCAGCTTCTCCTGAGCGAGAAAACATTGAACGGAGACTTCTCCAAAGGAGATTTCATGCATGAAAACAACCAAGGAAACCAACAAGTAGGCAATGGACTCGGATCGCTCGCGGATGAGCTTGAGTCGGTTGGCGAAGGTGGAGGTGCTGACTCCCGTCGGCGACTCGAAGGAGAGGTCAAATCCCTCAAAGATCAAAATAAGGCTTTGAGTCTCTATATTGAAAGGATCATAGGGCGCCTGCTACAAACTGAGGGATTTGAGCATATTTTGGACAAAAATGACACTGATCCTTCGACCTCGCTCTCGAGCAAGCAGGCAAATACTGATAAAGATCTGCCTCCGCGGCCCCTGTCAGACAAGGTAGAAGGAGCTGGGACATCATTCCTCCAAAGAGCAAAATCCGTTGTGTCGGGACAAGCTACTCGGCCAAAACCCAAACCGCGGACAATGAGTAATCTTACACAGGGCCTGATCCATCAACCCCAGCTTGAGACCCATCCTACGATGAATGAGAATCCGGATACCGCACCAAGTATCCCTCTAGGACGCTCACGGACAATGCACCGGAGGTCCCGTTCAGATCAAGCAGACGGCACCGCTGCCGCCGTCGTAGGTCAGATGTACCGTGGTCCTTCTTCCAATGGTCCTCTCAGTCCTGGGATCAGTCCAACACTTTCATCGGGACAAGGACCGTTCTTCGCCTCAAGCATAGCGTCAAAACGAGCTTCTGTCCCCGTCGGTTCCATCTCGAGCAGAACCCACGATCGGGGATTGAGTAGCACTCCTAGCGTGTCGAGCGATCGCAGCGGTGAGGTCGGCTCAAGTGAAAGCACATCCAGCCCTTCACGCTCCAGCCCGGGTATGAATAACTACACCGGTGCAGTGATGACACAGAATAAATTGCGGCCTTTGCGCCTTGTTCAGGAAAACAAGGAGCTTGAAGGTGGTGACCAGGCCGATGAAGACGCACGCAAGAAAGCGAATCGTGGAAGCTGGATCTCCTGGTTCAATCGTCCTGGGCAAACCGATTCTCCAAATGTCACTTCGCCCACCTAATTCGACCATTTTAACCACAAAATCATGCGTCATGGGTATGCTATTCTTGGACAACGTTATACATATTGGATTTTCTTCTCGCGATCCCATTTACGACCCCTTTGAGACGATGGATGTTTCATAGTTTCTCATCTCATTTACATACACTGATTTTTCTTCTAATCTGACTTGGCTTTTTTGAAATTTAAACCTCGCCATGTCGAGATCATCTGAGTACACCATATTTGATATTAATTTCCTTATCGAGGCAGATATTTCAAGGCTGAAGACTATATGAATATACCAGTTAATATGTCAGGTGAATTCCATGCTGTGGTGCTAGCTAGGACTCATTGCAAGCTGTGCGCGCTCGCCTACGTTTTTATGTTAATTTGCTTTTCTTTGCCCTAACGAAATGTTTTGGATCCTTGCGTGTTTTGATGTTTCTTTTTATAAATTTCATACCCCCCTTCTGTGTCACCATTCCAGCTTTGATCTATGAATCATCATTTACGATTGGCCGTCCTTCACTTCGAATTTGTAACTATCTAGAGCGGTAAATTGCCCAGTGTATATCTCTCGAAACTCATGTCGTGGCATCCAACTCCTCACCACCAAAACCAGTGCTTTGTATCTAGTTGAATATTCTTCAGTGTAGATATTGGTGTTATTATATATACAAGCCCTTTACCTTCCACTGTGTCATGTGCATATTTTATTGTGTTCATCCCGCAGTCTATTTCTGCGAGTAGCCCTTCACTTCGAAAGGGGCAGATTTAATATCACGTGATTTATCGACAGCTCACGCGAGTCTGGCTGGCAATATCACCAATATTAATATTACACCTCACAACGAATTTCCACCAGAAGCCCACTGCACACGCAATACGCACAGCCAAGATGCCGACCCCAATATCGCTGTTTTCTGTCAATGCAATCCTTATAATGTCCACGGATGACTCATCGAGGATCTTCGCGAAGTACTACTCCCCTCCACACCCTCCTACCGGTATACCAGCCAACTCCTCAGACTATCCTGGCGCAAACCCGTATCCCACCGTGAAGGACCAGAAATCGTTCGAAAAAGGCCTGTTAGAGAAGACTGCCAAGCAAACCAGTGATATCATCTTGTATGACAATCGGGTCGTTGTGTTCAAGACGGAAGGCGACGTGATGTTGTATGTTGTTGGCGGAGCGGAGGAAAACGAGGTTCTGCTTTACAATGTTGTCATTGCGCTAAGAGATTCGTTGAACATTTTGCTACGGTATGTATTAAAATTGTATTTTCTTTCCTCTCTCCTCTCTTCTCTCTCCCAGGCTTTTTGTTTGTTCGGAAGTAAACTGACCGGGTTGGTGTCCTATTCCCGCACGTGCTTATAGATCCGGTGTCGACAAGCGCAGCATTATCGAAAACTACGACCTTGTCTCGCTAGCCGTTGACGAGATTGTAGATGATGGCATCTTCCTTGAAACGGATGCTGTACACATTGCCTCGCGTGTCAGCCGTGCTCCGGCGCAGGATGTCCCAAATATGAAGGGAATCGATTTGTCGGAACAGGGCTTGTTGAATGCTTGGGAGTTTGGCAAGAGGCGGCTTGCGGAGCAGTTGCGGCATGGCTTGTGAAGAGACGGGCTTCTCGTTTTTGTTTGATTATGCCGACCATATCTATGCGTTGACTTTCGTTTTATCGGGATACAGCTTCTATGGGCATTGGCGTATATGGTGTTACTTCGATTTTATGCGGTTCTCGAGCGAGAAATAACTTACACTTACATTTGTTGCGGAATATTTGTAGAATGGATTCCCTTCCTCTATTTGCATGTTCAATACCTATATGATCCCTCTTTCTTCTGTTTCTTACCCCCAATGAAACTGTGGAGTATCGAACTTTTTGCTGAGCTTCGGGTGAAGCCGAAAAGTTGGCGCATACCAACTCCTCGTGTTAATGTTCTTTATATGCATTTTCTTAGCCCTTATATTCCCAATGGGCTGGAATTCCGTCCTGCGGAGATAGAGTTGAAATCTTTTCCTGGTATATGTGTAGTTAAATTTCGCCCCACTATGTCACCCGAACTGCCTATTCTAAACAGAGGTGTAACTTCCATCCTCATTGTATGTACTCACAACAATCACCCAGCCGTTCTAGGCCCCCGTGAAAATGAAACAGAGATTCTCCTCTCTCGACGTCAAGGTCCGTCAATGCCGCTTGTTTTGGATGAAGTTGTTCACACTCTAATTTAAACAGGTCATATCGAGGGAGCTCTCACAGGCTTTGGTTGGTCTACGAATTTCTAACATCTATGACCTGTCATCAGTATGCAGTTCCTCTCCCCATCAGTTAACACCTCTCAAACCCGATTTACTGAGATATATTCTACCATAGCGAATATTCCTCTTCAAGCTAGCCAAACCAGACACAAGAAGGCAACTCATCGTCGACACCGGCTTCAGATGCCATCTTACGGGGTACTCTCGCACTACTGCCGCCGCCCCCTCCTCATTTACCAGTCGCTTGCGCAAGTTCCTGAAAACAAGAAGGGTCACAGCTGTCTCTCAAGTGGGCACAGATAGGATCATTGATATCGAGCTTAGCGATGGCAACTTCCATGTCCTCCTAGAGTTCTATGCGGCAGGAAATATTATCCTAACCGACAAGGAGTATAAGATACTTGCACTTCACCGGATTGTACCTGAAGGCAGCGACCAGGAAGAGGTTAGAGTGGGATTACAATATGTTCTCACTAACAAGCAGAATTATAATGGGGTGCCGCCGTTATCTATTGAGAGATTAAGGGATGCATTAGAAAAGGCGAAGGATCTTACGGGACCCGCCGAGGCTGCGGGAAAGAACAAAAGAGCGAAAAAGAAGCAGGCTGAAGCTTTAAGGCGAGCTGTCTCGCTGGGATTCCCGGAGTATCCGCCTCTGCTTCTTGAACATGCATTCCATATAACTGGTTTCGACACGAGTCTGAAACCGGAGCAGCTGCTAGAAGATCCCAAACTGGCGGAAAAGCTGATGGTGGCGCTTGTGGTGGCAGAAAATGTCAACTCCAGTCTTTCAACTGCGGAGGAAACGCCGGGGTATATTGTCTCGAAAACAGAAGGTAAAGCTGGAGAGGATGCCTCGGTGGATTCTACTGATCCATCCAAGTCGAGCAACGTGGCGTATATTGATTTTCACCCTTTTGAGCCGAAGCAGTTTGAGAGTGAACCTGGAACATCAATTCTGAGATTTGATACGTTCAACAAAGCAGTGGACGAGTACTTCTCGTCAGTCGAATCACAGAAACTCGAATCGAGACTTACTGAGCGTGAGGAGATTGCAAAAAGAAAATTAGAAGCTGCCAAGACAGATCAGGACAAGCGTGTTGGGGTGTTGAAGGAGGCTCAGGAACTTCACATCCGCAAGGCGCAGGCAATCGAAGCCAATTTGCTGCGTGTTGAGGAAGCAGTAAATGCCGTCAACGGGTTGATAGCGCAGGGTATGGACTGGGGCGAAATTGCTCGTTTGATAGAGATGGAACAGAGTCGCCAGAATCCCGTAGCCAAGGTTATAAAATTACCGCTGAAGTTGTACGAAAATGCGGTGACCTTGCTTTTAGGGGAGCCTACGGAAAATGAAGAACCGATGGATGAATCTGAGGAGGAGGCGGAAGTGGAAGAGGAGGAAGAACAGGAAAGTAGCGAAGATGAAGATAGCGGGAAGAAGCCTGGAGTATCCCAAAAAACACGGCAACCGCTACTATCTATTGATATTGATCTTGGGATCTCACCCTGGGCGAATGCGAGACAATACTATGAACAGAAGAAAGCTGCCGCAGTGAAAGAAGAGAAAACTCTCAATTCCACCAAGAAGGCTATAAAAAGCACGGAAAAGAAGGTTGCTGCGGACCTTAAGCAGGCATTAAAACAGGAAAAACCCGTGCTTCGGCCTACAAGGACACCGTTCTGGTTTGAAAAATTCATATTTTTTTTGTCTTCTGATGGATATCTTGTTTTGGGGTTGGTGACCATTCTCATGTCCTGCGGCTTCTTATTATGTTTTTATTGCTAACTGTGTGAGTAGTGGCAGAGACGTCCAGCAAACGGAAATACTGTACCGACGACATCTAAAAAGAGGGGATGTGTTTGTACACGCTGATGTGCAAGGAGCTATTCCCATCATTGTCAAAAATAAACCGGGCACCCCAGATGCTCCTATCCCACCGGGGACTCTTTCCCAAGCCGGCAACCTCTGCGTAGCAACTTCAACTGCATGGGATTCTAAAGCGGTAATGGGGGCGTGGTGGGTGAATGCCGATCAAGTATCCAAGACTACGCCATTAGGTGAATACCTTGTAACGGGTGGTTTTGTTATCTGTGGCGAGAAAAATCAGCTTCCTCCGGCTCAGCTTCTCCTCGGGTTTGCAGTAATGTTTCAAATCAGCGGAGAAAGTATCAAGAATCATACCAAGCATAGAGTACCGGATGAGGCTCCTACCTCAGAGAGTGCGAAGGATATTCTGGGGACTGAAGAACTACCCTCTGGTCTCGATTTGGAAACGCCAAAAAACTCTAAAAGAAATGAGACAGATCATCAGCATCAAGAGTCTGATAGTACGGATCAAGAAAACGGGGAAATTGAACAAATTGCGGACAATAAGCGAACAAATCCCTTGTTGAATGATGGGGCCGAATCGAATCGTTCTGGTAGTGAAAGTGAGGAACCGAACATTGGGGAAAATGGATCCCAAGATGTCGACGCTAGATATGACAAGGGATATGATAACTCTAGATTCGAAGCTGTGGAAGTACCAAAATTGGGACAAATGGAAAACTTATCCAAGGAAGAGGCCAGCTCCGAACCGCAAACGGACTCCATCACAGCACAACCTGCCAAACACCCCTTTGTCAGGGAAAGACGTCTGTTGAAAAATGGGTTCATCGAACAGGTCCCTGCGCGCCTGACTGATCCTGCGTCCCATTCGGCCACCAATGTACCATCACGTTCCTCAACTCCATCCATAGGGGCATCAACCGCCACGCCAAACATCCGCGGAAAACGCGGCAAAAACAAAAAAATTGCCACCAAATACCAGCACCAGGACGAGGAGGACCGTGAGCTCGCTCTCCGCCTCCTGGGTTCCGATTCTAAGCCGGATAAGCTTCGCGAAGCTGCCAAACGCAAGGCGGATCGACTGGCCGAGCTTGAAGCCCAAAAGCAAAGACGTCGTGCACAGCACGATCGAGCTGCTCAGGCTGAGCGAGAGCGACAAAAGGCATTGCAACAACAAGCAGAGACACAAGCGGGTGGTGATGATGCTGACGGTGGTGATACACAACTCGATGCAGATACTGCGGCTGATCTTTCTTGTCTTCCTTCACTCATTGGCACTCCTGTGGCAGGTGATGAAATCGTCGCAGCAATTCCCGTCTGTGCACCCTGGACAGCCCTCAGCCAATATAAGTATCGCGCCAAGTTACAGCCTGGGACTGTCAAGAAGGGGAAGGTTGTCAAAGAAATTTTGGGAAAGTGGGTTGTTGATGCGACATCGGATGCGAATGCAATAGAAAAAGGAACGAGGAAATGGAAGCGGAAGCAAGACGACCACGAAAGTGATGGCGAGGCTGTCAATGAGAACACGAACGAGGAAACAGGGAGAGAAAATGAGGGTAAAGGAGAAGACCGCAACAATCATGGGCTTAATCAGTTAGCGCAGGTAGAGCTTGAGCTTATAAAGGGATGGAGGGATGTTGAAATCATGAATACGCTCCCTGTAAGCAAGGTTAAGATTGTTTCTGGCGGTGGCGGTGGTGGTGTAGGTGAAAAGGGCGGGGAACGGAAGGGTGCTAAAACCAGTGGAGGTGGAAGGAAGAGTGAGAAGAGCGGGGAGAGTAGGAAGGGAGGGAAAGGAGGGAAGGGGAAGGGCAAAGGAGGTAAATAATGGAGGAGCGTTGGGTTATTTTAGAGAGATGGAAATGTATACATGTACATTAGTCCAGTATAGACCAGGGCGCGAAATTACTTGAAAGCGAATATAGAAGCCAGAAAGATCCTATCTCGAAGAATGTGTTTGGTATATCTCTAAATAAACTTTCCCGCAAAACCTCTTATACTAAAATGGAACGGTAACGGATATCAACAGCATGTGTATGGCCATCATGAACTACGTTGTTAGAGTGGAAAACGGTAGCAAAATTTCTATGTACTTCTCATCTATCAACGTGGGGCGAAAAATATACCAACAAGAGATGAGACGGAATTTATTTAAAAAAAAAAAAATGAGGAAATCGACTATCATTATCCTCGAATCTCTTCCTCAGCTGCTTTTCGCAACCGGTTCATAATTGCAGCTGCGAGATCGCCTTCAGTATCAGAGATGCCCTCAACATATATAATGGAGACATTCTTCTCGTCTAAACCGCGAAGAGCAGAAAATAAGCCTCTTGCAATAGAGTCTGTGTCTGGGCCAATGTCGATGTCGAATAGTTCGATTGGGGTCCCCACATCTAGATCTGCGGACGGGACGAGTCGTAGACAAGTGGGATGATAGAGAGTAACAGGTGAAGAGGAATCGAGAGGATCTGTAAAGGTATTGGAAATACTCGATGCTCCAGAACCAGTTGCTCCATCGCTGATATCACAATCAGTACCTGTGATGCCCAATCCCATCTTCCAGAGCTTTGACCTGACGATCCCTACGCGGGGGATGGAGGACGTGATCTTTTCCCCACCATGTCCCTCACGGCCCGCAGCGACGGATAGATCACGAAGCAGTTTACTTTTAACAGTCTCGACGTCCTGTCCTGCTTCGAATAGCACAACCTTCGCCTTTGGCGAATAATGTTTATATTTCATCCCGGGGGCCCGCGGAACCTCTTTACCCTGCAATGCGCCATCTTCATAGCCAATCTGAACATCCTCCCAACCAGGGCAGGCTCGGATCTCTTCGATACCAATTCCTCCCGGCCGGAGTACGGCTGGTGGATATAGTAGCCCGTCGACCACAGTGCTTTCCACCCCAACGCCGCACGGGCCTCCATCCAAGATCATATTAATTCGCCCTTGCAGATCGGCATATACATGTTGAGCAGTGGTGGGGGATGGTTTGGTCGAAGCATTTGCAGACGGTGCGGCAAGTGGCCTATCGGCGAGATAGATGAGAAGTCGGGCAACTGGAGACGATGGCATTCGAACGCCAAATGTGCGAAGTGTAGATGTGACCTCTGGGGCGAGTGGGGAGGGTGTTGGGTTTGGGAGGATAATAGTCAACGGGCCAGGCCAAAATTTACTTATTAAAGGCTCGTATATTGGTGGGATGAAATTCCTTTTTCCTCCTTGTTGGGATCCCTCCGTTCTTGAACCGTAGCCCCCTTGACTTGGGCTGCTAGAATGCGGTTGAAGGAGACGCTGTAATTGCTCCCTTGAGCTCACGTGGACGATGAGGGGATTGTCTGACGGCCGCTGTTTTGCTTTGTAGATACCCTGAACTGCAGCGCTCCGTGTCGCATCCGCACCTAATCCATACACAGTCTCCGTAGGGAATGCCACCGGTATATCGCTCGTGCGCAGTTCTTCTGCTGCTTCAAGTAAAACCTTTGCCTCCGGGTTGCCCCGATCATTCTCTACTGTCCACTTTTCAACCAACGCCTTCGTCGTGTCCTGGATTGGAAAATTCAAAGAGTGTACAGGGAAAACGCAGGTAACTCTCTCTCCTGCATTTCTGTTGATTTGTTTCGGGGTCTTCCCCGGCAGACCATTCCGAGCTGCCATGACCGGGAGAACTTTATGCGCAGTAGGGTAGCGGAGAGCGGGGAAGAGGCGATTCGGATTTATCAATGCCGTTTTAGCAACTTCACGGCTTCTCGTCGTCCCTTCTCCTCCGCGAGCGTGGCGAATTATATTATATGAAGAAACTATGTTCGGTACCTGCCAGGCACAAACGAAACTATATACGCAAATCAACTAAATCGTTGCGCGAAAAGTCGCTGGCTGAGAGATACTAGGACGGCTGGCTGTAGGGCATAGGCGGGACTGAACACATTCTCAGCAAATAGAGTGAAATATGTACCATTTCAATAAAAGCCGGATAGATTGAAATAACAATAAATATCCTAGACAGCAGCTCATTAGGTAGTAGCGGTGGGTATCTGTTCATTGGGTTGTTTTTCTGAAGCTGAGATTTGGCTGCTTGAACTTTTTTTTCTTTTGTTCGATGACGTCAGCACAGCATTTCAATAACTAGTCAACACAGCCTGCTGAGTCAGCGTTTGAGCCGCAGCACGATCAACTGTTGAAGCAGCAGAGCCAAAGGCAAAAAACGACATGATGCTATATGATATACAACTGGATTAAAGGGTCTAGCAGAGCAAATATACTGTCCATGTTGACTTCCAGAATCTCATCCCAGTCAGACTTAGTTCATCTCTACTGAACATGCAATAGCTGTGTCATTACCTGAGCTGCAAATGATCTCACAGTTTTTATCCACCTAAACATCATACTCCTTCATACTCTCTAATCTTTTCTTTATTTTATCCTCTTCTTCAATAGGCTCAATTTTTGTGCTTGTCATTATTATTATTGAACATTCCAACGCTTGTTTTCAACCACAACTAGGCGCACTGAGGTGAAAACACCCTGTTCCACCTATTCTATCTTCCATAACCGCCACCCCTCCATAAATATTCGGCAGTAATACAGAAACAATGTCTTATGTCCTCTATTCTCTCACATTCCTAACACTCATTACATGCACAGGTATGTCTATTCACTCGCTCTAATCTTTCCAACCCCTGATACCCCTCCTCCTCCTGCTCTAGCTAACATATCATGACAGCCCTCTATCTAACCCGCACCTTCTGGCTCCCCCTCCTCCCCTTGCCTGACTATCTCTATTCCCGCCTCCCCGAATCTTTCACTGGTGACATGGAAGCTGGCCTCTCGTCCACCGACTTCGATCTCTCTAACAATATAGAAACAGGTGATGAGCGCAGGGGACTTGACCGCATCGCCAAGCGTGAAGTTCTGAAGATCATGAAGCGGCAACATGTGAATTTCAATGAGGCGAGGAGGATTTATACAGAGCGGCGCTTTGCGAAGAATGGTATTGGGCCTGATGGAAGGCCGAGGGATCCGAAGTTTGTTTCATTTTCATAGTGTTTTTTGTGTTTGTTTTTACAAAAGCAAAGTGTCCACATCTGCAAAAGGAAACAGAAGAACATGTTTGACCAGGCACTATAACACGGCAGTTTATTGTATAATATTTATTCGGTCACGTCTAATGATACGTGTGGACGGCAATCAATATCAGGTATATCTCACTTTCTCAAAACTCCTTCCGAGTCAATTTGAGAGGGGAAATGTATAGTCGTTATTACATTAGGCTACGAAGTAAATGCACAGCACTCGCTTCGTTCGAGTCATTAAGTACAGAAGGGGAGAACCAAAACGGAGGTTACAAGAGCAAGAGCACAGAAGGTGAGCTATAGATATTTTAGCAAGGTTAAAGTTAACAGATGTGAGACTCCACTGGGATATAAAACGAAGATGACTCTCCATTTAGCGATAAATATCTATTCAACTCCCTCTTTTTGGCATTGTTATAGAAGATAAATTTATAGAAGAATCATCCGTCCTAGATATTCAGCCACTATATCACCGATAGGACTGCGTCTGAGTGTGGTGGTGAGAATGAAAGGTCAAGAAAATAGACCTTTCGATCGTTGGAAATACTCGCTGATCGGAGAAAAGTGATAAACAGCTACAGTAAATGTCTCGCATGTTATTCTTCAACCGAAATGTTCTCAAGCTTGTAAACCTCGTAACCGGGCTCTTCGTAGGGATGTGCCTTGACCAGCGCTTTTACAGCTTCCTGCATCGTAGCTCGACCCATGCACAAGACTTCCACGCGCATTTCTTCAACAAACTCCAGGGAACCGACTTTACCGATGGTCGGATTTGCATCCCCCCCAGGGAGGAATTGGCCGGTACCCGGGGATTGGAAGCAGACCTTGGTATATTTCCCTTGTGGGTATTGACCAGCGCCTGCGTCGAATACGGCGTCTTTGCAAGCCTCCACATGAGTTAGCGGTGCAAAGAAAATAAGCTTGAAGCGATCTTGGTCCATGAGAGGCGATGAAACGTAGGACCTGGCTGGTGAGGATGGAACTGGATGCGGGGAGGAAATAGTTGAATGACGGGTTAGTGTCGAGATCCTGGGAATGCGCCCAATAAAAGTGAGGAGCATTCCTTTTCTATCCACACTTCCTCTCTTTTCTTCTCGGCTTGTTGTAATAGAACCAGAGAAAATAGGACCGTATCGAAGCTGTTGTTGTTCGTGGTTAATGGGGGATTTCACACTGGTGTTGACCTTCTTGTTAGCGATGACATAAGACACCAATGTGCCGCTTTTAATTGGTCAGTGGACCCTGAAGCATCAACCAGAACAATTTGGTCGTTATTTCGACCGTCAACTTATTCCCACTTCCAATTGACTGCCATCATCCTTTTAATCTCTAATTCCTAGAGTACTGCTCGACATCAGGCCTTGCCGCTCCTATTTTCTTCCAGGAATGGCATCCAAATTGGTCCCCTTTGCTTTGCGGCCGGGCCGTTTTGCTCTCTCTCGCGTGCCAGGCCGACAATGTCGGCCGTTCACAGTTGCGGCGCCCCTCCGGAGTGATACCCTCGCAGTCGTATGTCTATTTGACCTGTATACGTGAATACCGCAAGTATTTAAGCTAATATAAATGGCTACGTTAGCACAGAAACACCCCTGAAAATAACCCCAGCATCCCCTTCAAATTTTCTGAACAGAACCTCAAACTTATCGATGAGATACTCCTAAGATATCCTCCACAGTATAAGAAGGCAGCGGTCATGCCAATCCTAGACCTTGGTCAGCGGCAATATGGGTACACTAGCATCAGCGTTATGAACGAAGTCGCGCGCATACTGGAGATGCCCCCGATGAGGGTGTATGAAGTTGCGACATTTTACACCATGTACAATCGGGAACCTGTAGGGAAATACTTTGTTCAGGTTTGCACGACTGTACGTATTGACTGCTTAACTAGCCATACAATTATTTCTCTTATCCTCCTAGCTCCATCTAGAGTGATCCCCTACTAACCCAGCATGATTTTGCCTCTTTCGTTAGACACCATGCCAACTCGGCGGATGCGGTAGCGCCAAAGTTATGAAAGCCGTCACAGACCACCTCGGAGTCTCCAATGGCCAAACAACCCCAGACAAGCTGTTCACCGTTCTTGAAGTCGAGTGTTTGGGCGCCTGCGTGAACGCGCCCATGATTCAAATCAACGACGACTATTACGAGGACCTCACCCCAGAATCTGTAGTGTCTCTTCTAGATGCTCTAAAGGAGGCAGAAACGAACAAATCTGTCGAGGTTCCCGCCCCCGGCCCTCTCAGTGGTCGGAAGTCGTGTGAGAATAGTGCTGGTCTAACCAATTTGACGAATCCATCATGGAGTCCAGAGCTGATGAGGACGGATGGGGAGCTGTAAGAATTTAATACTATATATAAAGTCAGAAAATCAATGGAATTGGGGTTCATAAGGAGGAAAAGTCCGAAACTTTTTCTTCTGATTGATTTGGAATGTTTTTCATTTATCTTCGGCTTCATATTTACTCGGGATGTCTGTATAGTGTTTTAACTTCCTGGGTGCATATTATAATGCCTTTCCTTTCCTGTTTTCCATTCTATAAACATTAGTTTAAGTCCTTAGAATCCTCTGATCAATGTAGAATAAGAAATTAGCCTGTATTCAACGCCCTCTTTATCATTTCCGCATCACCATAGCCACGCGGGAAAAATGGTAAATCCTCCCTTCATGCAATATAGCTCATCGTATTATTATTTATTTCTAGCTCGTGGGGCAGTGCGGTTTCACATACAATGCCTACATAAACAGTCATTTGATCCAACGACTCCAACATATATCCTTCTACGAACCATTTCGAGAGAGCGAAATAGAAGAAATTCACCAAAGACTAACACCAGAAATACCCCTATCCCAGATATCAATCGAAAGCGAGCTCGTAACTAGAATAAGAAGACGGAAAAACTCCGCTTTGAAAAACAATGGTTCTCTCATCTCCACCTAGACAAATGGGATTCAAAAAGTGAACAAGAATGAAAGAAAATAGGTTAGTTTGCAAAAAGAAGCCCTCCAACACCCAAACAACAAAGGTCCACAAACACCAAAACTCAGACTTCAGAAGCATTACTACCATCCAACGAACTCCCCTTCCATTCAACCTCGTCCGTGGGCATCAAAACGTCATCACTTGACAAAGAGAGAAATCCGCCATCTCTTTTCACCAACCGCTCCCATCGACGCTGCTCAAAAATATTTACCTCAATCGTTTTTAGCGCCAGGAAGTGGTATATATGCACATGCTTTTGTTGACCGTAGCGTCGAGACCGACCAATTGCCTGTGCCATTCCCGAATTGTAATCATACTGCGATTTCGTGAATAGGGGGTGGAAAAAGATAACGTGGTTTGCGTTTTGAAGGTTTCTGTGGCATTGGTTAGGTATCAAATGCTGAAAGGATATATAAATCTAATATATTCATATTGAAAAGGGCATCAATGGAGAGAGGGGCTGATATTCGCAAAAACTTACAATCCAGACGCTGACACATCTCCTAGGTGCAAGATGAGAACCTTGCTCTCAACCTTTTCAGCCCTAGTCTGGAATTCTGCTATCTTAGATGAGGACGTTCGATCGTTGACGGAGATCATGAGATGAGGAATGTTCGCTTTCTGCAGCGCAGCGGAAGCGGCTTCCATGAGATCTGGAAATTGTATGAAAAGTAGCACCTGTTCGTCTTCTGCGATCCTCTCGGTATCTTGTACTAGTCTGGTCAACTCTAGAAGTTTTGTCCCACCGTACTCTTGCCATTTTTTGCCATTGGCATTGTTGTCGGTGAGTCTGTTGTTGATGAACGCAATGTCAGAGTAATTGATCATCCGAAAAGCTTCTGCGCCACCACTACATGCAGGAAGACGACACGTTTCCTCAACTCTGGCAGTCTCGATGCAGGCTTCGCAAAAAGCATGCCCGCATTCACCAAGGATGGTAAGTGAAGTTAGGTTGGTGAGCCGCCGGAAACATGAGGAGCAAGCAAAAACATCTTCTGGCTGTCGGTCCTGGAATGCCCGGACGACAACGAAAAGCCTAGCAGCTCTTACACGAACCAGGGCTTCTTCAAGAAGTCTCCGCAAGCTGTCAGTGCAAGTGTTAAGGTCACTGATAAATTCTGATGGCGTTTTGGGAAATTCAAGGCGAATGTCCGCTGGGTTTTGTTTTTTCTATACATTTGTGTCAGTGCGTAATAAATCTCAATTTATCAGTATTTGTATTTGTGGTGTGTACCTCTTGAGCTGTTAAATAGTAGCACTGTCCATCTTCAGATGTTTGTGCTGTGCGCGCAGCGGCAATTGCTTTGCGAAAACATGAGGTAACCCCTAGGTCACCAGCCCCATTTCTCTCCAAATGTTTTATCAGTGTATCGAAATGTGTTGTATTTTCAATTTTGGATCGCAGCCAAAAAGCATGTCTGAGTTTATCAATTATATCTATTGTAAGATCATAGAGTTGTCGATCTCTTGCGTTTTCCTCACTCGAGCAGAGTGACGTGAGATCTGTTACAGGTGGCTTTAAATCCTTTCCATCACCACTTTCCACATCGCTGCATGCGCTGGGCGGCCTTGCAGAATCGTCCATTTTGATACCCCTTGTTTTATCAATCAATCGTTTGCCCATTACCCTTTCGAGGGGTACAAAATGGGAGGAGCATTTTATCAGCGCTTCTTCGGGTCCGCTGCTATTTCCCAGTATAACATCATTTCGAGACATTGCAGAAGAGTCGTATAGGCCTCTTCCGTTTCTACGCAGCTTTAGATTCTGAGACATTAACTGCATGAACAACTCGAGGTAGGCTGCTCGTTCTCGTGGCGCAATTATAATGGGGCAGATATGTTCTGTCCAAGGTATTTCATCGATGCCAGGTACATTCTAGGGAAACCAGAATGCCACAATATCAGCAATATCCCACAATCGTGAAGGGGAGCAGTGGAAATTACCTTCCGCATAAATTGGTCAAGAAAGCTCTGGGCTACGTTATGTCGTCTTCGATGCCATGCTGTACTACGTCGGGTAACGAAAGGTTGGAATTGTTCGGCATCTACCCAGTTAGCACGTACGTCGAGTAACAATTATGCCAGATGCTTCGTGCAAATACCTGTCTGCTCCCGCTGAATCGTTCTCAACCTTTCGTTTTCTGTCTTCTCGCGCTCATCGCCATCTACTCCAAGCGTGATTCCTAGAAAAGGAGAGAATGATTTGACATCGGCAAAGTCATTGAGGGGAGGCGTTCCAGATAGGATCCACTTGCTACGAGCGGGGATAGCAAGCACTGATGAATAGTTTCGATCTTTCGAGTACGTGAATTCGTCTATCACGATTCGGCTGTATTCAAACATATGAATTAGAGGGGATCGCATTCTTTTCCAATCGCCATTGCAATTCAGAAGTTGAAACGTTTTGTCGAACTCGCTACCGGGTCCAAAAGTTGACATTCTTTTCGATTTCTTTGCCTGAGGGGCTTTGGTTGCCTCCGAATTTGCAATATCGGGTTCGTTTCCCCTATCGTACTCCATTGTCTTCCTCTTCTTATTTTGCAATTTCGATTGAACGATGTTGAGTTTGGTTTCTGTGTCATTAACTGTTTCGTGCATTGCCACGCTATCATTGTTAATTTTCTGCATCTTTTCCTTGAGATTCAACAGATGGTCTTGGAATTTTCGCCCCTTTAACCGCCTAGAAGGCTGGAATCTTGAAAACACTCCACTGTTCCTAAAATCAGCTTGCTTCTGAACCATGTTATGGAGTACTACTTCGGGTCCTTTTGTCAGAAGAAGGTCGACGTGATCCCTAACGGCGGCCGTCGCGTCACTCAGCCATTCATCAAATATCCGACCATCCCCTTTCGGCACTGCAGATGTTGCTGCAAAAAGCTCCATCCTTTCATAGTAGCTCGCTCCACGAATCACGGAGGTTGAAAGTAACACAATGTCAGCTATTTCAAGTCGAAGAATAGCTAGTGATCGTAGCGAGGCAATTGATTTGATCTCCAAAACATTGTACTTCTTGCCTAAAAATTTGGTAATTTCTCGAGACCATTGATCAATCAAATGATGAGGAACCACGATCAAAGTAGCCTTGATTGGAATCGCCCCTTTCACAAAACGAGGCACATTTTTTACATCCTTGGTGAATTGATAGTCGATTAAACCAAGAGTTATCGCTGTTTTCCCATATCCAACGTCATCGCCCAAAATGCCACCGCGCACAAAATGTTTAACCGTGGCTTTTGCTTCCGCCCTCCAATTTATAGCTGGTAACATTGCCTCCACGACCTCCTCCTCTTGGAAAGGCTGAACCACATCCTCCTGCTCTTTCATCCAGGTAAGTGATCGCAATTGCTCGGGCCGGAGATTAAAGAACTTGAATCCGGGAGGTTGCGTTGATTCAACGTCGCCTTTGTTATTTTGCTCCTTTAACATAGGTAGTCGCTGGCGAAGAAAACCGACATTATCAATGCAGAGGCGCCATTCCAGGGAGACTTGGGACACTTGCTCCTTTTTAGCCAGTTTTCCCCTTGCTTGATGAATAAGGGTTATCACATTCAAACATAGTTTTACCTGTAGAATAGAATCATGACCAAACCTAGTAAACCCCAGAAACGCTGCTGGTCGTTTCTTTATGCTTTGCTCATACACGGCAGCATCCTCTGGGTCTTCGTAGCCATAGATGCGGTCTTTTTCGTCCAAAGCCCATATTAGTCGAGGTTTTCGAGGCGCGCAAATATCACACTCTTTTCCGCATTCCTCATTATCCAAACATATGCCAGTCCATTCGCTAAATTGCTTCACTGAACTAGCCGGTTGTAACAACCATGAAAGTTTTCTTAGAACAGCTGGTGATTCCATCAGATTTGAGACCTTCCATGTACCAGGTTCCGAGGACAATTCTGCGCCAGTTGCAGGAATTGAGGATACCAGCATCGGTACGTAAGAATTTAGACATTTGGATCCGATGCTTGTACCAATAATTTTGGGGGTTGTAGTCTGGTGGAAAGGAGATGGGGAGTAGATGTCAAGAGTGACCATGTCAGTCATAGTGGTCTTTCGGAACCAGCAGCGAACGGACTCGGGCTCATTGGAAAGGGTACATGAATCCCAATTCGGGCGCAATTCTGCTATTATAATACGCGCCTCCCCGATATCCAGCCGATCATGGCCGAGCGCAAAAACCCAAGAATCAAACTCTGCAGGACCAATATCTGTAGGGTCCAGGAAAAAGTAAACAGGAGGGCCACAGCCAGACACCATCTTCTTATGCAAGCTTCCACTAGCGGCACCACAGTCTTGCAGAAGCTCGTATTCTCCGCGGATATCAAACTCCAAATTTTGAACAGCAGCATCAGTTGCGGATATATTGATTTGACTCCAGACCTTAGCATCAGCAAAGTGCGAGCGCTTCAACCCAGCTCGCGAACCGATAGATGGAAGTACATTGCCCTTCCCAGAAACAAAAATATCAAAACATGAACTAATTGGGGACGTAATATGCCAAATTCCATTCAATATATTCTTGCCGGACGGGGTCATGGAAGCGATGGGATAACGTAAAACTTGCCGGAGGGGAGAATTGCTCGGTTCATCTTTTGGTGGCTTAAGGTAAAGGGACCATTGCAGCCTTGTGGAAGAGCAAGCAAATTTTAGTACGGATAAGGATCCTTTATACGTTATCGTCCAGGATCTCTTTCGGGTCACACCTTGAAATCGCAGCTCATCCCCTAGTGCTGGAAGAAGGACTTTGAAAAAATCATCCCACGTCGATGAAACGTCAACCGGAAGATCGTCTTGCCTTAGTTCTCGGTATAACGCAAGGGATAGTCCGTTAACTTGAAGTCTCATCGGTAGCTTTTGCTTCAATTGGGTCTCGAAATTTATTGGGGACACCCGCGCATTCAATTCATCCTTGGGAATTGGACAATATACATGTGGAGGATTGCGTCCACATGATTTGCATGCAGTAAAACCGCATTTCAAGCATATCAACATGTCGGTTCTTTTCGTCAATGCTTGGCCTTCACAAATACACATTCTCGAACTTCGCTTTCCGATTTCGAAAACCTCGTGTGTAGATAGCACAATTTCGTCCCCCGAATGAGCGGGGACCAGCTCCACAGTGTCATTGTCAGCAACTTGCATCTGAGTTATAAAGTGTTCTTCGTTTTTGGAGTTACTTCCGCCAGTTTTGCCAGGCGCAAGAGCCTGGTATCCTACAATCAAAGCACTCATAATCGCCACCCCTACAACAGTTGAGCTCATCGCGTTGCCTGCAAGATCGTTGAGATCTCGTTGACTGTCATTGCCTAACAGTAACCTATCGATAGGAATCCCCTGCAGAGCCAACGCCTCGATACCTAAGAGAGGGCCACCCCGCGAAGTGACAAAGTGTTGACCCCGTGGAGTCAAACAACCAGAAACCCCGGATGCACGCTGGTCCAGCTCCCTGTCAAGCCCCTGAGAAAGGTCGATGATCCGGCTATCAATTTGTTAACATGTATCATGAACATGGAAAGCACAACGCGACTTACGATTTGAAGTTGATATCAAAACCTCTGATTATGCTCCGCAGGTAATTTACGTCAAGCGTATCCCAAACACGTTCGGTCTGCACTTTGCTCCATCTGCGCCAATAGAAGTCAGGCATTTGACAGTTACCGTTGTCCTGCCAACGAGTAAGAGGTCTTTTATCCCCAAGTCCTTCCCTCATTCTATACCGAAGGTGACGTGCTTTGTACCGAGTCCAATCAACGGCCTGGCGGTCCTTGGTTGTGTTGCAAGATATATCATCGATGGCGTCCAGCAAACGAGGGTCATCGTTTTTAAGTAAGAATTGCGTGACGGGGGAACTCGCAGGGCGTTCAAAGTTTTTCATCATCTTCGCAAATGCGGATGATTTAGAGTCTGCAGGAGGTGGAGTTTCAAGTCTGGTTTGGTCTATGCAGAGCATATATCCTCTCTCACGAGTTTGTGGCAGGTAGTAGTTTTTTGTGTCTACTTTAATGTGATAGGCGTGGTAATCAATTTCCTTGAAAGCATCCTTGATATGGCCCCACGGGGCTCCGCAGACGTTCTCTAGGATCATTAAGGGTGGCCTACAACGTTGAGTGTATCGCAACACGCCATAAAATGTATGGCCTGATTCCCCCATTTCGTCCAGAGTTTTGCGGTAGAGGTTCATATTTGAAAAATCCACGCAAGAGAATCCAACAACCAGTAGATCCAAAGTCGAGGGTACTTTACGGAGTGAACCAAATGCAGTAACGCTGGGGATCAAATCAGTATACGATCCTTTCAAGGGAGGATTGTGTACATACGCTTCATCAGCAATTAGCTCATTGACATCTCGAAAAATAATATCGGGTGAGAAATTCCGCTGGATGTATGACTGTTTGAAAGGATCTATCTCTGCACTGAATAAATGGCGCATGTTGAACTTCTGGCCAAAGATCTTTTTAAAACCTATGGCCATTAGCAAAATCACATAAAGAACTATACGGGTCACGTACTAGCCATCACCATTTCTAGAGCGAGAAGAGGCGCTTCAGTACCAGAACACATGGTGGCGACGCGAAGATCTCGCGAGCCAATGTGATCGAGGAAGTTACTAAACCCATTCCTTTCGGCATTGATCGAAATATCGTCAAAAATATCCTCAATTTTGCTTATTGGAGGGAGGTTGAAATCGAGTCCTGGCTTGGGTTTCTTCCCAGGCAGTGAGTGGTATTTGCCTCTCAAGATTTCTGGAGGTGAATTTATCGATATTCTCAGGTCGTTTTCCTCGGATACATGGGCGTTGTCATCACCAACATTTTCCGACACGGAGGTATTAGTTTCCACGCCAGGATTGGAAGAAGTAAAAGTATCAGGAGTGACACTGGAGTTAACAGAGTCTTCTTCATCAGTTGGATCACTAAGGACTTCATCCATGAGAAATGTTTTTGTTTTCTTGAGGAGATGGAGCGCTGTCTCCTCCCGCTTGACATGTCGAGAGAGAAAATTAGCTGGTGGTCTTATCTAGAAAAAAAGTTGGTAAACGGTTACCTTCTGGCTCATTGTAATTGCAAAATCTTTTTGCCAAAGAAGGCAATATATAAGAACGCGTAAGTTTCTCCAGCCTTCTCTTGAATTCTGAAAGAAAAGATGATTGAGGGTAATGAAACAAGAGGATGATGGTAAGTGAGTCCACATGACGGGCTTGTTATCTGTAGATGAAATGATCTTGTTTGTTGACAAGTCAGGGGTTGGACAAGCGATGAGAATAACGTCAACACACTGAATAACATTGAACATCTAGAGCCTGTAGGCTTATTGTTATCTGAAAGGCATCATTCGAGAGTATCCCATGAGCTTCTCACAGAATCAATCTGCAGTGTTTGCATCTCACTAAACTGCCCTATTTGGTAAGGTCTGATAGGCCAGCGACAGAGGGTGGAAAGCCAATGGATATCCATTTCATAGAATGCACCTCAAAACCTTCATCAGATCAATGATGCTCTGGCTGGCAACAAGAAAAAAAAATCGGAATATCCCAACCGAAGCTTGGATATTTCCCGCCGGGCACTCAAAAAGAAGTCATTAGTAGACGAGGTGTAGTGGAAATTAGCCCCTATGAAGACTAATAGATATTGGAGTCATCTGCGAAAGAAAATACCGCATCATTCGAATATACTTAAAGCCATCCGATATATCATGGATGATAATTCAAACTGGCCGGGCAACGGGTATATAAAGATACCCGCCGAGACCCCTTTCTGAGGCCAGCCAAACAAGTGTAGAAATTTTGACCCATACTAGCAGTTAACAAGTAGACGTAACAAGGCCAGAAAGCAGATTTCGAACAAAATTGCACGGAGTCGAACGGCAACATAACTCCTTCAAATTCGGCAGGCATATATCCTAATAACAACTTAAGGTATAAAAAATTGTCAGATAAGCAAGATCCAGTTTAAACATCAAAGCAGCATTTGCTAACAAATGCTTGAAGCACATGTTTCTTGCAAGGGCACTGGTATAGAATCCTAAAAACATAGGGTTGACTGGGTGTTTTCATCATCTGTCGGCAGTTGGTTCGTTCGAAAAAAAAGCAAAGTGACACCAAAGATAAAATATGGACGTGACACGGGTGGTTGCCAACTTCCGTAAGGGCTCATTAGAAACGGGCCCATCAATAATCGTATGGATGGAAGTTTTTTTTTTATGACTTGCGTGATGTCTTGCCAAGGTTGTGGATATATATTTTTCTTGGAAATTGTGGCCACAGGTTTAGCGCCTGCCGCGCGCCTGAAAAGTCTCAACTGCCAGCGTTACAAAATCCAAAAGTAACAAAAAGGCATGCGGAAGCATTGCGTAAATTTTGCTCTTCGGGATTTGAATAATATTACAGCGCCGCTATAACCCTAAAAAAGAACACAACTAGAAGTGCCGTAGAAAATGTGTATTTTGCCCTAATTTGTCCTTCTCGCCAAAGGCCGGTACGGTGTAGCAAAGAAGAACATTGCAAAACCATGTAACAAGAGCATATCAAGGAACCGTCACCATTGCGCCATATTCCCGTATCTTCCGCCGTAAGCAGTAGGATTCATTTCGATATGAAAATGCAAACAAAAACAATTCATAGCCTCCAACCCCCAAACTATCGCATTCCCCCTTGCAGCAGCTGCTGCCTCAGCAACATTATCTGGCTACGTTCCGTAGGTGGCAGCGCATCTATCGCAGATTGTGGCATGTTCAATACTTGCTGAAGCAGCTCGTCCTGACTGGGAATCGGAGCAGGCTGTTGCTGAGTTTGAGGTTGAGTTTGAGGGGGGGCGAAAGCGGCATGTTGTACTGGGGGCGTAGATATTTGGCCGGGGATCGATGGATATGGTTGGAACTGTTGAGGTATCTGAGGTGTCGGCTGTGGTGGAGGCGGCTGAGGCTGTGAGGCATGTTCAACAACAGAGCCAAGCACGCTGTAATCAACGAGATTCATGAGTAATAACGCTTGGAATATGGCATAAGCTAGATGGGGAGCTTGTCTTAATAGCTCTGTGGCGCGAGCCGGGTCTGCCATCACCAATGACTTCATCTGCGTAATAACATCGAGTAGTTGAGGAGCCGGGAGGGAAGCTAGAGTTTGCGATATCGCGTTGGGGCAGGTAAGATTTGGCGGGAGTTCCGTTCCTGGAGGTAGCGGCGGCAGCGCAGACGCCTGCGACTGGTCTTGTCCCTGCATCCCCTGCATTATACCCATTTGAGGCTGTTGGGGGTAGTCGGGAGGAACGGAATCTTTCTCATTGTTATGGGGCCAATCCACTCTTATCTTGCGACCCATAATCTCGTAATCATTCAGGTTCCGTACGGCAGAAGCAGCAGCGTCTGCGTCCGCAAAATCGGCGAATCCATATCCCTTTGGTTTTCCGGTCTCGGGGTTTATCATCAACCGAAATTTCGTAACAGTGCCTGCGGAGCTGAGGATGTCTTTCACCTGCTCTTCCGTAAGGTCTGCTAAATTGTAAGCCAGCTGATACTGTAACATGCGCGTGTAATGGTCCAATGAAGGGCTTACTGTAGGGGATATTCCCAAGGAAAACGCTTTTACCGAAGCGTTCTGGAGGCATTTTCAAACATGCATCACCCAAGTGCTAGTTGTAAACCAATTTGGAAGCAGTCGATAATGTAATCTTCAGCGCCGGTGCATATGAGCTTTGAATGTTCCGTTTGGTTGATAGACCAGGAATTGCAAACTGAGTCTCATATGTGCCGGTGAAAGTTCACAGAAGCGCTAAAGCGACGCCTTTCCTTATCAGGCCTAGTGACATAAACTCCGAACTTTTGATCTCTCTCCACAAGTACACCTGGATTCCAGTCAGTAAACAGCCCGAGCCAGCCGGAATTCCCTTTCCACATCTTCGTTTTGGCATCATCATGGCTGGAGATCCTCGTGAGACGTGGGCTAGGCTGCAGCAGTCGCTGCAGCAGCAGCGGGCAAAAGGCGGATTTCCGGGAGGGGGCAGCCCAAGAAGAGCTTTTGGGGGTGCTGGAGCCTTGATTGCAGTTGGATTGGGGGCATATGTTTTCATGAATTCCCTCTTTAACGGTGAGTCTTTACCTTCCGGAAGCCAAAAGAACCCCGAGTTTAACTAACGTCATTTTTGCATTTTCCCAGTTGACGGTGGTCATCGAGCAATCAAATATACGAGAATAGGCGGCGTGAAGAAAGACATCTATAATGAAGGTGGGTTTTATTTATTCAATTACGCACCTACGTTCCACTACCTAAACTTATTTGTCAAAAGGAACCCATCTCCGGATTCCGTGGTTTGAAACTCCTATCATCTACGACGTTCGCGCGAAGCCGAGAAATGTTGCCTCCCTCACAGGTACCAAGGACTTGCAGATGGTGAACATCACCTGCCGTGTCCTTTCCCGCCCAAGAGTCGATGCCCTACCTCAGATATACCGTACCCTAGGGACTGATTTTGATGAGAGAGTTCTTCCATCGATCGTCAATGAGGTGCTGAAAGCTGTAGTGGCTCAATTCAACGCCAGCCAACTTATTACACAGAGAGAGAACGTCGCCCGTCTTGTTCGCGATAACCTTTCAAGACGCGCTGCTCGTTTCAACATCGTTCTTGATGATGTTTCCCTAACGGTATGATACAGAAATCAATATTTCCTACTTTCTCTATTCGGTTTTTCATTCATAACTAAACGTATTTTTTTTTTTTTTTTTAATCAACAGCATCTTGCGTTCTCACCTGAATTCACCGCCGCTGTGGAAGCCAAGCAAGTTGCTCAACAGGAAGCCCAGAGAGCTGCATTCGTCGTCGACAAAGCACGTCAGGAAAAACAGGCAACCATCGTGCGGGCGCAGGGTGAGGCGCGGTCCGCTCAGCTGATTGGAGATGCCATCAAGAAGAGCAAGAGTTACATCGAGCTGCGCAAACTTGAAAATGCCCGGAACATTGCAACGATTCTACAAGAATCTGGTGGAAAGAACAAGCTGTACCTAGATTCAGAAGGCTTGGGACTCAACGTCAATGTCAAGCCCGACTCCTCTGATAGTTAAAGAATCGCAGAATAATAAGCGGAGTGATGAGGGCTGCAGCGAAACCCTTTTATTGTGATAAGTGGCATTGGCTTCCAGCGTTATCGAAAAGGCATAAGATTTCTGAATTGACATGTGGCGGTGGGATAGAAGTGACCATTCTGATCACTGCACTTTTGCTCCCATAACATTCCACTAGGTTCCAAAATGTCGAATGCCCGCAGGAGGGGGTGGTCATGTATGAATATTTTAGCTTCCCGCTATATTTTTCCTGTATTTCCGTTACTAATAAACTGTTACTACTACTAACATGGACACCGAATCCAAAAACATAAAAGAAAAAAATCAATCATCTCCCATGTCAAAAACACTCGTTACGATATACTGTTTCTTGAGCGTCTTATCAAGTATGCCTTCCTCGCCCACAGAAACTCTGCCTAGACGCTTCATTCGTAACTGCTGTGTTGTTCAGTGAGGGAGAATCAATCACACAAAAATCAAAAAGACCTAGTACGTTGTATGGTTATCCTTCCCGTGCCGGACTAAAAGGCATTGAGACATTGCCTGCGTCGAGAGTTTGAGTTATAATTATCATTATTTTCGGCACATTTATGCTATAATGCTATAGTTAATAAAACTATGTACAGAAAAAAAAGTTCCAGACTGGTTGGAAGGAGCACAAATTCCCAATGAAGGCAAAAAAGTTTTGATCTCAATAAAAACATTCAAATCGTAATATCATATTAACTAACTTTGTCCATCGTTAGATAAGTAACTTCCTGGCAAAACTGGAATTTCGGGGGAACCTGTGGCCGTCTTCTTCGTAGAATCCCAGCTTAAAACAAAAGAAGGAATATCCCCAAGATCTCGACATGCTTCTCTATCCCCCTTCACTTCCTTCTTTTCTTTCTCGTTAAATTCGAAAAAAGGCATATAAAATCACAAAACTAGCTAGAGACAGAAGGGAAAAACAGAAAGAAAAAAACCAATGGTGTTGCGGCATGATGGAAAGGGGTAGTTAGCAATGTAGATACCGTATACATTTAATTCAAGACAATCAATCTTGACTCATTTCTCTTTTATCATTATGTAAAAAGTGTCCCAAAAATCGGTGGAAATCACGAGAGGTTCAAAAGGCACATGCAAGGTACATGGCAACGAATCCGTCATGTTGCCTTTGAAATAGTAAGACTAGATGGGAGAAGGAAGACGGCGAACTACCGGAGCTGGGATACATACACCAATTGGCGTCCTCTTTCTAATCTGACGAAAGGAAAAAATCGGGAAAATGTCCGCTTTGAAAATAGCCCTTTTGCAATGACTATTCCACAAGCTTCCGACAAAAGGAGAAACAAGTCATCTGGGGTTTGGCTGAACTATTTACAAAATTGACAGGTTGACTGTAGCTGATCTTGGGGTAACTTCGATGATCGCCGGGCCAGCAACGACGATGTTGTCAGCGATAGAACCACGGGCCTCGGAGTTTGTTAGGAAAACATATGATTGTCCACTAATCACTGACGGAATGTTGACAGCAAAGAGGCGATCAACACGCTCAACTGCAACGCTGACGATATCAAGGCCACTAACGAAAGTTAGGAAGAGGCCTCCTCCACCGATGTTAACATTTTTTCCGATACGGAAATGGGCTCGAGATGAAATAGCTTGGGGCCCGGGCTGGGTTGGCGCCAATGTTGGGAATGCTTGGAATGGGAGAGGGATGTTGTTTTTAGGACAGGATACGATAAAAGAAGCAGCTAAAGAAAAGATGGCATTGGCATCAACTGGCGTGCCCGTGACTTTGGCTGAGGAGATCTGGTTAAGACTGTTACGGAGGACAGATTGGTGGATGCCTTCTGCGACAAGAATAGCACCTGCTTGTGTCAGGATATCCTTGTTTGAGATAACTCTAGCACCACCCAAGTAAGCGGAGGTGCCAACGCCTTCAAGGACGGATGCTAGAGCAAGGAAACTGTGAACGTCGGTATATGGGAAATTGTATTCACAGGCTGAAACGGGAACCACCCCCGCAGCCGAGAGAGCCTTCGTGATAAACACGACATGATCTTCCTCATCCTGGGCAATGAATCGCAGCTGTTGGAGCAATTTGGAATCGAAGCCAGCCTCGCGGAAATGATTCTCTGTGAATCGAGAGAGTGCACCCTTATAGAAAACATTTTCGAGATGTTCGAGCTGTACGAATCAAACTTAGCTATGGTACATCTGCTAGGGGCCTCAATTGGATTATCACTATCACCTACAGTTAGGGCAAATTGAAGGATATCCACATCGGAGACTCCGCGTGCCGGGCGCTTTTCCATAGGCGCACTGAAGACAGCAGAAGCGGAGAGAACTCCCATGAATGCACCGCGCAGAAAGGACTTCATGGCTAGATCTGTACCGCCAAAAATAAAAATAAAAATAAAAAATAAATAAAAAATAAAAGAATGACAGAATAAAATATTAAAGATGTGAAAATAAATACTAGAAATCGGGTATCTGAATATGCGAATGATTGAGCGAGTGGTGACCAGCACACCAAAGCGTAGAATATTAGAAAAATGAGAGTATAAAAGCAATGGTAATTTGAAAGACTGTGGGTAATCCTTAGGGAAGAGTGAAGACGGTAGATTTTGGCGGAAATGCCTCCTTTTTACATTCCAGTCAAGCTCAGTTCGATAGATTGAACTACCATCCTCAGGCGGCTAGCAAGATCGCCAAGATGCCTTCCTTCGCAGGAGTAGACTCCTTGAGACGCATTTTAAGTGGATAAATGGTAACTTTGAGGCTCATGAGACGTTAGATGTAGCTGCCAATGTACACTATGTGCCTCTGATGGCCTGATGACAAGGGGCATCTCGTAGTGGTGCGATGAAGCTGGGTTCAGGCATAGACCCAAACCAGTTATTGCCAGATTAGTAGTCAAAGCCACACAGGCATTTCCCCATATGGAGGCATCTCATCCATAATCGTTATAGCATGTAAAATTGGAGTTTGAAATGTCTTGGTTAGGAAATCTCAGTCTGGGCCCGAGCTCTGGATATGAGACGATTCCTCCTGTTCTCTGAAAGTAAAGGTGTGTGATCACCTAAAAAGGAAAAATGTAATGCGCATGACTTCGTATTTGAGTTAAATTCCACATTATCAATGGCAGCTTCAGAAGCTTGAAGAGCGTAAAGAAGTAACATTGGTCAGCCCCTAATTTTCTTCTCAAAGTTGTCATAATGTGGAATATTGCCATGAAGCTATTGCTCCTCCCCAATGCTTAGTGTATCAAAATGTCCCTATAATCCGTATGTAGGAAACACTTCTCTTTCTAACAAAGGGACTCTGTTCCATAAGAGGTAGAGACAATTTCAATCTGGAGACCTTCAATCACTTGATAACTGGTAGGTATCCAGTATGGCCTCGATCAATGCGTCTCGGTCGCCGTTACATCAAAGGATTTTCAGGATCGGTATCCCGAATCCACGCAGGAATTCTCGCAGGAATTCTCCTCATCAGTAACAATACTTGTGCTTTTCACCTGTTACACGTTAGTCTCATGTTTGTTGGTCCGTGTCAGAGGATAAGCCACAAGCGCCACTTCCTTCTTAGCACTTCAAAACCATTGCCAAGCGTGCGTCAATTGAGATAGGATTGAATTGTTCTGGAAAAAATAGGCGGGCTCGAGACATTCTCTTCCCCATTTATGACTTCATTTCCATAGAACTTTTAGTATATCTGCGATAGGTCTAGATATAGTAGTTAACGAGTATTTGGAGGGAGGTGGATGTTGGGCCACCACCAAAAGGGGAACGAACCAATCCAAACAGTATGCGATCATGTGATTTAGACGAGTTCGTGGTGGGGAAATTAAACGACATGTGCTACATTTTCCTACGGTGTACTTGACATATAACTAGTGGAGACTCGATCCTCACGTCTCATTCAGCTTACAAACGACTACTACATGGAACGAAAGGGGTGTTGAGTTGGGGGCCAAGCCTTTTGATATAAAAATACACTGAAAAAGGAGAAGAGGGGAAAATCCGATATCCTATTACTTGGCCATGGCAGATTTCAGGGACGAACTGGGTTCTATAGACGTTGACACCGACATACAAGAAATCCTCCTTGCTGCATCGCAACATAACATTCCAAAACTTCGTCAACTAATCCGCGCCAATGAGAAAGCAGAAAACCCAGTGAATGTCAAAGACCCTGAGACCGGTTACACTCCTCTTCATGCTGCAATTTCTGCGTGTGAGTCAGATGCCAAGGAATTAACAAACAACCACGAAGCTACCAATGGGACTTCAAATGGAGATTCCGCAGCAGCATTAGATGGATCGTGTAGCGTGGCTGACCGGGGCAGGGATGTTGTGAAGTTCCTTCTGCAAGAAGGGGCCATTTGGAATGACTTGGATGCTAACAATGAAACCCCTGGCTGTTTGGCTAGGAGACTTGGGCTCAAAGAGCTTTATGGTTTAATGGTTGATGCAGGCGTGCGAGCTGAAATGCTCCTTAATCGATTGGATGGCTATCAAATGCTCTCAGATGATGACGGCGATGAGAAAGGGGATGAGGATGCTTCTCTTGTGGTGGAGGAATCCGAGGAGGGAATGCAACACCCCGCTCCTGAGCTGGGTAATGGGTCAAATCAGAATAGGGTAGAGTCAGCAGATGCTGATGTTACCAGCTCTCGCTACCTTCAATCAAAATTGACATTCCAACATGATCGATTAGTCGACGAAGATCAAAATGGCGTTATGATGGCGTGGGAAACAGACATCATGGCAAAGTCTGCGAAAGTCCTTCTTCCCACTCCTGGATTGCGTGTTGTAAACATTGGACATGGAATGGGAATTGTGGACCATCTTTTCCAAGCACAACAGCCAAGCGCACACCACATCATCGAAGCGCATCCTGCTGTCATAGAGGATATGAAAAAGAAAGGTTGGCATGAAAGGCCCGGTGTCACCATCCACGAGGGCAGATGGCAGGACGTCCTTCCAAAACTTATAGATGAAGGGAAGACATTTGATGCAATTTATTACGACACTTTTGCCGAAACCTACTCTGACTTCCGAGAATTCTTTTCCGAGCAAGTAATCGGCCTCCTTGAGCCGAACGGCAAATGGGGCTTCTTCAACGGGATGGGTGCGGACCGACAAATAAGCTATGATGTCTATCAGAAAGTTGTGGAAATGGACCTCCTGGAGGCTGGATTCGATGTCGATTGGGAAGAAGTGAAGGTCCCGCCGCTTGATGGGCAATGGAGCGGTGTTCGAAGGAAATATTGGGATGTAGATAACTACAGATTACCAACTTGCAGGTATTTAGACTACGTCTAAAGTCAGAAATGTTAAGATTCCCCCCCTCCCCCCCAGTGACTGTATTTTGACTTCAGTTAGAAAGTGAAATGGCCCATGAAAAGTTTCGCCATGTCAATAAACAATATAGCGAAACTTGAAGCCCTGTTCCCATAAATATTCTCTTAAAACTAACTCAGGCGTATTTACATCTAAGAAAAGTCGGGAATTGCTTTCAACACCATGACTACGTACCAATTCCCGCCAAATACTTTTGAGAATTGTGCACATCGCTTTAAAGACAGGTTGTATTCCCTAACCAGAAAATATTAGTTCAAGGGAATCCCTTGTAAGAGTCGTAAGTCAGAAGTAATAGATCTTTTTTTCTTGAATTTGCCAACATTCATGGATTTAAGTTGCAGTCTACACTGTGGATATAGTAACCATTATGAAAGAGCTGCCGGAAGAACGCGCATTGGGGCGTCTGGACAAATGAGCTCCTATCCCTCGATGTCTAAACTCCGATTTTTATATCTAATCTCCTTCAGTCTATTATGACCGTGTCTTCCATGTATCTCTCGATACCACATACAACTAAACTCTTTTACCTTCTTGTTGACTTGCCCCATTTACAGCTGTTGCTCATCACAATGTGATAAAAATTGAGTATATGAACTGATTGATCCATCGCGAGACTCTACAAGTTTCAGGCTGGGATGGGCTGTCGGGAAAGGAGGAGCAAGGAGGAATCACATATTAACTAGTTGATTCATGAAAGGATTTCGAATCACACTACTGGGGCCCGTATTCTTTTTATATTTGTTATTTGATTTAGTCAAGCCCACTGTCGACAACCCTTGATTCATCGAGTATTTGATATGGCTATTCTATTAAGACATTAGCGGTTTTATAGAGCAAATTTTGGCAACAATCGATTTGGGTACTCTGTAGAAGAAAAGGTAGTGGTGATAACCCGGGGAGATGTTAGCAGGAGCAGATACATATATAGTATACTTCAGAGTATATTGAGGTCCCATGTAACCAAGCCTAGTAGACAACATTTAGGAACAATTTTTTTATTCAGGTTTAGATAGAAGGTTGGATATGCTGAGAGGAGAGCAGGTAAGTCACAGCTGGAGAACCCCCCCAATCAACTAAGCCGGGCTAGCTCAATCGGTAGAGCGTGCGGCTCTTAGATCACGTTCATGTGACCGCAAGGCTGCGGGTTCGACCCCCGCGTTCGGCTATCTTTTTTCCCCGGTTCTTTTTTTTCTTTACAGTTTGTCGCCCGCGTACTTTTTAACCGGCCAGCCAGGTCTGTATAATTCTGATATTAGATATTTGATTACGGCTTTATCTGCGCCGTAATAGTCCTTCTAGACCTGAAATCTCCTTGCTCACTGCAGCTGTACTCTTCAGGGTCTCTATACTAGCTCTCTGGGCAACAGGAATGATATCGTCTAAACTCCTCAAGCCCGCATCACCCTTCCATTCACACTTAGCAAGTCCCGCAACGATCACCCCAAGCAACGTGTCGCCAGCACCGTTAACACTGACCACATTCTTATCCCCCAGGACTTCTTCCGGCGGGAAGAGACGCATGTAAACCCCGCCAACAGGGCCATTGCTACTACCGCCATAAGATCTGCTCAAGATATAACATGCGTAATCCGCAGAGCGAAGCCGCTCATCATCATGCGGCAAGATCTGAGTAAGTAACACGCCCTTCGGACCGAGTTTGGTGATTATGCAGGGGATAAAAGGCAGAAGCCGAATGCTTTGTTGCGGGATCCCTTCATCTACGAGTTGAGAGTTTGTTGCAGAGACTAGTCGATCGCGCGAGCCATTACTAGGCATTTCTAGGGAGTTGATGACCTGCCACCATTCCGCGCTCTCGAAGAGGCCAGATTCTCGCGCTGTTGTATACATGGCTGTCAGCTCGTGGCGGTTAGGAGTCACGAGGTCGATGGAGTGGTTTGGAATTGTGATTGACGGCTGGATGATTGATTTTGAGTTTGAAAGCGAGCGTGTGAAGAGGCGGGTTGATTTTTCGTTGGATACTGGTTCAAATGCGATTTTGGCTCCGTGGGATTTCGCCAGTGAAATCCACTTTGCGATGACATCTGGGCTCCAATTCGCATCGATGACGATCCAGCTGGGCCGTGCGCTCTGGATAAGAGGGCGCCACAAGGTGTCGAAATCAAGATGCTGCTCAGGCGTTTCCATGATCGCCATATCTGCCATGGCAAGCATGAGGTTTTTCCTCTCGTCATTGACAGAGACATATTGAGAAGTCCTGGAGCCAGTGGCTGGGTTAAGAACCTGGATACCTTGAACTTGCAGATTAGGTTGACAGTTTTTTAGGCCAGAGAGCGCTGCACGGCCGCTGAGATCGTCCGCAACGACGCTGCAAAGGAGCACTGAGCTGCCAGCGTAATTCGCTGCTAGAGCTACGTTGTGGCCAACTCCCCCTAAGCTTTGTCTAATGATTGAGGGGTTAGATGTTTGGAGAGCGGGGATACCGTCACCGCTTTGTGTCACGGGTGTATAATCGCACGCAAAGTCTACTGCAAGAGACCCGGCGACTAATATATTGGCCTCTTCAACATTCCCTAGTATGGGTTTGGACGTAGGTATTGTTGGAATGGGACGTTTGAGGGTGTTTTGAGTTGAAGGAGACTCCGAAGATAACGGAGCACTCGTTAAATACCCTGGCATATGTCTGCATATCAAAATATAACCCAAAATCAGCCAGAGATTCCAACCGTAGTTAATTACAAAATTAGCTCACCGATTCTCTTCCACTGGACATCCATTTTCCAGTTTGGCAAGCTCTAACGCAACTTTGGTTCCGCGTTCCACATTGCTCTCTACCAAAGCTGTGTTCGTAGTCACGCTTTTCCCATGACTCAACTCCTTAATTTTGGCTAGAACGAAAGGGGTATTATCACTGCCATGGATGTCTTCAAGCTTAGATGATTCAAGGGCTTGTTCAATTATATCATCAATCTCCTTCTTGGGGAATGAAAATTCCCCTGGCACTGGATTGGCGAAAACCAAACCTGAAGATATGTTTAGACGGGATTGTGCATCTGGCAGGGTATTAGCATGAGAGGTCCTGATGCTGTTGGACAGATAAAATAGTAAGAAGAAACGAGCAAAACAACATAGCGAGTGTAAAGTAAATCCGAATGTCACCAGAACACTTACAAATGATGGCAGCTGCTTCTGCTTCATCACATATGATTTTTTGTGCTTTTATTCCGCTGTTTCTGGTATAAAAAGCAGGGAAATCCACACTTCCCTCACGTCCATCTGCAAAGACTCCAACCATCACCCCTTCGGTCTCGAGGTACTCAAGCGTCCGCGGGATATCTAAAAAGCTTTTACAACCTGAGCTGATAAGCGCAACAGGAGTTCGGCCAAGCTCAGTGAGGTCGGCTGGGCATATCTTAGCATTATTTGCGACGTTCAATCAAGCGAAAGGCATCCCGCTAATCTCACCAGATATATCCATAGAGTTTTCCCCACACGGTGCACACCACCTATTGGATGTTAGAGCTTGTATCCATATTGATTATCACTTCTACCCTGGATGAACGCACCGAGGCCACCAGTAGCAAATACTTTGATCCCCGCAATATGAGCGAGCACCATGGTACCAGCAATTGTAGTCCCTCCATTCATCTTCTTCCCGCTCAGACCCTAGTAAACGGTTAGCGATTGCTGCACACTATAGTTAGCGGTAGCTCAGTTACCAGGCCACAAATATATCCGAGGTCCCTACGAGAGACCTTCAAGACCTTCTGGGTTTGGGATGAAGATGCGAGCTCGGCGAGCTCATCAGGTGCCATTCCCACTCGAGCAACGCCGTTGAGGACACCTATAGTAGCAGGAACCGCACCCCCCTCTCGTACAATCGAATCTAGTCGGGATGCTAGAGCGACATTATCAGGATATGGGAATCCTATCTCCAGCTTTAGTTACAATTTGTAGAAGCAAATCGAAGGATTCCATGGGAGGCGCACCATGCGTATAAATAGTCGTCTCCAAAGCTACAACAGGCCTCGATGAAGCCACAGCATCTTGCACCTCTTCTGAGATTTTCAGGAACTTGTTTATCTCCCCGAATTGATTTCGTCCGTGAAACGATCTATAGCATCTTAGCTCTGTTGGAAGTTTGAAGCGCGGATTGCGCCACTTCCAGAGGCGATCCGCAGTTCGTAGAGCGTGCATACTGAGGCAGCCCTAGGAATCCTCTTTGTTACATGAATGGGAATAACTCAATCGGTTTCCCGAGCGCAAACCCCCCGTGATTCGACTGTGGTGTTGATCATCAAAACATATTAGCACTAGTATGTTGGAATGCCCACCCTAATCGCTCGCTGCAATACCACGTGACCAAACCCCTGGAGAAATGAACTCTCTGATAAAGAATATATAGCAGATCAAGTAATAAAATATCTGATACAGCTGAAAAGATTGCAGTCACGGTCTTCTCAAATAGAGTCTAAATAATGAATCTATTTACTCAGATTAAGTGTTTCTTCATTTAATCTCTGATCTTACATGATTCATTTCAAAATTTGTCTCAGAAATCGAGTTTTAAGAATTCCTCTCGTTTATATGAGTCAAATTATCAAAGAAATATTCGCAAGATTTAGAACACATCTATCTGCTTCAACATTATATCTATTTGTACACAGCATGTGCAGCGGATGTCATTTTCGTGTTTGGTGGAGGAAGTTGGGGAAAGAGAATCCACGAATCTAATTGGTTCATGCTATAACTGCATGTCCGCTGCGCTTGTGGCCGCTTCGCCTCCCGTGGTATCTTCATACGGGACACATACGCTGCCAGACCACAGCATCAGCTCGAGCAATCCCATTTCTTGTTGCTCCACGTCTCGCTGCGATATCTACAGTGTCCGGGACCATAAATTGGTCCACTGGTAGCAAGCTCTGCCACCATGAGGCTCTTACCTACCGCAGCTGTGCTTTGCGGCTTTTTGACTCCTTCAATCTCCGGGGTCCTTGCCACGACTGCCAATTCCACCACACACACCTCATCGCGATTGATATTATCGAACGATTTCAGCCCTCCCAAAGTGTTCAAGAACATCAATCTCCTCAGAAATATAAATCTTGAAAAAGGTTACGTGCGGGAAACTGTCAATGTCGTGATAGAGAACACTGCCAAGGAGCCGCAGGAGCAGTACTTCATCCCTTTCGCATCAGATGTGATAGTGGGGGGACTAGAAGTGCGTGATAAGAATGCGCCATCGGCTGGCAAGTTTCTGGTGGAGGCCACGGAGGTGTTGCAGTCGAGGTTGGTTTGCCATTGCCACTTCTGAATGGTTCATTTGCGCCGAACGTAACTTCGGCGGAAGGTCTCTGGTACAAGTTGTCATTCTAACATGTTTAATATTACAGCCCCAACCAATACTTCGTCGTTCACTTCCCGGAGTCACTGAAAGCGTCCTCTCAAATCACCCTGAGCATATCCTACTACATCCTGCAAGCTCTGGCTCCGCTCCCTGCAGCTATTGAGCAAGACGCTAAACAATACCTCTCATACTCGTTTCCCGTCTACGCCCCATCCGCTTACACAACCGACAACCAGAAGACAAAGATCAAATTCCCCAGCTCCAATGTGCCGGATTATACGGAGACTTCTGGCCTGAAATCCGGCGCTGACCCAGATCGACAAGGGAGCACCTACACGTATGGACCGTACAAGACCTCCAAAATATCCACCGGCGCCACGGTGCCTATGATAACTGTCCGCTACGAATTCACCAAACCAGTCATAACCTGCTCCCTCCTCGAGCGAGACATCGAAATCTCGCACTGGGGTAGCAACCTTGCAACAGAGGAGCGTCTCTGGCTCCGCAATGACGGTGCCAAGCTCTCAAAACACTTCTCCCGCGTCGGGTGGGCTATGAGAAACTACCACAACCTTCCCACATCCGCAATGAGTGACCTGCGCATCCCATTACTCCCAGGCTCCGTCGATGCTTATTTCACCGACGACATTGGCAACGTCTCAACAAGCCGCTTCCGCCCAGGTGTGAAAAACCGTGAAGCGCTGCTGGAGCTCAAGCCGCGCTACCCCGTTTTTGGTGGGTGGAAGTATAGTTTCCGCATTGGCTGGAACAATGGGTTGTCATCGTTCCTGCGCAAGGCTGGTGGGGAGTCGTATGTGCTCAAGCTACCATTCCTGGAGGGCCCAAAGGTGCCCGAGGGAGTGCAATACGAGAAAATCCAGTTGCGCGTGATCCTACCTGAAGGCGCGCGTTCTGTAAAGTATGAGCTAGTTGATGGGGTTGGGATGCCGTATATGGTTGAGTCGGAGCTCGGACTGCACAAGACGTTTATGGACACCGTGGGGAGGACTGTTTTGACGTTGCGGACGACGAATGTGGCAGATGAGGCGCGGGAAGGTCATATTATTGTATGGAATGCATCACTTTTCTTGATTCTTTAACGCTTGTTGCTTCTGAAGGCTCCCTGAACCTGAATTGCTAACTGACTAATCCTGGCAGGTGACATACGACTATCCGGCACTCGCGATTCTCCGTAAACCACTGACGATGGCGGCAGGTTTGTTCAGCGTATTTGTGACTGTGTGGCTAGTGGGCAATTTAGATGTCAGCATCAAGAAGCGGTAGGGGAATCCGAGACGAAGAAAGAAATAATGAAGGTTTAACTTTTTTTTTTTTTTTCGTATTTGCTAGACCTTTTTCTTGATCATGTCGTTTTTATACAGGTACTTTGCTCATATTCCAGGGATCAGTTATAGCTGTTCTAATTTTTATTTTTGTACATTTCTAAAAGTTCAATTTCACTGGGATATTCACTTCAGCTCAAAGGAAATTCGGGTCTGCTTAGTCTTCTTGCGTGTGGTTGTGCTTTTATACTTGTTTTCCCGATCTCCTGGTGACCTAGGTTGTATCCATTGTAACATTGGTAGAAAGGGGGGGAGGGAGGTTGGGTTACAACACGCAACACAACCTAGTTGTTTCTTTTCCAGCATCAACTTGTCATCCATTAATATATATTATTCTTCCCCAACATTTTCTAGCGTACATCGGACGCATGATAGATAAAGAGACATATACAGGACATTCAGCAACATAAGTTTACAGAAAAGGCAAAACCAGAAGCCGGAAACCCCAAAGCAAGACATGAAAAAAAAAAAAAAAAACCAAAAAAATGAAAATAAATAAATAAAAAGCCCGAAAAAAACAAGGACGAAGGGAGGACGGTGATCAGCATCAAGCGAGAAATTCCCTCTTCGCCAATAAAAGAAAAACATCATATATACATACTATATCCTCATATGTAAGTCAACCGCCGTCCGTTTCCCCGTACTCTGCCGTGAGCAGCTGCTACCACACTTTCACCCCCCAGACCTAGCCCTCAATCCAAAATTAACACAAACAGCCACAAGCAAGCCCACACAAAGCACCGTCGGCCCCCACTTCTCATGATAAACATGCTTTACATCCCGCCGTTTCCGAATCTTATCAACGCGCCACATATACAGCAGCAAGCTATACACGAGCGACAAGCAGGCGAGTATAGTAAACACCCACGACGACACAAGCGTGACGGTGTCGTGGCCGAAATTGAGTAGGGTGGCAGCGATGGAGCCGAGGATGATGGAAAATTCGAGCCAGGAAAGGAATGTGCGTTCAGCGGCGAAGTAGACTTTTGGTTCGACACGGACGGGGACGTGGATTCCTATTGGGCCGAATATTGGACCAGTTAGGTTGGGAAATCGTACTAAAGATAGCACAAATAGCAAAATGATGGAGTGGAAATAAATATGTAAAAACTTACGTTTCCCCTTCGGTGCTTTAAACCGCTTAACCTGCATTTGATCTGGCGGTATGAACCTCCCCACCCCACTGACGCCATTATTGATGGGCATCGCCGTCGGTCTCGGGACGGGTGCTAAGTATTTCGCAGCATTCAGGGTAGATCTTCCCGCAGCGCGAACGTAGTGTTTCGCAAGCTTAATGCGATATTGCCAGCCACCGATCCTCCGTGCCTCTTCGAGGTCGTCTTGTCCGCTCGACTCGTCTTCGGAGTCATAGAGCGGGTAGTCATCGCCGCCGATATCAATAAGATTTCGTTGGGCAGCGATACGCTCTTCGATATCGAGCGCGTTACCCATAACTTGGGAGATGCTGGAGTCTTGTAAAGGGTCGTCGTTGTCTTCGCCTTGAGGAAGGGGTTGGAGGGATTGGAAATGGATTGCGTTGGTTCCGTGCACGGATGAGGATGATGCGTGGCCGTTTTCGCGTGCGTCGACTTCGTTGCGCGCTGCGGGATCACTACCACCAGCATCGTCAGCGTCAGCGTCATCGTCGGACTCGTCATCATCGTCGCCATCATCGTCCATGATGTCAGTTGTCGATTGGCTAGTTTGGACCGGTCGCTCGATGCCGAACCTGCGGGTGATGGGTTTTCGAATATCGACGTCCATCTGCGGCATCCAGAAGGGGAGCAGGTCGATATGGTCTGGGAATAGATTTGCCGTTCCATGAATGAACTTGCTGAATTTGGGGACAGCTTCCACCAGATGACTGGAGATTAGATCCCGGATCCATGGTGGAGGTGCTTGACCCGCCTGCGTCTGCAACTTCACTTCCAAAATAGCGTAGGGAAATCTTTCGACATCCTGCGCAGGTAGTTGGAGAAAAGGGTAGTCAATTCCGATATCCATTCGCCGCCAATTGGACCCAGACCTTTTGCGGCCATCTAGATTATCCTCTCGGATCATGGTCAGCTCGGTATCCAACGATATCCGCACTCTCGCATCTCCAGGAAGCTGGAATGCAGTCCGATGATAAAACGACCTCGTAACTGGCTTGAGCTTCCGAGTAACTACACGATATTGCACCTCCCGCGCCAACTGCTCCCAGTCAGCAATCTGTTGCTCGCTCTTCTTTCCATCTTTCCTGGCCTTCTCAAAGATGCTCTCGACAGTCATTCTCCCAGACAAAAAAGAATTTACATGTTTCTCCTTAATCGGGAACCGCGCTTTGACCGATTTCTCTCCTGTCCAATCCTCCCGGTGCGTTTTCCTCTCAACGAAAATCTGATCATTTTCCATGCCACCATACCACCGTAGTCGGATCGCCTCCGCACCTTCAGTCTTCTTTAAGCGCCCAGTATAGAGCTCCCAGGTTTCTGGATTGTCATAGTAAATAGAGGAGATAGCTGAATCTCGCTCATCGAATTCTTTTGTGGGATTGAATACCAAAACGGGGAGATGCTAGCAACTCGTTAGATATCCCCACACACATGAAAAAAAAAAAACAAAAAACAAAAAAGAAAACATTTCTTGAGGATTCCAAACAAACCTTCAGGATGATAAGTTTCAATTCCGTAATGTTGTCCGGATGTACCCAATACTTAGTTGTCTCCCGGATGAAATTCTGCTGCGAACCGCCCGCTGCACTGTCACCGGTGACAGGAGCGCCCTTGTTCCTAACCAAATCATACAACCTGGACAATTTAACCACGAACGCATCGTAGTTGTCCTTGAAAAACGGCTTTGCTTTTAGCCGTGCTGCGAACACGGGCTTCAAATGCCATTGTGTTTGTTTCTATCCCGCAAAATATGTCAGAAAAAAAATTTTTTCACCACTCCTGTTCCAAGCATAGAGAGAAAGAAGAAATATAGCCGATGAAAATAAGAGACGTGGAATAAAAGATGGGGAAAAAGAAGAAGAAGAAGAAGAAGATCTTACATCATGCTTCTTGATAATCTTCTGAAACCCCGTATAATTCAACTGCACATACTTGGCCAAATCATGGACGTCGGCAATGATATCACTGAGATCCTCCTCTAGCAGCAAGAAATCCTCATCAGTCGGCGCCATTCCACCGCCGACTGCGACACTGCCAGCAGCAGCTTCAACCCCACGACTGCTAATCTGCGACCCCCTCCTGCCTCCAGCACTATTCCCACCACCCCCGGCAGCAGCAGCCCTCATCATAGCCACGACGTCATTAACCTCTTTCTCACTCTGCACAATCCGCGCGACGATCTCATCGCTCTTCAGCTTCTGGAAAGTAAACACCTTATCCAGCTCGCTCTCCAGCAGTGCGACGAAGCGCCTCTCGTCTTCCTCCGTCCATGGCTTGCGCTTGGGCTTTGCGGGTTGGGTTTCCTGAGCTGCAGCGGCGGTCGGGGAGGTGGGATTTGACTTGTATGGGGTTTTCAGAGCGGCTTTAAGATCATCGTAGGCTATGTAGTGCCAGTAGTATTCTTTTATGAGGGAGGCGCGGAGCTGGTGGCCGAATCTAGCGGGGGGGTTAACAGCCGGGGTAAACCGGGGTGCTGGGAGCCAATTGGGGAAATTTGAGAGAGGAGACTTACCTCATGATTGCAGCGGGAGGAGCGATGGGTAGGGGAAGGGAAGGGAGGAGGAGGAGAAGGAGGAGAAGGCGAAGGTTGAGGAGGAAATGCAGGAGAGGAGGAGCAGTGGAGGGAAGCTAGCTACGAGCTACGGCTGACACTGTGGCTGGGATGGAGCTTCAAACTCTATTTAGGGAGAAAACAGAAGTTTAATGGAAGATAGCATATACACATATGGATACACAATACACGCATGACCCCCCCTAGCAAGGGACATCGGCAGCGACGAGATCCAGGTACAGGACGGGCAGAATTGCTCGAAACAGCAAATTCGGAGCAAATTCCAGGTCAACGGTGCAATATCACGTGGATCTGATATCGGCGATGCAAGATCGATGCTAAGCCGCAGCCCAATCAGGGAGCAGTGGTAGCCCACGTGAAAACCTTATCCTTCCTCGGTAGAAACTGTCGATGACCTCATCGCTTAGCAGTCAGCTCGTTAGCTTCATCCTTGAGTTATCCAGGAGTCCAGGACGGAGGACTCTGAAATGGACGAGGAAAACGCAGGAGTCCAGGAGAGCCAACACATAGCCCATCCACCAACAGCACGCATACTATAACGAAATCAGCAGACATTAGTTCATGGACCATCATATGCTATGTATCTTGTATCCCGTAACTAGTAAACAAGGGAAAAGCAGCCAGCGAACAAAATTGAAATTTCAAGGAACTTCACCCCTTTCTGCTCACACAAGCCCAATCCGCCGTATGCTCCTCCTCGCCCCCTCTCCAACAACACTAACCATCCCCTCCGCTTCCAGCGCTCTCACCGCCTCCGCAAACTCCGCCCCTTCAACCTCCATGCTACCCCCTTCGTTCAGCTGCCTTAGTACCTCCGACCACCGCACCCCACTCCCACCACCACGACCCCCAAGCTCCTCCACAACCCTCAAAACCTCCCTCTTCAGATCCTCCCGCAGCCGCCTCTCGCTCGCACTCGTCCCCTCAGTCAACAATCCCATGTCAATCAGCCCCGTGCGCGCATCCGTTGCGGCCTGTTTCAGTGCCGACCGAATTAATCGTACCGCTTCCTCTACATCGCTGGCGAGGACTTCGCTTGATAAACGCATGCGGGCATGTGCTTCTGCGAGGCGAATCATGGATTCGAGTTGGCGGGTGGTGGCGGTTATACGGCGATTGGCGGAGCGGATGTCATCGCCCAGTTTCCGCATGCCAACGTAGGAGTCTATCAGCGCCGTGCCCGCTTCAGGCGTTATTACGGGGTTGATATGTCTTTTGGCGTAGGTAATGTAGCTGGTGAGGAATTCGACGGGCTGGAAAACGGTGGGTCAGCGAAAGAGGTCATTCACACTTTTAAGTACAGAGAAATATGAGTCGACTTACAAGAACTTCCTCGCTGGTACCGTGTTCCGGTGTGTCTTCCAGATACATCCCCACCAGGTGCTTCGCCAGCCGGCGATCGTTTTGCTCATCGATGCGGTCGAGCACAAGATATACCAGGTCAAATCGCGATAGTAACGTTGGTGGCAGGTCGATGTTTTGCGGAACGGGTAAATTAGGGTTGTACTTGCTTCCGATCGGGTTGGCTGAGGCTAAGATACTTGTGCGGGCATTCAATGTGGTGATGATACCCGCTTTCGCAATTGAAACAGTTTGTTGCTCCATCACCTCATGCAGGACTGATCGTGTCGAATCATTCATCTTGTCGAATTCGTCGATGCAACAGACGCCTCCGTCAGAGAGTACGAGGGCGCCTGACTCGAGAACTAACTGCCTTGATTCTGGATCTCGGGTGACGTATGCTGTAAGACCAACGGCGGACGAGCCTTTGCCACTTGTATAGACCCCTCGGGGTGCAATCTTATGCACGTATTGCAGCAGTTGCGATTTTGACGTTGAGGGATCTCCGCAGAGCAGAACGTTGATATCACCACGATATCGCGGGTTACCTCCCTTTTCAAATGTTTTGTTCGTTCCGCCGAAGAGTTGGAGAAGAATACCTTTCTTCACATCTTCCATCTCGTAAATGCTCGGTGCTAGAGACCGTGAGAGTAGTTCGTAGACGTCAGGTCGGGCAGCAATTTCTTTTATCTTTTCCTCTTCCGCTGCTGTAATTTTTCTGACATGCTCCACTTCACCTGCAACCTGTTCAGAGAGCTCCTGCTCCACGGTTGTGGCATCAATGCCAAGCTTCTTGCGGTCTGTCTTCTGCACATGAAGCACATCCACATAAGTCTTGAATAGAGCCTTGGTAGTTCGTTGACGTGGGTTCACGCGAACAGGGTTGCTGCGAAATATGCCCGTCACTTCAACTCTATCACCAGCTTTGCAAACATCAACCAGTTCATCATAAGCACAGAGGGAGACCGAATGTGGTGTTTGTCCATCGGGCACTGAGTCGGGGGTTTCCTGGAGTTTGATAACCTGCTTATCGGCAAAAGTCGACCGGTTGTGAATGAGTTGCATAGAGTTAGATGTCCCGCAAATTTCTCGGGGGCATTTAGTAGGCTCTGCAATTTTGCCGCGGTCGATGTCAACGGCAACACTGAAGTGACAAGTCTCGCAGCGGAAGAACGCTGTAATAGTGACCGTCAGTGCGTTGTCAAATTGTGACTGGGAGGGGGGTGATCACTACTTACCTTCCTTCATGTCAGGGATTATCGGGCTTGCCCGAATAACGAGGCCTTTGATACTGATGAGTTTATCCATGTCTGTGGTTGAAGGTGTCAATAACAAATGTTTTTTTTAAAAGAAAATGAGGTTAAGCTAGCGTACCAGCGGGATCCAAGTCTCTCATGTTGACCGTCTTGTCTAATCCAAATGGTAGGACTTTGAAAGTTTTGTTTTCCACGTCCGCCATTAGATTTGGCACCTCCGTCGGCTGACCTCGTCCAGCCTCAGTTCCAATATCAGAGCTGGTGACAGGTGGCACTGAACTGTTATCTCTTGCCCTAGGTTGACGTCGTTGATTGGCTTGTGCTCTGAGTGATTCCATTTCCTTCAATGCCAGTTCAATCATGACATCCCTCACTACCTGATCCATGATCGGAATAATTTCCTGTGGGTACGCTTGGACCTGGTGCCAAAGCTTCAACGTTGACGGGTATGCCTTCAGGTTGCGGATATCCAAGTTGAGCCCTGTTACCCCAAGTTGTCGCATATCATTCAGCATCTTGATGTATTCTTTTTCGTCAGCTGCTACACCCATTGCACGGGTTTCTTCTTCAGAAGCGCCATCTGCCCACATGCGGTATTTCTTGGCGAAATTGTATAGGAAATTCTTAAATGCGGACATCGAGTCCTGGATGGAGATGTTGGTACCCCAAATGATACGAGTAGAACTTCCACCAAGGGCGTCGGCCTCGGAGGTGTCTGGCTGTACATTTGAAAACGTGGCATCTGAATGAGGTTCACCATCACGGACTGGCATGCCATTCTCATTGACGAATACTCGTCTCCGCTGGCTTGATGAGGATCCGAAGGCATCGGAGTGGATAGCACCTCGTCTTGTCGAAACATTGGGAAGGCCATTTGATCCAATTGATTGCGATGACCGGACAAAAAGACCACTGCTGCTGCTTGGAATATCAGCTGTCCGGCTCGGGCGGCTATTTGCACGAGTTGGGCTTGAACTAGACATGTAGCGAATTGGTGAGGAATCTGTTGAACGATATTGATTTATGTTGTCATTAGCCTTTGTTTCATATTTTTCAAAACAAAATAGACCTATGAACGTATGATACTCTAATACCTCCAATCGGGCGAGCATTTGCTCTGGGAGTCCTTTCAATATCATCAGTGCTTGGAGGTTCTCTAATTGGGGAACTGATGTCCATTCTTGAACCCGCATCGTCTTGTTGAGGTTCAGGTGGGGGGGATGACTGGAAGCGTAACGGGGATGAGGAGGGAATGCCGACTTCTCTTAGCGATCTCGAAGCCCGTGGAGTAGTCTGCGAGGCATTCTGCGATGGTTGCCCGCTGTTCGTCGCACTTGGGCGAGTGGGAGTTGAAGCTGCAGAGTTTCTTGCTGGTCGACCACGACGACGGGCAGAACCAGGAGACGACATTGTGCAAAAGTCTGTCTAAGTGGTTATGATTGCCAGTGGTAAGATGGATCAATTATCGATAAACGTCTGTCCTAGTATCGATGTGAGTGGTAAGAAGGAGAGCTGTTGGAAATGATTGACGGAATTTTCGGCAAGGAAAAGCTGCGACAGGGAGGAACGCGAGAGAAACGCGAGCTTCCAGTAACGCGTAAAGTGGTTTCCTATTTGGGATAGCGCGTGCATCCACAGCAACCTCACCAGCAAATCCTTTGACGCCGAATTTAAAGCCCATTTCTTTATTTATTTGGATACTCGTACTCGCAGGAGGAATTTTCGTCGCCTGCCTTTACACTGAACTCCCCATTAATCTCTCCATTTTAATCTCCAATCTAGATAATTTTCATGAGAGTATTGTTTCTTTTGAAGGTTGCTCCCAAATGGACAGGAAAATAGCTGATAGCTGAATCCAACATTCTCCAAGCATGCTCCAGAAATTGAGCCCATTCCGTACCCCGGTGAGCTTACATCTGATCTGGTACGACTAGCTTTCCCTTCATTACAGCCTTGTACTGACCCAGGTGTGATTCTCCTTGCGGTTTGGCGCGCTGTCTCGTAGCCATGGCTTAGGCGGTGTCCAAGGACGGATACGAATGTTCAGAGCCAGCGTCACGATAAATGGTTGTTGTGAAGGGTTGATTCGGAGAGAAGGCCGTTGTAGTTCGAGCCAGCAGCCTTGAATTCGCTCCGAGTAATCTTGACAACCGCAGAAACGCCAGAAATGCGCTCGCGGCAGCACGTCTGTGAAAGCTACTAGTCACTATGGGCTTACTGACCTTCTCTATCAAGGCGATTCAAATAAGTGAATATGATATGGCTGTCTATCCATGATGCTCAAGCGGAAGAGACATAGATGCAGGATCTCTGGCCGTTGTGACGGCCAGGAATTAATGATATGCTACCGTAGCCTTGCACTATGGGTTGAATCTGCCATAAGTCATAGTAGCGACGTTGTAGGGTCAGGCCACGGGCCCAGCTGCGGGAGGACCCAGTAAAGCTCATATTCATCACCATTTGTAGTTCAAGTGCAAATACATCATCAGCAGTCTCGAGGCCACAGAAGAAGTCCCAGGTAAAGCACATTACAAGAGAGAGTCTCACAAACTGGGTTCAAATACAGAGAAAGAAATTTAATGTTCTCCCTGCATAGGGCGCCAACAACAGTCATGCAGCGTAGGTTGAGTGACACAGCCATGGAGGAAAGTGGACTAACTACTTCTTTTCCCTTAACTTACGGGTCGTGCCCTTGGTGTAACTAACTCAAGGTTAGTTAACTAGTGACTTATCAGGTTGATGATTGCCTCGTTGTTGACCAGGTTTGAAGCAAGCTTTCCCCTTGCCATATCGCTGATCCAGAGAGAGCATGAATGATAATGTGCTGTTCGACTCAATATTTCGCTCGCTAGTGGACTGCTGTGGCTGTGTCATGGCTCCACAGTCATTCTTCACACAAAGACTGGCATTAGATGAGGACAAGTTTCGCCTTGATGTTCCTCAACACTCCGACCCCGTTCTTCCTCGTCAGGGGTACGTTTCTTTGGAAGTCAAGAGAAGAAGACAGAGGGCATGAAAGAGTGTATCATGATCCTCGTCCTAAATCCGGGAAACAAGGCCTCCTTTGCAATTGCCCTACAGCGGTGACCTTCATGGAAATGAAGGTATGAAGGTTTGGATTTTATTGTGTTGGGAGGGTTACTAGATGGATATGGTGTCTGAGATGAGGAAAGTTTTGAGCCTAAAAGATTCTGCTTAAAAAGAAAAAACACCGTTGATGGGTGATCCCGTTATAAGGATTGATCCAGGGACGCAGCGGTTACTTCAAACATGATCCAGATCCAGCATATCAAAACCTCGTAGATAGAAAATCACCACACACTGCCAGTTGAGGCAGCCACAATTGTGGACGCAAACTGCCATCATGAGTTGGAAGCTTCCAGTTTGCTTTGGCCTCTAACAATACACGTAATTGCGCATGTCAAGCCAGCCGGAATTTCCAGATCCCTGGCGCCATAATCCCAGCATGAAGAATCCGGGGTTGATTTGAGCGCACAGTAGTCCCATGCAACCGCAAATATCCGTGGTGAGGTTAATTTACACTTATCAGCACGCCGTTGTTATTCTCGTAGCAATCCCAGCAGAGTAGCAGCGGCTATTATGATTATGATTATGATTAGTATTAGTATTAGTTAACTATATTATTATTGTTATTGACTGTTGGAAGCAGACAAAGAACCGCCAGCTATTAATATCCAGGGCGACAACGCTATACTGCGTACGGAGTACGAGGAACTTCAAAATTGAATACATTGATCCAATTCTTGTGTGACACTTGGGCGGTTTCACTCTCGACGTCATTTCTCACAACATCCTGTCGGAGATCGCAACGCTGCAGATGCAGCTCACTCGTGTGATTGGCGCTGCACCGAGCCTTGGAATAGGTATGGAGCCCTGGCCCAAGCCCAGCCTGTCCAGCACGGCGGTAAGGTGACACAAGCCACAGTCAACCCTGTTTGGGGAGATTTCTTCCATCATCCCTTCGTGAATTTTTTGTTTTCATTGATTGATTCCCTTGCTTCCCCCCGCCGCTCGCCGCCCGGCGCGCTATGGTTCAAAGATTTGACGCTGGCACTGCTGGCGCTCCTGAGAAGTGGGAACTTGGAAGGACCAAACAGACCCACCCGGGTCAGCGCTATGGCAATAATGACGATTGCTGGTCCGCTGGAGCATCAGCACTGATCCAGTAGTGGAGACTTTTTGATGGGTTGACAGCGCAATCGCCGTTTCGCTGTTCGTGATTGCCCAATATCAGTGTGGCCGGCGCCTCACCAAACAGGGCGGGCCGCCGGACTCTCCACACCAAAGGGCACACGGGCGCACGGCTTGACGACATCTCCAAAATATGCGGGTTTATATTGACTTCTGCTCCTAATTTCCTTGTTTTTTACTTTCTTTCTTCCGCTATTCTACCACCATGTCTTCCAGGCAAACACGGCTTTGAGAGTCGCCTCATTGACCTCCCTCTCCATCTTCTATTGGAGATCCACTACAGCAATTGAAAGAAACTTGTTGTATTTCCTTCATTCACTCTCCCTTTGTGTGCCCATTGGCGGCTGCTCATTCATACAGTACAATTCGACCTTCTCTGTATTGTTATTCTCTTTCCCTTTCCATTCCAGTCTCTTCCCTAGAACACGCCCTCTCCGGTCTGCGAAGTCGGGACTTCTCACACTTGAATCGGCCAAATATTGAACTATTAATTCCTGAATCACCGTCCAGTTCGTCTCTCCCAGCTTGAGGCTAGCTGTATATCTCCTCAACTTCCTCCATTGTGTGGGCTACAGCGAGGAATTCGTGGTGGACTATGATTCTGGCCCCAGCATAAAATGTCATCCCCCAGCAATAGCGACAGCGTGGCCGCTGCGCTTGATGCGCAGAGCGGCACAGGCCAAAAGACAGCGGGAATGTCAATAACCACCTTTTTGGCATCCCTAGCTACCGCTCTCATAGTCTTCACAGCTGAAGTCTTATTATTTACGCTGCTCAAGGGAAAGTTGACCAGGATTTAGTGAGTGATTTGGTGTCCACCCATGAAATCAATTTTAAAGAGTTCAAATCTCTAACAGGGGCTTTCCTGCTTCTTTTTCTTTTTAGCCAACCGCGAACATATCTGGTCTCAGAACGAGAACGTACCAACCCTTCCCCGCCCGGTCTGTTTCGGTGGATTGCTCCTGTGTTCAGGACGTCCAATTCAGAATTCATCCAAAAATGTGGCCTGGATGCTTACTTTTTCCTTCGCTACCTCCGCATGCTTCTCAAAATTTTTGTCCCACTTTCGTTCGTCATCCTACCCGTGCTCATACCCTTGAACAAAGTCGGAGGAAAGGACACACGTGCTGTTTCGGCCACAGATGACACTCCTTACAATGTATCTGGATTGGATCAGCTGGCGTGGGGTAATATCGCGCCAGAGCATACAGACCGTTATTGGGCCCATCTAGTTCTTGCTGTTGTCGTCGTCGTTTACGTGTGTGCTGTTTTCTTTGACGAACTTCGAGGTTATATCAGACTACGACAAACATATTTGACATCACCTCAGCATCGGCTGCGCGCATCAGCCACCACTGTCTTGGTGACCGCCATCCCATCGAAGTGGCTGTCTGTAGATGCTCTTGATCGTCTGTTCGATGTGTTCCCCGGAGGCGTCCGCAACATCTGGATAAACCGAAACATGGATGAGTTGAGTGAGAAAGTGAAACTGCGGAACAAACTCGCTTTGAAGCTTGAGTCGGCAGAGACGGAACTGATAAAGAAGTGCAAGAAGGCCCAACTTAAACAGGTTAAAGCTCAGGCCAAAAAATCCGGCAAAAAGTCGTCAGAGGTGGATCGCGAAAAGATGGCTGCGGAACAGAGAGCTTCCCGTCTCGCCCAGGGACCAGGAATTAGTTCAGGGGATCCCCATGAGGCTCATACCATTCGGGAGGTATTGCATGGCCGAATGCGTGAGTCGAATGCAGCACAAGACGGACGTGGTAATGGTTCTTTTATTCCACATGTAGGTGACGGGGTGGGGGCTGTGGGCTCGGGAGTAGCAAGGATCGGAAAAACGGTATTGGGCGGTTTCAGGAAGGCTGGTGACACGGCTGAGGGCAGATTTCGAACCACCGGTGGATTTGATGGTGAGGTGGGAAATAATATCGGAAGCCTACCAAACGATAGAGTCGTGGAGGAAGCGAGCTCTGAATTTAGGAATGAAAAGCCTACTGTGGGCTTGAGGAGAGAGGGAGCCACTGCGGCCAACCCGCAAGGGGCGGATGTCCAACACGAAGGTAGGGCCAATCCCAACCTCGACCTTGAGGAGGATGAGACTCGACTTTCCGGAGAAACGCATATGGAAGAAGGGCCCCCTGCAATGGATGGCCCGGCAGACCCACCATCACGTCCAGCGAAATTAAAACTATGGAAAAGCTCGAAGCAGACAAACCCAAAGCCCAACCCTCAGGATGACCAGTACCCATTGACTGAACTTTCCCCTGTGACTCCCTCTGGTAAGAAGAAGATAGCTCTGCGACTTAAAAGACACGCGCCTGCTAAAGAAGGCGATCGGGTTGCAGGACAGGAATACCCTCTGGCGTATAACGAAGAGTTTGAGGAAGATGACTATGGCGACCCTCTGTGGATGAAATACATTAAACAGAAGGATCGTGAAACCATGCGCTTACCCATTTTTGGTTGGACATGGATGCCCGCCATACCTCTTCTTGGCAAGAAAGTCGATAAGGTCTATCACTGCCGCCAGGAAGTCGCGCGCTTGAACCTTGAAATCGAAGTAGATCAGCGGAACCCGGAGAAATTCCCACTCATGAATTCGGCTTTTGTTCAATTTAACCATCAGGTGGCTGCACATATGGCATGCCAATCCGTCAGTCATCATATACCCAAACAGATGGCGCCACGATTGGTGGAAATATCTCCAGACGACGTCATTTGGGATAATATGTCGATCAAATGGTGGGAGCGGTACCTGAGAACCTTTGGGGTGCTCGTCATTGTTACAGCTATGGTTATAGGCTGGGCTTTCCCTGTTGCTTTTACCGGCTTGCTCTCTCAACTTGCATACCTGGAAGGGAAGTTTCCTTGGCTTCGATGGATTTCCTCAATGCCTGACTGGTTGATTTCAGCAGTCCAGGGTATCTTGCCCCCACTATTTCTTGCTATCCTCATGGCCATCTTGCCACTAATCCTCCGGTTTCTCTCCCGGAACCAAGGCGTGCACACAGGGATGGCTGTTGAGCTAACCGTGCAGAATTATTATTTTGCATTTTTGTTCGTTCAGATATTCCTCGTCGTCTCAATTTCGTCTGGCTTCACGACTATTTTCAATTCCATCACGGACGTGACAAGTATACCCCAACTTTTGGCTCAGAATATTCCTCGTGCGAGTAATTACTTCTTTTCCTACATGGTGCTCCAAGCAATGTCTGTCAGCGCTGGCGCACTGGTTCAGATTTTTGCTCTCGTTAGCTGGTTTATCCTGGCTCCGATTTTGGACAACACTGCTAGAATGAAGTGGGCGCGGACCACAAACCTGAATCAGATGCAATGGGGTACTTTCTTTCCGGTCTATACGACACTAGCATCGATTGGTAAGTAAACAATATTTCTTGTTACTATCCTCTTTTACGTTGAAATTTCTCACTCGTACTCTAACGCATCGCCGTTATATTCTTATAGGGCTTATCTATTGTGTTATTTCTCCGCTCATCATGGTATTCAATGTTCTCACCTTTGGACTCTTTTGGTTTGTATATCGATACAATACGCTCTATGTCACGAAATTTCGCTTCGATACGGGTGGTCTTCTTTTCCCGAAAGCTATCAATCAGCTTTTCACTGGCATCTACGTCATGGAAATCTGCCTGATCGGCATGTTTTTCCTAGTCAGAGACTCGGAAGGAAATGTTGCTTGTGAAGGCCAAGCAATATGTATGATCGTGGTTGCCATTCTGACGGTCGGTTTTCAATACCTTCTTAATGAAGCATTCAACCCTTTATTCCGGTATCTCCCGATCACGTTGGAGGACGATGCCTGTCGCCAAGATGAAGAATTCGCTCGAACCCAACGGCGGAAACTGGGTCTTGTAGAAGAAGAGGACGAAGAGGAGAGCGATCAAGACAACGACAGCGCATTCAACCAAGGCGAGAGACTAGACGAGCAGGGCGACATCAAGTTAGACCGTATTGAGCGCAGGAAGGGAAGGAAAGGAACAATGACTAGACAGATCGGCAAACTCATCCCGGGCAAGTCGAAACGCATTTCATGGGCCGACCGGTCCAAAAACGGCCGGTCCAAATACTTTGGCGGACGATCCGACACCACCATCCCGACCGTTCAACGCATGCGTGAAAAGCTGGCACACGATGCCGAATCGCAGGCCCCATCCACCCGCGCCATCGGCCAAGCTCTGTTCTCCGGCATCCACGACGAGCTTGAAGACCTGACTCCGGACGAGCGTGACCGACTCGTCCAACGGGCGTTCCAACACGAAGCTCTCCGCATGAAACGGCCCGTTATCTGGATTCCTCGAGATGATATTGGAGTCAGTGATGACGAGGTGTTCCGCACGCAGCGATTCAGCAAGCATATATGGATTAGCAATGAATATCAAGCGCTGGATGGACGGTGTCGGGCGATTTTTAGTCGGAGTCCACCTGATTTCTCTGAAGTGGATTTGATTCAGCTCTGAGCGGTGAGTGTATTGGTTTGTGTGGCCACGTGTTTGATCTTCCTGTTGCTTTTTTGGATCCTGTCCTTTCAATCATTTTTTCTCTCCTTTTTGTTTTTGGCCTCTTTTCATTTGGGAAACATATAGCATTGCAACGGCGTTTCGTGCGAGATGATTCTATCACAACCAAACTGAGGGAAAGGAGGAAGGGAGTCAAAAGCATTATACCCAAAAGAAACAGGAGGTGTCTTTTTTTTTTTCCCCCTTGAATTTTGCATCATGACACTGTACAAAGATCGAGCAAAAAAAAAAAAAGAAAAAGAAAGAAAAAAAAAGGGTATAACGCATCTCATGTTTTCCACACGATCCTTCATACCTCACCTACCTACCACTTACCATGACCTGTCCTCCCCCACCCCACGAACCATTCAGCACATATTCATACACACACACAAGATCTTCATCTACGTTGTTTATATCATTTTAGAACGAAAGAAAGCTCCATGGCTGTGGCGCATCCATAGCGAGTTTTCCTTCCTGTATATAGAATTATCTGATGGGCGCATCAATTGATTGATTGATTGATCGATCGATCGATCGATCGGCGAGTTTCTAATGGATCCCCGCCACGGTTTGCATATGAATCACCTGACGGCAGCCACGCGCCACGCTTCTTTCTTTATGTTGGTTAAGTAGAATTTGCCCATCCGGAGTACATGAGCACTGGTAAATTATCTAGTTTAGTTCTCTTCATCATGATGATGATGACGACGATGACGACGATGACGACGATGACGATGATTGCAAATTCTGTCAGAGAAGAAATAACATGCATCCCACTCTGCCAGGGGCTTGGTTTTGCATATATTTATTTGACCTTTCTACCTGCTGCTGGAACCAAGGAGAGCAAACACGCAGGCAAGCCTCGAACGCCGCCCGGTCTCAGCCATCTGCACGCCTGGCCCACAGAAATCATGTTTCGTTTCCCCCGCTCATAGTGTGGGTAGATAAGATAGACTATTGGCTGCTATATTTAAAGATGGGCGGGAATGAGTTTAGACGAGAGAAAGAGACTAAAAAAAAAAAATTAAATTGAATTAAATCAATAAATAAAAAAAGAGGAAAAGCAAAAATCCGCTGGGTTGGCACGGAATGCAGCGAGCCCCGTCCACAGGGAAGAAACACGTTTGTGTTTGTGGACTCAATGTGGAGGCTGAATGCGATGATGCACGCCATTGCCAACATCCCAGCGCCAGGCAGGGCTGGACTCCCGCATCGAGCTTCCCACGACTTCCTGCACTCCGGAAAACAGAACACAATGTTGGGACCGGTCTTGTGGAATGGAAGGATTGGTTGGCTCTGGATACATCTTTGCCTGGCTCTGTTTTCAGCCCTGGTCTGTTTGGAGTCGAGAGAGTAACGCTCATTTTACTCTGGACTGATGGTGGCTTTTGGAGACAACAAAGCCTCCAGGCCTGTCTCGCATGTTTCAAATGGATGGTCGATGGAGGCTTGACCGAATCGCTCATTTTCGTTTCTTTTGTCTTCGCTCAGCCCAGCCCTCTTGCGGCATCATATTCTGCATTTAATGGGTCCTGCTGCGATAGTTATGTCTTTTCTTTACGCAAAACGCATCATGCTTTGGGTAGGATAAATCTGGAATCTGTGTAGAGTTGCTTACCTCCAAATTCAAAGGCCCTCATCCCACAGCATCTCAGTCGAAGAGGGACAAGACACGCTCCCAATCTCTTTTGAAACATACCGTTCCCTCAAAATTTGAAAATAACGATGAGACCCCGGGCATCCCTCCTCCCCCAACTCACCCATCTCCTCCTTTTAGCCCTTTACGCGAACCCCACCTCTGCCGACAGCTGTATCGGCACCCAGGACTTGAACATCTGCTGTCCCGGTACCCTCTCCGGTGGGGTCACCTCCAACGGAAATGGCAAAGCAACCGCCCACGGCATCTGCTGCATAGACCCTTCAACCATCAAACGTCGAAGCACTGACGCAAACGACAACATCAACATCATCGGTGAAGCCATCCCCTTCCACCCGCCCCTCGACCGCCGTCAAAATAACAGAATCAACCTCGGCGCATCATCATGCGGCGAGGACGAAATCCTCATCCCGCTTAGCGCGCCCGACTATGCAAGCCAGGTGTCTTCAGTCATGGCGTCCATCTCCGGAGAATCGAGCAGCAGCATCCCTGGGCCCACAGGTACAACAAACACAAATACAAAGATTGCTGGGCCAGCCGCTACCGCGACAAACTCGGATCAGGAATCTAGGACGACCGCGGCGACGACGCCGACGACGCCGACGACGCCAACAACGACAACAGCAGCATTGAGCACCGGCGGCATGCCTGCCGCGACGGGGCAAAGGTCGTATGTCGCTGCCATCGGAGGGGTTATGGCAGCGGCGGTGCTGGTCGCTGGGAGTTTGTGAGGGACTGGTAGTTCAGCTGGCGAGGCTCTACTTTGGAACTAGATCATGGCAGAAATGAACGTGCCGTATAAATTTTCTGGGCGATAGAACAAGATGAGATATATTGATTTTGAAACGGGGGGTTTTCTTTTTTTTTTTTTGGACCAACTCCTTCTATTTATTTCTTTCCCCAACTGATCACCTTGGATCCCCAATTTTCTCTTTTCGCTTCTTCTGATCTTCTGCGACTCTCCCCGCACTTTCAGACATGTGGATTGGATTGGTATTCGTGGATTCTGATAGTCTGATATTTTGTCTTTCTGCTGTCCTGTGAAGCGATGCAGTTTCTGCTCCCCCCCCTTATTATTCAAACAATGATGAAGAATTCCAGTTCCCTTGCCATGATATCGCTTTCGTATAACCACGAGATAGCCGGATATGACGTCATTCCCATTTTATGAAGAATCTATGGAAAGTCGTCAGTATGAGCGAGAAAAGAGACAAACAGCATTCGAGGCTTGAGAGCAATTGACTACTTACAGATGTAATGGTTAAGCATATGGATTGGAGGCCAGAATCAATTCATGAAGCTGCCCTGGATGTAGGCAAACGTCGTTGGCGAACCCTGGATGCCAGCTATTTACCCCGCCGCCGAAGCCCGAGAAACCCACACCTGCCGAGGACAGCACTTGATCTTCTCTTCACAGCACGTTGCGGACAACCTCTCTCTGCGTGTTGGAACACATATACAAACGAGCCCCAAGTGTGAGTTCATCACTTGCACCCGCACTCATTGCATTTCAAAGACTGATGATATATCCGAGCACTGGAAGTTGAAAAGTAGCAAGACCGGCAGGCAAGACCAAAGATTTATAAAATCAACCTCAAGCAAAGATGTGCATGCAATCGTCTTGCTCTATCTGCTGTAAGTACACACATCCAACACACACACACACACGCACACACACACTGCAACACACAAACAGGCTCGCAAACAAGCACCACGCAACTGCGTGCAATTTCCATTCCCAACAACCTCTCTAGAGACCTTCCATCCCCTTTCCCTCCCCTCCTCGCCCTGAGCCGGACAATCCCGCTAACGCGCACGGCTTTCTCAAAACCAAACAGCAAAGACCAGCTGGCGGGGCTGCGGCCAGCACATCCCCCGTGTCATGGACTCGGTCCCGACCGAACAGTGGTGCACCTGCACACCCAAGCAGAAAATTGAGGGTAAGGAGTATCCCCCCCGCGCTGGTGAGGGGACAACTGCTGCAACAGCCACCGCCTCCTCTTGATCGATTGTGAAAAAAACGAGAATCCGCAATTGCTGTTTCGATATGGCTGAAGGTTCTGTTTGCCGTTCCTGTGTATTCTAAGGCATCAAGGGTGGATGGTTTTAGTTTGGGGGAAGAGGGAGGGGGAAGAAGCGGGGTACTGTCCAATGCTCAATGTTTCCGGCTGTAGGGCTGATTGGGAGGCGGCTGGTTAAATGTGGATTTTCTTTCTTTCATTCATTTTTATTGTTTGAGAGAGAGAGAGAGAGAGAAAAGCGCGAATGCAACGTGAGAATGGTCAATATCACGCAGTTTTCGTCATTTTGCAGGTTTTTTTTTTTTTTTGTATATAAATGAAACGTTCTCTTCCTGCAATTCCGTTGTGTTCCTGTGTCGTAATCCAGGATGGAGACTTATTGTAATTGCTAGTAGATAAGGACTATTCTCTCATTCTTCGTCTAAAAAAAAATCCCAAGAGCGCAAAAATACATAGTTTGTTAGTCTCGTATTAATAATACAGCTATATCCTATAGTAAACCATGACGAGCTGTATAATATTACATCCCCGATACGTATAATCATTTGCTCCCCGCTGCCGGAATCGTATCTCATTGCCTGTGGCTCCTCCTCGTTTTCTCCTGATAAAACAAACATCCTTTTACTTCACGCATTGCTGCGCATCACTTGAATATAACTGCTCGTCTTCGCGGCACATACATATGTTCCTTCGTTCCCTCTGTGTCGAATTTCAATTCAACAACCATAACCCCCCACACCAGCGTGTCCATACTCCTTCCTCTCCTGTCCGTCCTCCAGCCACTAAGATCTATCTCCATCCCGTCATTCTCGGGTTCAGGGACAACGGGTGGCAACCAGCACGCACACGTATATTCTTTAACCCAATTCCGCAGCAGACTTTCAAACAACCAAATCGCGGGGGAAGAGAATATGCGTCCAGGCGGCCCACGCGACCCTGTTGCAGGACCCGACTCAGGCCCTGCTCCGCCTTATCCCATGAGACTCTCGGGACCAGTCATCAAGGGCTTTGGGAGGGGAAGTAAAGAGGTGGGTTTGCATTCTATATTATTATCTGTTTTTGGTTTTTGTGCTTGTTGCTTTTTTCTTTTTGAAGGGTGTATATATGCCCTCATCCCGGTGTATATTTTTTCTATATCCTGATATCCCGTACGTATCGGGGCTTTAAAGCAACTGGATACTATGTTTGAACTCTTTTTATGCATGGCCTTGTTCTTAGGCGAGCAGTTGCATTATCATGACCTTTATATCCACGCTGTTCAATCATTCGTGGACTTCCCTTCCCTGGGGATGCAGAGGATGGAAGCCTTTCTTTTACTCTATGCCTGTTTACTTAAATATGCTCTGTCTATGCCCGTGCATACACATTATATCCTTTAATTCTATTGCGGCAGATAAACGGTACATTACATGAAGACCTTCTTGGTGTGAAAATCATCGCAGATACCTTCCTCCTTGCACCCATTTTCTTTTTTCTGTTGCTTAAATTAACAGCTTCCACGACTGAACGGAATAAAACAGCTCGGTATTCCAACTGCCAACATCCCCCCAGACTCGCTTGCTCCATACGGAGACGTGGAGTCAGGAGTATATTATGGTGTCGCCGCGCTCGACCCATCCCAATTCAAGTATAAGGGGAATAGGGACGAGCAAAATGGGGCGAACGATGCCGCAGATTTAAACACAACTGCAGACGGAAGCGAAGATGAAAATGAAAACGTCTTCCCCTGCGTTCTGAGCATAGGGTACAACCCCTTCTATAAGAATACAGTTCGGTCCGTGGTACGTATCTAAAGAGCACAAGAAAAAAAAAAAAAAAAACCCCCAACCATCCAACCAACGAACAAACAAGCAGATATCCACATTCATCCAAAAAGCCCCCACCACTCACCCCACACACCGCTCTGAATACAGGAAATCCATCTCCTCCCCCAATTCACCAGCCACGCAGCACCACAGCCCCTTCCCCAAAAGACAACAGACCAACCAACCCGCTTCTTCCGTGTCCCCGATTTCTACGGCACGCGCCTCAACCTGCTGGTGCTGGGCTACATACGGCCAGAATACGACTACGTCAGCCTCGAGGCGCTGGTGGAGGATATCCGGGTTGACTGCGAGGTGGCGAGGAGGAGTTTGGAGAGGCCTGGGTATCTGGGCTATGCCAAGGGGGATGGGAAGAGGGAGGTCCAAGAGGCGAGGGAATGGTTGCGGGCGTTTTGAGGAAACAAAAAAAAAAAAAAAAAAAAAAAAACCCGTCAGGAGGAAGGGATGAAGGCCGCCTTGTGCTGTTGCGTGCGGTAATGGGCGACATGTGTTTTTTTTTTATTTTTACCAATACCACCCAGCAGATGAGATGCGGAAATAGAACGATGTTGTTGCTATTTATTCACCAGTTAAATATGGATGTGTAGAGTTTATATACACGAGAATATCAAGGATATCAGATATTCAGATCTCCCCGTATTTTCAGACCCATGCACTTCAAGCATTCATGCCCAGTGCTTCTTCTTCCTCTTTTCTTTAAGAATGAGCTAGTTAGTGAAAGTTGAAAATAAAAATCAGATCACAAAACTCCCAAGGTAGAATAATAAATATCCAAATAACCTTATTCCCTGCCTCCGTGAAAATATTTGTAAATATATATATACACATGTATAAAACCCTAACACCAAAATACCCCTTTCCCATTGTGTATTTTGCTTTTGCGATTTACCCCCACGGGTGAAAGGAAGGGTAATTCATAGAGATTTTCATAAAGAAAAGAATAGTAAAAGAGAAAATCAAAAAAAGAAAAAAGAAAAAAAACCCAGAAGGGAAAAAAAATACTTGAGGAGGTCACTGGTTTTGAATCGTCCGAAGACGTAATGATAAATATATATGAAATGAGCCAAAGCAATAACCAAAAAACATATTATTGTTTATCGATTTAAAACTACTTATGCCGACGGGTATATGTCCTATGCAGGTGTGCGCCTTGAGGGGCTAAATGCAGGGTAGGAACTATATGGTAGAGTCAATGTTAGAACGTTCCGGGTGGGAAAAAGAAATAAATAAATAAAACCAGTGGAGAAAGGAAAGCAACAAAGCAACAAACTCAGGAGCAAAAAGTAAAGGAAAAGTGAAAAACACAACACCAAAGCAAGGAAAATAGTAGCGTCATGCGTGGGTGAGAGGTGAAAGGGGGAGGAGGGGGGGCTTTACGGGGAGCAACTCACATTCATGACAATAAGCATAGGAATATCGAATACATCTCTCTTAACCGTCCAACAATAACTGCACTCCACCTTCCCGTCGCGAAATCCCAACTGATTCATTCCCGCCTCGCCGGCAATACCCCTTTTCCCCCAGGTCTGCTTCGGTGATAGCTGGGCCCCGTGCAATGGGCCCGCCGCCGCCGCAGATGACGACGATGGGGGAGATGAGTTTTTGGGGTTGGTGTTGTTTCTATTGGCGTTTGCATGACCGCTGCTATTTGCGCCATTGCTGGTTGACGTTGACGTCGTTGCTGCTGTCGCCGCAACATCGCCACCACCACCACCACCTTTCCCATCCGATCCACCTTGCTGTGCCTCCTTCCCTTGAAACAGCGCCGCACTATCCTCTTTCGTCTTATATTTCAACAACTTGCACGTCGTCATCACGCTCCCACGTGAATCGCCAAACGCAAGCTTCGCGAAATCCTCATAGAACTCAATGACGCTGTCGTCGTCAAGCAACTCCGCGAGGAAGACAGGTTGTGTGCGGCCACCACCGCCACCTGCGGCGGACATGCCCGAGTGAGGGTCTACACCGTTGCCGTTCCGCGGGGTAAAGGTGCCGCTGCCTCTTGGCGAGGAGCCACCGGTGTTGACGTTCAGGTTTGGCTCCTTGCCCAGCAAGACCTCCTTTTTCCAGCCGGTTAGGATGCTGAATTCTTTGCCCACAGCGGCGATTTCGCCCGTGCGGCGACAGACGATAGTCGGTGTCCCGCACGCGTTAATAAAGTCTTCGTATTCCCAGAGGGTGCGTTGGAAACATTTCTCCATGAATATGAGGTCGTCTTGGTTGAGGGTTTTGGTGGTGGCTATGAAAGAGGGGCGGATTGAGGCGAGAGCTTTGGCGATCTGCAGGGTCTTTTGCGGTGAGAAGCGCCGTTGGATAAACGCAGTGAGGTTGTGGAAGCCGCTGGTGTATGAATATGGTTCCTTGACGCTTTCATATATTGACGAGGGGCTACGATATCGCCTCTTCACGCCTACCTGGAAGCCCTGATGTTTGAGACCGGGGGTTGATATGGGAGGCGGCTGATGGGGGTTCGTTTGATGCATAAGGGCTGTTCGGGAGGAAAATTTGGCATTAGCTTCGTCGAATTGATTCATGGTCGTCATCTGCGGACTTTCAGTCGAACCCGGACTGGCGAAATTCATCGGGGCACTCTCGATAGCGAAGGCGTTAGGATGCTGCTCACCCATCTGGCCTGCAACGGTGTTTTGGTTGTAGATATTATTATTGCGGGGATTTGTCTGGCTTTGCCCCGACGGATTCCAGTCATTGAGAACTGGATCACCAAATAGGAAGGGAGACTGGGTGTTAGTGCTATCTCCAAAGTTTTGAGCCGTGAAAGTACCAGAACTCCGTCCAATAGATCCACGCTGCGTCGCTGAATCGCTGGGTGGAGTGTCGCCCGCGCCTGTAGCCATGTGGCCCAGCATTCCAAATTCCAAAGCGCCATACCGATTGCCGAAATTCATACTGGCAATATCGAAATTGAACAGTGCCGGGTGACTGGGGTCAAAAAATGCAGCGCCAAATGGATCCTGGGTCTGATTAGACGCAGACGACGGCGTTTGAGTCATGGCTGACGAGAGGTTCCGATTTGGGGGATTAGACGAAAGGTCGAAATTGGGTGTTGAGGTGGGGGATGGAGCTTGGAAGGCGCTGGGATTGATCGACGTGTCCTGCATTACCGTAGGGGGTATGTGACCCTGACCCTGTTGGGACTTGGCTTGGGTGTAGACATCGAAGTTACTAGCAGACTGCGGTGAGTAGAAATTGGCGGCAACGTTTTGGCGTGAGTCTTTGTTGGAGTTTGAATTGGGGCCATTTTGCTGTTGGTTAGCATTGGTCCGTGTCGCATTTGCCTGGTTGTAAAAATTTCTTCTGATGCCAGGCATGAGAGCTTCATTTGGTGCATCGTGAAGGTATTTGGCCTTCTTCCGTACTCCGTCATGGCAAGCATCCTGGAGGCCGCGTTTAATACATCGCTGGCAAGGTCGCTCGTCGCCTGTAAAGCAATTGCTATTGTCAGGTTCTACAATTCTCTAGCAATGGATAAGCCAGAAAGGAGTTGCTAATCGACCCTGATTGTGCGCAATTGCACACTTGGGTGTGGAAGCTGATTTCAACTATGCTTCGCCAGCTTTTATCTCATGGCATGATAGGGAGTGGGGGTCGGGCGGGGTCACGCAACGAAAGGATGTTGATAAGGAGCATAAGAGAGCACGAAGGGGAAAGCCAGGTAATTTTAGAAAGAGAAGAGAAGTCAAATGAAAATAAAGGGGCGAAAATCAAGCAAATATTAAAGAGGGTAGCGTACCACAAGTCAGATGGGCTCTCTGACAAGCAAAACAAGCTCTTTTCGCCTTCTTCCTCCTTGGGCGGAGAGGGTCTTTAGCATTGGCGGCGGTAGAGGTATGTTTTTGGCCACTTTCGGCCGTGCCACTTCCTTTCTCGTTTGCCGGGGATTGCGACTCGGAGGCGTCCGCGGGGTTCGCAGTCATATTTTTGGATTCTTGGTTTGTAGCAGTTGGAGCAGCCGGCGGCGGGGTCGGCGAACCATTTTGGGTGCTGGCGGTCATAATATATAAATATAAGGCTGTATATAGTATTTTACCTGCTGCGGAAGAGCAGGTCGGCGGGGAAAGGGGGGAATGGCCGTGCGAGCGTGGGGAGGTGAATTGCCGTATCGCCTGTGCTTCTTGTCGATCGATGCGATGCCCACGTTTGTTGGTGTTTTTTTTTTCTCCGTCTTGCTCCCTGCAAGTAGCCGATGTGTATCTTACAGCTGAATCTAATTACAGCCCTTTTTCTTTTCCCTCTTTTATTTCCTACCTCTCGTTTCCTCGTTATATATATATATTGTTTTTGCCTTTGTTCTCCCTCGATTTGTCAAGGAGAAATACAATAATCCTCACAGCGACACACGCCGAACTACGACACCAGGTTAAGATTTCAAGTGGCTATGTAAGACCTTTGACGGGCTGATAAGGCCAACAACACGCGCGAGCAGTTTGAGTGTGGTGGCACAGCAGCTGCGAGGTATGCTTCAGCAAGTGAGGGAGCGGCAGAAGTGGAATCACGCGACCGCAGCCAGGGCGTTGAGAGGTCTGACTGGCGGATTGCGGCCGTGCGACAGGGTCAAGCAGCCCAAGTTCAGGCAAGAAATTTGGAACCGACGACGAGAGATGGCGAAGAGGGAAGCCGATGGAGAGCCACTTTGAAGACAAGTTGGCAGAGAAGACCAATCGCGGGACACAATGCGAGCTAGAGAGATCAATGGACACCCAGGCTGCACTGGGCCAAGCGGTAGTCGCTGTACGCCAGGCGAATGCGAAAGTCGAAAGCGTGGTTGATGGCTGAATAAGAAAAGATCAAAATAAAATACGGTCGCATCACCGGAGGGAGGAGAACCATGGAACAACACCGCGGTGGGGGAGATAATGTATGCGATCTGTGTGCGCTGCGGGGGACGCTGATATCCTCTCGGGCAATGGGTGGGTTGTGTGCGATTGCGATTCCGATGCCGTTTCCGATTCTGATGCCGATGCTGATGTCGATGCTCAATGGCAATGGGAGGTGAAATCACGATGAAAGCTATCGGTGGACAAGCAGTCGTGGTCGTTGTTGCAATGCGGACTGCGGTTCACACAGGGCGTTGCGGAGAGTGGGGAGGCACCGGACGGGGGCAGCGCATGGACGAACATAGGGCAACGTCAATGACGACTCGAGCGGTGCGCGGAGGAAGAGAAGGGAAAAACAAGTAGCTGAGCGAAAGGACTGGACCGAGTATAGGGCGTGGAAGGGATGGCGGGGAAACTGAGGCTCTGCGGGGTGGAATAGGTAGATAGGCGGAGGACGGGGAAGGATGCGGGAAGAGAGCAACGACGGCGGGATCGCAAAAGCAGCGTAAAAGAGGGGAGAGTGTCAGAGGCTGGAGCAGCAGCAGCAGCAGCAGCAGTAGGAGGAGGAGAATGCAATGTAGATAGCAGCTGTGGCGGGAGCTGGGGGTGGTTTGATTTGGCGGAGCTGGGTGTCGGGGCAAAGAAAAAGAAAAAAAAAAAGGGTTGTGGTGAGATGATGACTGGGAAGGATTGAGATGGAATGTCGAGTTCAACATCAACTACAAGACACGCTCTGTTGCAGCACCGTCGCTGCCCCGGGTCTATACCAGATCTCCATGCGAGCGAATATACGAGCAATGACCGATCATTACCACACCTACACTGATGGATAATATCTCCACCGCCAGCACTCTAAACTTGTCGTTGGGGGGTTTTCATGTGGTCGCGTGTCGCCATATGTTTTGCATCTGATCGAAGCCAATCCTGGCCCAGCCACGGTAACTCGTTAACTATCTGTTCCTAGTTCATCATAATTCCCCCACTGATCCATGCATATATATTATTGCAGGCAGCACCGTCGCGCTGTAAATGAGAGAGAGTTACCGGCATTGATACTATCCTATGCAGCCAGTTGGCAGGTTATTTTGACCACAGAGCAACATATTATTATTACTCGATCTCGGACAGACCCCATCCAGCATCTTTTCTTCTGTGTATCTCAATCGAAATAAGTCTCTATGGCCCAGCAGAATTCCCGAGGCCCATCCCGCGTAGCCTGACATATACAGGGTTTCCCGGCCAATCTAAAAAAATGGTCTCCCATATTCCTCTGAGTTAAAAAGGCTGGCTGAAGGGTGACCGAGGAGATCTATCATTTCCGCAAGGTGCGCTGGAATTCTGGATCTTGGTCTGTAAATAAAATCCTAAATCTATAACCTATACGGTGGTAGGCGTCCTCAAGGTCCAGGTTAGTGAACATTTTGGCTCCAGAAAAAGATGCTCAAACTACGACAATTGTGTGGTTTGATGAAACAATGCAATGCAGCCTACAGAACTAAATATATGGACGCTCGATATCTATGCTTCGTGAATCAAAATCCGGGACATTAAACTGTCTTCATGGCAGACATATACCCCTAACTTGTTACGCTAGGGTACGGTGCCTACATACCCGCATGCGTCCTCTTACATGTGCATGCTACGTTTACGATGGCCATAGCTGGCTGAGGCAAAGATGCGTGGCCTGGTTCTCCATCAGTCTGTGATACTCTCCTTGGGCTCAGCTGGTAAAACGCTCGAGATGCAAGGCTTTCCAATCTCTCCAATCTCTTGCACCTCTCAGCTCCCTCAGCCTTCAGCTGGCAGGTCTCCCAATCTCTCAATCACCGATCTCCGCATCTTGAAAAATGCTCAAACAAAATTAAATTCCTCTTTCCTGTATGGATGATTCGTTCGCAAGTGTTTTTTCTTTTTCTTACTTTTAAACACTCTTTCTCGGGTTTCCTGCGGCTATCTACATGCACATTGCTCCAAGTCATCGTATGCCACCTGCACTGCTCCCTTGCTGCCATCGCAGATTGTTTCGTTGGTGTTTGCAAGCTTCTGTTTATCGTCTGCCACAGACCTCGTAATCGCTGCTTAACAACAAATGGCCAATTGACAAATGTCATCAACGCGAAAGAAGGTGCCCCCTGTCTCGCCTTTGTCCTAGCGAAACTGTCAATGTTAGCCCGAAGCCATTTTCCCTGATTGAATGGATGAATGGCCTGCCGATTGACCGACCTTCGCTGGACCGCCTTTTTAATCCACCCAGCCAAAGAGATCCAGGGATGGGAAGAAGAGGAGAAAAAAAAAAAGGAAAAAAGCATCTTCATTCTGCGTTTGACACCGCTGGTCCCGCTGTCAGTCAAATATCGGAGTGCTGGTAGTACCTGCAGTCATTGTTCATTTCACACGGCATAGTACCGTACTCCCTGACCTGATGCCTTGCTTCGTTAACAAATAATGCCACTGCCATTGTTTTTCGCTCCTTATGGCTCTGACCTTCTGTTACGAAGGAGAAGCCAGGGTCAGAAAGGACAAGCTCCAACCATCGTTTGCTCCAAAAATCATATCTTCCCCTCTCCTTCCTTCACTCCAACAAGTTCCGTGTCTTTTCGTTTTTTCAATTCCTCACCGATCAATCGCCAGACGCATCACCTCTGAAATATCCAAAAACAGCCATTGACATGCACAACAACATGCAGCCAATGTGCACTCCATATCAAGTACCTTGAGGCTGTGCGTTTATAATGGCCATAAAATCTCCCACCAGGAGACCCCTGAGTTGGCATAGTTTGCTGTTATTGGTGCCTCGTGCATCGGTGGTCAGATCAGATCGTCCCGTCAATTTCGCTTTCATCCCTTCCGAGCCCACTTTATTATGATTATTTCTGTTGTTCTCACTTAATTCACTTATCGCATAAGTACTGATTGCACAAAGAGAAATGCGATAATTGACATGGAAATGCGCACACTACGCCAACATGGATCTCGATCACACAACACCCTGGAGCTGCTCGCCATAACTTTATATGCCCGCTTGCTTTAACCCCTTTCATATCTGCTACTGATTTCAGTCCAGAGTATTTCCAGCTGCGATCGACGCTGTCACCTGCTTGCAACCGAGATTCTAAATGATATTTTGTCTTTAAACCCGACTTTCTCATGCTTACAGTCAGGCTGACTAAAATCATCATGCACAGGCGGGAAGAAATATGGCGTACGCAGGCCGTGCATATTTATATCCACAACGGCTATGCATCTTTACGTGGAGCTTCGAGGTGGCATTGGCAGGATTATTGTCACAGAGTGTCTCTTGACCTCATGGCTTCCTGTCTTTCTACTATCAGCCTCGACCTAACCACAGCTCTGTGGCCACTTTTTCTCTCTTTGGGTTTTATTCCAATTTAAGGATGTCTTCCATTGCTTGTCTCTTACGGCTCAACGCGTTGCCATGCATGTGCGTGCATGATTAACCCCCGGCGGGAACTCTCCGTGGGCTTTTATTGCTTTACTCTCCCTCACAAGTCCTCACTCACTCATCCTAGGGATGGACTTAAGGAAAAAGACTGTTGAAGCACTGTTTGAAAAAACTCTCCAGGGAGTCAGTAAGGTGGTGCCATCAGCTGTGTTCCCAGGCCAGGGTAATCCGGGGGGGCAAAGACAAGCCGCCGGCCACGGGGGAGGAGACTTGGGGCGGAGAAAGGGAAGCGACTTGGTATTCCGCCCATCAAGGATATGTTTGGCCATTCCGGAACTTGGAGAGAACATTTCCCTCCCGCTCAAAGATTTTTGAATTGTCAAAATAACTACCGAGGCATGCAGAGTAACTGTGCAGTGTGCTGCATGGTAACATCACATACCACCGTATACGCGTACCACCCGCGCCATACCTCGACATGATACAAACCCACCCTCATCCTCACCCTAACACTCATTCATACACCGCCTCCAAATCAAAAACACGAGCCCTGTGCACATCACTCGTAGGAGATTTCGAAGATCAGAACCCGAAAATCGAAAAGATATAAAATAGTTGCCGAGACATCTACGTGTTTTTCACGCATCGCCCCTGGGTCTATCCTTTTTCCTTTCCTCTTCACTCCCTATCTTCAATTCATGTCTTCGGCCTACGCGCCCTAAAACACGATGCGGTGTCGTCATCTCACAGCAGCCTCCCACGAGCCATGGAACCACTTCCCCCACCTCCACATGCATGCAGCAGCAGAAGCCGCTCGTTTTGCTGCCACCATGCTCGAACCCCACTCTAACTTATTTGTACAGTTATATTGACTAAACAGCAATCGTGACTAAGATTCTCGTCTTTGTGAATATATCCTCAGCTTCCGCTTCGTCCGAGTGATCTATATAGCAGGTCAAATTGGGTTTCATATAGGAATCTAATTCTCTGCTCTCCAAAAGATGAGCCTCCACGTTCTCCATCTCCCACCGTCTGCTTTTGTATTGGGAAGATGAGAAAGTTTATCATCCTACCGGCCTGCTTTTCTTGTTCTTTCTTTGTTTTTGCTCGTGGCCAATCTTCAGCGTCTATTTTAGGCCTGTTACCAGCTATCAGTGACTTAATCTGACCCCTGCGTTCTTCCAGACCGACCTAGGAGGCCGTGAAGTAAGGGGTGGGATTTCCTGCTCCTGTGCGTCCACCTGTCTGGGATACGTATATAATCAACATCTAATATCAATATTCCATATTTTCTGCTTCGCCTTTCTTTTGCTATGTAACAAAGGTTCTCAGCGTTGAGCTATTCCGCGGTTTTACCTCCGTCCTTACTACACCAGCCATTGATCTTAAACATCACCAATCAAGCATTCCCGTCATAGAGGGCTATACGATCATGCCGCTCTTTCTTCCCTTTTTTCACCTTCTTTCCTACGACGCATAATACAAAACATACGAATCCTCCTGGCATCAAGTTGTAGATATTCGGTGCCTATACGTATAAACAGTTGGCATAGCATGCCTGTTGTGCAATGTGCACTGAACGCCAATGAAGCGCGGAGAGAAAGGGTGTGGAACAGATAGACATGCAAAATATATCCTAAGACGGGGTTTCCATCTTAAAGGATTGATCCTTTTTGGTGTGTGTAGTGGTAAAACTTCCCATCAAAAACGCATGTTTTACAAGGGAGAAGTGATAGTTAACGCTGTTTATGCTAGAGAAGACACGCGCGATGAGATCATTCGTGAGAACGGAGCGCGGAGTGTGGACATGTGGAACAGAAGTAGATGAATGGAACAGAACCTTCTATACCAGGCCCCCAATGCTCCTGAATTCGGGGGTTTTATACCTAATTCGGCAGCCAATCTTTAGGCACCAACACCCCTAAACGACCCCAAAATCTTGCTTCCTGCAGATCCGAGCTAACATTTGATAGAGTCGGGCCGATAAAGTCCCGAGCCTCCTGTTGTTCTTAGTTAGCGTGACAACTTCACGAAAACTCGAGGTCGCCAAACATGGAGAATCAGAAAAGCCATTCTTTTCGACGCGTTTACTCCAGAATATTAAACATCTGATGCTCATAGGTTTACGTGGATCTACCCAGGTGATGATTTGCAAGAGATGGAGTTGGTGGTGAAGATTGTAAATTGTTCGCTATTACATCTTGGTAGGAATGATATTTATCAGTGATGTTGTCTATCTGTTGCTCGAGCGCATGCTAACTTGCAATGTTTAGGCCGGCAAAAAAAAAAAAAAAAAATGTGCTGACGTCCCGTGGAGCGCATTTATTATTTAAACGTTCGTCTTGATCATGCAGGCGATGAGGTCAATGGGGATCTGCTACCATGCCGTGCCATACCATGGTCCGAGTGAGCTCGAATAACTGTGCTGTTATTAAGCGACAAAGTAATGAGCTCTTGCTTTGGTTTCGAGCTCTCTCTCACATGGGACCCACCTTTCCCCATCAGAACATATAATGCACGTCTTCCCAGGGTGTGCTGCAGCGTTTCCATGAGCGTTGCCCGAACGCACCTCACCCATGCATCGCCGGCATAGAACTGCGACAGAAGAATAAACACGTCGGATTTCAAGTGTCCGAGCATAGTTGACCTGGAGAATGCGATCCCTCCTGGCGTATTCCCTGACCTAGGGCAGGTCTAGACACACTTCTACCTATCACTGGAATTTTTAGGCTTAAAAGATATTACCATCGACCCGTGCATGGAAGTCAGAAATGTGTATGGGTGATTCGATTGTCCCATGAATTGCTAATAACATCTGGGGCTTTTGAAGGTTACTAGGACGATTTTTATCATGCATACATTCACCTTGCACTATGCATGATCGTTCGGCGGGAGCAAACGAGGGCTTTTATCCTGTTATGTTTGTTCGAAGCCCACGGGTGCGATTCGAGGCTTTTCTTAGGCTATACAGGGTAAATATCGCTAGGGTGTTGCTGGGGGCAGCGCTACAGATTTGGGATTGAACTCCCTCGACCTGAATTCCTGCTGGCTGAAAACAAAGACCTTACTCTCATACACCAAGTGTGTTTCCCTCTGTCAATGATACCTGGAGTGCGTTTGTGGCAAATAGAGTCACAACTATTCTGCAACTATTGCTTTACCATCGCAAAATTCTGAATAAGATCTCCCGCGGACGCGATTTTGAGGAGAATTAGGCATGGATTACTAGCTGGTTGTAATTCAATGACAAAGAAGCCGAGAGTGTAAATGAAGGAGCAAACATATATATTGGGCTAGGGAAAAGCACACAGCTTTCGTGCCCCACTACATGTGCGTCATCCAAGCCACACAAGCCCCACAGGGCCTAGGAGTTTTGTTCCGCTCGAATATGGATGGGCAGAGCATCAGGAATATCATGACAAAAGAGCTCACGATGCCTGCCTTATCCCAACCCTTCCAGCCTGCCTGGCTATATACGCTTATCGCTGTTAAGCTGGGGCTTCAAGACCCGCTTATCCCAAAAACACTTTGTTAATGGATGTCTCTCTACCTATTATCTGAGCGCCTCAAACCATCCATACCGCAACATTACGTTCACGGCATTACCCATGCTCGTTCGGGTACCGTGGCATAGATGTAGACGACAAATTGTTTATCTATCCCACCCGATTTCAAATTTCTTCGTTCGAGAATTATCCAAATTGGCAGAATCCCGGTCCCATCGGCAGTCTAAGCCCAACTGAACACTACAAATATACACTCGAGCAACAATGACGCATTCTAACTAGCATCACCCTGCAACATTTCCATAAAATTTCCAATTAATTGGCTTATCCCTGATGAATTACAAAATGAGCGGACCATGGCAGTCCGGGCATCGCAAATCCCATCAACAACTCTTTGCAGAATCTGAAGGCTGCATTCTTTTTTGTCTTTCGATTAGTGAAGGATTAGCGAAGGATTAGCGAAGACTGTGGACATAAGAACATATTCGCAATTGGCTCCAAGTTAGCGGAGCGAGCGGAAGAGGCTGAGGAAACACAACCACAATGATGCTGCTGTGTCAGAGGGCTGAGCTAGTCATGGGTTTGTTGTTGACCTTAAATTCATGAGAGTTGCAACTAGGCAAACAAGCTATTCCAATGAAGTGGAGCGTTGACCGCATCCTGAAATTGGAATGGATCATGTCGTCAATACGTTTGCTTAGGCCATGCTGATAAAAGTCCACTTCTCTATTTCGAGGTAACACAGCAGATTATCCTTATTCTCGTCGCGGGATCAAGGGTACGAAAGGTAAATTCTCGGACAGTTTAAAGTTCCCCAGATCTAGGTCAAGGCCTGATAGCCGCAATCCATGTTAGAGGGGAGGGAAAAGATCCCGCTCATGTTCCGTTTGATAAGATTTTTTATGAAAATATTCTGATACAGTACATGAATCCTTGGGCCAAGTTGGAGGGGGCAATCAGGTTTTAGATTCAAATTCCTGCTTGCATGGAATTGAAAAGAAGTTGCGTTTACTTTAGCTTCTCGCGAACGCAATTCTGAAAACTGCTTCCTACAAGGGTTTCCAAATGGGGAGTTGATGTGCCGTTGGTTAGGCTTTGCGCACACATCCCAAACTCCTTGATGTTAGATGTTACAATCTAAAACCCTAGGAATATGCTGATGACGCACCATTAGAGCTGGGCAGAAGCAGGGTATATTTATTCAGTCAGCCACTACCATACACCCCGCCCCCACTTGGGCTCGGAAACCACCGAACGAGCGGCCTGAGCTCGGGGCCTATCCACGGGAAGTGAACGAACCGCATATCAATAATAATCAGGGCTTCAACAGCTGTCTCGGTCTGCCCCTCTTTTCTCCTCAATTCGAAACGCCATGAAACGAGCCAAATCTATGGGAAGCTCATTTTATAACAGATAGAGCTGTTATACTGTTGCTTCTATTTGTCCTTTAGCCTAATGGTAGCCCTAGTGCTTCACCCAGACAGATAATTCTGTATATGAAGGGCCATAATTCTGATCACCACCCCACCTCCAGAAGAGGGTCTGGAACACCGAAGACGAAAACCTATCAGCAAAAAAAGACAAATAGCTGCAGATGGGCAGGCGAACCGTGTATTCGAATTCTTTCTACTAGTTTAAATGCAAGAGCGGGAACTATTCGTAAGCGTCAAAGTCATGCAATCTGCAAAATATCCTGCGGACAAGGTCGTATTTTGGACCCCAGCATGTTGAAATCAGATTTATCACATCCTCTTACACTGAACTTGCTTATCTTGGTTCAACAAATCATGAGCTCCCAGAGACTAAGGACGAAAAAATTGGACATAGCGAATCGATTTGCGATAAGGAACATCATCTTGAAATCCTGGCAACAATGAACACTTTCGGCGAACTAGACAAAGAAGCTTTGCAGCGCGGATACCCCTCACGCAGAACCGACGAATAAGATATCCAGGCTCAACCCCATCCTTTGAGATAATTTACTTTCCCTCGAAAAGTAGAAATGAAAGTGCTGAGGATTATTTGATTCATATTTCTGGATCCGAATTTCCTTGGGGGGAGATTAGATGGAATTGAGCGGATACATTTGACACATGACGTCAAAATATCTAAAATTTGAGGATACGCACAGCCGTCTTTGATCTGCGTTGATGTCTGGATCGCATGGCGGGGCTGAGAATACCCTGTCTCCGCCACTGTTGGCGGGGATAACCTACAAAATGTCGGATTCTACTCGCCACGGACATCATCTTCGATAATCAAATGTCCCTGCAGAAGCGGAATTTTGAAGGCATTAAATGTTGATAATACAAATGATGCAATTGAAAGGTAGAGAGTAACCTTAGCGTTCCTGGAGTGCTTGACTGTTCTGTACGCGACGGGTGTCTATAAGACACTACCCGTGTGATCTCGCTCGTGGAAAATCCGCGTTTATCAATACCAACAGAAAATGTGACGCATTGTCTTTGTCTGACTCGACCATGTTAGTCGTTTCGATGACCTTGAATGAATCTCCTGGATAACCTTTTGGCGTTGAGGAAACAATATTGGCCAAACGTGTGGGGATATCAGTGAGGGGTCATTATTGCAAGTTTACATCATGATGCATTCACGGATCCCTATATCGGAAGACTAAATCCTGAAGCAAGCGATAGTTTTCACGGAAACTCTGTTCAGCTCTTGTCGAGTTTCTTCGCAGCTGTCGACCCCTCTCCTCTAGCCGCCTCAGTGGACTGCCGTCTACCAATTATCTCTGAGTCTAGCTTCACATCCATCAGCTCTGCAACTTTCGTGCGACTTCCAATTTTTAAGTCTGATCCGCATGGTTCTACTGCATGCATCGAATTATTGCAAACGGGCCTACAGGACATGGTATCGAGGCCAAGACAGATGTCTCACTGGCCGGCCACTGAATCCTGTGCAATTGCCAGTCCACAGCTTGCGCTTGGCAGATGTTGTCTCCTACTTCGTCCCTGCGCTATAAAATGCTGGATGATTGCAACTTTCTCAAATTAACTCAACCAGCAAGCAGTCCTTTCTTTTCGGAATCTCATATCATCAGTTTATTGCTTCTAGCCCTGTTTCTTATCCTTCAACCACCAGGTTCGAATTCGCCGACATACAATGGCGCCGATTCCGGTTACGGGTGTCCAGTCCGGAAAAGGTCCCCATGGTGAAATTCCCCTTCGTGTAGAAATCCACGACTTGCAGAAGGACATTCACAAATGGAGTCTTTACGTCTTGGCATTGAGGATCTTTTACGATAGACCGGCGGATCATCCGAAATCATACTTCCAGATTTCAGGTAGGATTTGATGACACAAGCTCCAAATCAACTAGTTTGGAAACTAACTTGTGGTTTCAGGGATACATGGAATGCCATATCTGCCATGGAACGGCGAAGAAGTGCCCCGAAATGGGCCAAAACCAACAGGCTATTGCACCCATAGTACTGTTCTCTTCCCAAGTTGGCATCGTCCATATGTTGTTCTCTACGAGGTGATTCCTGCCTTGATGCCGTCTATTTTATCATGCCAATATGTAGGCTAATAATACCCAGCAACTCATCCAAGAAATCATAGCAACAGAGATCTTGCCAAAAATTCCACAGAATGATAAAGACTACGATAAGTACAAGACGGCGACTGAGACATTTAGAATCCCTTTCTGGGACTGGGCGGCTCCCCCGCCAGAGTCACAACAGGAGATTATCAACAAGTGGCTTCCACCAACCTCCCAAGAAAAGAAAGTTCCAAACTTGGTTCCTGGATTTCCTCAGGTCATAGATAATCCTCTCTACCAATATGTCCTAAAGCCACAGGGCGGAAAGGCAACGTTTGGTGACTTTGGTGTTGGGACACTAAAAGTCGGGCCTGACGAAGATGTAGAAGTAAGTTTCTTATATCCGTCACCCGTTGGGGACAATTTGTTAATTTCAATTAGTACGGAGATTGTGTCGGCCTCAGCAGGTGCCCGGAAAACAAGTACTACCTGACGAAGGAAGAGGCTGAGAAGGAAGGTATCGTGTGGAGTGCAGACTTTCCAGGAAAGTGGCGTGAGGGAGAAATATTGAGTTATGAGGTTTATAAGAACTTTACGGACTCTATGCCCTGGTTTATCCCTGGCATTAAACCGGAAATTTCAAAAAAGGAGCATGATGCAGCCGAAAACGTCTGGCGCCTGTTCAATTACTCCTTGACATACCCTGATTTTGCCACGAATGGAGACCTTCCCAAAGACGACGATGACGTGAAAAGAGGGCACTGGTATCAGAGCTTGGAATCTATCCACAACAATGTCCATCTCTTTGTCGGTGGAGGGAATAACGGACATATGACCCAAGTCCCTGTTGCTTCGTTCGATCCATTTTTCTGGCTTCACCATGCGTAAGTTTATTTTCTTATGGACAAATTACACATTTGGCGCTAATAGAATGCGGTATAGAAACGTCGAGCGATTTTATTCAATATGGCAGTATCTTCATGATGATCAGTGGTTCGGAGATACCACTGAAATACTGAAGGATTCCACTGGAAATATGTTAAACGACAAGGGAGAAGTTGTTGACAACGAAAAGGACGCAGCGCGGATCACTGTTGGCCCTAAAACCCCACTTGCGCCTTTCCGGAACAACGGAGGTAATTTCTATACCTCTAACGATGTCCGCAACCACACTGTATTCAACTACACCTATCCAGAGCTGCAGAACTGGAAATACCCCAGTAAGGAAGAACACAAGAAGGCGATCAACGCTCAGATCAACAAGACATATGGCGGTCATAAGGCCGATACCCTCATAAAAAAGAGGACAAGTGAGGCTGAGACACTTGAAGTCGTCATCAATGTCAGCTTCTATAAGTATGTTTCTCATATCTTAAAAACCTCTGGTTGTCGAGTGCTGAAAGATATATAGGTTCCTCTTCTCGGGCATGCCTTTCAACGTGAAAATATACCTTCAATATGGTGACAAGAAGGACCCTGCCAAGGATTACATTGGCAACGCATATAATTTCAGCGCCCCTTCAAGTTCCGACGGGAAAGAAGTTTGTTCGAACTGCACAATCCTCGAGTTGAGCAGAGCCACTTGTACCGCACAGGTGGTGGTCAGCCACATGTTGAAATTCTTCCCCCTGTATCCAGGTGATGAAAACATTGATATCGAGAACGCAGACCAGGTCGAGAAATTCTTGAAAAAGCGTCTATATGTTCAGATTATTTCGGTACGTGGTCCAATATTTCCTCTCATAGCGGTTGATACACCAGACTAATCTGAGTTATTAGGCCACTGGAAGGGAAATAGTCCCACCCAACACAAATGATAACAAGCCTGCCATTACTGTTTCCGTTGCACATTGTAAAGCCAGATACTCGGCTGATGATACAAGACTAACAACCTTTGGCGCGTTCCAAAACTTCCTTTCTCTAGCAGGCGATGTCGCTGAACTTTTGGTCGTCGGTACGGGGGCGCTGGTTCTGACCGGCACTGGCGCAGTTCTTGGAACAGTCAATAATGCAGGAGAAGTGATTCTCGGCAATGGATCTACGAAGAGCCTAAAGGAAGTATCCGGGATTACTAACAAAGGAGCACGAGACCTCGTCGAACTTGCAGGAGGTCTTACTGCCGCTGCTACGGGCGTATTGGGTGGAGGCCTAGGTGGCCTGGGTGGTAGTGGCAAGAAAGATGACAGAGGCGGAAGAGGTGGTGGATTCGGACTCTTCTAATTTGGAGATGAACGACGTACCCAGCGTTCCTTATTATCAGTTTGCTGTTCCGTGAAATCGAATTTGTGGCAGTCCTGCAGGTTAAAATTGATTACAATTGCAGAAACTGCCAAGATCAAATGTGGGAAAACACGATCGAATTCACCTTCATGAATGACTCTTCTGATTTATCCTCTCTCTCTCGGGTAGTTTTGACCATTCTCCCTCTCTTCTTTTTTATTTTTATATATTTATTTATTTATTCACCCTCGTTTATGGCTGTGCTGAACAGCCCGGATACCTAACCACAGCTGAAGAAACGAGCCTTGTGCGTTAGTAATATTTTTAATGATGGCTATCAAGAATGATCAGCTTTATGATTCCTGACTATTTCGCTTGATATATCTTGTGATTAACATCAGCGGAACCGTGTTCGGCTTGAAGGGGGTGAATAAGGGGCATTCTCGAGATGATGGGATGTTCAGGTAGCAAACATGAAGACTCTTTCGTCTTGGTTGGCTAATCTAGCTACCGTGTTCTCTCGGAAATGCCCCACCGCAAAGTAGCGAGCGAGCGAGCATTCGTCAAACAAGGAAGAATGCGGAAATGTATCGGATAGGTATTCTCGCCGATATAACGGACACCTTGCAACTATAGTCGCCACCAGGTCTAGACTTTAAAAAGATCTCAAAAGAAAGGGAAGAGGCAAAAAGGAAAGGAAGGTATTCAGACCAACTTATTTACATACAACTTCCCTAAACTATGTAATCTATGGTATGTAACATATGAACATAAATAATAAGCCCTGGAAGTAATAATTAAACCAAACCCCTTATACCCTGCCATTATTAAAATACATAACATCTGAACATTCTATTCGGTCCCGTGGCAGGCATTGCAAAATTTCAAAGCCTCATATGTTCTTCCCTTCTATCTTGACACAGTTCCATCGTAGTCCCATTGAAAAAATAAATAAATAAATAAATCTCCAATTCATTAACTAACCAAGAGATGAATTGGCGAACCGACTCCCCTTTCGTATCCATTTGCCGTATCGGAAAAATAAGAATCTATAAATCATAAAGGAAGATGTTAGTCAGACAAAAATTCTCTCTCATACTTTGATGATGAATTTCTGGCAGAGTGAGGAAAAACAAAGACAACGGAATAAGATGGCCCTATAATTGGTTCCAACAAGCACAAGCGGGTTTGCAATGGTATTGATTCAGTTGTGTCGCGCATATTAAAGGTGAGAGGTGTCAAAGGAGAGAACCAAGGCCATTTCCCGCGGCCAAGAAATGTATAGGTGGATAAGAAAAGGTGATGAGAAGGGGTAATAGAAAATAATTATGGTCGATGTGATATTTTACTCACGGGAAAGGGGCCATTGCAACCGTCAGGAACGCTAGGAGCGAGGATGCCCAGTTGAATCCTAGTCGATGGTACACTGCAAAGTACATTAGTCCGATATTTCATGAGTGGCAGGATAGGCACCAAATGTCAGCTAATAAATATTAAATACATACTTTGTATTCCAAACAATGGGAAAACAGCTCCAAAACTTGACCGGAGGAAGCTATTCGCTGCGAGCGCACTAGCCGCGTATAAAGGATACGCGTCAACCAGAAATGTAAAGATACCAGAGTAGACAAGTACGGTTCTGTAGTTCACGGGTTAGGGGTTGGATAGAGAATAATAGTCAGCTATAATGCCGTGAGGGTAGACGAATGCATCGTTTGACCTCCGTCTGAAAGTCGAAATCGTCTTTTTGCGAAAGTTAAACACAGGGGTATGTGGGAAGAGCTTACCCCATGCCGAATACTGCTGTGCCAATGATTGGAGCGATCCAGTGAACATGTCTGTATACCGTCCAGGCGAAAATGAAAATGCCAATAGACACCAAAGGAGCACCAGCAATTGCTAGATAAAAGTTCCGTTAATGCCTCTCAACATAATTCCAGTGGATGGGAGGGTTCGACTTTACCTGGGGGCAACCGCCACTCGGGTTCATATTCTCCCAGTTTACCGACTTTCATCTCGCGCTTGCGAGCGAGTCGAGTGTAATTTCTCCGCCAGAGCGGGTCGCTCAAGATAGCTACCATCATTCCAACAAAAAGACCGAGAAAGCTTAATCCAACCTGAGAAAGAGTAAAACCGTGGAGGGTCGAAAACACCAGTTGAAAAGCCCCAAAAAAGAGATAAATAATACCCAACAGAATTGCAGAAAAAATGCACAGGCTCAGACACATAGGCTCCAATGCCAAAAGCATCATGGGTCTGTATACAGTACGCAGGACAGTCTGGGCAACAGACCGCTCTCTCCGTTCAATCGGTGCTCGCCAGCGTTCATCTCCTGTTTCCCGCCTGAGTCTGATAGCTTTGCGCCGGAGTAGCCTTTTCAAAAACAAAAATTGGCCGATGTCAGGAAAAGCGAGCAAAACATTTGGGGAGACTATGGCTTACACTGGGTGGTAGGTCTCGGGAACGAACAGGGCAATGGCGACTAAAACAGAAGCTGACCATATCAACAGCATATAAAATATCCACCGCCTAAATGATGAAGTCAGATTCATATTACTATGATGTCAAACCGCAATATAAGAAGGCGCATACATACCAGGAGGTAAATTCGCAAATAAAACCGCCCAAACTGAAAGCGATGATTAACGTTATATCCACTAGAACATTGCGTGGGAGGAATTCCTTACAGGGGGCCAAGTTCTGGTCCAAGGAATGGACTTGCAGTGTAGATCATCATCGGCGCACCAAGCTCATGCCGAGCAAACATGTCTCCAATAGTTCCCCCCGCCACGCTAAGGAAAGCACTTCCTGAAATTCCAGTGAAGAACCTTGCGACAAGCATAGTCTCGATATTCTGTGCCACTGCGCATGGTATGAGCCATATCAAAAAAAACGCAAACGAAGTGACGTATATTATCCGTCTTCCATAGAACTAGAAAAAGATACCATTATGCTCAGCGTGGTGCCCTCTGTGTGCCGCCGACATATACAGATATAGGAACATGCACTAGAAGGACTAACCTCTGATAGGGGTGCCAACACCAGTGGCCCCAATCCCAGTCCCAGGATGAAAAAGGACAATCCCAGCGTCGCAACGACCCGTGAGCAATTGAATTCCTCCATTAACTGCGCATACGTCATCGTGTAGAGTGAAGAGGCACAGGTGCTAACCAGGCAAAGCCCAAATCATCAGTGCTCTAAAATCTGGGAGCAAAAACCCACGCAGGATCTGGAGAAGAGTCAACGGTATATGTACAGTACATACACACAGACAGATCCAACCGCCAAAACCGCAATGGCCGCCCATTTCCTCGCTAACTTCATGTTCCGCGGGTTATCAGGGTCATCGTGCCCATCCCACTTCACAGTGTACTCCGCCCCTGGAGCAGTAGACACTTCCTCGGCCTTCTCATCGTCCTCAGGCTCCTGAAGCCTATCATTATCGACCGCAGGGTGGGAGTAGCCGTCGGAAAGGGAATACACTCGACTGATCGAACGAGAGCTCCGCGAACTCACTTGACTCACAGATCGAGCGACAATCCTCGAATTCGTGCCGCAAATCGGTTGGAAATGTGGCTCGCTTTCGCTGGGAGTAGGATCGTCATTCTCGTCTCGATCGCTCTGTGCAATGCTCTCCTCCGCATTGCTCGACGATGTTCTGGAGGCATCTTCCATCTCTTTTGATTGGCATTCAACGGCCCCGCACGTTAAGATTTCTTGGGAGGGAAACTAAATGTCCGCTGGGGAAGAACAGCTTTTATATCACGTCTTCGGACCATCGCAATTTCGCAAGGAAGAATGACGACATTGAACATTCCTTCGAAAGAAGAATAGAAGGAAAGAGAAAAGCTCTGGATCGGTCCGCATAAGCCGATACCATTGCCGTTGTCGCTAAGAAGGGAACGGTGGGGGCAACCCATAGTTTGTCGCCAGTTAAGTCCCGAGCGGGGCAAGATCCAGGTTACTTTCGGCCCAGCCTGCTCGCCACACCCTTTTTGAACTTAGCTTCCGCACAAAAACAAGGGGTGTTTCTCATCAATTCGTGGAAAAGATTGAACATGCATTTAGTAGTGGTGTATCTCGGGGCAGACGCACCGCCGTTGACCAACGAGATGACGCTGAGTCTTGTTGATGCCCTGCGGCTCTTGGACCACGTGGTTTAGTCATCGCCTGCATCATCGTGTTCTTAGTTGCATTCGCTTCCAAGGTTCTAACTTGCGGACGCTTGTTGGCATGTTCACACTTGACTGTTGATGCACGCTGTCATCTGGACGGAAGCTTTTTATCTGCGGAATGTTTCCCGCACGAGAATCCTCGATATTTCTACGGCCTTCAGGCATGGGTTCTTACTAAATGCCTCACTGTATGAGTTAGCTAGGGGCCAACATGAGGAGTAAGCGTCGGAGACATATTGAAAGGGAAGAAAAAGTAAAAGAAAAAGAAAAAGAGACGAAGAACGTCCTCGGAGGATGGAGAGAGAGCTTCAACTGGCCGGAATATGATGTGAATGATAGACCAATTGGCAACCTTTACTTATGTCCCCAAAGTCAAGAGCTTCTGAGGCTCTCTCCGTGCGAGTTTCAACCATAGCTACAACTAACTTATGTCTTCGATTTCGTCGATGTCGGTGTGTGCGTGATTGCTTGACACCACATCCTTGTCGCAAAGTTTTTAAGCTGGAACCCTGACCACCAGAACTGTCACTTGCCCCTGTTCGTCCTGGACTCATAATACCCTGACTGTTCGGAGTCAGATGAACCGAGTCTAGGCCGACAAAATGACTCCGGATATGGCTTGAAGAAGAGAACCGAAAGCTCGCTCTTCAAGTTTCCCTACACTGTCATCCAACAATCCAGTTGAAAACCCAAGATTCAAAATGGGCCGAACACTCGGGTGGCAGAGAGCTTTTTAAAACAACATCATGAATTGGTGGTAGAGAGCATCAAACAATGGTTATTGCATCGCCAACATCTTCTTTCCGTCGTTGCAACAGTCGCATTATTCCATGCCGGCCTCCTTCGATATCACCGCTTTCTTCAGCACTCGCGACGCAGAGATGACTGAAAGAAAGGAAAAAACAAACCCCCTTAGCACAGTCCTACACTCGGAAAACGCTTCTTACTTTCCCAAAAACTCCTTCAGCAAGTTTCCAGCACCCGGCTTCCTATAAGCAAAGCTGCGATCTTCCGGCTTCGACTCCTCTCGTCTCTCCTCCTCTCGCTCCTCAGCAGCATCCTTCTGAGCTACTAGCCCAGAAAATTTCTCCTGGTGTTTCGTGTCATGATGTAGGTGCTCCGGCGGATCGTGGGATCTCAGGTTGGTTGAGCTTCCGACGGTGGAAATAGCATCGCTGCCTTCCGAGCTCTGTCGAGGAGTAGTTATTTTTGTTTCTGTTTTTTTTTTTTTTCCTCTCCTAAACTATATGTATATGTATATCTTAGCGCTCTTGTGCCAGATGTTGGAAATTACTTGACATTTGTTCTCTGGTTTCGTATGCGGTAAACAAAGCACGGTATGCACTATAGATATGGAGCTTATCCTTCTCACAGTCAGCTCTGATATACAGTCAACTTAGGAGTGGGAGGTAATAACATTCGACAAACGTACTAGTACATATGGAAATGCCCCGCACTGAAGTCACGACACTGGATGTAAATGCCGTAAATGTAACTTACTCCACGCAGCTGTGAGCTATAAGTATTTATGCAGCAGCAACAAAAGTGTGGTTGTCTGGTGACATCATCCCTCTCCGGGCACGAAACCGGGAGCCAAGAAAAGACCTAAGGCAGAAGGGTATGGTACTGTACAACTTAGCTAGCTGTGATAGACCGGTCAATCCTTGGTGCTACATACACAACGCCCTGTCCAAATAAAACCTACCACACGCACCCAGACAGCAGATATTTAACATTTGTTCCACTTAGCGATTTCTCGTCAGCTGCTTGATCTTTTGCGGGCAAGTCGCGGAACGTGCGCTTCCATTAGTGCCCTTCAGCTCCCGAGTGCATACATAGGTTTGTTGTCCCAGGCAAAGGATCACATTCCTCCCGAATAATCAACCTGTTTGGAAAACATTAAAATCAGAAAAAGGCCAGGAAAGAAATATGCCTGACTTCTCAATGGATATGCTTTGTAATTTATATTGATTCGACGACGGCGGGTTAAAACTATTCATCAACTAAGACTCAGCCATAAGGAATGCCTGAGATAATTGCTATTACGACAAGGTATTTTGCAAGGCTACACTGCTTCGCCGCCCCTCTCCTCCTAATATTTCGGGAAAGGAAACTTGCACGTTTCTAGGAGAAAGGAGAGACAGAGAAAAAAGAGAAAATCCCAGCTTATATATATCAAGAAGACCCCATTGTGAACGCCATTGTCTTGCGCCCTCTTTTCCTGTGAGAAAAAAATAATAATGATAAACGCACGACGCAACAACTCTCCCTCCACCCCCATCCAGAGAAGGAAGATACAAGGCCAATAAAAAAAAAAAAAAAAAAAAAAGGGCAAAAAGAAAAGAGAAGAGAAAAGCGCAAGAGAAACGGTCCACTAAACCCCAAGCCAGTATCGCAGAGGTCATAATGAATCATACATGAAAACAATCCCATCCCCTCACAACAACCTATACACAACTATCGATTTTTCAGCCCTAGGCACAATCCAATACCTCTCCTGTTACCAAAATTATAAAACATAGAACCGGACAAATGATTAGCTCCAGGGCTTTCCCAAGTCCACAACCAAGCTTTCTCGGGCCGAAAAAGAAAAAGATGGGGGGGCGGGGCGGGAGGGAATAGCGAGATAGGCACTGAAAACACTGAAAGTGAGATAGAAAGGCAACCCAGGTATCTCAAGAAAATCGAAAAGCTGGAAAGCCAAGGCAAAGACCAAAATATTCTCCTTTGCTAGAACCAGCCACAGCCCAAAAATGTCAACAAGGGAAACTATCAAGGTGACCAAAGGTCGTTTCCAAGATAGATAAAAAAAGTGAAAAGACAATATCAAACCGCGACTTCTGTTGTCTGTGTGGCTATTTCGCCTCCGGCTTCCGTTTCTGCCCATGATCCCCATAGGCCCTGCTTGGCACTGATCTTTAGGCGACCACCAATCGTACCATGGTGCTGCTCAACCTTCACAGCGTCTTTCGTGGCTAACACAAGCACCTCGAAAAACATCTTGGTCGCATCACTCTTGGTCGTGGTCCCCTCGGGGAGGAGATCTTGGAAGATAACGCTACTCTTCTTCGATCGTGAAGAACCTTCACCTCCGAATCGGTCGCGTAACAAGTGAACGGCGTGCTTTGTTCCGAGAGAGACAGGTCCGCTTTCTGCGGGATGGACGGTGCTGCTAGAGTCGTTGAAGCCCTCTGCTTGATAGCCGGGAACTTCGTCATCGGACATGTAGTGCGCTTGTTCCTCATCGCCTGCAATGTGGATCTCAGATTGCTGGTTCAGAGTGGTGTCTCCGCCAAGCTCGATGCCTTCGTCCGCATGTAGGAAACCGCTGTCTTCATCAAGGTCAAGCCGGGGCATTTTGTCAGCTCCATCAACATCCATATCGGCAATTCCGCTGTCTCGCTTTCGCTTAAGCTCGCTCGCCTGTCGCACAGCATCAATTGACAGCATTTCGCGCAATTCCGGAGCCCAGTTTTCGTTGTTGCCGCTCATAACACTTGATACGAAATCACCGTTCTTTTGCATATTCATTAGAGTCAGTAAAAGAGGATCGCGTGGCAAAATCGAGGCTGGTTTCAAGATACTTGATCGATCAGCTTGTTGTTCTTTGATTTGATGGCTTGAGATGACAGTATCGGCATCTGGCTGGAGAATTTTTCTTCTTTTGACTCTCTGAGTTTGGCGGACAGTTTCATGCATAAAAGAGTCTTCAAGGTCTCGCACGACACTAGATCGCACAGATGAAAGTGGAGATTGAGAATCCCTAAGGAATTCGCTGGGTTCTTCCGCAGGTACCACTGTTGTGTCTGCTTCGACAATCGGAGCTCCCAACTCTTCTTCAACACCACCCATAAGCACATCATCATCCTGCTGCAAGAAGTTATCCACATTGTCATGCGCATCTACTTCATCCTCTGGTTTGTTAAATTGGATTCCAACATCACCATGATCGAGCTCCAAATCATCGTTGAACGCCCTTTGGTCGTCGCTGAAAAGGTCTTCGCCAACCGGTCGTGGAGCAGGTGCATCTCGTCCCACTTCAATGCTCATGTCGTGGCCTAAAGGCATGTCGTCCTCGCCTAAATCAAGAACAAGACCGGTATCATCTTCCAAGTGGGGTCTCTCGATGGGCGTCGCGAACCGCCGACTAGGGGTGCTGTCCGGAAGCAGCTGGCTCGACCAACCTAGCGACGATGCAGGCCTTTTGCCTTCAGTCCCTACTTGTGGCATGGGTTGTGAGAACAAAACAGAGGTATCCAAGTTCATAAATAGATCAGACTCCGTAAGCACATCTGGCAGAGTAATTCCACCAGCGGGGAGGGTGACGGAGGTGGGGAGATCATTGTTGTTTGTCAATCGAAAAGCCTAAATGGGCGGTTAGCAAAACCAAGTTCATCTCCCAAGAATTCGTGAATAGTCATACGAACCATTTTAATCTTCATTAAAGCCTCGTTGCAGTCATCAAGAAGATATCTAGTTTTCCTGCTGTAGATGCGGACAACACCCAACAACAGCTGACCACTCAACCGCAACGCCATGGGCGCTTGGCCCTGGTCGACAATCGCGCTGACACTGCTTTCGATGTCAGATTGCAGAATATGGGATTTTGTCAGTTTGCGTTCGAGGTTCGCGGACAGCCAGACTCGAGCCAGGGGCCCGGTCTTCGATAACAGCGTCTCCGAGTAAAACATGGCGAAGGTATGGAATTAAAAATGTCGCGTATGATTAGCGTAGATGTTTTCTTAAGTAATTCCGGATGCGAGAACGCGAGTCAACAACCAGTGCGACCAGTATGTCGACCCGCGGTCATCGACGCGCTGGGGCTCCAAAAATAAAAAGGGACCAACAAATTGCGACCTTGCGCGACGGGTCCCTATCCTAAAGGCAATAATGCAATCACGTATCCAAATCCAATCAGAGATATAGAGTGGTAGACTGCTCCAAGAGAGATAGATGCTGAGACGGAACTGGAGTCGAGTGCTGCGATGAGTCTACAAGGAGTCGGCGGCGGGAGGAAAGGCGAGGGGTTGGGAGATGGGAAGCGCGTTTGTTTGAAATTCCAGGGCGGTTTGCTCAGAAGAGCAAAGAATGGGGTGGCTGGAAATCACGTGACTGTGTTGCTGAGTCAGTCGTGCTTGGCAGAGCTAACTCCCAGTGAGCTATGGAAAGGCCAGACGTGAATCTTTTTTTTTGAAGACAGCTTTACCACAGTCTGCAGCGATACGGAGGAAGTCCTTCAATCTGCGATTCTAATTTGGAAGCTACTCGAATTTCCATTCTCGTGCAATCGTCATTTTCATCTGCTAACACATTGTGTTAATAATATTTGTCGTCGAATCTTTAGCCGTCTTTCGTTCGATCTCGCTGGCTTCTAGAAGTCCAACCGACTGATATATGCCTTCACTGCTCCCGCTGTAACCCCGGCTTCTGCCAGCCCCGTAACCGTCTCGGGATGCCTGACTGGAGCATCGCTTCCTCCGCCTCCTGAGCTATGTCAGGATTTCCGCCCCCGCTTCACTCAGTCCCTCCTCCCTACGTCGTCCCTAATTCCTCCCGACAGACTCCTTCTCCCCATCGCAAGAGCACTGTCGTATCATCTTCAAGCACATCCACATACTCGAGGCTCAGTCCACAGGAAGTCGCCGACCGTTTACAAACATCGCTTTCTCATGGCCTCTCCCCAGCAGATGCACATACAAGATTGCTACGAGATGGCCCGAACGAGCTCTCCTCTGAGGACCCGGAGCCTCTCTGGATGCGATTTCTTAAGCAGTTTAAAGAGCCATTGATATTGTTGCTTTTGGCTTCTGCTGCAATTTCTTTCTTCATGAGCAATTACGATGATGCAATCAGCATTGCACTTGCAGTTACAATTGTCGTCAGTGTTGGGTTTGTGCAGGAGTACAGGTCAGAGAAGTCGTTGGAGGCATTGAATAGGATGGTGCCGCATTATGCCCATTTAATTCGCAATGTACACCACTGTGACTCACTCGGACATGTCGCACCTCAAACTGCAAATGGGGTAGCAGAATTGGAGCTGCAAGGGTTGATGACGGATGGGCCCCACCCAGTGACGTCCTCTCCAAAGGCATCTACAACAGTTCTGGCAAGTCAATTGGTCCCTGGCGATTTGGTTCTATTCTCGACGGGTGATAGAATTCCTGCAGATCTCCGCATCTTCAGCTCTACCGGCCTTTCAATTGACGAATCCAACCTTACCGGAGAAAACGAACCAGTTGCCAAATCTTCTGAATCACTGGGTAATGCAAATGGCTCGCTTCAGTCAATCAAAGAAAATACTGGGTCCATTTCCCCCTATTACCATTCACCAGCCGCTGGGACGGTTGGGACTGACCTTCGATTGAACGAACAGCATAACATTGCTTTCATGGGTACTTTGGTGCGATCCGGCTATGGTCAGGGAATTGTTATAGCTACTGGGTCTAATACAGAATTTGGGAGCATCTCTGCCTCTCTTCGAGAAATCGAAAGTCCCCGAACGCCACTCCAATTGTCAATGGACCGACTGGGTCAAGAGCTGAGTTACGTGTCATTTGCAGTCATTGGATTAATCGTCCTGATCGGACTATTACAAGGTAGAAAATTATTGGATATGTTCACCATTGGTGTATCTTTGGCAGTCGCTGCTATTCCAGAGGGTCTTCCAATCATCGTTACTGTTACTTTAGCACTTGGAGTCTTCCGAATGGCGAGAAGAGGCGCCATCGTTCGAAGGTTACCTAGTGTTGAGACGTTAGGCTCTGTCAACGTCGTCTGCAGTGATAAGACAGGCACCTTGACGCTCAATCACATGACAGTTACGAAGATGTGGCATTTCGATTGCGACGCTCCTTTCGAAGTAAACAGAGACAGCAGGTCAGTGAATGCAAGCCCCGCTGCACGTACTATCCTTCGTGTCGGTAACATTGCCAATAATGCTCGTCTATCCCGCGCGCATGCCAATTCACCAGCCACTGCTGCCTCCGCTGCCATATTATCCTCAACTGTGGATCAAACTTCCGGTGCAATTAGGAGTCGATGGGTTGGCCAGCCTACAGATGTCGCCATTTTAGATTTATTAGATGCGTTCGCTGAGGATGATATTCGAGACCACATAAGCTCCCGTGTGGCGGAAACCCCTTTTAGCTCAGAGCGAAAATGGATGGGAGTGGTAATTGGTGGCGGCAGCCATCTGTCGGAGAACGGATTTGGCAACGGTGGTTGTCCCGAAACTGCATACATTAAAGGTTCCATAGAAGAAGTTCTCAAGCGTTGTGATACATACCTAACCAAAGACGGCCGGGAAGTAATTCTAGACGAAACGAGACGGCAGATAGTAAGAGAGGCAGCTGAATCCATGGCAAGAGAAGGATTGAGAGTACTTGGCTTCGCAAGCGGTCCAGTTAGAGATATCGGAAGAGGGAGTCGTCCATTGGGCAGCCGAAGCCCAACACCTGGCCATTCGGAGAAAATCCAGTCCAAAGATGACGACCTTTATACAGGCCTTGTATTTTCTGGCCTTGTCGGGATGAATGATCCACCCCGAAAAGATGTCCGCCGAGCGCTCCGCAAACTGATGGCTGGCGGAGTCAGGGTCATAATGATCACAGGCGATGCGGAGACAACGGCGGTGGCTATTGCAAGGAAACTTGGAATGCCTGTTAATACATCGCCCTCGGCTCGAGAGGTACTCAGGGGAGAAGACGTAGACCGCATGAGCACTGACGAATTGGCGCAGACGATTTCTGCAACTTCTATATTCGCGCGAACTAGTCCGGATCATAAGATGAAAATTGTGCGAGCGCTTCAATCGCGCGGGAATGTTGTTGCAATGACAGGTGATGGTGTCAATGATGCACCTGCCCTGAAGAAGGCAGACATTGGAATCTCAATGGGTCGATTAGGTACCGATGTCGCCAAGGAAGCGGCAGATATGATTTTAACGGATGACGATTTCTCAACGATTCTACGAGCCATTGAACAAGGCAAGGGAATTTTCTATAATATCCAAAATTTCATCACATTTCAACTGAGCACCAGCGTTGCGGCATTGAGCCTTGTACTCTTCAGCACAACACTGGGGTTCAAAAACCCGCTTAATGCGATGCAGATATTATGGATCAGTATGTTCCTCCCCGCTTCTTCTCCCATTCAACACTGGACAGGCAGCCCAAAATACTGATCACCATCTCCCATACAGACATCCTCATGGACGGCCCACCGGCCCAATCCCTCGGTGTTGAGCCTGTCGATCCCTCCATCATGAGCCGGCCCCCACGTTCCAAACATGCCCGTGTACTTACCAAACCATTGATCCGCCGCGTCCTCACCTCCGCGCTCCTAATAATGCTCGGAACGTTTGCCATCTACATCCACGAAATGTCCGACCATACGGATGAAGTCTCGGGGGTTAGCTCGCGCATCGTCACCAGTCGCGACACTACCATGACATTCACCTGTTTCGTGTTATTCGACATGTTCAACGCACTTACATGTCGGTCAGAAACTAAGTCCATCCTACGTGGAGAGTTGCCGCTATTCGGCAATAAGATGTTCAACTATGCGGTCCTTGGCTCTTTGGTAGGGCAGGCATGCGTTATCTATTTGCCGCTCTTGCAGGGCATTTTCCAGACGGAGGCGATTGGGCTGTGGGATCTGTGTGTCCTTGTTTGCATTTCTAGTACGGTGTTTTGGGTCGATGAGGGGCGGAAATATCTGGCGTGGCAGAAGAGGAATGGTGGGGTGGGAATATCTGGCATGAGGATTGGTGGGTATAGTGTTAATGTGTGAGACTGTCTACGAAGTATGGAATGAGCAAAGGCGCGTGGGAGAGCTAGGTGGGCGTTCCGTGATTTAATGACGAGATCTTTATCCTATTTTTACATATTCTTGTATATCGCGCTTTAGATCACATTTGTTCTATTATTTTTTTTATTTTTTAATTTTTTTATCCTTCTATGATCTGTTGCTCAGTGTTTTGTTTAGCGATTGTTCCATTATTTCCTCTCTTCAGTTTCCTGACATGCCACTTCCTCTCCCCCCCTCCCCAACTATATCTCATTACATCGTCGGAATAGACAAAGGGAGGATCAGTGCTTTTATCATTCTTTGTACAGTACGGATTATTGTATGCTTTTTCTACTTGTACGATAGCACATCCTCATACCCCACATGCTACGCCGCCCAATCATTCTAGTTAAACAAACACTTGGTTTTGCCTGCTGTCGATGAATATAAAAGAGCCGGCGGCCTTTAAATAAAATTAAAAATAACCACAAAAAACTCAACCTTTTCCTGAATGGCCAACACGACCAACCTCATGAACCTGATCATGACCAAAACTCTTATCTCTAGGCGTAGGACTCATTCCATCGGTGTCTAGAGTTCCAATTAATCGTGGTTAAAGTTAAGCCTGGGCAGAAGACAAAGCATGATCTGGCCAGAAAGGACGTCCCATCTTTCTTCAGACCGATCTTACACGAGTGACCTGACGATAACTTGGTTAAGCGCGCGGAAACTCGGGCCGGATCGCGCCTAATTTATACCTCATCCAACACCAACTTCGCGAATCCGGTGACACGGCTCAAAGGTGACAAGGGGATATTCCGTTGCATCTCTCTAACTTTGAATTGAATCAACAATCAACCATGAGAGGGAATATATATAGATTATTATCGAGGTATGTATATAT